CCGGTCTATGCCTGCAAAGGATGGCCTGAAGGACGCGGCGGCGTCGAGCGGGAATGGCCTCGCTCAAAAACGCGACTCGAGCCTCGCTGCTATTTTGAACAGCAGGCGCTCACGGACCTGCGGGTCTCGTGAAAACCTCCCAGACAGCTCAGGTACGGGCTTGTCTGAAGGATGCTCGCGTTGCGACGCAGCGTCGAGTGCGGCAGCGGTGCCCACTCACACCACACACGTCTGGCTAGGAACGCCACGACGTCGTTCCACGTTACACCTGCTAGGTCGCAGCGGTTTCGTGATGCCAGCCCATGCCTGCAAAGGGTGGCCTGAAGGACGCGGCGGCGTCGGGCTGCGAATGTCCCGCGCCCAAAACGCACCACCACGCCTTGCTGCAACTGTGAGCAGCAGGCGCTCACGGACCCGCGGGTCGCGTGAGACGACGCCCAGACCGCCATCCGAATCACTTCAGGGGTCTGGAGGACGCTCGCGTAGAGACGCAGCGTCGAGCAGTGCGCAAGCACGCTCACCACACACCCGTCCCGTAGCCTCGCAGCCAGCAAGCTACTCGCGAGGGAGGAGCTCCCTTCGGTCGAGTCGAGACGTGGGACCGCGCGGATATTGCAGCTGCGTCGCCGTGTGCACTGGCACGACGACCCAGCGGAATACAGTCGGCAGCAACGGGTGTACAGACACACCGCTGCCGAGCGATGGCGACGCACACCTTCGAGCGGTTTCGCGCACGCGCGAGGACCTTGGTGCCCGTCCTGGTAAACATGCACCTGCGGATGGAGATGATGGCGCCATGCAGTGGGGCTGCTGGTAGCCGAGCCGCCCGGACGCACGCGTGAAGATCACGGTGCGCCGCGGCACATGCGCGAAGACGCACGGACCGTACCGCGGAGGTACCGGCCATGCTGCCGCGCGACGTGACGATGCCGCCAACGAATGCTGGCCAGTTGAGATCCTGGTCAGCGGCGGACGGGAACAACGCACCGGAGCGGTGCACGAGGCTTCCATGCGATGCGAAGCAAACAGTACCCGTTTGTGCTGTCCTCGGTGTGGAGACCGCTGGCGCGGGCTGCGCGGAGTCTGTCACCGGCGACGCCGCAATGTCGTCGCACACCGCCACCGCTCGTGGCGTTCGTCGCGTGTCACGCCAGGACACCGACGTTGCACGAGGGGGCGAAGATGGTAGGCCGAGTGACGCGTTCGTCATCGGGACCATGCTGCAGGGGTTGCCGGCCGCCACACGATGTGGGACGCGCAACCGAGCAGCACGCGCCGCTAGGCATAGCGGCGGTATGCGCACCGATGTAGGCGGTGGTACGATGCACCTGGCACGGTGGGCACACTTTGTTTTTCGGCGCGTGCGACCACTTCTTTCTTTGCCGCCGGTGCACTACGCGAGGCCCATTACACCGCTATCCCAAGATCAGCACGCGGATAGCCATTCCCTTCCGTTTCCCTGCTTCGTCGGCAGCGCTGTGTGTGCCGGCGTTCGCTGCTCCGGCACACGCGGCTGCGTCTTCGTCGTCCTCGTTGGCAGCGGGAGCGATCCGCCGCCTCCCGCCGCGCGCCGCACACAAAGCGACTCCGTCGCCTCCCCAGCAGTGCCGAGAGAGACGTCCGCCGGACATCGCTCGCCATCGACGTGCATGTCATGCCACGTCGGTGCGGTGTGCGCTCTATGCGCACCTACAAGCGCCGTGGTCAGCACCAGCACGGACACCACGCCGCCGGCCGCCGTACCCCGCACAAGAGACAAGCCTGTCAGCTAGCGTCCCCGTGGGGGTCCTCCGGGCCGGGGGCCAGCCATAAGAAAAGAGCACCAAGCTAGTCACCCTGACGTTCTGTGCCTCACGCGACTGATCGCGGTGGGGCGGCCTGATGAAACGAAGTTGCACAGGCGGCGATTGTAGTCGCGTGCATATTTGCCGCTTAGCCGACATGCCCTCGGCTCCGTACGTGTCGCTTGGCCTCACCACCTTCTCTCTCACCACCTCTCACTTACTCGCTCCACAGCGACACCTCTCACATAGGACGGTGGCATTAGGTGGTGCTGTTGTGTCTCCGGTCTGTTTGTTGGTTTAGGCTATTACTCTCCCGGCCAGCTGTCTTGTCTGCTGCTGCTTGAAGTTGCTGTCTGCCACGTGGAACATGTACGCGTTCCCCTCGTACAGAGCCTGCGAGATCCTCGTCAGGAGGGTGCTCAGCGCTGTGTTCGGCGTGTAGGGGTGCTCCTTCGCTCCGGCGAGTTTCCGAAGCCAGTTGAAGCTGTCCTTGTGTAGGCCGCCGGTTGACTCGAGGATGAGGGGCTTGAAGTCCTTCTGCATCGCTGCTGCTTCTGTGCCGTGCTTGTGTGTTTTGAAGGCGAGGAAAACACGAGAAGCAATGTAGCAGAACAATTGTTAATGTTTGTAGGTTGAGGTGGCGAAGGGGGGAGGGGGGGAGATAAAAGGTTCGTAGAAACGAAAGCGAGATAGAAGAGCAGCGTTTTGTGTTTTCCTCTCCCTTAACTTTTAAATTCGGTACAGGGATAAACCACCGAACCTCACGATCGCTCGGGGCCACTTATTCAACATTAGTTTTCGCAAGATAGCAATATATCATATTCATTTTATTTCTTTGGATCTTTTGCACGTGGAACGGGAGCAAAGACTAACGCAGTGGCAGACTTCTAAACAAGATTAGTCCGCCCTCAAAGCGGGGCGGAATGAGCCTGGGTGGGCAGGAAAACGAACAGAAGAGAGAACAAGGCGGAAGTCGAAGACTGTCCGTGGAAAAAGAGAGGAAAGTGGAAAGGAATCTCTGAAGATGCCATTCACATGAGTTCCATTCAAACCATAATTTACATTCAATCATTCCTTTCGCAAGCTCTCAGAAAGTCTTTCCAGTTCACCGCTGTAAAGAACGTGTGGGCACGATCGTTGCTGCGGAGTGTAGAGAGATGCAGGAGGTAGGCTGTAGTGGCTCACGTTTCGGTTCCTTCCGGTTGCCACCTTTGGCAATGAGCTCCCTCTTCGGGAGCAAACTTGCACTGGACAGGGTCTTTCTTTGGTCTCGTTTCAGAGAGGCTGGCGCAGTCGCCACGCTGTTTCTTTGTTCTTGTGCTTCATCGTTTTCTTGATTTACACTATTGTGCTTCTCTACATAACAAGAACTACGGTAGGTTTTTTTCGTAAAAACCTTTTCTTCGTCTTGTTTAGGTCTTCTGTGCAGGTCTTAAAGCCAAATTTGTTCCTTTTAACTTATATAAAAGCCCCAGCCACCACACGCGCGTGGTCGTTGGAACCAAAACTCGGGACTATATTTGGCAGCGATCTGGGGTCGTTGTTCCGAGGAAAAAGGTTCCAGAACCTCGTCCCCGCGAAGCCCTGCGCAAATTTTGTTTTTTAAAAAATAAAAAGTGAAATCCGCATTTTTTTTTGTTTTCTACACTAATTTTGTCTTAGCGGTTTCACGAAAAAACACACATAAAAATTTTGTTTTTTCAACATAATGGCAGGTAAAAACTCTCGGGGGCGGTCGGTGGGCGGAAAGAAGAAGGTTCAATCCCCGTCGGGACGAACCTTTTCCAAGAGCCCGAAAAAGACCGGAGGCAAGAAGGAGGTTCAATCCCCGCCGGGACGAACCTTTTCCAAGAGCCCGAAAAAGACCACCAAGGAGCCCAACACAAGGAACATTGGGCCCTCAAAGACCGAGGAGAAGTCGCAGATGCCGCAGTTCGACCAACTGGCGGCACAATACGCAACAGCGGCGGTGCTCGACAAGGCAATTGCCGAGCACACAGAGTTGGCGGGGCGCTTGATGGAGCGCCATGCGTCAATTCTGCAGCGCCATTACGCCTGGGCGAACCCAGTTCACCAGGCGTATTTTTATTGCACGGCGGTGGACGTCACCGGGGCGGCTTGCACGTTTGCAAGTGACGCCGAAGAGGACGTCCAGAAACACATACGCGAACGCCACCCCGGGTCCGGGGCCGTTCCACGGCGTTTTGGCCTCTCGCGGTACACGGGAGGCATGGCGAACATCGGGCCATCCTGCTCGGTAACCGCGGTCGTCGCCGCGCTCGCCACCGTCACTGGGGGATATCAACAGAACGATATCCTCCGAAAAGCCTTCCGGACGTCTTCCGCCGAAGACTCCAGGGCTTTCCTCCAGGCCTTGAACCTTAGGCTACCAAACTCCCCGGCAGCTGTCCTGGGAGCACTTGCCGCACGTGACGCGGCGACGGACGCCTTTTTCGGAGCGACAGAATGTCACGATACATTCTGTAAAACATGCGGAACCACGATCGAGGGACCGCGGGTGAAGAGCTCAGGGGTCCTCACTTACACGGCCCCGCCGGGCTCGCCACAGGGAGGCACAGCCAAGGCCTTAGAGAACGCATTTGGACCAGAGGCGACGGACGCAGTGCAATACTGCAGCGTCTGCGGCTGCGATGCACAGCCGTGCGTCAATATGGTGCACTACCTCTTCCACAACGCCGTAGCGGTGACCGTTGTCCCGCCACCGACACAGCCAAACAACCGAGGGCTCCCGGAGATACCGCTGGAGGTCGGGTTTGCCACCCGGCCGCTGGCGGCGACGCCCTTCATCCTCCACGCCGCACTGTGTGTAACCACGCCGACGCACCTGGTCGCATACGTCGCCGAGCGGGTGGAGGAAACCACGTACTGGCATTTGTATGACGGAACCGTTCATACAAAAGGAGTCAAGGCTCCGGACGCAGCAAAGGTTCGCATGCTGCTCTACCTGCCAGTTCCGATCCGCCACGACGTCGGAGAGGGGGACAACGAAGACGAAGAGCACAGTAACGGTCGGCCGGCGGGCGCGCCGCCGCCGCCGCCGCCGCCGCCGCCACCGCCCACTAGCCTAGGGACGGATGAGTATGGTCACGAGTTGTTCGGGATTGTTCTGCCGGAGGGATCCGCAGACACAGTCCCAGACGACGAGGACGAGGCGGAGGAAGACCAACCCACCGCCCCATCACCACACCCCCTCCCAAACCACCCCCTCACCATCCCTGACACTCCCCCGGCCAGGAGGGCTGAAGAAGATGGGGAGGACGGCACTAGCTCGGATGACATCGAGCTGGTGCAGCCGGAGGGGCAGTTTCTGCACGGAGACAACGTGCATATTGCCCCAGCAGAAGGGCTCAGCTGCCCGTTCTGCGCCCACCGCTGGACCTCGGCCGCACGCCGGGCCCAGCAGACGGACCACGCCAACCACACCCATGGCCAAGAACGGTGTGGTGCCGAGGCCCTGAAGCGGGCAGGACTGGACCGCTGCCTCGTGTGCGGGCAGTTCGTCGTTGCGTCCCGGCGCGGACGCGCAGCACACCTCCCCAAGTGCGGACCGTACGAGACGCGTGCGGTTCGCAACAGCAAGCGGGCACGGCAAGACCCTGCCACGCCCGTGGAAGGGGAGGACGACGTCGCGGACACGCCGCCGACGGTGGCGCCACAGCAAAGGCGCCGCGAGCCACCCACCGAGGAGGACCTCGAGTGGGTGAAGACGTGCCCCCCCACCATCCGCACCCTGCGCAAGCAGGAGTGGGGGGTTTGGTGTGAAGCCGTGGGCCAGACGCTCCTGGGCTACACGGCTGCGACGCAGCAGGAGCGCCACCGACGCCAGATCGCCATGACGACTCTGGTGCGCACTCGACTGGCCAAGCCACAGCCGGAGGGTGCCGAGGAGGCGCCGAGGAGCGGCACCGAGGGGGTTGCGGCTGGCGACGACCAACGCCAGCGCAACACGGAGGAGGAGCTGCCCACGACACGGCAGCTCACGCCGGAGGAGAAGCGCAACAAGCGCATCCTCCACCAGATTTCCCTCGGTGCACTGGGGAAGGCGGCACGGACGCTCTTCCACGCACAGCTGCCGCGCGCCCGCGCCAGCGACGTGGTGGAGCAGCTGCAGGAGCTGCACCCCCAGGAGGACCCAGCCGGCTACCCCATGCCGCCGCAGGTCCCGTACATGCACGGCCTCAAGCCCGAGAAGGTCTTGAGGGCAATAGTGCAGCGTCTCGGTCGCGCGTCCGCACCGGGACTCGACGGGTGGACGAGGGAGCTCCTCATCCCCATCGCCGAGGACGAAAACCTGCCGGTGGAGCTAACTACTTTAATACAGGACATCCTAATCGGTAACGTGCATGCCTCCTTCGCGACGCGCATCCGAGCGTGTATCCTGCACCCGTTCCGCAAGGACCTAACCTCCAATAAGGTGCGGCCGATAACACCCGAGTCCGCACTTCTAAAGAGGACGTCGCACATCGCCCTGGACAGCGTCGAGAAACCGTTCCGCGAGACGTTCAAGGGGTGGCAGTACGGCGTGTGGGGCGACTCCACGGAGGCGGTAAAGCACATCCGCGAGGCGTACGCGAGAGAGGGAATCGACACCTTGGTCGCCCTCGACGCAACGAACGCCTATAACTCCATGGACCGCGACCACATCCTTAAGACGGCGTATAAGCAGCCGGAGCTGCGGGGCGCGTTCGGCGTAATTAACATGGCCCTCGGTGCGGCAGGAGAGCTGGCGCTGTACGAGAACGGCGTGAAGGTCCACTCCCTCAAATCCACAAAGGGTGTACGCCAGGGCATGGTGCTGGGCCCACTCCTGTTCGCGAATGGGATGACCGCGAAAGTGAAAAGGCTCATGGTGAAGCACCACAAGGTGACGATAGTAGCCTACTTGAGTGTCCTCTCCGTGATGGACGATAGCACATCCTTGCCGAGCTTTTGGCAGAAGCAGACCACAGCTGCACAGTAACGGTAGATGATTTAGGTAGAGAAAGGTGAAGGGGAATAGGATTGAAAGTAAAGGTTCGGTAGAAGATGATTCCAAATGTAGAACGTAATCAGTATTCTATCTAAAGTACAGGAGGTTAGAAACTCTTAAACACTGGTGAGTTTGCTGGGAAAACACGAAAAAAAAATGTTTTGTTTCTTGGGATTACTACCGAAGTGGTAGCTTTCTGTTACAAATCTGCCTCCAAAGCGGGGCGGAATGCGGTCGGGCGAGCAGGAAAAGAAAGAACGAAGAATCATGACAGCTTGTGGAGAGCCGGTTCTAACCTGTGGCGGAGCCGATTGAGGGCATCATGCGAAGGTGGTGCTTTCGACATCACTATCTTTACAAACGCGTCAGCGTCTGACTGGGGCGCTATCGCGTGTTGGCGAGACGGGACGACGAGAACTTTTCAGCAAAGGTAGATTCATGATTTGAGGGCGAGCGGAGTGACGAGGAATCGCGGTAGCCAGCTGCCATTCAATGCGCGGCGCTCAGCAAACGCAGAGCCTCACGCTACTCCCATTTTTTTTTCGTACATCTTGCCAGTCTACCCTGGCCCTGTGTCGCCCGTGGCAATGGTCATGGACGACAACCCTATCGCGCTGGCCTAGCGAGGTGAGAGCGGGTTTAAGGGCATCGGACGAGGTCAACATCTCAACAGCCTGTATGCCTTGATGAAAGAATTATTTTTTGTAACGAACATCAAGGTGGTGTTCTTCTACACCGTTGACCCGAGTAACTCCGTCGACTCACTGTCGAGGAACTTCGGGGAGGATGTACCTGACAGACATGTAGGGCTGCGGGAGGCAAGCGGCATGCTGCTCCCGCGATTGATTCAGACGGCTTGCCCCAGTGTGTGAGAAGCCGTCAAGAATTAGGGGGCTAGGTCTCGCTACCTGATATGAACAACGAAGTGTGACGAACATCTGATACGCTAAAGGCGCGCGCGAAGCGGGCACAAACAGTATGTAGAACTGATCCTTCTCCTCTTCTCTCCTTTCCTTCCAGATAGGTGACAATACTAGTCACGCACGGACAAGGATTAACCTACACCCTACAAATCATCACCTACCAACAGGTCAAACCTTTACATGAGAATTACATAAATTTTTCTTTCTTGGTTTTACAACACACTGTAAATATCAATAGTTAAATACATGCAAAGAAAACAAACTATTCAACAGACTCTACGAAGTGGGTAGCCCGCCTTACGGTTCCCCGCTGGGTGGGCGGGGAGTTCAGGGTTGGGCGGGTGGGAAAAACTAAAAGATGGAAGAACTGCTGAATTCTAGCAGTTGAGAAAGAGAATACAAGAAAAGGGGAAAAGAGAGAGGTAGGATGAATAATTCTTCAGGCTAGGTCATTCTATTCGCAAGCTCCAAGAATAGAAGAATCGAGAGGTGCAAAGAGTCCGAGAGAGATGCATTAGCTGAGACCTGATTCCACCCTCCAAGCTCGCGATGGACCTCCAACATATTATCTATTCACCCCGCGCAGCGTCCCGCTGCCAAACTTACTTCCTACAACGTCAGGGGACGATGGTGCACTGGACTTGGCGATTTCCTCCTTTCCATTTTTTCTAATAGGTAGCACTACTAACGAAGTGGCAAACAAGGGTAGTTGAATTGGTTAAACCCAAGGATCCCTGTCGTGGTGGGCAACCACGGGGGTGGGTGGGTGGAAAAGAAAAAACTCAAAAGTTGTGTGAGAACTTTGGTTCTGCAAGTTCCAAAGATAAGGAGAAGAAGAAGAGCGAGGGAGAGTAGTAGAGGTAGAAATCATGTCATCAGCAAACGTCGGAGCCATTGTTCCTCATCCTCCTCGTATCATTCTTACTCTTTTCATCATTCCATTCTTTTCGTAAACTATCAAAAAAAAAGGGAGCTTTGAGTTCTAGACAGCATCTTAAACAATACACAAAGAGAAAAACCTAAACGAGAAGATTGATGAGCTAAGAAACGCAAAACTGGCAATTTAATCCTCACACTTCCGGATACGAGCACGATAATTTCTTCATGAATTAAATATGGAGCCTTAAAGTAAAGCAAGTAGTCTGCATGTTTAGAGAAGAAAACACACCACGCAGAGAACAAGAATCTGACAGCTAGAAGAACACACGGAGAACATTTTCCCCGTCAAGCAGGTGTCACAATTAGTGTTTCCGATAATACAAGCAGGCAGATCAAGAGAGCGAATAACAAATGGAAAATGAAGACTGACAAACTTCAGCTGATCCTTTCGGAGCGCTCTTTGGATTGAACCATCAAAAGCTGGTTACTCACTGCTTCAATACGATGCGAATGCAAATGGTGAACAACGTGAACAGACATAGAGATCAAAGGTCAAAGACACGAAGAGATGCTGCCTCGTTGAGAGTGATAGCACAGCTTGTAAAGAGGAGCAGCGATCTACAAAACTGTCACATAGATTGTGAGGAAATAATGGATGGAAATAACAGACGACTAACGCGTTTCAGTATTCTGCTTTGCTTTGGAGTCGCTGAGTGGTCAACAGCATACTGACTTATTTGAACTAATCAAAACCGACAACTCCTAAAGTAGAGTCAGTGAAGGCCTTTTTTTTTTTGGAAGCCGGTGCGTGTCTCACATGGCACCGCCTTCCTTCGTACAAGAAGAGAGACAGAGAGATTTGCAGTCGAATTTCCATGCTCTAAAAAGCAACGCACTCTTTGAAAGACACAGAAAAAAAAGTCCCTACACCGAAGCATTTGTTCATTGAAACCGTGGAAGGCAACAAAGCGCGGTAGGATGATCGCAATTGGATAGCTTCGCTTACTGGTTATCCTACTTTACTAAAAGCTGTTTGAAAGCTTAGCTTCTACGGTCAAAACCTGTCGTTCCTACAATCACTGAATCTGACGCAATGACTGCTCAGCATCTTCTTCGTCGCACCACATTTACATTTGTAAACAATCCACAAAGGTATCGGGTAAAGGTCTAAGAAAGCTGGATCATCATCATAAAGCTGTCCTTGGCACAAGAAATGCTGCACTGTTGTGAATAAACCGCTGCGCGACACCTTGAAAATAGCATCAAACCTTTCCCACACTTCCCGCAACGGCTGATAGACTTTTAAGCGTCATTCATTGCTTCTTTTCAGCAGATATCCCTGACTCTCAATAAGCTTCGTGTCGTACCGACCATCAAGTTACGTAAAACAGAGAAAAGAATAAGCAGTTCCTTTCCGCTTTCATTCCACGCCCAAATCCTCCCTCTTGCTTTCATGCTCCACCTCATCTGCTGTTGACAATGTGACGCGTTAAAACTGCGCAAGTGTTCCGTCGAGCACTCCACTTTAGGCAAGGTTCCCTGTCACGTCCACCATATCCTCCATTTTGACACAACACGGAAAGTAGAAACAGAAAACACCACACAAAAGCAGATCTAGAGCTGTCTTTAGAAAGCACGTTTACAGTCGTCGTGTGACGAAACTGTACCTATCGCAGTTCCGGAAAGGAAAACGAAAGAAAAGTCGCAAGATTCTGATCAGAAATTCAGAAAATGTTTGTTCAACATCGCAGCCACACAGATCACAAGAATTTTAAGACGACCTCAGTCACATCCTTCCGTTACACCGTCTGTTCTTGCTACTCTTAACTGCTGTCGTCAAATATCCGTATTTCATGTCCACGGAAAAGTAAGTCTTCTCTTCTCACAAAACGGTAGCACCTAAAGCAATTCATTTTTGCCTCGGCGTCATACTCTCACTGATTTCGCATGAATTAAACATTTTGCATATCGCAATCACCTTTTCAGTTTGTGTAGAACGCAGTTACAGGTGATACCATCATAACACCACATTTTGTCTACTGGTGAATGAAGAAAAAAAAAAGCTAAGCAGCCACACAGTGTCAAATACGAACTTCTCTTAGCAAAACATGTCATCAAGTTAGTGGGAGCATTCAGCCAGGAGCTGTGGATCTTGCATAATATCATCGTCAAATTTCAATCTCTTTTCTTATGCGCTAAAACGTTGACCACCAACAAATAGTACAGGAATAGCAAGGTGCGCTGTTCTCCCAACTTCACACATGCACCATCCTCGCAAACGCCGTTACCTCCGGTACCCGCGATATCCTTTGGCCTTTTAAAGCAACTGTGCCGGTTCCCAGAAACTTACACACCTTGTAAAGATCGCAACAGACGCGTGTAGCTTGTACAGAATAGCTGAAACGTCGAAGGAGTCGTTGGCCTGCTCAACACGATCCTATCAGTAACCTATTTGCCGATACAATGTGATGATCCACACCGCCCAGCAGTGAAGTATGCAGATGGATTCTTTAAGTTTGAATGCGGCAGGATTGGATAACGGAAAGCCTGAGATGAGTAAGTTCAACTATTTCTGCGTTTATTTCCATTTTCACTTTTACGTTTCTCTCTTGCGACAGTTTTCCTTGTTGAGTCTTTATTCTTTTTTTTTGACCTGCCGACCCCAGTCCGCATCGTCCCGCTTTTGAGGCGGTTTGAAGACAAAGACTACCACTTTGTCAGTGGTGATATGGTTGAGCAAAACGGCACACTCAAGGAAGCAAAGCATTTCTCTCGCATTCGCCATTCCATTCTAGCCTAATGAGACCAACCTTGCCTCCACCACGCGGCCGGGACAAACGGCGACCCATGCTGGCGACGAAAAGCGAAAATGCTGTCAGCTTTCTCGCGATACTATCAGAAGTCCCCTCAGTTCATCATAATCCCGCTTTAGCATCCAAACGAAACGAAAAAGGTTCTCATCTCTTCGGCCGTCAACCGCCAGCAGCAAAGACAACGCCCCCAACCTACACTCGAGCAGCGCACCTCAGCCTTCCCCTCTCTCCCCCCCCCCCCGAAATGCTCATCACCACAGCCGACCCCCTTTAAGAACTCAACAAGAAACAGCCTATGCACCACCAGAGAGAAATCTGTACTTGAGAGAGCAGAGTAGATACCGTTACCTGGAAAAAGAAGCATTGTTGGTTGTTTTCTTCCGAGGAAAGATACTAACTGCTCGCACTTCAAAAATGTGGCCTTACCGTTCATGCAAGGGAAACGAGACTCCGTGTCAGTTCAGAACCAGAACGAAAACGGCTCGCCGCAGCTAACGTAACGACCACCCTTGACCCTCAAGTGGCTTCACAGGATTAGCGGTCAATTGCTTCCCGAACAATCCGACGTGGGAATATCCCTTTTGTAATGCCACCCGGTATGGCGCATCGCTGTTGTGAGGCCACGATTCTTTTAGCCGCAGCTTTCACCGCTATGTAGGTGCCCAGACCAATGTATGACACAGCAAGGTGTCGGGAGTGTGTAGCCAGCACTGTGTTGCCTGAGCTGACGGAACCACCTTACCCCGACAACGTCGACCGGGATACAGAAAGAAAGAGGTACTGACACATCACAAGTCACCTTCGCAGCCACCAAGCCTTATTCTCTTTTCCAGGAATCTGACGCAATTGGTCAAACACAACTCGCGTTGCGCTTACACTGCTGTCCGTCAGTAATTTCTCACTGTAGCTTCGTTGGCAACTCTGTCTCAGATGGTGTCACTCGTGGGCTCACTCGGCTCACTGTCAGCAAAACAAGTGTGGAGCAGCGAGAAGCTGATAGCCGCAGTAAACTCGATAGGAGTGCGAAAATGTATGTTGAAGGAAAGAGCATATTGGGCTTCAAGTCTACTTCTAATTACACACCTGAGATTTTTCCTTTCAAGATTGTTCTCTTTGATCATCATTTCTAATGTGACAGCACTTACGGAGCTCTAAAAGTCTTTGTACGGACAGACGCGCATTCTTTCGCTTAGCTGCAAAGGCTTCAGAGATCGCGACACTGACAAGGGTGCCGCCACTTTTTTGTTCCCTGAACATTTTATTCTGCATTTCTTTCGCTAGTGAAAGCTTCTGTCTTCAGGGTTTCGTTTTCTTCTTTGCCTGTTCTTCGTGACTGCCCAATAGCCGCAATTATTGTTGCTGTTTGTACCTCTCACCATCCCCCGGACGCTCCCGTCAAAACAGGACAAGAAGCTTTTTCTTGGAGCTTGCGAATCGAATGACCTACCCTGAGAATTACTCCTCCTAACTCTCTTTTTCCATTTTCCATTTATTGATTTTCTTCACTTCTAGTATTCGGCAGCTTCCCATCTTTTGCTCCTTTGCAACCGCCCTACACTGCACTCTCCGACCACCCAGCGGGGAAGCGTAAGGCGGGCTACCCACTTCGTAAGGCGTGTTGAATTGTCTGTTTGTATTGGAATTGATGTACTTATTGTCGTTGGCAGTGTGTGGTATAAGCGAAAAAGATAACTATATGTTTACACTGAGGAAAAGGATTCGCGTTTTCGCGTCGAGATGTATCGAAAGGTATACCAGTGGCGCGTCAGGTCGGTAGCCTCGTGCGTCTGAACGGTCGTTGCTCTCTCTCTCAGCCACGTGATGCAGTTCCTTGGGACGGCGTTGTGCCTGGTCCTGGTGACCGTGAACGGTGTATCACTGTCGACAGTATGCCGCCTCCTGCCTTGACCCGCTGCTGTACCGGAGTGCGTGCTGTGAACGAGTCGAATTATTTTGGATCTTTAAAATTTGTTCATGCCGTCTTCGGAAAGCGCTGGAGAACCTTTCGGGATACTTGTTTTGGCATTCGTGACCCCTGGAATAAGGAACTGATGCCTGTTGTGTGCTTGAGCTGTGTGCATAGCAGACTGCTCCAAGGAAGTCAAAGACATAGTCCACACGCCGGCAGATCTCTGGTTGCATGCGTGATGTAGTTGTCTGAAAAGTGAGAGATGCAGCTTTCACAACGTACAGCCGATGTTGGAAGTCCTCTTTTGTGATGGCTACTTTCTTCAGTTTCCATGCGCCACGATGGAGATAGCCGCTGCGACCTGCGACGCCTTCTTTCTATGTCATTGCCATGCAAAGATGAAAGCATTTGTCTGCAAGCTGATAAAGCTGGTATTGATAATGATGTGCCGTGGCTGGCCGTGCGGGGTTGCCGCTGTCATTTTTCACTCACGGCTGGTGCAGGGAAGCAAATTGAGGAAGGAGAAGAATCTTTGAAGACGGTTTTGTTCGTCTTTGAAATGGTAAGTTGGCTCCAGGAACTATTTCCTATGTTGACTATTACGTGAGTCCCATGTAGAGCTGTTGCACCGGAAACGCTTTCCGAAGACAGATTTTCCTTTTGCGTTGGTTTACGAGAGGAAAAAAGAGAAAAGCACAAGAAAAGGTCTGGAAAACAAAAGATGGTGGTACCCTTGTCAGGGTCTCGATCGCTGAAGGCTCTGCAACACAGCGAAAAGCTCCGCGTGTGTCGTCTTGTTTATCGGGTGCTCCTACGTGCAAACTTGTTGTTGTGCAAGGAGCTATCTTGGAAACCTATCTAAAAGGTTCCCTCCTTCAACCTTGGAGTCGCAAGCACAAGTTGACGTTCGAGAAAAGCAGAAGGAAACCAGTGGTACGAATTGAGCGAGCAACCGGAAGAGGGGGAGAGGGGGAAGGAAAGAAGGGGACGAGAGCAAAGATTTCGGGGCGAACGTTCATGGCGTCGCTGAGTGGACCATTTTTGGTTTATATTCTTTTTTCTAAGTTTAGCGAGTTGAGATGTGGCAGGAGGTAGCATCTTCGCATGCAGTGTTTTGCGGCGCGTGTCCGTGTTTCAGCTCAAAGGCACATGGCCGGTCCTAAGTGGGTCCCGTGTAACTTGTTGGTCGTCCGAGCTTGAACTCGGGTACCAACGGTGGTGGATGTTCGGTGACAGCTTTCACGCAAGACTTCTCTTCCACGGACAGAGTAGTAGCGAACAGATATAGTTAAGATCGTCTTTATTGTTGTTATGAGCTGGGACAACTCTTACTGTTTTTGGAGTAGCGGCCGTGAAGAAGCGACCTGCTTCGCTTGTACATTGACGTGACTTCTCGGAAACTGTGGCGATGCAAACCCGTCGCAACGGTCACCTTCGGCAGCTTTGAATAGGAAACTAGGACTGTGTTGTACCTTGAAGACGCGGAAACGTGTGCGATAAGCAGACGAGAGTGCTGATACGCGCGATTTTTCCTGCTTCGCGTCTTCTTTCAACGTGTTGTAGTGTGTGATACCTCTTTCATCTGTGTTGAATCACCAGTCGCTGTGCTCATCAACTGGGCAGTCTCACTCTGACAGCAAGGCAAGACTGTGTGTTGGTCTTGCTTTGAATTCTGCTATGACTGAGGATATCTCTGTCTTTCCGGCAGCTGTACTTTTGCTGCTTAGCAATCATTCGTGATGTTACTGATGTGTGAGGCTGAATGCAACTGCTTTGTCTCTCATTGACATGCACGTTGGCCTTTGACGAAGATGTTAGAGCGGCGGCAACAGCTGATAATCCTATTCCATAGACGTGTGCGGAGTGGAGTAAACCAATAATGGAAGCGGTCAGACTTGTTTTTCTTCGTTGTGAAGCACAAAAATGGTTCCCATTGACAAGTGACAAGTGGCTTAGAAAGAGTCTTTTCGCATTTGGAAAGCACGGACAGAGTTTTTAAATGCCTCAAGAGCATCTGATACCTTCCCAGTCGGTTTATTGTGGTACCTCACAAGACGCCTTGTCATCATCACTGCTCAATACGCGGAGGCTTCACATTTTCTCTTCCTCCTCCTTCAGTTCTTGAAGGCGCTTGAGAATGTTCTCACTGCCGAAGTTGAAATTTGATTTCGACTCAACCAACTTTTCGGCTGGCGTACACTGAGAGTACGTTAAGGTCATCATTTTTTGACTCCTTACGCTGAGGGTGGATTCTTTCTAAAGTAAACAAGAGAGAATTGGTGGCTACTTTGCACGAGGGGTCCAAGGGAAGATAACGTGAGCCATTAGATGGATCTCGCCGTACGGAGCCACCGTAGAAAATGTACCATATATTTTCTATTTATCTAGGAAAGTCCTGCTTTGAACCCAAGAGAAACCTTTTCTGAGGTCGATGGCGGCATCCGAGAAAATAACCCTCACGGGAATACGCAGAGAAAGCAAAGATGAACTTCAATAAATTCGCTGAAAACTATGAAACCTAATGGTGACCAGAGGTCAGATGCTGTCGATGTAGACTACGAGTGTTTCTTTTCTTTCTCATCTCTATGTGCATCATTTCGTCGCCGCGTCTTAACGGAAGTGAAACTTACAATGTATGTACTCCACCTCGAACGAAGGCAACAGAATCACTAGTTGAGGAACTGTGTAAAGCTCTTTACAAGCAGGGTTTATCATTCTGTTTGCGTGAGCTTATTGATCTGCTGCATACCTAACCCTTCGCGTCCCACAGGACTGCAGGAGCATCTACTTCTATCCTCTTAACATTGAGAGGTTCACTCGTCTGTCCGTTTTTTGGCTGTGGGACTAGATCGCATACGTTAGTCACCAGCTTTTTTAATAACCGGAAAACAGTGTACACTACTTCGAAAAGAAAAGTGACGTTAGGAGGAAAGTGTCGCTGAGTGTAAACAGGAATGGGGTGATGCGGTACGTCGCGTGCGTCGAGTTTTTTGTCACGTAGGCATAGTGGTTTCGTAAGAAGACGATATCTAAAAGCCACGCTTTTCAACATGAGCACTGCCAAAGCGTAGGGTCAGATGATAATTCATTCATTCATTCACTCAGACTGAAAGATTAACAGCTCACTGCCACTAACACCAACACTGTCTTCATCAAATTTGTGAGATCGGAGTGTTCAGGCCGGCGCTTTCCATCTTTGTCGCAAACGTCAATGCTGCTTATAAAATGATTTTTCTAGCTCCCTCTACTTTGCGTTGCTTCCTTTCCTTGCGTTGTTTCTTCGCCCTTTCCCTTTTTTTTTCTGGCCTGCTCTTCGACATTCCTTCTACTTCAATGAATGGCACTGCTCGATTTAGAAAAAGAGCACGGTGGTGATTTCACGATAGTATCACTGTAACAGGCACTGTATAGGTCTGAAGACTCTAGCCATTTGAAATAAACCCCAGGGTGCTACACAAGTGCTTTTCTTTGATCCACTGCTGCAGTTTGTCGAAAGCGTTCCCTGCGATTTGTCTTGCCGTCCTTTAGAATCTGGTTTAACAAGAGCAGAAGCTTGTCGGCGCGCAAACAGCAGACAGGAATAATCAATTCGTTTAATATCCACGCGTCTCGTAGAATAACTAGGTGTCAGCAACGCACCGAAAAACCTTTTCTGTATATTATTTCTTCTTCTTTATCTTCTCTTTTCATCGGTAGCTGCTTTTCTTTGCTTGTTCATCCTCCAATAACCCGGAATCAGCAGGTTGCGTGTGTTGTGCAACAAAATTATAGCTTGATGAATTGAATCGCTCGCTAATAATTGGGACGAATCAACAACCTGACCCACCTGTCGTGGTGCCAGTAAGTGACGTGCAATGTCGAATTCAGCATCTTCTACGAAAGTCGAAAACGCAGAGGGGACAGCGGCACTTACAAAAGCCACAGATTTCCGTCACGATTCAACAAAGAAACCTGCGAAACGTTACTCAATCGCAGAAAGTGGAAAAACGGGCGGCGGGCTTCTAGAAAAGGCTGTTTCAGCATCTGGAAGACGAAGCCCTATTCGGAGTAGAATTGCTGTGGTTCAAAGCCGTCGTGTGCCTTCCCGTATGGATAGTCAGCCCCAAGTAGTGACCGGCAACGGGAACTGCGTCCCGGCCGGCGGAAACGAAAAACTGACACAACCTCAAGGCTCTGGTATCCGTCCTCTTAGTCCATTAGACAGCCTCAATGGGACAGCCGCTCCACACGAAGGTCGGTTTAAGGTTAAGAAATCGAATGCGCTGCACAAAGCGTCTGGATCGGCGAAAGCGACAGATGGCGAAGCATCTTCGGACTCACCCGCGTTCGAGGATGAAAACCGCTTTGATAGGCACCCCAACGGCTCAAACACTGCAAAATCGCCCGACGCAGCGGGTCAGTCAAACCGACTCAATGCCGCTGATCGCCCTTCTCGGCTAAGTGGAGATAATGCTGCGCAACAACATCTGGGTGGACCCCTGCGACCAACGAAGCCTCCAGCTCAACAGCTTCGGCAGCTTTCCGCAAGCAAAGAAGGAGCCCGTGGTGGCAACGCCGATCCTTTGCCTAATGCAGACGTTCTAAAGAGCTTACCTCCGATTCAGGCCACCGATCAGGAGCCACGTATCGCGAAGCAATCCGATGGAACTGAGCACAGAAGCAGCGGCGAGGCAAGAGGAAGCGGACCACGCCCTTCTGTGACGCGCACCGGAAACGTTCTAGACACGCACGGGGCGCCTGGCGACGCTATCACAACGGACACCCGTGGTAGCATTAGCCGCAGCCGTCGTAGTGCTCAGGTGCTGCGTGGTTTTATTGGAAACAGCGACAAGAGGCAAGGAGGCGTTCCGGGGCGACTATCGAACGGCTCAGGAGTTCCCAACAACAGAGTTAGCATCAGCGAAGTTAATCCGTTGCATCACGCGAGCCACATGAGTGCGCTGAGCGAGGGTGATGGAAACGCCGAGATGCCGTATCACAGTAGTTACGATTATGAAGATGGATCCTCGCTTACGCAAAGCAGCGCTACTGAAATCGAGGTGCGCGCCGATGATTTGCATCCGTACGCTGATGACGGAGGAGATACTTTTTGCGACGAGCAGTCCTTTGCCAATCGCCGCGGAGAACTAGAGTGGCTGCGGACGCCGTCTCTCTTTTACTTTTTTGCGAACGTTATTAAGTGGAATGAGTTACAGTTACAACGAAGAGAGTTCATGAGCTTATTGCAGGCCCGTCAACAACAGGGCAGCCAGGCGTCAGTTTCAATCGTCTCCATCTGGACGCAACACCGTGAGCGTGAATTGCGGACATTGGAAGCCAATATCAGTTTCTCTGCATTCGAGCTAGAAGGGGTATATTTGAACCGATTGCTGATGCGCTGGTCGAAGCCAAAGCTGCGCTCACTCGTTGCAGACGTCGTAGCTACGTGGAAAAAAGAGGGGCCAAGCAGCGCGAAGTTCGACCGCGTGTCGTCGCGCCTGTTCGATGCGATCTCTAGCGAAGAGGCTTGCCAGCTTCGCTGCACGTGGGTGTTCCGTATGCGACAGTGGCTGGGGCTGCCGCAGCATCGCTGGATTGTGACTGGGATGCTTATTGCGTGCTTTGTTGTGGCGATTCTTTGTATTGTTTTCCTCGCGGTGTTTGGGCGCGCCCACGAAGTGGTCTGCATCGTGCTTTCCGCAGTGCTGGGCGTCGCCGTTGTTGTGATGTACGTTTTGGCGCTGTTCATCCTCCACAACAACACTTACACGTCGGCTGCCGCGACCTACTTCCGCGAGGTCGTGGTGCGTGCTGCGCAGCAACGGATGGAAAAAGAAGAGCTGGAGGAAGGGGACAGCCTTACTGGTGTGAACAGCTATGTTCAAGGGAACGAAGAGAAATACGGTGGACCACGCGGCCGTGGCATGGGAGGACTGGCGAACAGCGACGACGCGGACGCGCGGAGCGACTACACCACAGAGCAGACCTCGCTGGCGGTGCGAAATTTGCGAGCCCTGACGGAGGGCAACGCCCACCCTGCAGGCCCTGGAGCACAGTACTACCGCATTCCGGATAACCTTTCCGGGGAGCGACGCGGGTCGGGCACGGCAGCAGGTGGGTACTACGATGACGACATGACCCTCACCGACGATAACGCGCCCTCGCTCACGAGCAGACCTCCACAGGCTGGCGACGGCGCGAAGCAGAAGCAGGACTTGGATCGTGACAACACATTGTTGCTGAGTAATGCTACGTACGAACAGCACCAAAAGTACCTGAAACAGCGGCAGTCCCTTCTGGTCCAGGAGACGATGAGCTCGTCAAAAGTTCGCAACGACGGGGCAGACGCGACAAGAGAGGACCGCTTTGAGGGTCACACGAACGGCAAGGAGCACGTGAGTGGGAGTAGCGGAGGTATGCGAGACGGCGCCAAGGGAGCTGACGGTGGTGTTAACGGGTCGACAGGCCAGCAGCAGCTTGCGAATCTTCCAGACAAGGTGAACATCACCGCTCTCATCTACTGCGACAACGCAAACCTGCTTTCGGAGGTCGCGCCGTCGCTGTGGGATCGGATGTTCATACTGCTGCGCGTCGCCGACCTGCACGCCCTCGACAGCTCCTTCAAGCACGGTTCCGAGCGCTTTAAGGTGATTCTTATCCACGCGGCGGATGCGCCGGACGGGTCGGAGGTGTTGCACACAGCGCTGACGTGGCTGCAGGTGGAGCGCCGCCCCGTCTTTTTCATTTCACGCCAAGCCAACGGCTACCCTTATCAGGTACCTCCCTCTGCTCGTCTCAAGGTGCCCTTCACTTCCACCGCCATCAACACCTTGTTCCTCGCCGGTCTCGGTGTGGAGGCAGAGCTCGGCGGCGTCTCTTTCCCTGCGCTCATGCAGCAAGAGCAGTCGCCTTCGCAGCCCTTTCAAGCGCCGCCGTACGTGCTCGGCCGGCGACTGGGCGGTGGCGCCTTTGGGAACGTGTTCGAGGCCGAAATGGAGCAAACCGGTGCGAAGTGCGCGGTGAAGCGCATGTACCTGAAGGAGGACTCTGACGACGGGGGCCAGGAAGCGCAGGGCGGGCACAGCAACATCACGGCAAACACCTCCGCTCGTGGCTCCGCCAATGGAGAGGCGAAGGCGGCGCCCGGTGCGGCGTGCCACCCGGCCGCCCCGAAAACCGGCGAGGCGGCTGACGAAAGCACGAGCAAGCCTGATGCCGACTGTGGCACCACCGGAGTCGGGTCTCAGCTACGCGAGATCGCGCAGGAGGTGGAGATTATGAGCTCCCTGCAGCACCCGAGCATCGTCCGCTACTACTTCTGCGAGCGCGACGACAACTGCATCTCGATCTTCATGGAGCTCTGCACCGGCGGCTCCCTCAGCTCGTTGATACACAGCGGCAAGCTGGTGAACCCGCCGGAGGTCAAGCTTGTGTTGCGTGAGATTATCAGCGCCGTGGCTTACCTGCACAGCCTGCGCATCGTGCATCGCGACTTGAAGCCGGACAACGTGCTATTTCGTCTCGGGCACGTCAAGATCACCGACTTCGGCACCGCCGTGCACAAACACGGTGGCGACCTGCGTCTCATTAAAGGCACCTTTGCGTACATGGCTCCCGAGACGTTGGTGGGCGAGCCGTACGGCAGCGCGTGCGATGTGTGGTCGATTGGGTGTATCGCGGCGGAGATACTGTCTGTGGACCTCCCCCAGCACGCACTGGGTCTCCCCGCGATGTGCGAGTACTACCGGAACATGGAGAATGACAGCACGCTGCCCATCGAGTGCGACGTGCCCGGGGTGCGGGACTTCCTCCTCGCCTGCCTGCGTCGCAACCCCAACGAGCGCAGCACCGCGGCGGAGCTCTTCTACCACCCCATTTTGCAGGCCAGAGACGCATCGATTCAGTCGTGGATGCAGAAGGTTGTGGAGCAGCGTCGGCACCGGCACATCCTGCAGCACAAAATGTCACACCGCATTGGTCCCGGTGGTCGGGGCAGCGGGGTGCCGGGCAGTGCACACGCCCGACCCAACTCACCACACAGAAGTGATAGAGTAGGAGGGGATGGTGGTGACGGCTTCGATCTCAGTTCGGGCAACGGAAGCGTCATCTCTCTTGACTCGTCACAGCTGACGGAGCATGACGAACACGCGGGCTCTGTGCTCACTCAGGAGACTAAATGAAGTGCTTTGTTTCCTCTATGTCTCCCTTTTTTTTTAACTCTTTTCCTCTCGACTCAAACACTCTTCCTCTTACTCTGCGCATTTGTGGCGTCTGTCGGGGTAGACGAGGCAGCGAGCGTGGCATTGGCACGCCCTCCAGTTTAGATTCATGGGAAGGGTAGCGGATGCGTATTTCTATACACGTATCAATGGATCGCTTCGTCTTTTTTTCCCCCTTTTTTCTCTACTCCTTGACCGCGCGTCGGGTTGATACGCAGGTGTCACTGTGTCACGTGAGCCGATGCAGTCTTTTATATTGTCTATTGTGCACTGATGGTTTCGTATATGCTTTATTGTTTAATAACAGTTTGTTGCGACGGCGGGAAGAGCTTCGTAGCGTTGATGCAGAAGGAAGTTGACAGAATATTATTATTATTATTGCTGAGTTCCTTTTTCCTGCCTTTTTTTTCTGCCATTTTTTACCTTGTTCGTAAAGCCGTAGATTGGTTTTTATTTTTGGTTGTTTTGGTTGCTTCTTTCGTGTTCTGATGTGCGATCGTATGCAGATTTTTCTTTTTTCCTTTTTCATATTATATTGAGTCGGCTTCAGCGCGCCGCCTGCTACACACCGCCTTTCTTCCTTCTTCCCGTCTCTCTCTTTTTCTTCTTCTAAAGTGTTCCTCTTCTCTTGTACTCTCTCGTTGCTACAAATTAACCTCCGTATTGAAAAGAAAAAAAGAAAGAGTCCCGCCTGCTTCTTTTTGGTTTTCATTTTGTTATTCCGTTCATGATGTATGTTGCAGTGATAAGTATTCCCTCACTCCTTCCTTCTCTTTTTTCCTTTTTTTTTTACAGGTGCGGAAGTTTCTTTTCCTTTCTTGTTTTCCCCTTTCCCTTTCTCTTCTCTTCTCTTCCTCTTCTGGTGACGTATTGAAACGCCGACATTCGTTCAAAAGTGTTGCATTCAAAAAAAGCGTTTTTTTCTTCTTCTTTTCTTTCTTCTTTTTTTTTGACAATAATATTAATGAAATGAGAAGACACCTTTAAAGTCTTCCTGTTATCCATTTCTTCACGTAAATTGACGTGACCCCGGCCTTTTCTGTCTCGCTCTGCTGCATTGTTCAACGGTGGCGATGGAGCATGCACTTTACTACGCAACTGCCGTTGCGCTTTCGAGGAAAACACTAAAAAGAAATGTGAATGGAATTCATGCGAAATTCCGTCGCAAAAAACAAATCGATAAACAACAAGAAAACAATCGAGGAAGCGCGCGGGGAGACATCGTTAAAGGGTCTAATGAACATTCTTTTCTTTCCCTTTTTTTTTGAACTTTAATGAAATGTACGAGCAGTACGCTGAAGATCTTATTTTGCTGCTGACTGTAATTCGTTGTCAAGTATTGTAAAAAAAATGTTTACTATTATCGTTACTATTAACGTTATTGAGCCTTCCTCTTCGATCTTGGATTCTTCTTTTTTTTTCTTTTTTCCTGCATTCTACGTGTGATGATGGCTTCTTTTTTCTGGTGGTTGCTCTACTCTTTGGTTTTGTTGTTGTTGGGCTCGCTCTCCTCATGTATGCAAGGTAGATAAATGCCGTGAAGGCCTTATCGCATACACACACATATGTATCAGAAAATGCAAATATATGTTTTTTTTTTCTTCTTTCTTTCCACTCAGTGGATGTGTGGATGTGTGCGTGCGTGCGTGTGTGTGTGTGTGCGGTGGCGTCCGCGTGTGTGCTCTTTGCAATCCTCACAGCGGGTGCTTGCGTGACCTCACCTCCTGCTCTTTCAAATCGTCTCTCATATTTCTGGTTTTTTCCCTCTTTCCTTTCCTGTCTGTTTTTACCGTCCTATTCGTCTGTATGTGTGTATGTGTGTTGGAGCGCGCTGAACTTTGCATTTGTAGCGGTGAGGCTTTTTATTTTTCTGTGCGAATTATGTCAGCAACTTTGCTCCGCTTCTTTTGGGTGTTTTCTCTTCTTATTTCTTTGCCAATTTCCGTATTAAAACCCTCCCAGAATAGAACCTCCATAGCTGCGCTTTCTACTTTTCTTCTCCACAATGAATGCGATATCCAAAGGTAGCAGTATAAACGAAATCAACCGACTAGGCAGCATTGACTTCTTCTCTTTTTCACAGTGGCCGCTGCATCTCCTCAGAGAGGCGTGTGCCTCACACAGCAGGAGATCTTTCAGCAACCCGACGCCTGTGGAGCTGTCGAGCATCCTAAGCCCCCTTCTCGCATGCTCCGCCTTTCCTGATAAGGGATGACAGCTTGGGAAGAGAGGGGCAGGACTTCTTTCCAAACCTCTTTTAGTTTCTTCCGCAAATGCGAAGGTACGATCTTCCAGCGCGTGCGTGCTCTCTCTTTTTTTTTTCTTTTAACTCTCCACCTTCTTCGCTCTCTCTCTCACTTCATCCGCTGTGCTTACCGCTTCATCGTGTAACTCCGTGCTGGAGCTTCCTCACGTATTCACACTCACCGATATACAAATCGGTGCCGTTCCCCCCTCCTCCCTCTCCCCAGAGCACATAGGCAGACAAGCAGACAAACCACTATACACAAAGCGGGCCTCATCGCTTGTGACGTATGCGAAACGTGTCAACTCGCCAGGTCTTGCACGAATAACACTGGCTAAGAAGGAACGCCGCATTGTGGCCTCGTCTTGAGAAATTCTGTTCCACTGTCATCAACAGCTGACACACGTACACACACACACACACATACAAAAGGCTACTACAGCAGCGCAAAGAAGACCGCTTCTCCTGCGTTTGACCTCGTGCAAATCTGCAGGGCTGCTCGTGGCACGTTTGAGCTGGCTGTGAGAACGCCTGCGTTCATCTTACACTCGCCGTTTCAAAGGGCCATATACTTCTTAAAAGAATATTGTTTACTTTATTATTATTGAAAATTCCCTATGCACTTCAACATAATGCAGAGCGCGCACGGATCGTCTTCCAAACGAGAGGGACTGCCAAGCGGAGGGGTGACACAATGGGCAGGAGCCCCCGCTTTTAACAACAGTGAGCCGCGCTTTCTCCCTTCTGCGAGCGAAGGCCTTCTACGGACACCAGCGGCCGACAGTCGAACCGCAACGGCAGCGGCAGCATCCGCAGCAACAAGGACAGCCTCCACAAGGAAAGCAGGAGCGGCGGTGCCTATTGGTGGCCTCGCTCTGCCCAGCGCCGTCGATCTCATCGAGCGCAGCGCGTTTCTCTACGGACTTCTGCACTCCGATCGTCTTGTGTACGACGTGCACGACGCCATCGCCACGTTAACCGCTGCGGCAGGGGGCACGGTGGCGGGGGAGGACATCAACGCTGATGAGCGCCGGCGTGCCTGCGGCCGCGTCAGCGGAGGGTCGGTGCTCTCCGGCGTCTTCTATTTTCCGTCGCAGGCCCCGTGGCCTGAGATGCCGTGGCGGCCAACGTACAAGTCCGCGGTCCTGCTGTGCGTCTTCGTGTCGGTGGCGGCGTGTCGGCGGGCCATCGCACGGCTGAGCGAGGTGGCAATGCCGGTGCGCGGCGGGACCGGCGTGAAAGTCGTGCAGGTTCCATTGCTCACTCCTTCTTCGTCCTCGTCTTGTTGTGCACCGTCCAGGGTGTTCTCGCCGAGCATGGTGCTGCGTCCTGCCAGCGAGTACACGTTCAGTCCCGAAAGTGTGGACACGGCGCTGCTGACGTTTCTGACGGCCCCGCAGCTGGCGGAGTTGCTGCTGCGTCGACGTCGCATGCAGGCGCCCCTCGAGCGTGGCGTGACGGACAACACAAGCAGCAGCCGCAACGACCGGGTGGAGGACATGCTGGCCTACGTCCGCGCCAACCCACCGTCGTCGCGTCTGAGCAGCTCGGCGGCACGCCTCTACGCCGCACTATTAAGTCCACAGAGCACGTACAGCGTGGACTGGGCCGCCGCACAGGTCGCCGTGAACCGCGGCGACGGGACCGTCGTGCCGGAGATGGCGGTGGTAGAGCCGTGGGTGGGCGGCGGTGGCGGCCTGGAGGACCGCAACGAAGCCCTGCGAGAGCAGGACCGGCGTGGTGGCGGCGGTGGCCCGACGTCGGAGGCGGCTGGATCGGGGAGGGGCGGCGTCGACGGGGGACGGCCCTCCGATCCGCAGCTGCCGTGGGACGCGCGCACAGGCGCCTCCAATGATTTTCTGCCTGTGACGCTGCAGGAGGAGGATTACCGGAAGCGGTACGGCGTGACGCCGCAGGGACGACTGAGCGGCGGTGGCGGCGGGGGCGGCAGCGGTAGCGGCGATCGCCGAGACAGCAGTGAGAGGCTTGCGGGGATGATGCCGTCTCGCAGCTCCGTCTACCTCGGTGCCCGGCAGCTCCTGCGCGGTGCATCGTGGATCTTGTGTCGCCTGCGCGATGGACTGATGGAGGAAGAGGCCCCGCTGCTCACCGGCGCCAGCGGCACGTCATCGTCATCGTCATCGTCTGCTGCTGCTGCTGCTGCTGGCCTCGCTGCCTTGCCCATCCCTCCCGCTCTGCCGCGAAACGCGCCCTACTCTACCAGCCCGTCATTTACCGGCGCGACAACGCTGCAGAGCGAGCGCGGCCGCGGGGAACCGCCTCGGCAGCGATACCGCACCGAGGACGGCGACACGCGTGCGCGGCAGGTCGGGACTGCGATGGTCATTCCGCGCTACAACGCCGTCGGCACGGCGCTGTCGTGGATGCCGGGATTTCAGCACATCGGCCGCCTCTTCGTGACGTCCACGACGGTGCTGACGCCGGAGGGGGCGGCCGCCCCGCGTGTTGTCGACGGTACGCAGCGTTCGTCGCGTCGTCGACGACGGGAAGAGCAGGAGGTGGCGTCGGCGGACAACGGTGACGCCAACCCAGCGTGGGAGTCGCTCGTTATGCAGCGCTACGCGGACGCCGCAGCGGAGCGGACGCGGACTTCGCAGGCGCTGCCGCCGGTGGCGCCGGCGTCGTCATCCTCGCTGCACGACTCCGTGCTGTCGTGGATGTCGCCGGCTCGCGGCCCCGGTTGGACGACGTCGTCGTGGCCGTCGGCGGAGATGCTGCAATCGAAGCCGGCGGTGGAGGGGGGGGTGGTGGCCGCCGCCCCACCGCACGGGGCACAGGCAGCCGCCCTCGCCCGGACGTCCGCCCGCACGGCGGAGGTACCGTTGCCGCGTGCGACGGCGCGGAGAAGTTCGTCTGGATTAGACTCTCTCTCCGCATCCGCCATTGTCGCCAACGTCTCTTCCTCCTCTTCCTATGCGCACCAGGCAGAGGGAAATGCGATGCGGCTCCCCACCACCGCCTCAACCGTCCCTTCGTCGTTTGACGGGACTGGCGGCGACCGGTCTGCGCTGAGCCACGCCAGCAGCTCCAGGCGCGGCGGGTGTATTAAAGTGGAAGGCGTACACGCGTCTGCGCCGCGTCTGCGCAACGATGTCGCCGATGATGACGCCTCATTTCTAGCGCACCACCGCCGGCGTCATGGGTCGGCGCAGGCACGGCGGGAGGGTGTGTCTACCGCAACTCCATCTGACGGGCTCGCCACGGATGCGACGTGGCACGCAGCAACAGCCGGAGCACACGCGCGACCGTCGCTCGCCGAGGGGCTTCGCACGTTCACGCGAGAGGCGCGCGAGATAGAGGTGGCGTCATCCGCAGCGCACACGCCTCTCGGGGCGGCTCAACGCGTAAAAGGCGCCGTGGACCCAAGCGTGAAGGCGCCCGCTGCCGCTGCTGACCTCGCCGCGCGTTCCTCGCGGCGAACCGTCAGCTTCGCGCTTCCCAATGAAACATCGCACAACTGACAAGAAAAGCGCAGAAGTCTCTTTTCCTTTCTTCCTTTCTTCCTTTTCTTTCTTTTCTCGTTTTTTAATAGACGTTCCGTCCCGGACAGAGAGCGCGGGTGCTCTCTGTTCCTTTTTATGTTTGGCTGTGCGTGTATTTGATGAGGTTAGATGCGTTGTGCGTCGCATATATATATATATATGCTAGTACGATCAGAGAAACAAAAGCAAACAACTAGTAAACCAGAAATAGAGCTGCGAGGTCTTAATGCGAAGAAAAGCATTCCGAGCCACTGGAGCAAGTGGTGTGGCATCACGTAAAAAGCAAACTCGCGTGTATATATATATATATTTGTTTATGCGTATCTCGTGTGCTGCCGAGCAGCGAAGGTGTCAGGGCCGGAAGGAATGCAACGTCGTTGTAATGACAAGAAGAAGAAGGCCACCACCGACGAGGGAATAAAAATGGGCGTAAAAAAGGCCGTTCGATGATGAACGCCGGTGGCGGAAAAATATATATTTGTTGCTGTGTGTTGCAGATGACAAACGAAGGGAAGAAGAAAGAAAACGAGAACGGGAGGCGTCTCCATCAGTCAGAGATCTTTGTTTTTCCATGCTCCTTCCTTTGAGAGGAGCGAACGGAAGTGATACGGACGGCACGCAATGCTAAAGAAGGACATAAAACATATAAGAACGCCTTTTTTTTATTTGTTTATTCTTCTGCCCCTTCACCTGTTTGTTTTCACCACCTCTCCTGTTTAACCCGCTCCTCGGCTTCTTTCCCTGCCGGTGTTGTGCGGCCACTTCGGCTCACTACGTTGGCGTTTCGTGCTGCCATGCCACTTCACACACACACCAAAACAACAACAACAACATAATACCATTCCGAAGTCTCTCTCATTCCCTTTGCTCTCCCCCCTTCCCCCACAGTCGATCTCAGCGGCACCTCTCCCCCGTTGCGTCACCAAGAAGTGTACAGTGCGCAAATACAACACCAAACAGGAAAGAACTCACTCACTCACACTCACACACACGACTGTAAACAGGCGTTGCCAGGATCGAATAGAACTCAACATTTTATTTATTCTGATTTCTTTTTTTGACCTCCTACCTCAAAAAAACCAGAGCAATAACACAGCCATGCCGAACGTTATCGTCACCTGCGTCTTCAACCCGCCGACGATCTCGATCCAAGGGACGAGTATCCGCCAGGATACCATCGAGGCTCTGCAGCGCGCCCTGCCGAAGCAGACAACGACGAGTCTGCCAAGTCAGCGTCCTGGCGAGTCGGCGAAGTTTCTGCTGACGAACGGCGGCGGCAGCAGGGGTGCGGAGGGGTCGGCGCCGCACGGTGCGACGGGCGGCCGCATCGAGGACGTGGCCGACACGGAGGGCCGCGACAACGTCCGGGACGGCGCGGCTAAGACGACGGACGAGGTCGCGGACAACGACAAGGGCTACAAGAGCTGGCGGATTGACCTGGGCCAGCACTACTGCGACCAGAAGGGCCGGTCGATGATCTTTCTGGTGATCATGGAGGCCTTGGAGGAGGAGGGCTTTGCGCTGCGTGGCACCCACACGGTAGTGACGGAGAAGGAGAAGGACGTGACGCGGCTCATCTTTGCTCGTGCATAGTGAAGTGGACTCGGGTTTGAAAAGATTCGTGGGTTTTTTGCGTCTGGTGCCGCCTTCTTTTTCATCTCCTTCTCCTCCTCTCTGTCTCACTCTGCGTGCGGGTGTGTGTATGCTGGGGCAGTGTTTGAGTGAGCGGAGATGGTGAAGGTCGAGGAGAGGAGGCTCCCCCCTTCCCTCCCCACGTACGCTCACTTTTCATTTCTCTCCTCTTCTGTGCTTTTTTTTTCTTTGATGTACATGCATGGATAAACACCGGCGTGTGTGAAGGCGCCAGCAGTGCAAAGATCTATCGTGGGCAAACCGCGCCGAAGATGGACGAATGTCACCACCACCTTTGATCGTAGCAGGGCTCTCTTATCGGTGATGCGCCTCTCTCTTTTCTTTTATATATTTCTATTCCTATTTCCTCTTTTACGTTTTGGCTGTCTTCTGCGTCAATACTTTTGCCACGTCGCCCTTCTTCGAGGGAGAAGGAGGGCGGGAGGGGAGGGGATTCCTTTGGTCTTCTCCTTCGACGCACAACTCCCCTCTCTTCTTCCTCCTCCTCCCCCTCCTCCCCCTGAAAGTTAATGAAGAGCACGCTGAATGACACGATTTAAAGCGTTGAATGTAACTATGTACAAATAATGCCTCTCTGTTTTTCTTCTTCTTCTAAAGCTCTTTGTATTCGTGTTGAAGCGTGGCGCGAGACATAAAGGAAGCAATTAATACATATATATATATATATTATGGATGCGGATAGAGAAGGGAAAACGGAAGCCGGTTTTTATGCGCCTTGTGCGGCGCGGTTGCCGTGAAGCAGACGGAGCAACTCAGTGATAACGGGGAAGAATAGTAGTACTACTAGTAAAATCACACACGCATTTTTCTGTTTGTTTTGTGTGTGAGTGTATAAGGAAAAGGGTGTGTGTATCCTGCGTGAGGTGTACGCACAGCAGCTCTTTGCAGGGTTCTTGTCCTATTGAATGCGTAAAATCTGCTTTCCTTTTTCTTTTATATGCACCTTTGTTATGGCAATTGATCATCGTCATCTTCACCTTATCCTCCCCCCTCTCGTTCGCAACCTTTTGGTTTCCTTCTTTCACGTACTTGACAATAATAATAATACTAATAATGTGTCTGCCCCGCGCATTAGCGCTTTAAAGATCTTTCTTTGCAAAGAGGCACACAAGTCATTTGGCTGGGGTTCGCTCCGCATTCATTTTATAGTCCTCTGATAATCGCAGCAGCAGCCATTGTCGTTACTCTCTTCCCTCACACGAACAAACAAGCACTTCACTGAGCTCCAGCGCTGATTTCCTGCCAAACAGTAGAGCAGAAACAGGAAAAACACGTACACATTTTTTCCCCCTTTTTCTTGCCAGCGTTTAACAAACTTCCAAGAGAAAGACGAAGACGAAGATAACAAGTGAAGCGCTCAGCGTCCATTAACTGCGGATACTTTTTGATTTCCTCTCCCTCTACGTATATATGAAGCACCGCTCTTCAGGCCGCAGCCGCCGGGCCACTCCTGGTGGCACAGACGGCAGCTCCCTCGAAGCCGCCCTTGTCGCCTCCTCGCTGCTGCTGTGGATTCCCTACTCTCTTGCCGCCATCTATGTCGCCTACTGCAGCTCCTTCATCACCGAAGTTCCCCTCTCGCTGACCGGGTCACCCCCGTCGTCCGTCTCCGCTGCTGCAGCGGGCGGCTCGATGACGGCATCCGTGACGAGGGGTACGAGCAGCGCTCAGGCCTTCGCTTCCTCCACCACTGCTGCTGCCGCTGCTGTTGCCGCCGCTGCGGCTTCCTCCCCTGCCACATCATTCGTTCCACCAGATGTCGCTGTCATGTCGACAGGCTCCGTCGTGGACAGCGAGGCCGCCACGCTGCACCGCTACAGCTCCCTCTACTACTACGCCTTCCCCGCTGACTTCAGCATTGCGGCCTTTGTGCCGCTGCTTCTGCGGGTGCTGCCCTTCAGCGTGTTGGCCGTCACCGTCACCTTTTACCTCGCCGTGTACCGCTACAACGGTGGGGAGTACTTGATGGCGGTCGCGTGGGCGCTCGGCACGTGCAGCGGCTACGGCTGGCTCACGACTTTCACCGGCTCCGTCCAGCCCACCTTTGCCTCGAGCGGGTCGGCCAAGTCTCTTCTTGTGTCCGCCACGCCGCCCTCGTGGATGTGGCTCGTCGTGTCCCTTCTCACCGGGCTCTTCAGTGGCATCTTGTGCAAGGTGAAGGACATCGTGGACGGCAAGCACGACCGCGACACGCACTTCTTTCACATCTTTGACCGGTCCGATGGCGGCCGTGCGGGGAAGCCGCCGACGGCGCCTCCCACCACCAACCCGAGCGAGCCCCTCGCAGACGACGGCAGCCGCGCCGACTCGGCACCACGACGCCGCCAACGCACTCTGCACGGCTCGACCTCGCACCACCTTGTGAGTCTGGGGGATCGCCTCTACATGGTGGTCCCGTTCTGCACCGGACAGTGGTTTGCTTTCATTGTGCAGCACGGCTGGCGTGGCATTGTCGTGGAGAACGGGACGATCCTGCTCTCTCTCGGCCTGGTGGGCTACACGATGCTGAGTTACAAGTATTTGAAGCGGCAGGTGCTGCGTGCCTCTGGCCGCGTGACGCGGTCGGTGGCGGCGCGAGGACGCAGTCGGCGCAACCAGCGTCTGCGGCAACAGCAGCAGCAGCAGCGGCAGCAGACCCCCGCCTCGGCTCGCTCGGGGGAGGACTTAAGTACCACCTCCACGCCCTCCGCGGAAGGCGCACCGCGATCGACGAGTGCAGAGAACAGTAGCATGGATTCAAACAGTGCGAACGTGTCTCCGCGGGCTGCTGCTGGACCGGCTCTGTCCGAGGACGACGCGGAGGAGGAGATCACGGAGTTCTTTGAGGATGTTGGCGAGGCGGCGTTCATTGACGTGATTGACCTCATTTCAAAGCTTTTCACGACCTCGTTTGGCGTGGTGGTGGCCGGCGTGGTCGGCCTCAACATCTTTATGACGTCGCTGTGCATCCCTTTTCTGAAGGCGCTGTTTAAGCTGAACGCATTGGTGAGTGGGGTGGGCATTGTGATCGAGCTGATCATGTACGAAGTGGCATAGGCCGGGTTTAAAAGAAAAGAAAGAATGAAAGAGGCGACGTGGTTGAAAGAGCGGTACGTCGTACGACGGCGTGTGTGTGTGTGTTGCGTTCAACGAGGAACGACCAAAGGGTATATGTATTGCCTCCTTCTTCGTTTGCCTTTTCACACACACAAACACGTAGCAACGTTGCTTCCTTGGTGCTGTTCATCTTTCGCTCTTTCTCTCTTTTGTATTTTGTCTTATTTCTTCCTCTGTCTCCATGCTGATCGTTTTCTTTTTGCTTCCCCCTCCTTCTGTTTTTGAACTCGTCTACGGCTGCCGCGACGGCCGAAAAAGCAAACTGAAAACTAGAAGACGAATACGCGCCAGTGCTCTGTGCGTGCGCTCCTCCGGTGATGGTGATCTTGGCCCCTCTTCTCCTTCCTCTTCTGACCCCCCCCCTTCCCCCTTCCCCACTTTCTCTCTCTTCTTCAATTCTTCATTACTATGTATTAAAGCAGCACACTTCGTTTGCTGCCGTCTCCCTGGTCTTCACACACACACACGCACTCAAACAAAAAGGCCCCAAAAAGAATCATTAGAAAGGGGAGATGCGTACCTTGCCGGACCTTCATGGTCGGGTGAACGCACAGGCATCATCTATCTTTTCCCTAACATCCGCTACTCACGCGAGTGCGACACAGCCTGCAGCTTCTGCAGTGCCGCCGCCGCACACGCAGGAGGTCACAGGTGCATCCTCACACTCCGCGGACTCCTCCATCTACCTCACCACCCCCGCAGCTTCTTCGACCTCATCATTATCTGCGTCATCTCCTTCGAATAGTGCAAGAGACACCGCATCCACGTCGCTGCGCCGTCCCACGCTCCGCCCAAGCGCTGTTGAGTGTGCGCCCGCAACGAACAGCGCTAGTGGAAAAGAAGGCAAACCCCACGAAAAGAGTGGTGCGCAGAGCTGCCCCAACAGCCGCGGAGAGGTCGAAGCGGCACTGCCCGCAGCAGCAGGTGAATATGAGGGCATTTGCGCTTCGGCGCAAAGGGATGGAAGCGATCAACATGCGTTGTCTGTCGGCTCCTCCAACGAAGAGCGCCGTGCGGACCGAGCATCGCCGCCTCCCGCAACGCGCCTTTTCTGGTTCAACGGCCAGCTGATGCGTGTTGAGTCCGCGCGACATCGCGGTGGTGGTGGAAGAGCGGCGACTCCGGTGATCCCCGCGGACGCTGTGCGGAGCGTGTGGGTTGGACTCGATCGGTTTCGAGTACCGTGCCGCTGTGCAGGCGCGAGCGACGCGGGGCACGACGCGACAGGCTGCCCTTCCGCTCTCCTGCAAGTTTCCGACACAGCGACGAGCAACGCGATGCAATACGAAACGGATGCCGAAGTGGTGTCGTCGTCGTCGTCGTCGGCGAGATCGCTGCACGACGCAAGCGATCAGCAGTGGCAGCGCGCCGTGGAGGCCGCGGTGGCCGCGCACATCAGCGCGGAGGCACGGCGTCAGCTCTTTCGTGACGCCGATTCTGCTACTGGCGGTGAAAACTCTTTCCCGGACCCGCCGCTGATGTGTGGCGAGGGAATCGGAGAAGAGCGGGAGGCGTTGCTGCGGTGGTGGTGGTCGTCGCTGCATCATTGAACAAGTGCGGCCCTTCTCGGTTTCTCTTCTTTCCTTTGCAGACGTGCGCCTCCTTCCCCCCCCCCTTCCAAAAACAAAAGAGAGAAGAAGAAGTGGAGGCAAGAGCAAGAGCGCCAGCTTCTTCTCTGTTTATTGTTATGATTCTTAATGCTCCTGCCCCACTGCTCCTGAAGCGTTACAAAAGCCCACAAGCAAAGAAAAGCGTAGCTGAGACTTCCTATTGCCCTTGAAAGGAGTGCCCGTACACCAACACCGCTGTTTCCCCTTTCTTATTTGTTTTTTCTTTTGCCGACTCAACCAAATTCTCTGAGCGTCATTTCGTTCCTTCTTCTTCCGCGAAGACACCCGTTTTTGCGGCGGGGTTGTCACGGTTACGTCGCCTCCACAGCCGCGCTGCGCTGTGTGTGGGTGTCCCTCTCTCTCGCACGCACACATACGCCGTGCGCCCGTCATCTCCTCCACTACTTCTCTTTCTCCTTTCTCGTCACTTCTCTTTCGAATATATATATCTTATATGACAGCTTCAGCGTTAGCAAGCAAGCAAGCAACCATCCCCCCTACAAACACACAACGAAGATCATCGTAGTGTTAGCGCTTCACGTTTGATTCTTTCTTCTTCTTCTGTTCTCTCTTCCATCACTCTGCAAGGAGCTATCGGGCATTCACACTTTGGTTTTTTCTTTTTCTCTCTTTTCTGTTTTGCTGTTGTACCGTGCTGTGTAACAATAGGTATCGGAGGAGCTGCGGAAGACAAGCGAGAAGGATCGCGCACATTTTCATCGTCTCCCAAACACGGCCTCTCTTTTCTCTGTTTCTCACTGCTGTCTTGTATTACTATATATAGTTTACTCCTGTCTTGTCTGTATCTGCTTCTCCCTCGCTCACCCTTTCTCCCCTTCTCTGTCGAGGGTCAACGAGCAACGGCATGCTCTAAGGGAGGCATATATACATAATTAAGAGCCTTCTTATTCTTAGAGGCTAGCGTCTTGACGGGATACACGCCTTCTCCCTTCTCCCCGTTGCCGGTCTGTCTGTCTGCGGTACACTCGTGGGAGAAAGGACAACAGTGAAGACGGGACAGAAAGAAGGTAATTATTATTCTTACACGAAGAAAGGAAATAGAAGACGAAGGAAACGCTCTAGACACCCTTTAATCCCTTTTTTTCTTCTTTGCCCCCTTTCTTTGTTTCCTTTTCTGTGTTTTACTGCTGTGCTACTACAAAAACCCACTGTACCGCGTACGTTTCTACTGTCGTTCTCGAATTATTATTATTATTACTTTTTCCTCTTTTCGTTTTCTTCTGCTTCTTTTTCCTTGTGAGCGAGAAATTAAAATAATATAAAAAAAGACGTTTCTTTCGTTCCCTTTCTGTCACTTTTTTGAGGCTCTTCACTTTTTTCTTTTCGCTGCTCTTCTCCCTTCTCCGTTCGTGTGTGTGTGTGTACTTGCTGTCTTGCGTTTATTAAGAACGCCTTCGTTGTTTCTCTCTTTCTCTCTATATAGATTTTTCGCTTTACCCTGCTCGGTCGCAAATACGTTACTCTCGACACTCCTGTTATTTATTTGTCTTATTTATTATTTATTATTTATTATTATTATTATTATTATTAATATTATTATTAATCGTTGCTGCTGCTGCTCCTGCTCATTCCTTCTGCGACGCCCGCTGTCAATTCCTGCTGCGGCACAAACACCAACCGCCTCACACATCGCTCTTCCCCGCCCACGTCTTTCAAAAGCAAAGCAAACAACAACAGAGGCAGCGATACGGCAAGGAAGGTACACAGGGGCGAAGCAACGAGTCCTGAACGTGCTCAGGGGAAAGGAGAAACCTGCGTGTGCTGTTGGATGTAACTGCGTATTGAAGAACAACAAGCAGAAGAAGAGCTCTCTGACACACACACTCACCCACACACAGACGAAGACATATGTCACTCACAACATCCAACAATACGAGCGGGCAGCCGCAGGACCCAACGAGGCGGCCCTCCTCTCCCCCCGCAAGCAGCAGCACCAGCAGCGAGAACATCGAGTCCCCTTCCGCCTCTCCACCACCCACAGATGCATTAGAGACGATGCCGGCGACGCACACCGCTCTCGCACGCGGGAGCAGGCGAGCCAGGGAAGCGCCATCCCCACGGCGCTCGTCGTCGTCGCCGTCGCTGTCGCCTCCCCCGCCCCCGCGTGTCGCATCCACCGCGCGGTGCAGCTCGCACACGGCGAGCGAAGGAGGCAGTCACGACGATCCGCGCCAGAAGAAGGCAGGGTCGAAAAGTAAAGGGCAGCAGGATGAGCGAACGGACTCCAATAGCCACGGTGTGGCTAGCGGACAAGGCACCCACAACGGCGACGAAGACAGTGGTACACCTCCCACGTTACTACCACGACTAAAGAAAGATCCTAGGGTGAAAAGGTCAAAGGTGGTCCGGCGAACAACGGGGGCGCTGCGGCAGAGGGAGAGGGAGGGTGCGGCGGCTTCCACGGGCGGCAGCGGCAGCGGAAGGAGCCCCCTCAGCAGCACGACGCAGCTCTCCACGCCGTCCTCGACACCGCTGTCAGCAGCGACGACGCCTTTGGCGAGCGGCGAGTACTTATCCGCACGCAGCAGCGTCTCCCCCACCGCCGTCGCTGCCGCCTCTTCGCGAATCATCGCCGTGCCGCATTCTGCGCGCACGTCCGCCACGGTCGAGGCTTTTCTCCTCGGCGCACAGAACTGTCTGAACAAGCAGGAGCTGCTCTTTCGGCGACTGGACGCGAAGTTGGCGCAGGTGGAGGACGGTCGGCTCTCACCGACCGGGCCGGTGCCGCGCGGCGGGCGAGGCGGCGTCGTGTCCTCCTCGTCTGCAAGAGGCGAAAAGCGGAGGTCCGAGTCCCTGCCGTCGTCGTCGCAGGAGCGAATGCTGTGGCTGAGTCCCTCCCCGACGAACGCCGCGAGCGCCGTCGACGCCCCACGAGCGGCATCGACGCGGGCTTCACTCGGCACACCGACGGAGGAACCTTTTGCCCCCGTACGCACCGAAGCAGCACGCCCCACCGCGTCAGCACCGTCTCCGCTGTCCGACGCCGTCGTCGTCGTGCACCCGACGCTGACACGTGTGTCCGGCAGCGAACCCGCCGCGGGCTTGCCGAGATCCACGGCATCGCCTTCGCAGGCTACCGCGACGCCACCGCTGACCACCCCGGCCTACCTTGGACTGGAGAGCGTCATCGAGGTGGCCGCCTCCACCTCTGCAACGCCACCACCCGTTTTCCAGCAGCTCGGGCAGCTGTTCTCCACTACCTCCAGTTTGTCACTGTCGCCGCCGCCGCCGCCGGCTACCCAGTGGCGACGACAGCCCGGCAGCCCGTTGTCTGCGAGCCCTTCTACCGCAGCCCCATCGCCATCCTTTTCCAGTGCTCCTCACTCCTCGTCTTTTCTCTCTGCCGCCTCCTCCGTGATGGACGGCGGCGCTCGCGGTGTAGAAAGCGGTAAGAATAGCCATAGCAGAAGCACCAACAACAGCAGCGGCGGGCAGCAAGCGAGCGTCGTCGTACGACAGCGAAGTCACGCACACATGTACCGCAGCAGCAATCAACCGTATCATGAGAGCGAAGGTAGTGAGGATGCTGCTGCAGCAGCTGGACTAAGCGGGCAGAAGCCGAAGGGAAGGCTTGAAGGTCCCGTCCCTCCGTGGTACTCCCTCGCCGTGCAGTGGGAAGGTGGCGGGGCTGCTGCCGCTGCCGCTTCTTCGGAAGATCTTCAGCGCACACCAAACACGACTTCGACGGCCTCCAGCGTCAGCGGTGGTGGCGGCGGCGGCGCAGGCGGCCGCTACGCTCCGTCCTTCTTCGATGGCATCACGCCCCCCTCATCCTCCTGCAACCCGCCGCTGGTGCTGCCGACGCTGCCGGGTCTGCGGCGCAGCCACAGCGGTGGGGTTTGGCTGACGGGTGACACCCCTCGCGGGACCTGGTCTGTGTCCCCGCCCGGCGCGGCGGCCGCGGTGGGGGTCACCGGCAGCAGCAGTGGCGGCAGCGGCAACCTGCGCGTGGCGACCGTGTCGAATGCGGTGAGTCTCCTGACGAGCATCGACAGTGTCACCCTCTCGCCCCTCTCGCGGCCCATGTCAACGTGGGGCGGGAGTCCAATGACGCAGAGCATGAACAGCGGCGGCAGTCCTGGCCAGCAGCCATCACGTTCAATACCGCCACCACCGTATGGCGTAGGGATCCACGGCCTCAACCACCCCACTGCCAGGGACACTGCTGGCGGCACGCTTTCGCTGGCGGGAACGGCGTGGCGTCACTCCGGCAGCAGCCCCCGTCCCCGCCCCAGTGTGAACTTCACGGGCAGCAGCGGGAGCGACGCGGCGGTGGCGGTGGGGGATAGTGTAGGTGGAGGGGCAGGGGATCGTGACGCCTCCACTCCTGTCTCCAGCAGCAGTCGGCACAGCCCCGTTCTGTTCAACATCGTCAGTCCGCCCAGCGCCGCTCCTACTTCTGCCAGCGTGTCGCCCTTCTCATTCGAAAGCAGCGGCGGTGGCGGTGCCGGTGTGCGTCCCCCGCCGCTGCAGCCGAATGTGCTGCCGTGTTCCGCCTCTACTGTTGCATCGAGTCGGCAGTACGTGCCGGTGGGCGGGGGCGGTGCCGCCGTAGCGGTGCCGCCACAACTGAACCGCTGGACGGGCGACATCCTCTCCCCCCTCTCCGTCTCCTCCTCGCTGACGTCCTCGGTGGCGACGTCGCGACGGACGAGCGGGATTCCGCCTTGCAATGACACAAAAATTGCCTTCGACAACTTTTCGCACTGCAATAACTCCAGCTTCGTCTCGGCAACTTCGGTAGACGAGGAGCCGCACGCGTTCTTGAGTGGGTTGGCCGCCGGCTCCCACACCGTCTCGAGCCGACCGACGTCGAGGGTGGACCAGGCAGTGCCGCCGATGACGCCCTTCGCAAAAGACGCGGCGCAGGCGGTGGATCGTGCGTCGAACTTTTTGATGGTGGCGGTGGCCTCGCCCGTGTCGGTGCCACCGCCGGTCTCGGGCAGCGGTAATAGCAGCAACGTTGGGGGAGGAGCTGGCATCCCCGCCTCCGCAACGGCGGCGCCGACACGCCGGCAGCTCGCCTTGTCCGCCTCGCCATCGGTGGAGCGAGTAGGGGGCGGCGACGACGACGACGGAGAGACGCACCGGCACCGCCGCCCACCGGAAGGGCACGGGGCCGCCGCCTCTCCCTCATCCCCCGTGCAACAAGCCACGCCTGCAGAAGAGGACAGAGGCAACGAGGAAGAAGGCGAGCATCCTCGCAGCGCGGATCGTACCGGCAACGTCCGTGGCGGTGACGAAGCAGAAGCGCAGGACACGCAGGAGGAGCGGAGCGGCCCCGTCGTCTTCAACCCGTTCGCGATTCCTCCCCCGCCGTCTTCCTTATCGGAGCTGCACGCACATCAGCAGCGACGGCGCTTGAGTGCCGCACCGGTGCCGACGATGCGACGGCCTCCGATGGCACCATCACGGCCGAGCAACGCGGCAGATGACGCGGCGAGCCCTCTTCATGGACCCCACCCCACCCCCACAAGTGGAGGAGAAGGCAGCGATCACGCAGCGCAGCAGGAGAAGTGGCTCTCCTACGAGCGGCAGCACGAGCACATGCACCTGCCGGCGTGCTGGCGGGACAGCGAGGTGGTGGTGGTCGACGCGGACGAGGAGGCGAACCGCGAGCGCTATGACGAGGCGGAGGCGCAGCTGCGACTGCTGGAGGCGGAGTTGATGGGCCACTGGCAGGCGACGCCCACCAGCAGCGAAAGGGACGACCAGCCGCCACGCGAGTCGGAGGACGACACGGAGGGCGAGGGGGAGACGGAGGGAGAAGGCGAAGGAGACGGGGACGAGGTGGGAGGTGGAAAGCGGTCACGGTATGGCGGTCGTCGGCACGGTTACCAAGGCACCGCAGCGGTGGTGAGCATCGACGACAACGGCACGGCGGCGGCGGCGGCAGCGGATGCACACGTCGACGATGGCGACGACCTCGAGTGGGATGACGAGGCGGAGGGCGATGCCGGTTCATATGAAGAACGCCTGGCGCAGTATGGACGAATGGTGTTGATGCAGCGCCGACGCCTCCTACTCGCGCGGCGCTGTCGCGGTCAGACGATCACGAACCGGGGCAGCATCAGTGCCAGCAACAGCAACAGCATTAACGCCGCGACAGGCGTCGTCGCTGGCGGCAATGGCAGCGGCAGTCATCATAATAGTATTGCCACGGGAGGTGGATCGGTGTGCCGCACCAGTCCCACCAGACACGCCGGCCGACACGGTCGTCACAGGCAGGAAACCGAAGACAGCACCGAAGGCCACGACGGCGCTATGCCAGGAGCACTAACCGCCGCCGCCGCCGCAGATGATGATGGTGGTGGCGGTGTGGATTACAACAACAAGGAAGGTCATCATCTTTTGCTATTGCCCTCGCCGCCACCGCCGCCTCTGGCTCCGTCGACCACGTCTGCAGCCTCTCCAGAGTCGCCAGAGGCACATCGGCTGTTCCGCCGCGGCAACTCCGCACCGACGGTGGTGTCCGACAGCGGGGCGGCCGACTGGCAGAGTCTGCGGACGCGCTTCGACGAACTCGTGACCTTCCAGCAGCGCATGCATGGAAGGGAAGGGGAGGAGGGAGACGGCGGCAGTCTCGGCGACGGCAGCGGAGGACAACAGAGTGGTGCGGAGAGCAGCCACCAGCGGTCGAACAGCGAGCAGCAGCAGCAGCAGCAGCTGCGGTCGCGTCGCCGTCGCAGCCGTAACTACGGCAATCCCGAACCACTTGAGTCTGCCTCGCCAGTTGGCGATGCAGGCCCATGGACGGCGGCAGGTGCCACACCCGCCGCTGCTGCTGCTGTAGCGGCGGATGATGATCGAGCGGACCATCACTTGTCGACAGCATCGCTCCAGGAAGACGGGCCGAACGATGAGCGCAGCATCAACGACGGTGACCCCGCGCTTTCGTGTGCGTCCTCCACGGCGGTTTTCACGGAGAAGAGTCGACGGAGCACGCTTGCATACGTTGACGACGGACACTGCGGTAGGCCGACGGAGGAAGGCGACATCACGATAGCGGCATCGGCTACGTTCTTTCTGAACGATGCGAGTCAGTCGGAGAACGCTGCTGCTGTGATGCGGCCGCGCGACACGGCAGACGCGTCTACGAACGAAAAGGCCGACGATGGGGTTGCCGCTCGCGAGGTAAGCACGGACGGCACGTTCATCAAAGCGTCGAGGCAACCAGCGCAGGCGGGGGTGGGGGAGGGCGAAGACGAGCTCGCGGCACCGCCCACGTTGAACGCCGGACGCACCCGCAGCAGTGCTGCAATAAACGGCGAGAGATGTGATTCTTCTGCGGTAGAAGACCCGCCGCGCACCTCCGAGGCCGCTGGAACAGCAGGGCCGTTGCCCCTCCCTGGCAGCACCGCCGTGCACAAAGAACCGCCGCCATCGCTCGCGAGTGTGCCGCCGTCTTTCACGGTGGACCTGCGCTGCGCTACGCTCCGCCCCGCCGCTCCAGTCGTCACGTCGATCACCCCAGCACCCGCGTCGACGGAGCCCTTCGCGGCCGACAACGGCGCGGCGGAGGGGACGGACGAGGTGGAGAGTGTGCTCTCCACCGGTGACGGCGGCAACGTGGTGCGCCGGAGTCCACCAGGGACTGGCGTTACCACCTGCACGCCGGTGATGGCGCGCCTGCCACGGACGCCGCGTCTGCGCTTCACGCACACGCCACGCGGCACGACGCGGCCCAACACGCTCGGGCTGGGGCGCCGTGGAATTGTGTTGCACAGTGTGTCCATCGCGAGGGCTGCGAAGAAGCAGCAACCTGCTGCTGCTGCTGCGGCGGCGGCGGCCGCGGAGGGAGAAGGCGGCGTCAGCGAGGAGGCGAAGGATGAAACGCACAGAGCGGAGGCGGCGGCGGCGACGACAATCGCGACAACGACGGTGTTGAAGTGTCGACGGGTAAAGAAGACACGTGCGGTGCCGGTCGGCGGTGATGCCCCGAGAGCCGCCGCCAAGAGGAAAGTGGTGCTTCGCAGCGCAACAGGTGGGTCGGTGCCGCCTCTACCTTCCTCCTCCGCCGTTGACGCCAACGTCGCCACTGCCGCACCGTTGCCAAGCACCGGCACAGACGACTCTCTGCCCCCCTCCGAGGTGGCTGCCGTCAGCAGGGAAAGACGATCCAGTGTGGCGACGTCCCTTTCCAAGGTGGACCCAGCACGGGAGCTCGCCGCTGCACCGGTGTCCGCCAGCCATCAACTGCACAACGACGTTGCCGATGGCGGGGAGGCTGCCGAGCCGCTGCCGCCGCACGGGTCCTCCGCTGTTTCGCACGCTTCCCTCAACTCACCCGATTCGTCGTCGTCCGCCACCGCCGTCGCGCCGGCCTCCCGCACCGCATCAACGCAGCCGGAGAAGAAGGCGCGGCGAGTGGCGCTGAACACGACGACGTCGTCGCCCGCCACGACCCGCCGACGATCCATTGGGGCCGACAACGCAGTACGCGGCAGCGCCCTTCCCCGGAAGGACCGCCGTACCGATAAGGAGGACGACGGTGGGCCTCACCGAGCAGCCGACAACCACGGCAGCAGTGGCCCGAACATCATCGGTGGTGGCCCGGCGGAGATGGGCTGCGGTAACAGCAACAGCACCGCAGAGTCACGCGCCCTGCTGCGTCGCCTGGCGCAGCGCAAGGACCGCACCCGCGCGATGGAGGAGCGTCTGAGCCTCAGCAGTGGCCACTTCACCAGCGTCAGCGCGGCCCCCGCGACGGCGGCAACGGACGGGGAATACGGGGCGGCAGCATCCGCAGCGGTGAACTCGACCGCCACCACCCCTCTGCGCTCCGCCTTGAAGAGCCAAAATCACTTGGAGGTGCCGCAGCCGCCGCACGAGCACGATCTGGAGAGCCCCACCACGGCGGTCAGCACGCCCACCACCTCCCCTCTGGCGGTTCAGGAGGATGCGGATGCGAATGCTGCCGTGGCTACGGGAGTGATGACGACAGGTGCGAATAGCGGTAGCGGTCATCGCCATCCAGATGCGCGACACGTCGGCGTGGTCGAGCCAGTCGACGGCCCCTCCGTGAGCTTCACACCGGCTCACCAAGGAGCGATGTCCGGCCAGCAACAGCAGCAACAACTCACCGGCACTGCCACGTCGGTGGGGAAAGCAAACACACGCCGCCGCCTTGTCGATGTGCGCAGCCGCTCTACCACGAGCAGGCAAAGCTCCTCCCTGCCGGACCTCTCCACGACATCCACAGCCGCATCCACAGCCGCGCCACCGCCAGGGCTGAAGGTTACGCTCATCACCGGCAGAGTAGCGCCCACCGCCGGCGTACACCACCCCTCCGTCGCATCCACAGCCGCAACCACCGCGGGGAATGGTGGCGGGACGAGCAGCACGCACACACACAGCCGAGAGGAGAGTGTATGGCTGCATGTGCGGTCCACCTCACCGCTGCCGCCGACGTCGGCGCTGACGTCCCCAAAGGAGCACCGCCGCCACACGATCGGGGAACCACTGTATTTGGCAATGCCTGAGAAGCGGCTTCGCCCGACGCGAACCGCGATCAACAACTAGTCTTCTTCCACGGTGAACTCGCACCGTCCCCGCGCTCCCGCTCGCCTGCTCGCACGATCCTTCATCTGTTCTCTCTGCGTGTGTGTGTGACACGATACTGTCTCTTTGCACTTCAAGACGGTCTTTGGACGATGGCGACACTTATCATTATTATTGCTGTTGCATGCGTGTGTGTGTGTGTGGTTGTTCGCTGCTCACCGTTTTTCTTTTGTTTTCGAGTAGCGTCGACTTTGCAATATGTATTTGGAGGGGGTGCTGCCGACGACGTGCCCGCGCACATATGACGTGCTGCTGTGTCCGCTTCCCCTCCCCCTCCCTCCCGCTTCGATGAATTCTATAGTACTACCTCTTTCCGTGCTCTCTTCTCGCGGTGTGTAGATCCTCTCGACTGTTACTGTTATGGATATATACGGATGCACGTATGGTGCTCCCCCCTTCCTCCCCGCTCTGCTTCGTCTCCTTTGCGATGCTGATGGGTCCGCCCGTACAACGCAAGACGAGCAACCACCGTGACCGCAGCAGCCGCCGCAGCAACAGCAAGGGCAGCAGAAGAAAAGAAACGCTATGTGACGCCAAAGGATTTACTTCTACTCTCGAAGGTGCTGTTGCTGTGACTTTTGTTTTCTCCCCCTTCGTTTCTAGAAAGTCGAAGAAAAAAAGTATAATAATAATAATAATACATATTAGCAGTTCGTGGAGGACGGCGGTCACGTTGTATACGACGGACTGGATGGGAGTGTCTACCACGGTCCTGACTTCGGACGGTGGAATGCGCACGATCCCTTCTGCTTGCGTCCATCTCTCTCGCCACGTCTCGCGCCTGTCTCCTTCACCGTCGTTGCTCGTGCCTTTCACTTCACCCACCGTCTCTTCCTTTCCCCCGTGCTCGAGTGTGTGACCGCTCTTCTCTTCGTTTATTGTGCTGCTCTGCGGGCTCTTCTATTTTAAAGGAAAGAAAACTCCATCCAATACCGGGGCGTTGAGGCATTGTCATTTGCTCCTCTCTCTCACTCAGTGGCAGCAACACACCCCCACACCCGCACTCCCCAAACACGCACGCACGCACGCACGCACGAGGCGATCAGCCCTGACCCCCCCCCCCCCACCACAGTTGAAGTACAACGGACACACCAATCGACCTTTTGCAACGCAACGGCAACGCGGTTTTTCTTGTGTGTTTTCTTTCTGCCCTTTTCCATACCGCGTGTTTTCCCATCCTCTGTTTCTGCTGTGTCAGCGCAGACAAACAGCGTGTCGTGCACGTTGATTCGTGTGTCGTCCGCCGGCGCGATCGCAATGCACACCGCCACGTTCACCCACTGCCTCTCTTCGCGTACGGTGGCCGCCGGTGTTGCTGTCGCGAGCTCGCGTTGCCGCCTCCGCACCTTCGCCGGCATTGCCACCCCCACCGGTAGTGATGGCGCGCTCTTCTCGACGGGCCCGACTCTTCGCACGGTCCGACGAGACGTGCCCTGCGCACTTCACCCACGCGGTCCTTTCATTCCGTCCCTGGTGGCACAGCAGGCAGGTCTGTTTACGAATGCAAAGAAGTCCTTCGCCCGTGGCACCGAGGAGGAACTGAAAGCGCGCGGCGAGGCGGAGCTGAAGACATCGCAGGAGTTCCTGCGCAGGCCGGTGGATGACGATGGCCGCAACGCACCGCGCGCCCGTGACGTGGAGACGCAGCTACCCTCCCTGAAGCAGCTGAACGAGGAGCTGCCCTCTGCCGCAGAGCTGGAGAAGGCGTTAAAAGAGGGCAAGATGGAGGCGTTTGCGATGAAGCCGGAGAAGGATGAGGAGTGATGCTAGGTCGGTGCTCCACGTGCGTACACACATACACACACGCACCTCCATACACCTACCTACACGCGGAACACGCACTGTGTGACCCTTCCTTCTCTCACTCCCTCCTTGTAAAGAAAAAAAATATATAATATACACTCCACTGAGTCGTCGTCATCAAAGCAATGCTTTCGCGTTGATTTACATGTTTTCAAATTTTCTCCTCGAAAGATTCATTATTTATCCGTTTTTGCCGTATTTTACCCACCGCTGCGACACCGTGCTTTTAACTGCTTGGCTTTTTCTTTTTCTCCCTTCTCTCACGCATATCTATTTATATGTATTTTGTCTTCGCCGTACAACCTGCAGGATGCCACCAAATGTGTGCTTGTACGGAGAGGAGTTATTTAAATATATATCTATTTCGAATTGGCTGCCGTTTTGCTCAACTATTCCGTTTCCAATGCTGTAAATTATGCTATGTGTGTATGTATGCACGCTGACGACGCGCGCCTCCACATTGGAAAGAGGAAAATGGAAAGAAAGTCGTTTCGCGGCGTGCGTGCTCATGAAACGACGAAGCACCTTCCATCCTATTCTCGCGTCTTCGCTGTCTCTTTCTTTGGCGTTGCTGCTACTGCTGCCTTCACGGGCCCACGCGCTCCATACACCGCAGCGAGCGTCATTATATATATAAAGCCGTTCCTCCGATCTTTCGCTGTCAAATTATCGTGTGCATACTTATTCATTCTTATAACTAAAAAGAAACGCGGAGACGATGAGGCGCCCCTCTCACACGTCGTCCGCGACACACCCTCTGCACGTGTTGTGTGCGTGTGACACCTTCAAGGGCACGTTGCCCTCGGACAAGGTGGGAGAGGCGGTGGAGGCCGGATACCGCCAGGTGTGGGAAAAATTGCATCGTCAGCGCGGTACCACGACGCAGCCGTCCATCACCGCCAGCAACTTAAGCGTCCACCTTCTTCCTCGTGTCACGAAGCCACCGCCGCTTTCGCCGCACGCCGACCCCGACGTGGGGGAGGTGGAATGCGCTTCCATCGCCGCGGGGCTGCTGGCGGCGAGTCTCATTCCTCCGTGTGTCTCGTTTTCTTGGAGAGATCATCTCCACCACCTCTCCCCACAGCACCATCGGCTTCTCCAGCAGAACGGTACACGCGCAGACACGACAAGCAGCGGTGGGGTGCCATCGCAGCCCGAGGAGCCGCCGTTGGCGAAGACGGCTCCGGTGGAGTTCACGCACACCCCCATGAGCGACGGCGGGGCTGGGCTCCTCGACAGTGTCACCTTCGCTGCTTCTCGTGAAGCGGCGCAGCAGAAGAGGACGAACATGAAGCTCGGAGAGACGGTTGCCCATTCGCTCGACACAATGCCTCGGTCTACCGTGACGAACGGGGCAGCGGCCGGCGGGGGTGCCGTGGCGGCGACACCGCACGCTCCGCCTGCCTCTCCCGATGCGTTGCACTTTGAAAGGGTCTGCGTGCCCGCATCGGTGATGATCACCGGCCCGCTGGGGCTCCCCATCTGCCCTCCCACGAGAGCCGAATCTTCCTTCTCGTCGTCCGTGATGCCTCCAGTGGAGAAAGGCGTGTCGTTTGCGTGCGACGTCGCCCGTCGGGTGTTGGTGGTGGAGATGGCGGAGGCGGCTGGGCTTCCCCGCATTGCGCGTCGGCAGGACCGCGACCCAGCCCGCACAACCAGCTACGGCGTAGGGGAGTTGATCCGCTATGCGCTGCGCTACATGGAAGGCGAAATGAGCAGGATGGAGGAGACAACTGCGACTGCTGCTGCTGCTGCTGGTGGAGTGAGTAAGCGAGGCAAGGGTCACAAGGGCAGAGGAGTGCGGCTCTTCTTGGGCATTGGCGGTAGCGCCACGAACGACGGCGGACTCGGTGCACTGCAGGCCCTCGGGCTTGAGATCTTCGTTGCGCTGACGGCCGCATCCGCCACCTCAGCGAGTGAGGGCGTTCTTTTGGATCGACCCTTCTGTGGTGGGGATCTTGGGCGAATGACGCACGTTCGCATCAGTGATGCAATGCACCGCCTGTTCCCCTACCTGCAGGGCACCCCGACGTCACCCGCTGCGTCTTCCACGCACGGCACCATCGACGCGGGGCTGTACGTTGAGGAGGTGTGTTTGATCTGCGACGTCGACAATCCCCTCGTGGGGCCCCACGGTGCCACCTACACTTTTGGGCCGCAGAAGTGTGCACCGCCGCGGCCGCCAGCGCCGTCGTCGCTGCCCACGACAGCAGGAAAGGACACAGATGGCGCCGCTGCTGCGGTGGATGACGCAGCGGTCGGGGTGATCACCTCTGCCGCGCAGCGGGCGCTGCTCGACGGGTTGGAAGGAGGGATGCGGCACGCTGCAGCGTGTGTGGTGCGCAGCACGTGGCGACAGCTGGCGCACCCGTCCGCAGCGGCGCTGCCCACGGAGGCTGCGGTGCGTGCGGACGTGCTACACCGCCCCGGTGGCGGTGGTGCGGGGGGCATGAGCGGCTTCTTCCGTTACGTGCTACACGCCAGTTACGTGCCAGGCGCGGATGTTGTCGGTGGGTTATTGGGCCTGTACGAGACGCCGCGTGTGGCGCATCTGCTGGGCAGCGACGACCAGGACTCCTCCGCTGCAGCAGCGACGCACCCCCGACAGAAGGCAGGCCTGCTGACAATGGACAGTCCTGCGGTGCGGCACCCCCGCGGCTGCCTCTTCCACACGTGCGACGTCGTCGTGTCGGGTGAAGGCTCCTTCGATGACCAGACGATCGCGTCGCACAAGACGGTGGGCCGCCTGCTGGAGATGTGCACGGCGGCGAACGCCTATCGCCTGTGGAGGCACTACTGCTGCTGTGACGTGCCCTCCTCGACGCCGGAGAGTCGGAGAACAGCGGACGCCGCTTCTTCTCTCCCGCACCCGTCGCCGCGTCTTTCCGATACCCGCTGCCGTCGGATTGAGGAGTTTATCGTCGTGTGCGGACGCACGAGCTTCGAGGACCGCACGGCGTGCCGCTCCACCGTGACGACGTCGGTGTGCTCTACTTTGCTGATGCCGCATCTGAAAGCAGCAACAGCAACCACCGCCCATAACTCGCACACAGCGTTAGCTGAGGAGGCAGCAGTGCCGATCAGCAGCAGCAGCAACAGCAATTTAGACACGGTGCGCGTAAACCTGTACCTCCACGCGTTGCTGACGTCTCCTGCGTTTCGTGCGGCGTGGGATGCCCGCCGGTCAACACGCGACACGAGGAGGCTGACCGCCGCGAACCTATTGAAGGAGTGGTGTGTGCCGCGTGTGACGGTGCTTCCGCTGACGCCGACGCTGTTCTCCTTCGCAGACGCGACGCAGCGGTCCTACGCGTGTGTGGTGTCCGCGGTGGCGGATTTGCTGGAGGACTCTGTGCGACGCCTCGCCACAGCGAAGACGACAACGGCGGTGACCGCTTCACTGAGGCAGAGAAGCGTGAAAGAAAAAAGTAAGCTGTAGGCGGGGAGTGGAACTGAAGAAACCATCTTCTACCTTTCTTTTCTTTGTTGGCCTCCCGGTGGAGTTCACCCCTGTGCCACAGCCGCTGTCCTGCCTCAGGTGGTGAGGATTAAAAAGCTGATATCGAAGTAAATGAATATATCAATTCATAGCGATGCGAACGGATCGTGTGCGCGTCGGCAGTTTGGTTTTGTTGCACTCCGCATCTTTTCTTTTCCACAACCAACAAAAACCCTTAATATACAATTAAGTGCGTGGCGATGCTGCACAACATCCAAAGGAGTTGTAACCTAAGAAAAAGCTGATGTAGCGCTTACGCAGAAGGAATGGCAAAGTGCCCTTTTTTTGGTTTTTCAAACAAATCCGTTTCTTCTTCTTCTCACTCTCTCTCTGTGGAGTGTGGAGCGGAGCACTATTACTTTTCCTTCTTGCGTAGCACCATGATCGCGCTTCATCCCCCCCCCCCTCCCCCTTGCGGCTGTGATGGCTCTCTTTGAGCCTTCCTCCCCCCCTCTGCATTCCCCACCTCTCGTCACGAAACCTTTTTCTTTATTCATTCACTATTTTTTTTTATTTTCCGGGAGTGGGGGTTTTGTGTACGCCGTACTGCGCAAGAAGACGATGTCTCACCAGCCACGAGCCCCACTGTCGCCGTACGCTTTCACCTCCTCCCTCTCCTGTTGTCCTGCTGCGTCCGCCGCGCGAGTGCGGTGCGAGATCCGTACCTCTTCTCCCCCCCCTCCTCTTCCCTCTTTGCGACGGACGGTGATGACCTGAAAAGGCAAACCCAACGGGCCGCATTAACTCATTTTTCTTTGTTAGTGACCCTTCAAGATGTCTCGATGGAGCGAACTTTCATTTGGAAGTGGTTGCGGCTTTCAAAATCGCATTTCTCCGCTGCCACTGCCGCTGCTGTCGATGGCGATGTCGCGGTGGTGGCAGCCGCGTGTTTCTGCCGTTCTCTTTCTTCCCTGCGCGTGCTGGCGTACTGCACGACGGCCGCAAGCTTCTCATCATCACCAGGTGATACAACGCTTCCCTCTCCCATCGGCGCGTCCTGCCGTGTGGGATGCAGCGCAACAACGACGAGGCGTCCACGTGGGAGGTAGCGCGACCGTACTCCGAGGACGACGGTATGCCGCCTGCCGCAAAGGAATGTATCTCACAGCTGCCCCATCTGTGTTTCTCTATACAACGCAGGCGCACTCTCAGAAGGAAGACGATGAGGACGGTGTGCGCGTGACGGTGACCAGCACGACGCTGTTTGCCGAGCTGAGACGTCTGTTCCCATGGAGTGCGCCGTACAACGCATGGCGGCAGAACCGCACTTCCCAACCGTCCTCGACGGCAACAACAAGCGGAACAGAGTCAGAAACGCACAGAAGTGTCCTCAGCAGCGTCCACACAGGCGGCTACGACTGGCGCCGCCTCTTCCTGGTGCGGTGCACGCCGCCTTCTCCAGAGAACTGCCGCGGCGCAGCGCCCGCCCTTTCTTCTTTGCGTGCAGCTAGCGGTGCGGCGCAGCGCACACGTGATTCAGCAACAGCCGAAGCGCGGTACGGCACACGCACGTACGATAGCGAATGCCTTTCTCGCCGTACCCCACAATTCGACCTCACCGACGAAGGACGCGCCGTTCTACTGTGGAGGCGGTGTGCCGCGCCGATGACGCCCTGTTCAGACGACGCCGGGGAGGGGGGAGGGTGGGGAACTTCAGGAGTGTTTTGCTGGCCAGAGCCCGCCACGTATGTGCTCTACTACGCGCCGTTTACTCCTGCCGCTGCTGCGAACTCATGTGAGGTCCCCGGTTCTTGTGGAAGAGCTCCTCGAGGTTCAAGCGGCGGAAAAAGAAAGCCGCGAAAGAGGATTTCTTCAGCTGTGAAGGGCGACGGCGATGACGAAGCAGTCGGCGTTGGCTTGTGCGGCGCCGAGAGGGCGGAGGTGCAGCGCGAGGAGTTGTATTGTGTGGGACGCATCCACGCCATCCCAGGGCTGCCACAACTCCCACCGATCACGCTGACCTCCTCGCCGCTGATCCCCTCCACCGGACTCACCACCCCTTCGGCCGAACCACAGAACAACCGCCACTGTTCCAACGGGACTACAGGCGCGGTAACGCCTGTTGTTGACCCCGCGGTGCACGAGGCGGCCGGTTCTCCGTGTTTGACCGGCGCTGTCTGCTCACTGCACGATTACCAGGCACGGCTCTGTGGTGCGGTGTGTGATGCGCCGGTGGAAGACCGAAGCGGAGGCGGCGGCGCCGGAGTCAGCGACGAGGCGAGTGCGAGCACCGCCGCCACACGCACACCCACTCCCGCTACACCACAGACAGAAGGTACAGACCCGCTGCGCGAATCGCCCGTCACGCGTGCGTCGCGGTCAACGCGCACGGCGCACGCGAGGACATCCACGCCGACATCCTCGCGTGTTCTCGCATCATCTACTCTGGGTGTGCAACCGCCCGCGTCTTCGCGATTTCCGTTCCCAGTTTTCTTCCACAGCGAAGCCACACCGCGCAGCAACGGTGCGCATTGCACGGGCGATCGATGGAGTAAAGAACCTCCGACGCAAAGCAGGTCCTCGTCGACTCGACTCGCGGACCCGGTGACGTCGACAGCACATCCAAGGTCACGACGAGGTCGACGCAGCTCCTCTCCTCCGCGTCCTTCAGCACCCATTGCGGATACGGCTGCGATCCCTCAGCCTTCCGTACCCCACATGATCCCTGCCCACAGCCCCTGCCATCGCCACTGGAACTGCGTCCCCTCCTCCGACTTCCTCCGTGAGTTCCTTCTCTTCCACCCTCGCAAGGAGAGAAGAGCCGCCACGGCAGCCGCACCGAGAAGTGCAGAGGTTGACGGGGGAGACGGACAGGCCCGTCCGCCCTCTTTTGCAAAAGCTACGCGCTTCTACAGCGAGAAGGCTCCCGCGCTGTCCGCGGAGACACGCGTCCTTCGCGACGACGGCGTGGGCGTCTTACTTGTCCACGAGCATGAATGGATCTTCTTCTCCCTGCTCCTCCACACCTGCTCTGCCGCCGCTGCTGCCGCCGGTAGTGGTCTTGTCACGGCCGCGTTTCACCCGCTGACGTGCGACCGTGACAGAAGCAACGAGGCGTCGGAGAGAGCTGCTGCTGCACGTCCAGACGACGCGGCCCGCAGTGAAAATCTATCGCACTACTACTGCTTTCTGAACCCGCCGTGTCGGCTGTCGACGGACGAGCTGGAAAGGATCGTACGGGCAGGTCCCACCGCGGCGCTCTCGTGTGCTGCGGCGCGACCCGTGACGCCGCCGCGCACGTGGTTGGTGCACCTGAGCACCGAGGTAACGCTGCAGCGAACTGTCGAACGACTTTGGGCGGCATCGGATCTACGTGTCAGCGTGGCAGCGGGGGAGACACCGACGCGGGAGTTCGCTACGCGGCATTCGCACAGCGCCTGTGACGCTGCAGGAGTGATGGCTACGCTGGATGACGAGGATCGCGGTGGCTGTCTCGTGGCGGTGGTGCCTCCGCGCTGCACAGGTGCGAGCCGTGACAACGCTGCGCCAGGTGATCGTGTTGAGGACGACGGCGCTGACGACAGCGAGGAGGGGGAGTGGGCGGCGGAGACGGACGAGGCCGAAGTCAGCGACGGCCAACTTCGCCAACGCACATGCGTCAGCACGGCTCTGCAGAAAAAAGCTCTGCGTCGCGCGTGCGAGGTGGAGCTGCTGAGCCGCTACCTGCGACGGACCGCCGCCACGTCTCTGCCTCGCAACACGTGTCCGCCCCACCCGCATCAGCGGGAGTGTTACACGCCAACGTCTTCGCTGTCCACCACTGACAGCAAGGAGACGCACAGCACGTGTGCGACACCGCCGGATGTCGCGCCACGTCCGTCGCCCACGATGATCGTCTCTCCGTTTCCGCCGTCCACGGCTCTGCTGCGGAACCGATCGTGGTTTTCGAAGCCGTTTGTACTGGCAGAGGAGGTAAAGTACGGGGTCGTGATCAAGTACAAGCAGGCAGCGCTGGCGGTGCCGCGTGCGTGTGGCCCCCTGCGCGACCTGTGACGAGAGAGAGAGAGCGAAACACGGAGGAAGAGAGGACTCCCCGAAGCTGCTTTATAATAATTCCTGCTACTCACTGTTATTCTCTTTTTTATTTCCATTTTTCTGAGGTGTCTTTTAAAGAGAAATACCTGTGCCGATGTGCCATCAACACGCACGGAACACTCTTTACTTATACGTAAGTCCTCTCGCCCCGTGCCTCCCCGCTGCCATGCAGGGCCTTTTTTTTTTCGAAGGATTACGTACCCTTCTGTGGTCCCCCACACCCGTGTCAAATGGCTAGGCGGCGGCGCTGCTCTCACCCGTGCAACACAGGTTCTGTGTTTATCGTCGAGTTCACGCGTGGGGTGGTCAACACAGGAGTGCTCTCATGATGTCGCTGTTGCGCTGCTCTGTTTTCTCTCTTGTTATTATTATCTTTCATCTACCCCCCCCTCTCTCTCATGGACTTATATCGCAGGGATCTGCCGTGTCACAGACGACAGAGTACGTCCAACGCTTTTGAATTCACACACCAACTCTCTCTCTCTCACACACGCATACACACATCGGGCCGCACGCTTGCACAACTGCACGAGATAACACACCCGACACCCAAGCTATGCATTGCTAAGTAATGGCGGGTGGAAAGTCGACCAAGCGTGTGAACCTGCGCACCAAGATTGCGCGAAAGCAGCAGGCCCAAAGCGCAGCCGGTGCCGATGCCTCCTTATCCTCCACCTCCACCGCCGCGGCAGCCGCAGCGTTCGCGAACTCATCCGCATCCCCTTCCGTCGTGACGGATGCGCTGCGGTTGGCGGATACGCGGCGAGCTCGCCAGCAGAATGCGCCGTTCGGGCACGCCAACGAGGACCGCGGAGCCGCATTGCAGATTCGTGATGCCCTGCGTCAGCGCCGTGGCCGCACGAGCCGCGCTCCGGCCACCACCACGACGCCCACCAGCACCAGCGCATCTACCTCCGCAAGGCGTCAGCCGAAGAGCGATGATCGTACGTTGCGGAGGAAGCGGCAGTCGGCCAAGAAGGAGTCGAAGACGGACGGCAGCGCGATGCACCCCGCTGCCCTGCGCCGTGCCGCCGTCCACGAGCGCCGCCGCCTTTTAGTACCGCCGGTCTCCGCCGCCGCGGCGCGCATGGCCGTCGCGCAGGAGGAGCTGCACCTCTTCGATAAAGTGCAGACGGTGCCAGCCTACGCAGCTGACCCGTTCGCGGCTGTGATGCAGCACCTATCGGCGACAATGGACACGTTGAAGCCGCAAACGCCAGATGTTGGCCGCGTGGCGCGTGACTGAGCTGAGAAGCAGAGTCTCACACTCACACACACACACAGAATAGGAGGTGAAAGTGGTGTTTCCTTTGCGGAGTAATATAAGGAGGTGCGGATTAGTTTACCTTCTCCTGTTTCTTGCGAAGCCGCGTAAGCTGATGTGCGATTAAACTCACCTGCAGTTTCATACAATCGGATAACGTATGAACTTTTTTTTGTCTTGGTAATTCAAACAGTAAGCAAGAAATAAAGAAAGTAAACAGAAGCGGCGCCGAACGTTGCTCGATCGGCCACTCCACTGCTTACCGTGGCACCTCTGCGTAGGTTTCCACCCTCCTATTCGAGATGTTGGTGAACAATGCAGTTTCCGATGACTACACACCTGCCTTCGCGGTGGCGACTCGTACGGCCCTCTCTCTCTCTCTTGGCGTCTCTCCTCTTGCGTTGTGTTCTCGGTACGCCGCATCCCCGCTGCGAACTGCTGTGTGGCGCAAAGCACCTTCCTCTTTTTCTTTTCGCTCTCTCTCCCTCATCCCTGTGTTTTTTTTTCTTCTCTTGAAGCGAATAACGCGCTGGAGGGAGGATACTCCTTCTGAAAGCTTTTTGTATCCACCTGTATGCGCCTGTGCGTGTATGCTCTCTGAATCGCCAGTGATCGTCTCAGTGCACACACACACAGAGAACAGAGGGGGTGCGTCCGCACTCGTCTCCTTTTGTTTTCCGTCCTTGACAGCAGCTGCGAGAACCGGCGACAGCGCCGTAGGTTGTACTAATAGTAAATGAAAAATAGAAACGAGGTCAGACGACGAACGTTATATGATACATTGCAACAGCAATAACAGCAACAAAATATATTCATTGCCAGTAATTGCGCATGCCGTCCTTCACGCTCACACCATCATGGGAGCCGCCCGCGATGGTCCAGCGAGAGCTGTGGCAGCAGCAACAGCAGCAGCACCACGAGGCTGACACCACGCGACAAGAGACACCCATCATGGCACAGCGCCACTCTCCTCGGTCCAGCAGCGGCAGCGCCACCAGCAGCCCCGTCTCTTCTATGGCGCCTTTACACGCCTTTCCTGCCTTCTTAAATTCTGCCACGTCGCCAACCACCGCAGCTCCACACGCGGTGCTCGGCGGCGGCGTGGGGGGCTCTCAGCTGTACCCACCGCGGCACTGGCGGACACGCAGTGGCCCACGCGCCGTTGCGGTGCTCAGCCCATCGGAGGCGACATCGCCGCTGTCGCTCTCCGGCAGCCTAGGGCAGCTCGGTGTGCCGCCTCACACCCAGCCGGCGGTTCGTGTGGGACCGGATTGGCGAGTGAGAGGCGTTGGCGGCTACGCAGGGGGATTCTCTCCGGGCAACACAGGCGCGCCTGCCTTTCCCGCCCCGCCGCTCCCCGTTACTTCTCCAACAAGACGCATCGGTAGCGACAGAGCGGTCGGTGTCGTCCCCGCAGCGGCGACGGCGCCTCCCGCGCCTCGACCGGTGCGATCCGTCAGCACGGCTCCGACGCAGGAGGTGGCGCAAGGGATGAGCGGTAGGGACACCTCCCCAGCCACGGGTGGGCGGGAGCATCTATCGCAGTCTGCTTTGATGAGCACCGCCGCGCTTCTCAACGCAACAGCACATGTGCAGTCCAGTGATGGCGGACCGGCGAGAGAGGCGGCGGCCGAGCGTCGGCACGGCGAAGAACCGCCGCCAAGCAGGAAGAATGGTGCTGATCGAAGCGTACAGAGCTGCGTGGAAGGCGGCGGCATGGGCCACTCTCTCCACGCGGACAACAGCGGCAGCGAAGGCAGACCAGCCGGAGAACACATCGTATCCAACGTGCATCACGGCGGAGCTGCGACACTCGCGGCAGCCTCTACAACTGGAAAACGCAAGCGATCCCCCATTTTACCGAGTCTCACCGCTACTGCTGCTGCTGCAGGGACGCCAACAGAGCCGGCGTGGTGGGACTCCACCACCTCCCCTCCCTTCCTCAGCGTCTCGCGGCATGCGCACTTCTCCGACCGCAGCGCGCACCGGATCGGAACTGGCGCGAGCAGCAGCAACAGCGACACAAACAGCAGCGGACGACAACGCGGCGCTGCTCCGCCCGCCCACACGCGGCATCGCCCTCGCCGACGCAAAGGCCGTCACCATGCGAGCGAAGAAGTGGAGGGGGACGGGGGGAGCAGCGGTGGGAGGGGTGCGCGGAGCAGCCCGATCTCGTTCTCCTCTACCTACTCCTCTTCTTCCGCCGCCGCTTCCGCTGCGGCAGCGGCTGGTGGATCGTCGGCGAGTGGCTCGTCGTCGTCATCGCCGTCTTCTTCTTTGGACGGCTGCTCGCCTCACTCGCGCGACGCCTTCCACTGCCTTACGAGAGACGCGGAAGACGAGGTCGAGGATGCAGGACACACGCCGGCGTCAACAGGGTCTTGGCCCACTGGACAGGATGCTGCTGCTGCCGCTGCCGCTCCGCATGCATTGATGCCTCCACGAGAGGCAGATGTGCGAGGCACGCACACGGATGACGACGCGGTCCTCCTGTCCCTTGAAGCATCTCCGTTGCAGCCACGAAAAGCGTTGCCACACGAGGGGTGGAGTCCACAACCGCACGCGCGACACGGAGAGGCGAAGGAGGAGGGGAGAAGAAACAAGCAGATGCCAACGGCCGCCGTTCCAGACGCAAGGTCTGCCACCGTTGCCATGGAAAGCGACATCGATAAGAGGGAAGCTCCTGCGGTGCCCTCAGACGAGCAGCAGCCACCGCCACCGCGGACCTCTTCCTTCTCTTCCTCTAGAGGAGGAAACTATGTTGGCACTCTCGCTGCACCACACCCCGCCGACCCCGCAGCGCCACAGGTGGTGTCGCCGCTGTCCACCTCCCTCTTCGCCGGGCTGCTTTCGACGAGCGAGACCACGATCCACACCACCACCACCACGTCCACCGAAGGGCAGACAGCGAACACGGCGGCCCCCACCGCCCTTTTCCCTTCTTACCTCATCAACGTCGCCTCCGTGGCGCTGCCGCCGCGAGCCGTCGACCCCCCCACCGCGATACAACCACAGCAGCAACAGCAGCAGCGTTCTGCACCGCGAACACCGCGCAGTGCACGCGAGGCGTTGCTGCTCAAGCACCTCCGCGTCGCCCTCACGGACGCCCACGGCGTGCAGGGACACTTGGCGGAGCTGCACGCGACCCTCTTCCCACGGCCGGCCGCGATGGCAGCGGAGGCAGCGGAGGCAGCGAGGGTGCAGGATGGCGCGGCCGACGCGGCGCCAGTGGCACGGAGCAACAACGCGACGACGACGACGACGATGCTGATGGCGCACGTGACGGAGGGAGCACCGCGCGATATCAACGCCACGCGCAACCCGTGCAACACTGAGCAGCAGCAACAGTTCACTCCTACGGTCAGCACGCCGCCCCACGGTGCGAGTGGAACGGGCAGCGTCACGGGAGACGAGGGAGCAACAGCAGCTCCAGCAGCGACGCCGACAGCTTCAGGCACCATACCAACGAACACAGAAGCAGAAGGTGGCGCGGTGGTGGCGAAGGGTAGAGCACGCGCGCCCACCACAGAGGCAGAGGAAGATGGCGAGGAGGAATCGGGGGAAGAGGAGCAACCACCAAACACCGCCAGCTCCTCCCCATTGGCCTTTCGCGTCAGAGGTCTCTACACGCCCTCACTAAACGGCTATCGGCAGCAGCGACTAACGCGGCTGACGGAGCAGCACTTGCTGTCGCTCTGGCAGAACGCAAACGAGGCAGCCCGTATCGTCTGTGGAATGCCGCTGCAACACTGCATACGCGCTGCCGTGGTGGAGGAGGTACCGCTCGTGCAACAGAAAACACTCGCGTCGCTGACCGACACCTTCGCGCAGTTCGTCAACTCCTCGCACCGGAGGACGGAAAAGGGCCGATCCGCGTTGGTGCTACTGCCTTCGGAGCAACCGGCGCCGGTGGTGGACCAGCAGGCACCGCCACTCCCGGAGAGCACTGCTTCCGGACAGGCAGCCATCACCGCGCTTGCAACAACCCCTTCATCCCCGCCGCTGTCTCTCTTGAAGCCAGACGCAGCAACGTCGTTCTCCTCCCCGCCGATGTGCGATGTGGAACGTGCGGCACAGCTGGCCGAATCGAACGAGAAAGCGACAACGCCCGTGACGCCGTCGAGCTGCAGCGTCACGGGCGTCCTGCCATTCACGACCTTCAAGCGCACCTTGACAACGGCCACGAGTGACCAGGATGACGGCTCTTGGTGGATGAGCTCGCTTGCCCAGCGTCCTCAACACCCACCGCAGCAACAGCAGCAGTCTCAGCAGCAGCAGCAGTCGCACAGCAGCCGCTATCGAAGTGGGAGCGCCAGAGGTGCGGCGGAGAGCCCTTCCCCGCTCAGCTCGCCGGCTTCTCGGACCACACCCACACCCACACCTACCACCGCACCCACGGCAACGGCCACGACGACGACCACTACCACCGCCACGCTCGCGACCACGACGTACTCCTCCCGCTCCGCGGCGACCGACGCTACGAGTCGCTCGCACAACATAGGGGGAACGATCCTCGTGTGGCCCTGCCCACCAGAAGGCTCGCGCCCCCCCGTGGTGAACCCGCATGGCTTGTCATCCCCCCTCTCGCGGACCGGGTCGGGGAACTCCTCCGCCTCCTTCGAGGCCACCGCATCCACCTCCGGCACTATCTTCCTCCACAACTCACCAACGAGTTTTGTTGGCGGTGGGGTCGGGGTGAGCAACAGCCTGCACGACATGCTGATGCTTGGCACGCTACGGGGCAGCAGAGGCGATGTCAGCTCATACAGCAACGTTGCGTTGAACTCGCTAAGCGGGTCCAGCAACAGCAGCAGCGGTGACGGGAATGGCGAGGGGGGAGGAGGGAGCGATGCGGTGAACGTGCGGTCGGGCTTTTCCAGCCCCGCCGCCCCCACCGCCTTCCTCTCCTCCTCCATGAATAGCAGCAGCAGCGGCGGCAACAACAATAACACCAACGGCAGGGCGCCGACGGCGGGGGGTAGTGCAGGCCACGGCAGCCCGAGTCGTGTGCCTCGCCTGTACGCACTGCCCTCCACCTTACTCGCGCGCCTTCGCAGTCAGCTCCTGCGTGAGGGACGTCCGCCGGGTGGCGAGACAGCGAAGCGAGGCAGCGGTGGCGATGGGCATCATCCCACTACTACTAATAATAATAGCAGCAGCAGCAGCCACCGTGAAGGAGGGGGTGGGGGCGGCGTCGAAGTCCAAACGTGTCCCTCGGGTGACCGCCGAAGATCCGCCGTCCCGCCGCTCGTGTCGATGCTGAGGGTTGTCGCCTCCCCGTCTTCGAACAGAGACGGCTCCATCACGTCCTTCGACGGCGCGGCGACGTCAGCTTCTTCCACCACGTCCACGACTCCAACGCGTGGGGCAGCAGCAGCATCCACGTGCATCACCGCAGAGTCCCCCGCAACCCCAGCAGCACCGGAGAAGGTGCAGGAAGGCGACACGGTGGACGCCGACAACAGTCACAACTACCACTACTCCCTCGCGCTGCCTCACACGTCTCAAGCACAGCCTTCACGTTCAGTACCACCGTCGCCGTCACAGCACCAGCAGCAGCAGCAGCTACAGCCGCCGTCGACGCAAGGAATCCCACTTCCACAGCGACTTTCGCCGACCGGCTCGCTCCATCTCGAGAGCAGCGGCGGCAGCGCAGCACCGACGTCGCCGTGGCCGTTGCCGCCGCCCTCTCCGATTCCACCTCCGCCTCCGGCAGCTGCGCAGCGTGGTGCTGCTGCCGCTGCTGCTTCGAAGGGTAACGGGCCTCCGTATTTATCCACTGATTTCACCCCTTCCCAGGCGTCCATCGGCGAAGGCTGGGCGGCGCATCACGCACCTCCACAACAACCACAACTCAGCGGTGGCTCGAGTGCTCGTAGCGAGAGTGGCGGTGGTGATGGCGGTGCCGCCGCTGCGGGGGGCAGCCCCTCCTCCCCGCCCACACCTGCGGCGCTCAGCCCGTCCGGCTCCTCCATCGCGTCTGCGCTGAACGCCCTGTCTGCCCAATCGGTGAAGGCCCCATTTATTAAGGTGCAGCGAGAAGAGGTAGCGGCGGATGCGGTGCCGGACTTGGACTCGAGCGCGTGCATCAGCGAAGCTCGCCGTGTTGCCGCCGCCGCAGCTGCTGCTACTGTGGGAGCAGAGCCGTCGACGAAAGGCGCTGGAAACAGCTCTTCCAGTCATCGCAGAGGCAGCCGTGAGGAGGGCGTTCCGCAGCAGGAGGTACATCACGATCCGTCGGACGCGACCGGCATGCCGCCCGGCTCTTCGTCGATGGACGCTGCGCCGCAAAGACACGACAGATGCAACGCGCTGACCGTTACCGCTGAAGAAGGTTGTCATGCCGACGGTTTGGCTGCTCCGCGCGACGGTGCCGGCGACAACCGGGAAGGCGACCGCGACGGTGACTTTGTCGCCAGCACGACGGTGTCAACGCACACGTCGTACACCGACGGCACCGGCACAGGGCTGCTGCATCGTGTGCCATCACCGCCGCCGCATCCCCTTCCTCCTTTCTCGATACCGACACTGCTGATCTCCCCATCCGGCGTGCTCACTGCAGAGGAGGACGTGACGGGGACGCTGTCGCTGCCCACGATGTACGAGTCTGCGGCGGCGTCGACGGTGGTGCTGCCGGAGCTGGTGATGCTGCACGGCAGTCTGTCAGGCTCCCAAAGCAGCAGCGCGACCCCGCGCGGTGCTGCTGTTTATGGCAGTGGTGGAGGTAGCGGCACCCCTCGCGCAAACATCGGAGCTACGACAAAATCTACCACACCTACTTCTGCTGCTGCTGCGTCCATCAGCGCTGCTGCCACGACTACTCCTGCGACTTCTTCTGCGTCTGCTGGGGGAGTCTCGCGTGAGAACGGCATGGCAGAGCCGGCGATGCTGACCGCCACAGCCGCCACCGTCACCGCGAACACGACGGGGACTGCGACACCCGTGGCGCATCAAGATCTCATCTTGCGGTTGTCGTCGCGGGGTGACGAGCTGGGCTGTGCGGCACCGCTGGGCAGCCTCAGCGAGCAGACGAACGCGCTCGCCGACGTGAGCGTCAGCCGGGAATCCAGCTCTCTGCTTGCGTCCTCCTCCTTGCCCCAACAGCCGCAGCTGTCACCATCGACGTCGACGCCGCATTCTTCGCCGCGTGTACCGCCGGAGCCGAACAACAGCTTCAGCGGTGCGGTCAGCGGACACGACCGTCAGGACGCTGCGTCCCGAACGGGCCGAGGGGTCGACTTGAGCAGATATACGTGGCCGTCTTCTCCTCAGCGACACACCGACGTGCCCACGCCGCAGACGGAGGCATCTGTTCTTTACCTGTCGCTGTGGCAGCAGCAGCAGCAACAGCATCAGTGGTCGTTGTCCGCTACGCCTTGCGCAGAGCACGCCGCCGGATCGTCGGCACCGCTGTTGTCACCGCTGTCGCTCGACGCCGGTCACGACGCCCTGCTCCTGCCTTTCACACATCCGCCGCAGCCAACTCCGCCGTTTGTGTCGTCGCCGCCGCATACAACCTCCACCGCGGCAGACACACCCGCGCGAGCTTTTGAAGGCAGCGAGGTGGACAGTAGTGCGGAGTCCGTGGGGACGTGGTCGGCGTCGTCCCCATTCCATTCTTCCACAAAGTGCGCTGTCTGCGCGGGGATGACCACCGCCGTCCTCACGGCTGAATGTGAAAGGGCCGCGTCGGCGTCCTGCAAGCCACACGCGCTCGACGCGAGCACGCAGACGCCGCACCCCACACCACCACCACCACCACTACACCACCAGATGCAGGAATCCTCGGATGCCTCTCCGCTGCACGACTCTGCCGGTGTGGAGCCGTCCTCTTCACCAATGAAGCGGAGGCACACCTTTGGTCCAACCCATCCTCCGCCGTCGCATCCAACGGAGCCCTCCACGGCATCTCCCTGCAAGGCGGCCACGTCCATCACTCCTTCGCCTGTGCTTCTTGCTGCTTCCGGTACTCTAGCTGCATCCTTGGCTGGTGATGGAGGCAGTGGTGATGCTGCTGCTGCCGCCGCCTCCACGGAGGAGGGCGTCTCCGCTGCTCCGCCGCTGTCGCCCTCGTTGCCGCGCCGCACGTGCACCTCCTCTTCGTCGCTGCCGCTGCAGAACTCTAATTCAACTTCCAGTCACCAAGACGACGACGTAACGATGATTATGCGGCGCAGCAGCAGCAGCAGCAGCGATGACGATGATGATGCGCCTCTGCGGCTTCCACAACGAGAGAGCCTGAGCCACCGCAGCAGTCCGGTCAGCCCTCTGCACCTGCGCCTTCTCATGGCGAAAGAGGAGGAGCACGGGGAGCACGAGGAGGCCGAGGAGGCCGATCTTTTCCAACCCGAGCGGCTGTCGAACCTACACCGTCGTCCCCGCGCGGATTATCTGGAGGAAGCAGCCGCCGCAGCGGCTGCGGTGAAAGGAGAGAGGGAGACACAGGACGAGAGAGAGGAGGAAGAAGCGCACGACGATGCAGCGGCGCAGGCTGCGACGACGGCGGCCACGGTGGAGGAGGAAAGCAGCGGCAGCAGCGGCAGCAGTGGCGGTGGTGTCGAAGCAGCAGAGCCATGTGGCGGCTTATGCGAGGACCAGCCACAATCTGCAGATCCGCCACAACCACCACCACCACCACATCGACAGCAACGAGAGCAGCAAGAAAGAGGAGTACCGGTCCTCACCGACGTAACCGGCCGGACGAGCCCAGCAGCGTGCGTGGCGAAGCACGACAGCAGCGCCACCGTGTCCCCTCCGCTAGAGACGGGCCATGACTATTCTGACGCCACCGCTATCCCCAACAACAGCGGCGGGAGCACCATGGTCGGTCACCCGACCCCCAACAACACCATTACCCCTCCACCTCTCTCGCCGCCGTTGCAGCAGCAGCAGCAGCAGTCTTCACCGGTCCTGCAGCACTCCGCCAGCTTGTTCAACAACAGCTCCTCTGCGGTGTCCCTCGGCAACGCCTCCAACACCGCCAGCGGCACCTTCAACACCACGAGCAGCGCGACGAATACAGTGAGTACCACGTTGATGGCCGGCATGTTCTCGACCGTGAACTCGGCCGTTTCCACCGTGACGACGACGATCGGCAGCGCTGCGACGACGACCACCACCACGACGAACCTCACCAGCCCCCTAACCGGGTTCGCATCATCGTCGGAGGGGGGAGCGGCGGCGAGTGCCACACACACCGCCGCAGCAGGCGGCGGCGGCGGCGGCGGCGGCGCTACGACGGCGGGCCCTCCACCGCCCCTGCACCCGCTTCCCCTCCCCTCTGCTCTCACCTCGACCACCACGACGGCGATCAACACCACCACCACGGGCAGCTTATCATCGTATTTGTTTTCTTCTTCATCCCCGGCGGGCACCGCCACGTCGACCATCAACGCGGCCGCCACAATCACCGGCGCGACGACCACCACGTCATCGCTCTTCGACACGCATAGCGCGACCGTCACACTCAGCAGTGCCTCCGTCAGCCGCATCTTCGATCGCTCGAGCTCCCCCCGGGGCTTGTCGACCTCACCGATGAAGGCCTTTCCGGCTGCCCTTCCGCCTTCCCCCCCACCGCGCATCTCACCACGGCAGGAGCGGCAGACAGGTGAGGAGAGCGAGAGCGCCGACAGCGTAGCAGGGGCGGATGGCGCGAGTGGCGACGGTGGGAATGGTAGTAGAGTGGGCCCGCCGTGGCTTGAATTACCGGCAGCCGCAGCACCTCCAGCGGAAGCAGCAACCACAAAAAAAAACGCCTCCGTTGAAGCCGCGACCACCACCGCATCACCGAAGATGACGGTGCTCGGTCGACTGCCTCCGCTGCCGGCGTTGTCGCCCTTTCAGAACTACCCGTTCCTATTGCCGCGGGAGTCCTCGTACGATCCTGATTATGAAGCGGATGATGACGAGGAGGAGGAGGAGGAGGACGATGGTGGTGGTGGTGGTGCACCGGCGGTGCGAGCGGTGGGGGACAGCGACGAAGAGGAGGAAGATCACCACAGCGACGACGACGACGACGGCGGCGCCACACTCAGCGCCACATCGGTGGGTCGTCCGCGTGGCAGTGCGAAGGGTATGCGGAGGGAGACGCAGCTGGACGCCACTGTGGCGGCGGAGGGCGTGAAGAACGTTGATCTGACACAAGAGGAACCAGCAGGAAGATCAGCGTCCTCTGTGGTGCTGTTGGACGCGGTCGCAGGAGCAGCGGGGGAGGCTGCTGTTGCGGCGGCGGTGGTGGCGACGGGAGATGCGGCGCGAGAGGCGAAAGAAAGAGAGGAAGATGATGTTCAAACAGATCGAGGCCACCGAAGTCCCCCATCTCCGTCGCCGCCGACACACCCGCTGTCCGATGCTGCGGCAACGACCGCGAGCTCCGTCTCACGCAAGGCGTCGCAGCGCAGGGAGAGCCCGGGATCCGCACCGGACACCGCCGCTCCTACACCCACGTCGCTGAACGTGGCGATGAAAGACGACGGCGGCGACGGCAACATCATCAGCAGCACGACCAGCCGCCACCAGAGTCACAGGGTGCAGGCCAACGATGACGACGACGAGGAGGCGGAGGGGAAGCGTTCACTGGACAGCGACGAGGGATCATTGGTGTGTGTTGCGGATCTGCACCACCGCTTTCGCTGCTCTCCATCGTCCCCGCTTCAGCCCAGCCCTTACCATCTGACCTCCACGATGACCATGCTGCCCATCTCTACGGTGCTACGAAGCACCGGCACGGCAGGCGGTGATGGCGGTGGTAGCAGTGGTGGCTCGAGCCCCAATCGCGGCGTCCCGTGCGTCGTCGTGCCTCGCCTGCCGTCCCCACTTCTATCCTCCTCTCCGCGTCTGCACCTCGTCGCGTCCTCCCGCGCCGTCCTCGTCACCGGCGGCGCCATCACACGCGCACACGCAGACACAGTTGAAGCACCCGTGCTGCACGACGACACCAGCGGTAGCGGAGAGGCCTCTCCTTTGCCGCACCCTCGACGACGCCGCAGCCACAGCCGCAGCCGCAGCGCGCACTCCGATTCCCCCCCTCGCGGACTTGCCGAGCCGAGCGCCAATGCCTCCGATGCACCGCAGAAACCTCACAAGCACAACGATGACGAACTGCAGCAGCAACCGCAGCAGCAACACCCCGGCGAGCCTGTCCGGCGCAGCCTTGCGGGGGACGGCAACATCTTGAGTGTCAGCAGCTGCTTTGCGAGTCCTGCGGGCCCCTCCACGGTGCGCTCGAGCTTTACAAACGATGTGGATCTCTCCGACATGTCGGTCGTCGTCCGCAGTCGGTCCGTGCAGAGTCAAGAGAGCAACGAGATGCGTCTTAGCGCCTACTCCCCCGAGAGCACCGCCCTGTCGGGGCAGCCGCGGCGCCTCATGCTGTTCCCGCGCCTTTCCCCGCCATCGCAGGCCGCCTCAGCCGGCGAGCTACGCGTCGGCGCTTTTCCATTACGGAGTACGAGCGCAAGCAGTCGGGCGAACACCGTCGCAGCGGCCGTTGCGGCGGTAGCGGCCTCCACGGCATCCCGCACCGCACTGGCCACCGCATCGCCGAGCGACTCACATTTCATCCCTGCTAGGAGAGCAGGTGCAGGCGCGACGGCCACGACGGCAGCCACGGCGGTCTCTCCGACGTTGCCCTCAGTGAGCGCCGCGGACGTGGCCATGCATCGGTCTCCCGTCGCCGCCCCGTCGGACGTGTCTGCACCGCTGCTGCCGTTGTCTCCTGCTGCCTCGACGTCCTCGTCGATCGGATCACCGCCGCCGCTGCCAGAGAACGTGACGGCGGTGCTGCGGGCATCGAGTGGGGGCGTGGACAAGAACACTTACAGCAGCAGCAGCAGCAGCAGCACCAATGTAGCGGAACGACGCGGTGAACCGGTGCTGAGTGCATCAACGGCAAACGCAATGGAAAGAGATACGGCAACAGCAACAACAGCGGCGAGGGGGTCGCCACTTCCGCGGCGGGGCTCTCATGATCAAAACGATAACGACGACGAGGAGGACGGTCTGGCTGGCGAGCGAGCCGCGGCCACGACGGTCTCAGCGAGCACGGGCGACGCGGCTCGGCACATGAACTCCCCTGTGATGGCCACGCAGTCTCAACCCTACGAAGGCGAAAGCGAAGGTGCAAACGTAGATGCCGTTGCGGATGCAGAGGCGCACACAACCAGCTCTCACTCTTCTCCTTCTTCGTTCGTCCATCACGCCGCTGTCGCTGCTGCGGCAGAGGCGAGGTCGATGACAACCGGTCTCACGCCCAGAGAGGGACGAGGTGCGGAGGGCGAAGCGGGCAAGGAGACGGCCCGGGATGCGTCCACGCCGTCGTGGCCGACGCACACCACCGCCCTCCCGCGCCCCCGCCCTCTGATGGTTCCCTACTACCTGGCTCAGTGCGAGGACGGCCTGGGCGATGTGGCCGGCTGTCGCACTGGCTGGCACGCCACGACCTCTGCCTTTTTCCCCGTCACCACGACCACGACCACCACGTCCTCGTCATCCACATTGCCCAGCAGTCGTCGATACACGGCCATTACTACGCGCACGTACGGCAGTGGATCCTCCAGTCTGTACACGGCGGTCTCCGCCCTGGCACGACGACGGGCGTTGGTGCGTGCGAGCTACGAGCGTGCAGGAGGCGTTCCGGCCGCTGACGCCGCATCCGTCGCATCAGCCGCGTCAGCGACAGCGTTGCAGGCGGAAGGAAGCAGCGGCATCATCAGAAGCGGGGTGATGGCGACAGCAGCAGCAGCAGCAGCAGCGCCGCCGTCGTCTCTGCCCGCCCCATCGACGCGCACGCCTGTGCACTCTACTGAGATGGTAGAGGAGGACAACAAATATGAAACTAATAGAGGCAACAATGCGGATGCGGATGGTGCAGGGCCGACACTTCCACATGCCCATTCCTATCGAGTCGCAGACACACATGCAGGGAGGAGCGTCGCGCTTTCTTCCTCTGGTCCGAGTGGGGCAGCTCGACGGTCCGCAACGGTCGCCGGTGGTGCATCGGCGGGCAGCGCATCGCGAGACAGCGATGCGCGACTGCTGGCACTCATGCGGCGCACCGTGAACTCTGCGAGGTAGATAATCACCTTGTTTTGCTAGCGCTTCTTTTTTCTTTATTGTATTGTATTATATTGTTCCTACACTTCTATCACCGTTTCAACGACGAAGGTACCGACCAGCAGCAAACAAACATTTCTCTTTCTCTCTCTGTGTGTGTGTGCGGGAGGTCAACCATCTAGACGGAGCGGCAGCGCTTTACGGGAACGCAGTTGCATCGGATGGTCTCTCGGCGGAACGCGAAAACTGATTAAATAAAAAAAGGTTGAAGCCATCGAGGGACACCAGAAACGGCAACAAGAAACAACAGCAGAAAAGGACAATAGCACGAAGCAACACCGCCTGTGACGCGTTGACGCACGAGCAAACCCTCGAAGACAGACACCAGAGGGAAGAAAAATAGTCCTGCGTTTTCGGGTTACGTCTTTCCTCGTTGTACTCCCCTCCCGCCGCCTCTTCTCTCTTGGGGTTTCACCATTGAAACATCGGGTATTTTGTTTTCTTCCTCATTGACCATTTAAACTCATCCTCTTCTTTTTTCTTGGTTTCGGCTTTCCTTTAGATTTCAAACGCTCTTCTCCATCATCATTTTCACACTCAAAGGAAAAAAAAGCAATTAACCCTGTGTCGCTAACACCAACAGTCACACACAGACACACACACGCTCGCCTACACACACATATCTATTCTACTTCTTTCTTCTCTAAAAGGAGATCTTCCTCTTCAAAAACAAACAGCACCCTTCACCTTCTCCAGCTCGAACCATGTCGCGCCCCGCCCACACCGCGCCGGCTGCGGCCAAGCAGTACTCCACGCCGTCCCTCTTCAAGGACTACAACAAGGCCACCAAGGACATGCTCACGAAGAACTACCCGGCGCCGGGGAACTGGACGGTGGAGTGCAAGTACAAGGGGCCCAAGGACACCTTCTTCGTGAACCCGCAGGTCAGCAATGAGGGCAAGATCACGACGGACATCGAGTACGTCGCGGAGTGCAACGGCGGGGTCAAGATCAGCCTCACCCCCGACATCGCGCGCGAGATCAAAGGGACGGCGCACTACACGCTGAACGGGCACAAGGTCGAGGTCGCGCTGCAGCGCAACGGGGACAGCCTTCGCTACGAGGTCAGCCACGAGACCTGCGTCGCCCTGTCGAAGCTCGCGAGCATCAATGAAAAGATTACGCCGGAGCAGGTGGAGCTGGGCATGGGCATCGACGTCGCGCCGAACTGCCAGGTCGGCTGCGGCGCGGTGTACGACCGCAAGGCGAACGATTGCAGCTGGAACGTCGGCTGCCGCTGGGCGGAGAAGGGGTACGAGGTGGCGATCCGCACGAACCGCTTCCGCACCTACCAGTCCAGCGCCAGCCTGCCTGTGAACTTCACCTTCCGCGGCAACCCGTGCACGGTGCGCGGTGCGGTGGAGGTGGAGTGCGGGCACGGTCGCGGGGACAAGGGCACAGGTGTGACCTTCGGCGTGGAGGCGACGTGCCCGGTGCTGCCGGCCAACACGATTAAGGCGCGTGTGAACCGCAACAAGGAATGGGCCGTCGCCTACATCGCCAAGATGGCGGACAACTGGACCGTGTCGGTGTCGATGGACAAGAATCTGAAGCCGGGCGTGCTGCTGACCCACTCGTAAGGTGACCAGCTAATGGAAGGGAGTGGGTGTGTTGAGAGGAAGGCACAGAAGTCGTACGAAGAGAAGCCAAACATGCATGCTTCAAAACAAAAAAAGAAAAGATAATCGAATAGGATAACATCGGCACACCCACATCCACCCACACACGTACGCACGCACTAACGAGCGCAGATAGAGAAAGTGCAGTTGTGCCTACACACGTGTGTGTGCGTGTGTGCGTGTGTGTCTGTGTGCGTGTCTTCACCATATATATACATGAAACGAGATGAATGTTTTCTTTTTAAGTGAGAGAGATGAATAGAAATGCAGGACTCATTTTGAGTTACAGCGGGAGGCGTAAAAGAAGGAAATGGAAAGGAAGGCGTCCGGCACAGGGGCGGCGCTCGCACTGCTCCTTACTCTGCCGCAGAAAGTATTTTCGTTTCTGCTTTTTACACTCGCTGCTGTGTTTCCTTTTTGTCGTTTTTCCTCCCACGTTTGTCTCAATGCTTTGGCGCTCAAGTATATAATATGTAGTCTGTCGGTTTTTCCGGTGTACGTGAATGAAACCCCCAAGTAGGATATATATATATATTCTTTATTTTATTGGTTTCCTTTGTCTTCGTGTATCCTCTTGGTTTTCCCCCTGTTCGCAACGCTGTTTGAGATTTATTTATTTTCTTAAAAAACAAACAAACAAAAAGAGGCTTCTTCATCTTTTCATTTTGTTTCTGAAGTTTTTTTTCACTTGTACCGGTTTTTTTTGACTTGTACGTGTTCGTGTGTGGGTGCGTGTGTGTGCGTGCGCGCGGGCGTCTCATCCGCGTGGACCTGCTGCGTAATCGCCGTATTTTTGGCCTCTCCAAAAATGCTGCTCGTGCGCGTGCGTTTTGGGTCGTCACCTCGGCTTGTTTTTTTCGTTCAGCAGCCGCAGCCGTGCCACGCGTGTGTGTGACTTCGCGTGTGTCTCTCGCTCGCTCCTTCGCTCTCTCTGTGCGTATGCGTGTGTGTGTCTATGTGTGGACGCTCCTCGTGAAGCGAAGCCGCCGACGAAGCGGCAGATCACAAGGAATCGTGTATGATGCCTGTGGACGACCGCGGCGGACTCAACACACATACAGAAAGATAAAGGGGGGGGGGGAGGGAGGGAGAGAAGGAAGAGACTCCGCCTCGGCGAGCGACACGAGAGCCGAAAGCAAACAACACGCACCCACACCACACACCCAACACATCACACACACAGATGAAAAAAAAAATAACGCTAACGGAACTATCTGCCTCCTCCTCTTTCTTCCTTGTTTTCGTTTACTTTGTTTTATGATTATTACTTGTTTATCCTCCTCCTCCTTATGAACTTAGCACACCAAGATTTAACTGTAACGCAGAGGAAAGAAGAAAGAAAAAATAAAAGTGAATACCAGTGGATGAGAAGCACACGGTGTGCAAGTAGACGACAAGAGACACCACACGTGTGTGTGTGTGTGTGTGTGTGTGGATGCTGGTGTGTGCAAAGGCAAAATCTTCACGTGGCTTGTATCGCACAACCCTCTCAATTATTATTATTATTTTTTATTTTGAGACTTTTGCTCGTCTTCATCTGGAGAGATCCCACGCCGTATCGTTCGTTCTTTCCTTTTCCCCTTTCTTGTCTACTAAAGGTGTTTTCTGTGTAGCTGACGATACACATTATTTTTTGTTTTCCTCCTTCTAGCAACAGATGAAGAAAGGGAACAAGAATCAAATGGGAAAGGAAGATGCGGAGACTTTGTTGTTGAGACGGAAGGCGTTTCGAAACGTGAAGGTAAGGCACAGAAGTTAGAAAACACACACACACACACGCTTACTCACCCACTCACTCACTCACACACACAAAGCGCTGCGTAGAAACACAAAACAAAGCAAAGGCAATTCAATTTAGTACTTGTTTTCTCGTCTTTTTTCTTCTTCTATTAATTTATTTGTATTTTTGATTTCTCCGCATCGAAGCGAGAAACGCTCCCCGAGCTCCCCCGAATGGGGGATTGAGAAAAAAACGAAGAGAGACGGAGAATATACGCGTGAAGAAGAAGAGGAGGAGCGCCGTACTTGGCGGTTCACACACGTTTGAAGTCATTGTTCCTCGCCTCTTTCATATAAATGAAAGCAATGAAGAGATGGGAAACGCGGAATGGAATCTGAATCAAACATGTGTCTAGATGAGCATGCCCGATCAACTTCCCTCATCTCACAAGTGTATTATTACCTTATTATTATTATTATTAATACGAAAGTGTCGTTCGATCACTGCTGTTGAACGGTTTCCGCTCTCGCGACAGCCGGCAAGCCCTGCAGGCGCCGCCGCACAAGTACTTCTCTTCTCTCCCTCTCTTTCGCTTCGACATCGTTTCCCCCGCTGCGAGACGCATTGGCGTATCGCACCGCACGCCGCTTTTTGCGTTCTCCGCTTTCCCGAAATCCTTCAGCACAGCCGCACACACACACACACACACACACACACGCACAACCTCCCTCGTGAAGTCTCCCTTAGCCACAACAAGAGAAAAAGGAAAAGAAAAGAAAAGGAAATAAAAAAATGGCCACCCTCTACAAAGACTACAGCAAGGACACCAAGGACCTGCTGACCAAGAACTTCAGCGCCGCCGGCGACTGGAAGATTGAGAACAAGGCGAAGGCCACCAAAGGCAACTACGCCGTCGGCACCGCCTCGAACGCGCGTGGTGATGTCACCGTCGATGTGGAGGGCCTCACGGCAGACGGCGCCTGCTATGGCAAGCTGAGCCTCACGCCAAAGGAGCTGCACGACATCAAGGCGTCGCTGCGGGCCGAGAACTATCGGGGCAACAAGGTGGAGGCCATCCTTACAAAGAAGGGAGCGTCGCTCAAGGACTTCTCTTTTGAGGTGAACCACGAGACGCTGCAGCCCCTGGCGAACGGCCGGCTGCGCGTGAATGACAAGGTGACAGACAAGGCGGTTGAATTGGGTCTGAGCATCGCCGCGGTCGACGGCGTGCAGCTGGGCTGCGGTGCGACCTACAACTTCAAAGCACAGACCTGCAACTGGTCGGCTGCCTGCCGCGCCGCCGCTAACAAGAGCACCACCGTGACGTTGCAGACGGAGGCGCTGCGGAACGTGGAGGCGCGTGTGCTGACGACGGCGGCCCTGCACCCGCGTTTTCAGCCGCGTGTAGCGGCGAATGTATCGTATGACGTGTCGTCGAAGGTGTGGGACGGCGCGCTCGGTGCCGAGTGGGGCTGCAGCGTAATTGCCGGCAACACGTCGAAGGCGCGCGTGAACAGGAAGCTGGAGTGGATGGTGTCCTACGTGGCGGCGCTGCAGGGTGGGTGGACGCTGACGCTGTCCTTGGATAAGCAGATGAAGGCCGGCGTGTCGCTGGTCCGCAACTAGCGAAAGGAAGAGAAGGGTGAAGCCGAGTGCGAGGCACGCCGGGAGGGCAAGTTGCGTGTGTGTGCGTGCGCGTCTGTGTGTGTCTGTGTCGATGCGGGAGAGCAACGAGACGGAGACACGAGGGCGAACGCGCCAACAGGCGTGGAGAGAGGAGATAGGAAAGAGGAGGGAGAGGGGAGCGTTTTATTATTATTATTATTACTATTATTTTGAATGCTGTATCAACTGTGCTATACGTGCTTGCTTTCATTTTTTATTTTGTTGTTTTTCTCACCTCGCTTTCTTCCATTCTCTCTCTCCTATCGCTGCTCCTCTCCCCACCCCTCCACGTGATCATCGCTGTGGCTTTCACGCGGTGTGGCTGCCGTTGCTGCTGCTGCTGCTCTGCTTTAGCGACCGAGCCGCACAACGCACCTCCTCCTTCTCACCCTAACTCGCCTCTTTTAAAATTCTTTCATAGATATAATGCTGCCTAACATACACTTCAACGGTTCAATTTTTATTTACAAGCTTTAACGGGGAGCAGCCACCTACAACTTAATGAAGAAAAAGAGAACAAAGGAATTCCCTCCTGATGTGTACGGATGCTTCGCGAGGACAAAATACATTATTATTATTATTATTATTACTGTTATTTAAAGGGAACGGGGATCGACTGTCGCTCCATTTTTTCTTTTTTTCTTTGTATGCCGTCAATCGTATGTGTGGTGTGTCCCCCTCCCCCACTCGTCTATGCGCTGCCAGACTCTGTTGACCACGCCTGGCAGGCAGCAGCTTTGTCGCGCCCTTTTTCATGATGAATGGACGCATTCAGACACACACTCACACACACGTGCACGCATACGCATACGCATGCGGGCGACAAGGCGACGCCCGCGAAAACAAACCACAAAAACAGCAGACTAACAGTTATCATAATAGTAGGCATCAGACTCTGTAGCGTCTCTCTCTCTCCCCTTCGTCCACGAGATGAAAGGAAGAGAAGTAATTCACGTCACTTCACACACACGCACACAACAGGAAACCAGCAACAAAGCAGCAGTCGTGTATTCGGATGAGGAGTACGATACACCTTTCAAAAAAAAGAAGTAAACGGTTGAAATCTCGAAGGAGAGGGTGTTGTGACACACACACACACACATATGTATACAGGTGACAATCTACACCAGAGTTATGAAACGCAGTGTACACGGTTTTTTTTGCGCAGTGCAGCTGTGCCGCATGATGCAGCCCCCCCCCCCCTTCTTAGAAAAGCACGCCCCGCGCACAATGATCTTCGTAGACTCCTTTCCCTTCCTTCACCCTTCTCTCTTCTCCTTTTCTTCTGTCACCGCCTGCACGTCATGCAATGCAACCCCCTTATTTTTTTCCCCTGTTCCCACGGCTCGCTGCTCACGCGATCGAACGAGGGGGTGTGCGTGCTTTGGACGCACCTACACCCACACAACGAACACCTGCGGAGCGAGAGGTGACCATTCATTTCGGTTTACTACGCCAGCCTCATATCATATATATATATATATATATATATAAAGCGGCGTTTGCTCCTCAACGGACTCCATCCCACCTCCTCACGACGAGAGAGAAAGCGGTTCGAAGTACAAGACCACAGCACCTACGGCAGCATCACCATCATGGCTGCCATACCGCACCCGGTCAACGAGGCAGGTCACCTCGTCATCGGCGGTGTAGGCGCAATGAACATCGTCGCGCAGTTCCACACACCCGTCATCGTGTACGACTTCGCCGACGTCCGCCGCCGTGCCCGCGCCTTCCGCGCTGCCTTCGACGCGGCGGGCGTGTCCTACCAAGTCGCGTACGCCTCGAAGGCGCTCTCCATCCTCGCGATGTACCAGGTCGTGCTGGAGGAGGACCTGTACGTGGACGTTGTATCGGGTGGGGAGCTGTACACCGCCCTGCACGCCGGGGTCCCGCCAGCGCGAATTCACTTTCACGGCAACAACAAGAGCGATGCGGAGATGCGATACGCACTGGAGGCGCGGGTGGGCTGCTCCGTGGTGGACAACATGCGGGAGGTGGCGCGGCTGCCGCAGCTGGCGGCGGAGGTCTTTGGTGCCGCGTCCACCGCACCACCAACAACAGAAGCAACAGGATCCGCAGAGGCATCGGCCACTGCTACTCCCCCATCTCCGCTCGCGGCTGCCAACACGGTGGGGATCATTCCATCCTCCGCCGCCGTCTCCGCGCTCCCCTCCCCCTCCGCCGCCGCCCTCTCGTGATGTCGTGCGAGTGCTGCTGCGCGTTGCACCGGGCGTCACGGCCCACACCCACGAGCACAACACCACTGGGCAGGTGGACTCCAAGTTCGGCCTCGACATCGCCAGCGGGCAGGCGACGCAGGCCTACCAGGTCCTCTCCGCTGGTCCCCACACACAGGTGATCGGCGTACATTGCCACATCGGCTCACAGATTTTTCAGGCGGTGGGGCACGTGTTAGCGGCGCGGCGGCTGATGGCGCTGATGGACAGCTGGGGCATGACGGAGTGTGTGCTTAACGTTGGTGGTGGCTACGGCGTGCGCTACACCGCCGACGACGCCCCGCTTCCGCTGTCGGCGTACATCGAGGCGATCGTCACGGCGGTGAAAGAGTACGTGGCGGCGGCGACGTCGAGGATCAAGGTGCCGGCGTTCTGGATTGAGCCCGGCCGTTCGTTGGTGAGCGAGGCCGGCACCACGCTTTACACGGCGGGCTCGCAGAAGGTCGTCCCGGGTGTGCGCACTTATCTCGCCGTGGATGGCGGCATGAGCGACAATATCCGTCCCGTCACCTACCAAGCGGTGTACAGCGCGGCCCTCGCCAACAAGATGAACGCGCCAGCCGACCACACCTACAACGTGGTGGGGAAGCTGTGCGAGTCGGGCGACCAGCTCATCCGCGATGTGGCACTCCCGGCGGCGGAGGAGGGCGACGTCGTCGCGGTGTTCTGCACCGGTGCCTACTGCTACGCCATGGCCTCCAACTACAATAAAATGTGCCGTCCTGCGGTTGTCTTCGCGGAGGACGGGGCGGCCAAGCTGGTGGTGCGTCGTGAGTCGCCGGAGGACTTGATCCGGAATGAGCTGCCGTACACGTGAGGGACGGTGTGGTGCGGTGGACACAGCCGTGAAAATAAAAAGAGGAGAGAGACAATAAATATATATATATATATTTATATCTGAACGTTCGAGGAGGATACGCGCGTGCGCTGGACGAGCCATACACGCATCTATCTGAACCTCTTCATTCCACTGAAGCGGTCGTAGTAGTATTGGCTGACACAGCGCTAACATTTTTTTTTTTCTTTGGTCTTCTTTGGAACGGGATGAACGCTATTTATTTCTTTCATTTTAATTGAATCCAACCAACTTCGTTGTTCTCTTCTAAGCTTATCGTCACGGGGAAGGGGTGGGGGGTGGGGAGGATGGGGGGATTGGAAGAGGTCCGTGCGAACGCGTGCACTGCTGGGGAAAAGGCTATCACAGGTGCAACGCCGCGGCTACCCGTTTCAACTGTTCCTTTCCTGTTCTCGTTGTTGTGGTTGACCCGGAGCCGACGGGAAATGAGAGAATGAAGCCGTACTGTTGTCTGAGGTCTCTCTTTGTTCTCTATTGTTATTATTATTATTATTATGCAAACAACACCATGGACGTCAGTACGAATCGCAAGCGTAGCGGTGGTTCTACCTGCGTGGCTTTCTCCTCGCCTGATCTCCTCACCCGCCGCTCATGCGGATGATACTTTTGCTTTACCCCCCATCAACGAAGGTTTCTTGTTGTAAAGCCCACTTTTTATCGTTAATGCTTTCTAATTTCTTATGCCCGCAAATATATATTTATATTCCTCCTTTCGGTAAGCGTGCAAATCACGGCAGCTGTGTCAAATCCACGAAAGCATGATATATATACATATATGTGCATCCATTCTTGTTCTTGTTACAACAGGGGACCTTTTCAGCAGGCGCATGCACGTCCGCGCCCACCTGCCAAATGCGAAATCGCTGTGTGGGTATCCGCCCGCTTCGTTCAGTTCAGCTGCTGTTAATATTCTTATTCTTTTTATTTTTTTAGGGCGAGATAGGCCGGGCTGCCGCTGCGGGATGCTCTCCTGATGACCGCCCCAACGAACATGCGGAAGAAGAAACACCCCCGTCGTGTTTCATGGCACTGCGCTTCCCAACGCCCGTTGTTCTCTTTCTCTTTTCACATTCAAAAAATGGCCCTCCACTTACCTCTCCGACCTTCCTCAACGGCGACCGCGACAACACACAGTAAATCTCAGGCCACAGCTGCCTTGCTAACACCTACACGAACACCCACAGAGAAGTCTTCTATCCACCGCGCAAACCTTCGAGTTACTACTACCACCCCCCAAAAGAGACATCAAGTATATAGTACGAGGGCAGGCCTTACCTGAAATACAGCAACAAGAAAGAAGGAGGCAGACACTTTACCCGTCCCGCGCTTTTCAGACTCTTTTGATTTTCTTTCCCTCGAGCACCCTTCCCCAACGACACACCCGCCCACACGAACCGTCAAGATGAACCAGCAGGACAGCAACTCGGACGGGTCCGGCAACGGCCGGCCGCAGCGCAACGAGCCCCTCGTGGACGAGGTGGCGCTCGCCTGTGACGGTGATGCGCACGACGGAGACTACTCTGCGGAGAAGATCGTTGTACAGCCTGTCGATGGCGAAATGCAAAGCGACTCACAGAGTAGTGACGACAGCGAAGAGAGGAAGCCGCATGGCTTGGAGTCAGCACTGTGCATCGGCCCGGTGGTGACCGGATTTAAGCGCATCAGCAATCGTTTGGTGCCGCCCGGTGGTCACCTGTCAAACATCTTCAACATGGCGAGCAACACGCTGGGCATCGGCGTTGTGTCGATGGCATCCGGCTTCAACACGACGGGCATCGTTCTGGCCGTGATTTTGATGATCGTGTGCGCCGTGCTGGTGGTGTTCTCCTTCTACCTGATCGGTGCGACGTGCGAGCGCAGCCCGTATCGCTCGTGGGAGTCTGCGTGCCGTGGCATCCTGTTCCGCGGTGCGGACTACTGTGTGGCTGGCGTGATGATCTTCTTCCAGTTCGGCGCGATGGTGGGCTACGTCATCTCCATTCACGATCTGCTTGGCCCCTTTCTTGACTCCGACAGCGTGAACCCCTTCCTGCGCACGGCGAACGGGCGGCGCCTGCTGACGGCCGTCGTGTGGTTCTTCGGGATGCTGCTGCTGTGCCTTCCGCGGCGTGTGGCGTCGCTGCGGTACTTCTCCATTGTGGGTGTGACGCTGGTGGTGTACTTCGTGTTTGCGGTGGTGGCGCACTCGTCGATGGCGGGGCTACCGCACCTGCACGACATGAAGCTCTTCGCCTCCGGCATTGACGCCGTGGACGGGCTGACGCTGTTCATCTTCGCGTTCCTCGGGCACGGTCTGTGCTTCCGCCTGTTCGACGAGATGCGGGTGCCGTCTGCAATGAACTTGCTGAAGGATGGGTGTGGCAGCGTGACGCTGGTCGGCGTCCTGTACTTCATCGTTGGGTTCTTCGGGTACGCGGAGTTCGGCCTGGACATCTCGGGCTCCATCTTCAAGTACTACGAGGTGCGCAGCGACCCGATGATGTGCGTGGCGTACATCGGGATCATGCTGAAGATCTGCGTCGCGTATGCGCTGAGCGGGCAAGCGTGCCGCCTGCCCGTGTATTACATCCTGCGCCGTGATCTCGATACATCTCCGTACTGGCTGCACTTCTGCATCACGATCCCGATCTGCCTGTGCTCGTTCGTGCTTGGGCTGTTCGTACCGGACGTCAACATCGTATTCAACCTGCTGGGCAGCATCTGCGGTGGCGTCCTTGCCTTCCTGCTGCCTGCGTTCTTCGTGATGTACCTCGGCGGGTGGACGCTGAAGCGCGTTGGGTGGTGGCGACTGGGCATGACGTACCTGAACATCGTCGCTGGTGTGGTGGCCATTGTCTTCGGCACTGCGGTGACGATCGACGGTATCGTGCAGAAGTACGGCTGAGCACGTGCCGTGTCCGCTGTGTGTGCGTGTACCTGCCATATGGAAGGGAAGACTGCACGAGGAGGGATGCTGCGAGCAGCTTCATTCGGACTTGAGATGCGCGGTCCCACTCGCGTGGCGGGTGTCCCTCTATGAGGTGAGGAACGAACTTTTTTTGTATTTGTCGTGGCGGTTGCTGTTCTCGTACACTGGTGGAGAAAGCCAAAGAGCAGAAAGTGTGGAGTGCGTCTAGTGAGGGAGCGCCGGTGCGGCACGGGTGCGCGTTGTTGTTTGCACTACCATTCCTATCGTCTCATCTCGGTAGCATTACGACGGCTGATGCTTTGATATTCGACATTTTCTTTTTTTCTCTGTTTGCTTGTTGTTGGCTGGTTTCCTACGGTGCGAAATCGCACTCCGGGCTTCGTGTCCTCCGTCCCCTGCGGTGTCAGAGGAAGTCTACGTGTGTGTATCACGCGGTTATGTGTGTGTGTGTGTATGTCCCCTCTTCGCGGTCTGCGTGCGCGCCTTCAGGCGCCGCTCGTTCGAGTGCGTTCTCTTGTTGCCGGAGGCGCCCGAATAGTACAGCGCTTACTTTTACTTTTACTTTCTTTTTTCTCTCCTTGAAGTTCAAGGCAACTCTATTTGGTAGGCCTCTCCCTCCGCCTTTCCTTGTATTTATTTATTTAAAGTTTTTCTTTCTCCGACTGATCCACTGTGTTGTACCTTCCATTGTGCGATGAGGCGAGCGTTGAGGCGGAGGAGGCGGGTGGGGGGAGGTCTCATGTGCGATGCGGGCGTGCGCGTGTGGGTGACCACCGCACCGTGCCATGTGCGACTTTGTTTTCATTTATTTTTCTAAATAAAATTCTTCTTCCATCTCCTGTTCTCGTGCGAATGTGTGTGTCTGAGGGTGTGTCTCTGTGTGTGGGAGAGGCTACGCAACACCTTCTACGTGGGTATTATATCTATACGTATGTACATGTGTACAGCGGTTTGCGGACGTGCTCGGCGGGCGGAAGAGGGGGAAAGGCGTGCATGTTTTGCCTGCGCATGCGTCCTTCTCCCAGTTTGCATAAAGGCTTCAATACATGTGGAATACAATCGTCAACAGCGTATAGGTGCTACGAAGGCGAGGGAGGGAGGAGGGAGTAATATATATCCAATACGTGCGCAGTGTGTCCGCTGGCAGGAGCGGAAAAAATGGGAGGAGAAACGTGGAATGCACGGCCTGCCAAATGAAGGGGAAACACACACACACACGTGTTTGTAGACTGCGCTTACTTTCTTCTGTGCGTTGCCGTCTTTTGTCTTGGCGATCCACAAAGGTAAATAAATCGACCGTTCTTGATTCTCTATTGGAATAGCCCTCCTCCCTTCCTTCGACGCGCTCTCTCTCTCTCGCTCGGCCTCCGCACTCGCTCTTTTGACGGTATCGCCACGCGCCGCATCCATCGTCGCTCTCGCCCATCTATTGCATCCGAATGGCACCGTTCCTCGTCTCTCACGTAGTTCTCCTGCCTGGTAGCCTCTCCCTCCTCCCCCTCCCTCCCTCACAGGAAGTATCGCTCCAGAGCATCCCGACGTTCCATCTAGAACTTCCCTTCACCCTCCCCCATACACACTCGCTGCCCTTCTTTGCTTTCCGTAATACCCCGCTCTCCGTCGTCTGCCAGAGGAGGAGCAGAAGTACTCTCTCTATACACACAGGGATAGGAGACCAAGAAATCAAATCGAACCGTCTTAGTCGTTGCAACGCACGAACTGCTGCTGCAGCCTCCCCTCCCTCCCCCATGCGTGTCGATCCCTTCTGCACCGTCATTCGTTTCGCCCCCATCGGCGTACTCATCGCTGTCCATTGCTCCAACGGGCACTGGCCCAGCGATGAGGAGTGCGCCGAGCGCGTCATCCGCGCCGGCTTCTGCGTCGACTTGGTCCGCGAGCGGCCGCTCTCCGTTGTGACGCACCTCTTCATCCACATCTCCTCCCAACACCTCCTCAGCAATATCTGCTCCTTTGCGGCGACGCTGTTGGAGTATGGTGACGTGCCCGTACCAACGCAGCCAAACGCCGATGGTGATGATGATGATCATGCGGCGACGGCGGACGGCAACGACGAGTATCCGACACCCGCTTCGCAGCGGCACGGCAGCGTGGGGGCGCAGATGCGTGCCCTCTGGTGCGAGCACAGTCCTGCGCAGGCGTGTCTACGCACCGTTGGTGTCTTCGCCGTGTGGCTGATCGGCGGCGCGCTCGGTGGGCTGGGTGGCCAGCTCCTCTACAACGACTCCACGGTGATGCTGCGGCGGGAGCGGGCTGCTCGGGCTGTCCACGCTGTTCGCGAGTCGCAATCCGCCTCTTCTCCCTCCTCCTCCGAGGGTGGAGTACCCGTGCTGAGTACGTTGAGCCGGCACGCGCGCGTTCTGCGGCAGCGAGCCGAGGCGATGAACTCCACCTTCGCCGCGGCGGCGCAGCAGGCGGTGAACAACGCGATGATGATGTGCGGCGCGAGTGCGGGCATCTGCGCCCTCTCCGGCTTCAACGCCGTGTACTACGGGCGGCCGGTGACGGCGTTGTGCATGGTGGTGCCGGAGGTCGTGGCGCTGTCGGCGGACGTGGTGAACCACTACATGGCCCTCCTCGCTCCGAATAACGGTTCGAGTGGCAGTCCCGCCCTGGATGCGCAGCGGAAGGCGCTGCGGTCGACGTGGAGAACGTTGATGCCTGGGCAGGTGGTCGGCCACGCCGCGCACGTGGGGGGTTTCGTGGCCGGTGCAGGGATCGGCTATGCGTGGTTGTGGGTGCAGAAGCGGCGGCTGAGGCACGCCCAATCCCGCCGGCGCGCGCGCAAATAGACGTTTGCTTTCTTTCTTGTGAAGTCGTGAAGGTGGAGCTGCGTGGCAGGAGATAGGAGGAGGAAGAGATATTGCGGTTATATATCGCCATTACCCCCCTCTCCCCCCTTGGTTCTCCGTTTTATCGAAGTAGTAGCAGGCGGCGCAGCAGCGTGTGGTGTTGGCCGCCGCATTACTTACTACTATTATGAATGATATTATTATTATTATTATATATTTTTATTTGCCGTGTTGTCGGCATTTGTATCCATGCTTTGTGGACAGGCGTGCACATGGCGATCGGCAAACGAGCCATATATATTTTGTCTTGTTGCTGTTCCCTTCGACCACACACCCACTCACACATACTACCGAGAAAGCACAGCCGCTTAAACCACAGGATGTGAGCAGCCTGGCTCACAGAGTTTATTTGTTTTGCTTTCCGCGCCAAACCGCACCCGACACTGGTCTTGTGAACGACACAAAATGTCTTATAATATATATGCATAATACTATAGTAACGTACGGTTCTGCATCTTCCCCTTCCCTCTCCTTCCCTCTCCTCCCCGCCTGCTACGCGTGAATGCGTGCATGTGCGTCTGATTTGTGGTCTTCGCTCGCAGAACACCATCTCTCTTCTCTTCCGATGTCTCACCTCATTTTTTTCTTCTCGCATCTTCTTTTACTCCTCCTTTAAATAAAGAAATATATTTGTTTCTCCCTCCTCCATAGATAGCCTCCAACCATGTCGACCACCGTTCCACCACCCACGCAAAGGGTGCGGTGCGTGTACACCACCGTGCTGAGCAGCAAAGCGACGCGCTACTTCGCCGTGGCGCCGGTTAAGCTCTACGAAAACATTCTCGCTACACAGCTAAGAGACGATGTGACGGCGCTGGTGGCTGCGAACGCGGAGGACGGCGGTGCGTGCTGCAACACCGCGAACACGAACAGCACCAGCAGCGGCAGCAGCAGCACTTCTGACATGCCATTGCCGAGCCCCACCAAGCCGTGTGTCTGCTTGACCAACGTCACATTACTGGAGGTCAACCGCCGATTTGCTGATATGCCAAACCTGTTAGGCGTGACATTCGAGGTGTACTACGCCGTCTACGAGTACAAAGACGGACAGCTCATCTCTTCTTCTTCTTCTACTTCAACTTCAACTTCGACTCCGGTGCCGACGCTCCCGTTCGCCTGGACCACACCACGCAACAGCGCGTTCCCGCATGTCGTGTCGAACCTCTTTCACGCCCTGACGCGTAAGACGTACCTGAGCGAGCTGACGGCGTCACCGAGCGTGCTGGCCCACGTGACGATCGATGAGGTGGACTTCGTGCTTCACAGCGATTACGATTTCGGTGACGACGACAACGACGACGGTCGGGGCGAGGACGGTCGTCTCACCGGCGCGGAGGGTTTCCACGCGTTTCAAATGACGACGAAGGCAGCACCGGAAGCGTGTCCAACATCCGCAGCGTCCGTGCTGCTCGGGAGCGACGATGATGCCACCACCGTGGTGGATTACTGCACCGCGCTGCGTGGCCCTGTATCTCCCGCCTACGCGTACACGCCTGCCATGTTTAAGGTGCACAAAACGGATCCCAACGGCACCGTCGTGACCTACGTCTACCCCGACGCGGTCGTCTACGCGGCGAAGGGCATCGACGTGTCGTCGTCGTCCGCGCGCTGCGATGGCGTGATGTGCCCGATAGGGATTTTGTGTGGCGTGGTGATGATCATGCTGGTTCTGGCGGCGAGCATCGCGTTTGTGGTGCACCGCTGCCGACGTCGTCGCAACGAGCGCGAAGACGAGAAGCGGCTTCTGCAGCGTCAGCAACGTTGAGGCTCGCCCTCTTCCCTACCTCTTCCCCCTCTCCCACCCACCCTCTCTCATGCGAGAGGATGAACCGCAACGGGAAATCTATTTCAGCTGATATGTCTGGCGTTTTGGGAGTCAGTGCATGTTGCGGAGCAGGACTTCAGCAGGCAAGAGGTGCTGCTCACGCTGGCTCTGCTGTGCTCTGCGCTTCGTGATGTGCATAGATACTATTATTGTTTCTTTCTTTATAAATGTATACAGAGGTCTGTCGCGACATGTTTTGTGTTGCTCTTTTTCTTTTTTACTGCTTTCGTTTTTCGTCTTCCCCCCCTCCTCTGATTGAAGCAGGCGGCGCTTGTATTATTCTTATCGGAGTCCGCGGTGACACCGACTGCACCGCACGGCTGAACTCACCGCCGCTTATTATTTCTACTACTATTATTGCCTTTTCCTTTCCGATCTGTTACTCATTCAATCCTTATTTTTTTTTTTAAAGAATACAATACGGAAACATTCCGCGCGAGTAACACGTTTCGTCCGGTTACACTATCGTTCGCTGTTGCCAGTTCTCGGGGCCGCGCGCTGCCGAACCCTCTTCTCGGCCAGCTCTGCGACTTTGACGGCGCCCTTTCCTCCTCTGACTGCCTTTCTTTCCTCTACGTATTGAAGGTGGTATGCAGTCCCATGCGACTGCGCGGACGCAGCTTTTGTCACTGGCGATGTGACTGCGTCAGCGTACGACATCATCTCGCCGTCGCTTTTCGCTCTCCATCTCTCTTTCACGCGTTGGCTCTTTCCACCCTCTTTACGGACTTGTGCGCTACACATTTTATCTGTGTTTAATTGTAAGGAGAAGAGTGCGCCTGCAAAGGACGCACCCGCCGTATACAACTTAGAAAGTCCACACCCGGTGCAAACCCGCCGACGCCGCTACCACCACCGTGTATCGAGTTTCCATATATATATATATATATATATATATATTTTTCAACGGTACCGGACGCGGTCATCTCAGTCCCTTCCGCCCCCTCCCCCCCTTCTCCTCCTCTCCTCCCCATCCTTTGCTGTTCTTCTCGCTCTTCTCATTCGTGCACTGGCGATACATTACAAGACAACATCAATACATATATATTCACTAAAAAACCAATTAGAAATACCACCGCAGTGGACAGTGAAAGAAGCAGTGCTTTAAAAAAAAGAAGAGAATACGCTATCGTGTGTTGGCTGCCGTTGTTGTCGCCGTCGTGGGATTTCTGCTAGAGTTCGTGTGCTACAAGTAGCGGCTGCGGCGCTGCTGACCTATTTATCGAAGCTCTCCTTTCGCTCTCTCACTGCTGAGTTCTCTTTCTTCCTTCGCTTGCCGCGGAGAACGGTTTAAAGAAAGAAGAATAATAGTATATATAAATATTTAGCAAAGAAGAGAGGAAACCCGGTCGGCTTTTTTTCCTGTCTCACGCCGTGCAACCGCGTTAGAACGAGACGAGAAGAGAGTGATATATGTATCCACACGCTGCTCACCGTATTTCTCTCGCACCGGCTGCATCGCATTTACCTTCTCGGGAACATTGTTTTTGATTTTTGCTGCTGCTGCTGCTGTTCGACGTGAGAAGAGGCTGAAGAAAGAGGAGACACGGCGCTATTCGAACACGAGGTATTGCTCTTTTGTAGGATTCATTCGAGGGGCGGGGCTAAGAGACGTCAACGCAGCGGAAGGAACGAAGGAGGTGGAGGGTCTTCTCTTTTCTTTTTCTTTCTTTTGCGCATCGTCTCAGCGCTCTTTAAATATATACCCACAAACCCACACCCACACACAGACCGCACAGATAAGCACCACAGCAATTCGGGCAGCTCCGCCTTTTGTGTTGTTCTCTTTCTTTCCTTTTTTCTCTCTTTCTCCTTCTGGCTCTTCTGCACAACGCAGATGTCCGCCACACCGTGCAGCAACGCGGGCACCGGCGTGTCGTCGCCGCGCCGTCTCGCACCTCCCGTCGCCGCCGTGACGGTCCTTCTCGTCCTCCTCGCCCTTCTGTGCGTCGTCCCTCGCCCCACCAACGCCCTCAACACGTGCGAGGAAATAACGCGGTGCAGCGAGTGCGTGTACGACCAAACACAGGGGATCATGCCGCCTCCCCTCCTCTGCGGCTGGTGCGAGAGCTCGCACTCGTGCAAGGAGGTGAACAGCACCGTCTTGTCTTACTACGGTGCGACGCTCTCGCCGAGCCCGTCGACAGGCGACAATGATGACGACGGACAACCGGTGCCCACTCACTCCCCGGAGGAGATGGCGGCCTTCCGCGCGGCCTTCTGCGAGGATTTGCGCGAGCGTGACTTGAACGGTGTGTGCCCGGATATGTCCTGTGCGGCGGCGAGGACGACGAACAACATTTATATCTGCCGCCCGCCACCTCTCATCGCTCTCGTCGTCGGTTGCCTGCTGTTCGTCGTGACGGTGGCCATGTATGTGTGGATGCGTACCATCCGCCAGCTGCCGTGGAAGTATGAACCGTTCCTGTCGGACCTGCTGGAGGGTCGCACACGCGCGTACGAGGCGGAGGGCGAGGAGCGCAGAGATCATGACAACGCTGCAGAGGAGGAGACCGCCGCCGCCGCAGCAGCAGCAGCTACCGTAGGAGCAGCCGAAATTGGGAATACAAACAGCAGCAGTAGAAGTCGTCACGAAAACAGCATCGATGACGCCTCTGGAGCTTCGCCGGTACGGCGAGTGCGTACGGGACCGCTGCACACGGCGTACTCGAGCTCCCCACTGCGTGACGGACCTCCACCACCGCTGCCGCTGCTGTCGCCCCCACCTCCACCCCCACCGTCCAGCCCGCACATCATCAACAACGATGTGGATGACGACGACGACGATGATGCCCCGAGCACGGAGACGGCCTCCACCGTGTCGAACCCCTCGTACCTCGGCAACGTCTCGCACAACGTCGTCGTGGCGCATCACCCGCACGTGGCGGTTGCTGGAGGAGCCTCCATGGGTGTCTCTTTTGCCGCCGCCGCTGCTGCTGCTACGGCGCACCCCTCTACTGCTCTTGCTCCTGCTGCTGCTGCTGCCGCTGCGACGGGCTACTGCCCTATCTGCAAGTGTCGCCAGCCGGTCTCTCTCGGTCCTGGCGAAGTCTGCTTCTGGTGCAACGTCGCTCGCTTCAGCTTTGTACCCTTCTCCATTGCTCTCATCAGTGCCGTCTTCGTCATTGTGCTGGACTTTGCCGTGTCGCTCAAGCCGTGGTTCTCCGACTGGTACTTTGCGGAGGTGCTGGTGATCGCCTACGCCTCGTATGGGGCGCTAGGAGCATACATGGTGCACCACCACGGCCGTGCGCCGCTCTTCTTCTTTGAGAGTGAGGCGGAGCGAAGGGCGAATCAGAAGATTTGGTCCACCACACACGACCGCCCCGCGGCGGCGACGGCGGTGTTCCTGCCTGGTGTGCCACCGTGCGATGCCCCCAACAACCGCGATAGCAACAACAACAGCAGCGGCGGCGGCCATGACGGGCTTTCTACTGGGAGCCCGTCGCGTCGGGGTCGCACCACCGCCGCTGCCGCCGCTGCTCCGATGACGGCAGCTGGGTTTCTCTTCACGCAGGATGCCGGTGGCGGCGTGGCTCAGCACGATCACCGCCGCTCCGCCGACAACCAGAGGCTGCGCTTGCTGAACGACGCGCGGCGCAACATGGCCAGCACCTACTACTTTCAACTCGCCCTACAGCTGCGCGGACGGGCGCTGCTGACCTGCATGCCGGAGTTGAAGAAGTACACGGCGCAGCTCGAGTCGATGCAAGCGTCACCGGCAACGTTGGCGGCGGTGGGCGACGCGGTGGCGGTGATGCGACCTGCCGCCTCAGCCGTCGCCACAGGCAGCCGCGTTGGCTCCACACCGGGATCCCCACACGGGGCGAAGCTGACGAACAACAACAGCAACGTTTCCGCTGCTGCTCTGGCTGAGCACCGCAGTGCGCGCCTCGCCCACGCACCGATCATCTCCCCTTTCGCTGCCGCCGTGCCTCTTCTCGAATCCGCCGGCGCTGCCGCCGTTGACCCTTCCTCCAACGACGCTGCTGCTGCTGCGGATGCGGTTGCGCCAGCGGAGAGCCCCAACGGTGCCGTAGGCGCCTCCCCTGCGTCGGCTTCCTCGCCGTCCCTGTCGTCGGGGTTTGAGAACAGCCGATTGCCGCCGCTTGCCCACGTCGCGGCCACACCACCACCGCCACCGCCACCGCGACGAGTGGTTAGTGGCAGCAACAATGCGAGTACGGCCACGAAGCCTGTGGAGGCCGCACCGAACCCCTCCGCAGCTGCCGCGATGGTGCAGGCGTCATCTCCGCTACCACCGCCGCCGCCTGCGCCTGCGACGCCGCCTGTAGCCCCTGCTGGTGGCCCCATCGGGTCCCCAGCCGCCACCAACATCCCCGAGAGCCTCGCTCGTCAGAAACGCGGAGAGACGGTGCAGCTGCTGAGCTCCGACTTTCTGTCTCCACAGTACGCTCGGTCGCTGAAGGGTGCGCTCTACCGCGATGAGTACATTCTCTGGTGCGCGAAGCCGAACCTGCATGGTGTGTTGATGAAGAACGAGTGGCTGCTGTTGGACCTCGCGGCGGGCTTTTTGTTTGGGCTGTGGATGGTGGTTCTGTCATCCGTCAGCGACAAGACGTACGCAATTGTGCAACTGTGCGGCTCGGCGGCGGTGGCGGCGTGCGGCTGGATCGCGATGATTCTGTTTGCGGTGCTGCTCGTCATCGTCGTGCGGCAGTGCGGGCGGCTCTACGTGCTCACGAACGAGCGCCTGATCACCGTGTATGAGAGCGTCATCACACCGGTGACCACCGCCACCGACCTCAGCACCGTCCGCTTCGCCGCCTTGTACGGCTACCGCAGCCTGTGGTCGAAGCATCCGTGCCTGACGTTCTCGTGGGAGGTGCCCGCGACGGAGCGCAAGATGCCGGTGATCAAGAGTCACGCGTTTCCTGGTATTACGCAGCTGCAGGAGTTCCTGTTCTTCTTTTGCCTCGTCGCTCCACAAACCCCCTTCCACCTCGAGCAGATCTCGGAGTCCGCGAAGCAGGATCGGCAGGAGTGGCGGCTGCACATGTGTTTGTGCATCGGCGCCTTCGTGGCTCTTCCGATTGTCACCATCTACCCGCAGGCGATGCCAGACTTCCTCGCTGTCTTCCTCTACGTGCTGGGCCTGCTGCTGATCTACGCGACCTTGCTTCGCGGCTTCTGCGCCCAGCAGATGACGTACGTCCCGCTAAACATCGCCGCGTCGTGGGCCCCGGAGGGGGAGCTGGCGGAGCTGCACGCCGTGAATGCGGCACGATCGCTGTCACACACACCTTCGCCACCACCACCGCCACCGCCGCCGCCACCGCCGACCTCTTCAGCTCCACACCCTGCTCCCTCCCCTCCGAGTACATCGCCAACTACTCTCCCACAGCAGCAGCAACAGACAGCAGCAGCGCCCTTCTTGAAAGAGGGAGGCGGAGGCGACGGCGGTCACACCGTGCAGGTCGCCACGCCCCCCACGCTTTCCCCGATCTTGCGAGGTCAGCCCGACCAGAGCAGAGATGCGCATCCTGCTGTCACCTCCGCCGCAGCACCACACTTGACCGATGCCAGCACAACGGCGGGCGAGCCCGTGCCGCTGGCAGGGACAGCCACGACGCGCAGCACCGCAGGTTCGCGCACGCAGCCGGCAAACGGTGGTGGACCCTTTCCATCTATCTCTGCTGGGCCGCTGCCACCACAGTCCGCGAAGCCACTCGCCATCCCTACTACAGCAGCGGCAGCAGTCAGCGGCAGCAGCGGCGGCGGTGGCGGCGGAGACTCATCTGCGAGCAATGCGAAGGCTAACGCTATTGCTGCTCTCCACAGTACCAGCAACAACAGCTATACACCCACCTGCACGGCGAGCTCGACCCCCTGCACGACACCAACCTCCGTGGGGCTCTCGTCCGCGTTGTTGGCAACCCCGTCATCGCTGTCCAAGGCGCGTCCGACCGGCTCGCCGCAGGAGCACGCCCACGATGACGTGCCGCAGCTCTACGCCCCGTCGTCGTCCTATCAGCTCCGTATGAGGCGTAGCGAGAGTGATGAGGCGGTGAGTGCGCGACGGGGCGCCGCGACATCCGCGGCGGACGTGGGACACCTCGTGAAGCGCAGTGACAGCACCCACAGAGGCGGCGGCGACGGCCTCGCAGCGTCGATGAAAGGGAGCCGTCGCGCCTCGCTGGTGCACGTCGTGCCGGCGTCGGCGCGGTCCACCAAGCCGGACGGACACACCACGTGGGGGGATCAGGTGGAGGAGCAGGGGCAGTGAATAAGAAGGAAGAAGCGGTTAAAAACAAAAGTGGCCTGGCGCGATGGTGTGTGAGAAGTGATGACTCCTCTCTTCTTGTATTTGTTTTTTATTAGTATTATTGAGTGAGTTTGAGGTGAAAGTCACGAAGCCGATGGTTTCCAGCTGTAAGTTGCCTTCATAGGAGCGAGGGGGAGAGCGAGCGCCGCAACGGCTCTCTTCTCTTCTCTTACTTCTCTTTCCTTCTCTATTACATACACCATCATTGGCAGCACGATGCTGCGCTGTTGAGCGGAACTACTACTATATTATTATTATTATTATTATTCCTGGTTCTGGTCTCTCTCTCCCTCCTTCGAGAAAGTGTGTGTCGGAGGGCACTCATACCGTGTGTGCTTTTTGCGTTGCTGACAGTTTTGGCTCTCTTTCATTTGCTCATGGGCTTTATGCATTCCTTCCGTGGATGACGTATTGGCTGTTAATATCCCCCCCCCAAAATGCAAGCAACACAGAAAATGGTTTGCGAGTTAGAGGGAGAAGGTGCACTCCACTTCAGCGTTTGGCGAGCTCCTCGGAGGACGGGACAGTATCCGGAGACAGCGAGAGAGAGAGAGAGAGATAGAGAAAGAAAGGTGAAGAAGAGCGCTGACACAGCCGGGGCCGCGCTTGCTTCTTCTTCTGCCTTTCCTCCTTTCTAATTTAATTGTTCTGCTGAGCTGCTTTGAGATGCGGAAGCCAAGCTTAGAAGGAGCAAGTACGTTCTACCCTCGTGGGCTCTCTCTCTCAGCAGGTGATGTTGTCTGCCAAAAGCAACAACGACAACAGCAGAGAAGGAAGCTGTGGGTGTGTGCGCTTTACGGGTGCAGGTAACGCCATCACCGGGGAGTAGCACAGCTGCACATCGGAGCGCCATTTATTTACTTAATCATTTATTTTAAATTGTCTTGGCTACCGTGACTTCTCTTGATAGCTCCTGCTTGTACGAACACCTGTCTGCCCCCTCCTCCTCCTCCCCTCGCCCCTCGCCCCTCATCCTCCCTCTCCCACTCCTTCACACTTCTGCACGCGCAACAAGGATGTATAACCAAGCGAAAGTAACAACAGCAAAAGGCAAAGTGCAGTCGCTCGAAGGTAGCAAACCACCCAGCCACCCACCCAATTCCAAAGACCATTGAAAGGACCACGCACACGCAAATCAACAGCTGGACAAACGCAGGCAGAAATGCTTCCCCTCTGCGGCTGCGCGGCGCTGTCCGCCTCTACCCTTTCGGCGCCAGCCCTCTCGCCCCGCTGCGGCCTGCTCCGTCGCTGTGTCCCCGCCTCCTGCAGACCCTGTATCTCCACGACGGGCTCTTCTTCCTACTCCACCCATGGACTGCTCGTGGGCCGCCCGACCAGGCTTCTCCGCCAATCCGCCACCGCCGCCGCCGCCACCACGACCACCGCGCACGCCGGGCCATCTACCCCGTCCGACACCGTCGCCGCTCCCACCACCGATGCGGCGGGCCCGACGAACGACGCTGAGATCCGGTTCTACGACACCTTCCTTTTTTCCACCGAGGACGTCCATCTTCTCTTGCTCGAGGAGGCGCACCGTAAGCACGGGGTCTGGATGAACGTGCCTCCGCAGCTCGCCCCGACCGTGCCCGACGTCGGACCACCCACCATTCCCGAACCCCTTTACCCACCGAAGCAGCAGCAGCGCCTGGACGCGTTGATGCGCGGCACCGAAGCCGCTCGTCTCTCCCGCCGCACCTCGTCCACGAGCGGGACGCGTGAAGCGATCCATAGCTCGGACTGCCTCGCCTACGCCCCGACGCATGCGCCACCGCCGTTTGTGACGGCCGGCACACATTCACTGTGGTTGACGGGGGAGGCGGCGGGAGGTGATGACAGTCGAGCTACCGCTATCGCTGCTGCCGCTGCTGCCACCATGGTGGATCGGAGTGCCGCTGCGAACACCACCACCACAGCTGCGCAGCTGACGGTGACGGTGGTCGCCATTCGGGCCCCGGTGGACCAAACGATGTTGTTTCATTGCAGCGCGTGCGGCCGTGCGTTCCGTCGACGGGAGGCGGCCAAGGAGCACGTGGAGCAGCGGCACCGCCACGCGAGCGGCGAGGAGGAGGAGGAGGCGGAGGCGACGGTGCTGGAGGGCCCGGGTCTGGGCGAGATCACCGGGTACAAGAACGTGGTGGGCAGCTCGACGGTGAATTCTCCTGCTGCGGCGCCGAATGCGGCGTCCACGGCGACTGCGACGATGGCCGACCCGTTAAAAAACACTGCTGCTGTTGCTTCCCCGAGCGCAGGCGCCCGTGCCACGCTGAGCGGCGCTGCCTCGGCTACGTTGAAGGGGGTCTCGGCTCCGACGCGGAATGAGAGCGGTGCTGCGGCTGCTGCCACCACCACCGCCGGCGAACCAGCCGCTACGGCAGCGACTTCATCTCCCTCTTCGAAACTGGCACCGTCGTCGTCGAGACTGGAGAGGGCGGTTACCTCCTACCTCGCCTCTCCGACGGTGATCCTTCCAGAGGACGACCTCGTTGATGAACTCCTCTCCTCCGTGTGGGATGAAGTTGGTTTGAAGCGCAGCGATATCGCAAAGGCAGCGGGGGTGCAGGGCAGCACGGCGGTTACGGCCTCCGATAGAGATGGCGCGGCGATGTCGGCACGCCCTGCCGCTGTCAATGCCGCGCACGTGGACAGCTGCAACGGCAAGCTCTTCATCCCGAGCTCGGCGTTTGTGCACGGCAAGGCGGACATACGCGCCGAGCTCGAGGCGGAGCTGGCGAGCAAGCCACTCGCCCGCGCTACCCCAGAAGGGGCCGCGCCCGGTGTGCGACGGCCGAACATCGTGATGTCGTCCGCCAACAGTAAGGCGTCGCTGCGTCTGCAGACGAGGCGCCGCAATCCTGATGGCACCGTTACGCTGGCGCTGACTGACGCCATGACCGCCAGCGTTGGCGGCGCAGGGCTGAGCGCGGCGCCAACCGCATTGGAAATGAGTATCGCGGAGCTGAGCCGGCATTACCCCAACCCCTTCGGGAACAGCCCCAATGCCGCGTTGGTTGAGCAGGAGAAGGAGCCGGTCAACCCGTTCCGCGACGTGGAGGGGACGATGGCCGCCGCAGCGGCGAGGGAGGAGGCCAGCCGTAACGAGGTAGCGGGCGTGAACGACGCGGGCGGCGGCAACGAGTCGTGTGAGAAGAGTGGCGCGCTGCGTTGCGTCGACTGGCAGGCGCGCTTTGCATCTCGGCCCTACGCCTGCCCGGTCTGCCAACGACGTGCCTTACCGGGCTTCACGGCGGCGCTGGAAGCGGTGTCCGCGCCTTCCTTCGCCTCGGCGGTTGAGACCGAATTGACGGGCACCACAGGGTTGTCCTCGTCCGAATCCTCTACTGCCATTGCTGGTGATGGTGGTGGCGGTGCTTCAGCATCCGCCGCCAACGCCACCGCCTCCTCGTCTTCCAACAGATCAGCGCCGCTGACGGATGCGCAACGGCACGCAAATGGAAAAGGGAGGCAGGTGCAGAAGCGCAAATCAACGTCTCCGTCACCCGCCGGCGGCACTGCCGCTGCGGCTGCCACGCCGGCCGATGCGTCCATCACGGAAGTCGACGAGGAGGCGTTGAGGTGGTACGAGTCCACGGTGCCCCGCTTCCGCCTGCTCGATGCACTGGAGAACCACGTGGAGGCCTGCCACGAGGTCCGCGAAGCACCCCTCCGCACCGACCCGGGTAACAGCGCAGGGGGGACGGCGGATGCATCAGCAGCAGCAGCAGCGGCCACAGAGGAGGAGGAGGAAGAAGTTACCGAGGCAGATTGGCAGAGGTTGTACCGCGTCGCCGCGTCACCAATGCAGTCGGCTGCCACGGAGATGTTGACGGTGCGCCGTGTGTATCGCGCCGTCGCGGCAGCCAAAGCCCGGCGCGCTGCCTCTCTCAACTCTTCGTCGTCTGCTTCCTCGTTGTCAACGACCACCGCCGCGACGGCGTATGCTGACGGGGAGCGCGGCGTGCGAACGCGGTCCGCAGAGGCTCCTGGCGCGAGTACGGACGACGTCCCCGCAGGTGGTGCCGGGCTGCATAGCACGGCGGGCGGTTCCTCTGGCAGCGCGGAGCAGATCGGTGTGGCAAAAACGCCCGGCGACGATGCCGGCACGTCCGCCGGTGCTGACGACGCAAGCGACGCGTTGGCGGACGCGGACGCACCGCACGTGCACGTCCGCGCCGCCGTGAACACCGTCCTGGTCGGGGTGGTCCGTGACGTGCAGGAGGGCTTTGTGGGCGCCACCCGCGTGCTCCAGTACGTCCTTGCTGTCCGCAACAGTATCAGAGACACGACCGCCATGACGACCGCAACGTTGAAGTCAGGCACGACTACACCATCTTCGGCTTCCAGCACTTCGATGTCATCGTCTGATGCTTCTGTTGCTGCTGCTGCAACTGGTGCAGAAGCGGAAGAGCAGAAGAGAAGGAATGAAGATGACGTGGAATTGGTGGTGGTGCGCTGCATGGGGGATCTCCTGCCGGCTGCACTGCTGCATCAGCAGGTGCATATCGGTGCAACGGTGTTTGTGACGGGTACGCTGCGGATGAACCGTAATGTGGATACGGCCTCGCGACGCTCCCACGCGTACCCGTATGTGCAGGTGGTGCCTCCGCTGGGCTCGGTGCGTGTGGTGAAGTGATCACCAGGTGAGTAACAGCAAACGATGGCGGCGGGTGTATGTGTGGGTGCATCCTGGCGGGTCAGCAACGATGGTGGATGCGTCGTCTTTGCTAAGAGGACACCTTTATTCTCATGAAGAGCAGCGTTCAGGCGACATAAGCGATGTCTTCCCCCCTCTCGCCTTTCTTTCTCTTTTCGGGTTTACGGTTTCCCTCTTGTCGTTCTTCACAGAATTAGTACTATTTTTTTGTTCTGGCTGTTATTGCGGTGGTTGGTCGGTGACTTGTGACTTGGGATATAACTGTTTTCTTCTCTTTCTCTGCGTAAGGGCAAATAAGCGACTCTGTGGGTGCGAGATTGACACGTTGTGTTGACCTCATATGTGTGATGTGGTGTAGTGGTTGCGGGATCGGTAAGACCAAGGATGGTGCTCTCCCCTTCTCCCTCCCCTTCTCCCCCCCACACATATGTAGCTGAGCTTGTGAGGGTGGTTTTGGAGTACGGCGCAATTCTCCCTTCTTCGGGCGGAAAGAGCAGCGAATAATCATAATAAAGGGATGGCAGCCAGCGCTGCTGCGGTGATTAGCGGATGGTAGTTTGAGAGGAGGTTGCAAGAAGCAACACACGAACCTGCGGTCTCCAGCACAGCCGTCGTCTTTGCGGACGCATCGCGGGCGGCGCTGTGGACTTGTGGGCGTGGTGGTGGTAGTGGTGGTGTAGTGAAGTGTTATATATATGTATGTGTGTGTCTCGTCGAGTGACGTATGCACACGAGTTGCGCATGTGTGGCTTCGTGTACCGCCGCCGTCCTGCAAAGGATTCTGTGCAGTGACTCCCTCTCCCCCATACTATTCTGTGAATCTCGTTATATATATGTGCTGTCTGCTCTCTCTTTCTTGTCCTTTTCGCTTTGTACACGCAGCAACGTCAGCCTGTGCGTAGGGTTCAAAGACAGGAGCAATACACACACACACACCTCGCTTCCTTATATCCATAGACACACACGCACACACGCACACACGCACTCGCACAGAGAGACAGCAAAAGGAAGGTGACGATGTCCGGCATGTCGCTCGCACAGTCCCGCCTGCGAGAGGAGCGTAAGGCGTGGCGCAAAGACCGTCCCTTCGGCTTTTGGGCCAAGCCGATGGAGATCGCTGCCCCGCTCACCGCCGCCGGTCAGAAGCGCGACCGTGACGGCGCCAATCAGCAGCAGCAGCAGAGGTTGAACACCGGCAACGGAGCCTCCCCGCCTGCGGTGTCGTCGTCTCCGAACTCCCCTGCGAACGCCGCCGCCGCCGCCGGGGCTGGGGCCGGCTTGGATCTCCTGCACTGGGAGGCCGGTATCCCCGGCAAGTCCGGCACACCGTGGGAGGGCGGTGAGTTTCGGTTGCGCCTCCACTTCACTGAGGACTACCCCACGAAACCGCCGAAGTGCGTCTTCGTACCGGTGCTCTTCCACCCCAACGTGTACCCGAGCGGCACCGTCTGCCTGTCGATCCTCAACGAGGAGAAGGATTGGCGGCCGAACATTACCATTAAGCAGATACTGCTGGCGATTCAGGAGCTGCTGGACCACCCGAACATCAAAGACCCGGCGCAGGAGGAGCCCTACAAGGTGTACATGCGAGACACGAAGGAGTACGAGATGCGAGTTCGGCAGGAGGTGCAGCGGCATCACTGGAAAGGCGCGTGACCGGGGACGGGGGCGGGAATCATCGTATGTGCGTGCGCGGGTGTGGACTCGTCTCTGTGGGTGTGGGTGGGTGGTGAGGGAGAAGGACGGCGGGGGTGGGTGTTGTGCGTGTTGGGTAGAATAAAGGCAGCGAGTTTCGTACTCCTTCCTATTTAAAGTGAAATGTTTTCCTCCTTTTTTTTGCGGTGAAACGCGCGCGGGAAAACGGATTTTGAAAACAACAGAAGAAAATATGAATGAACGCAGAAAGAAACGCAAAGCGAAAAGGGGGAGGGGGGAGTACACCCAATTTGAGAATGCGTGGCAACCTGAGGAAATGCATAGGATAGTGTGTGTATGGGCGAGAGTGCTCGTGTGTGGGTGTGGAATGGGCAGACCGCGTTACTGCAGGTGCTTCTCTCCCTTGTTGTTTTTCTAGGGAGCACTTTCTATGACTATTTTTTGCGCTCGTTCTTCTCCGTTTTTTTCGTTGGGGGGGGGGGGTTGCTGAGCTCTGGCGCACATCACTGTCCACTCACCCACTCACCCACCCACCCACACACACCGATACACGCCTCACCAAGTATTCGACATTAGCAAAGTCCGACGTACACACACACACGCAAACACACATACACAAGGAAAGATGGGTCGTGCGTCAAAGGACAAGCGCGATATCTACTACCGCAAAGCGAAGGAAGAGGGCTACCGCGCCCGCAGCGCGTACAAGCTACTCCAAATCCACGAGGAGTTCAACATCCTCGACCCGGCTGAGATCCGCACGGGGGCTGTGGACCTGTGTGCGGCCCCGGGTAGTTGGTCGCAGGTACTGGCCCATCACTTCAAAACCCTCGCAGCCACAACGGCATCATCCTCATCATCGTTGTCTTCGGCATCACCGCTGCCCCCGCCCCGCGTCGTCGCCGTCGACTTACAGGAGATGGCTCCCATTGAAGGCGTGTATGTTTTGCAGGGCGACATCACGAGCGAGGCGACGGCGCACGAAATCATCCGCCTGCTGAATGCGCCAGAGGACAGCCTCCACCTCACTGCCACTACCGCTACTGCTGCTGTTACCCCTGCCGCTCCTGCTCCTCAAGACGGCGATCAACCTACGTCACCCTCTTCATCTTCGAAGGGCGCTTCCCCGCGCAAGGCGGATATCGTGATCTGCGACGGCGCCCCCGATGTCACCGGCATGCACGAACTAGACGAGTATCTGCAGCATCACCTGCTACTCGCTGCCCTGCACATCACCACGTTTATGCTCCGCCGCGGGGGCTGCTTTGTGACGAAGATGTTCCGCGGCCCTAACACGCCCTTCTTAATCGCCAAGAGCGAGGTCTTCTTCGACCAGGTACGCGTCGTGAAGCCCAAGTCGTCGCGGAATGCGTCAATGGAGAGCTTCCTGCTGTGTCAGGGCTTCCGACTCCCACCCGGGTACGTGCCACGCTTCCTGGGAGACGCCACAGCCACGACGCACGCGGCGAGTGCTCCTTACCACAGAAATGAAGAAGAGGAGGAAGAAGGAAAACGAGAAGAGATCGTCGTACGGACGGACGAGACGGTGCAGGTACACGCAGCGGGTCCGCTACAAGCGAGCGACTTCACCCCGGCAGCTCCGCGTTATCGCTACGCCGTCGCCGCTCCTGGTGCTGCTGTTGCTACTGCCGGCGGTTTATCGGCCGTGGCAGCGTCGTCGTCTTCGTCGGAGTCACGGGCAGCCTGTACGCTGCCCGGCAGCGTCCTCGCGCCGTTCTTGTCGTGCGGGGACTTGAGTGGGTTTGATGCGGATATGTGCTACGACCGGCCGGCGGACACGACGGTGCTGGCGCCGGTCCAACCCCCTCTGCAAGCGCCGTACTTAGCTGCTGCTGCTGCTGCGGCGGCGGCGGCGGCGGAGGTGAAGACGGCGACGACGGGGAGCGATACGTCGATGAAGCGGTTGAAGGTGGAGGCGCCGCCTTGATCGCGGTTTTTAAATTTTGTTTCTTCTAATGTTTTTAAATGCCGGTGTGTGGATCTGAGTGCGTTTAATTGGCCTTAGCTGCGTTGACACGCGTTGTTAAAAGCTAATTCTGCATGAGGCAACAAATCGAAAACAATATATATATATATTGTCTTCCTCCTTTCTTTCCCTGCTGGCTCAGCAAGCCCTGATGATGACGACCACGAGTGTGAACGCACAAGCGAACCCTCATCACTGCATTCAATGGAGCTCGAACAAAGGAGTTGACGGATCGTTCCTTTTCTCTGTTAATGAAGAATGCTGATGAGACAGCGAACGGTGTGATTCGTCGCCCCTTCGCAGAGCGTGGTAGCGAGTTTCTCCTGTTGAGGATGAAGTACTTCGGCTCCCCTCTCCCTCTCCACCCTCCCTCCTCTCTCTTTCTCGGTTTCTCTTTTCTGTCGTCCTTCGCTTGTGGTGCGCGCGCTCCGCTGCGTACATCACACTTCACGTTCACATAACGGGTCATGCAGTCTTTACTCATTCTTTCCTCTTATATATACTTATATCTGCGTGTTGCCTCCAACGCATCTTTTACACCGCCTTTGGTTTTCATTTCCTCTTGCTTCTCTCCCTCGCCGCCGGTCACTCGCAAAGGGAGCGTACACGCACACAACAACAAGCGGACACACGCACACGTATATATATACCATTGAACGAGTTGAGAGGCGTTGAGCCAGAACAGCACTCCTTCTTCTGCTTCTCTCGTCTTCCTCCTCCTTCTCCTCCTCGGTGAGATGTCGCCTTCTGGTATTATCGAAGACTGTGCCCACACCCTCGACGTAGCGGAGGATCACTACGCCAAGGGTGACCGCGCCACCGCGCGTCGGCTCCTGCACGCGATTGTGCAAACGGCGGTCACCGCCGACGACGTGGACGCGATTCGGGCGAAGGAGCAGGCGGTGTACCGTCTCGCCGAGCTCCTCACCGCGACGAAGGACGGCCCGGCTGCCATCCAGCTTCTCACGGATGTCCGTCCCTTCTTTCAAGTGTTGCCAAAAGCGAAGACGACGAAGATGGTGCGGAAGCTGTTCGAGCACATCGTGCAGTGCGGTGTCCCGCTGCAGGAGCAGGAGACGGTGTGCCTGGCTACGGTGGACTGGGCACGGCAGGAGAAGCGGACCTTCCTGCGACATCGCCTGCAGCTGCGTTATGTGGAGGTGCTCTTTGCAGAGAACCGTAAGAACGACGCCCTGTCGGCGCTCAGCTCTCTATTGAAGGAGGTGCGCCGTCTTGATGATCGCACCCTGCTGCTGGAGATCTACCTGCTGGAGAGCAAGCTGTACTACGCCGTGCTGGACACGCAGAAGGCACGCGCGGCGCTCGTCTCGGCGCGCACCACGGCGAACAGCATCTACTGCCCCCCGCTGTCGCAGGCAGAGATTGATCTGCAATCTGGCGTGCTGCACGCCGAGGAAAAGGATTCCAAGACGGCGTATTCTTACCTGTACGAGGCGTTTGAGGGCTTCCATCAGCTGGGCGATCAGGCCCGCCAGGCCCGCCGTGCGCTGCGCTACATGATTCTCGCGAAGATCACGACGGACATGCCGGATGAGCTGACGGCGCTGCTGTCGTCGAAGAACGTGCTGGAGTACAAGGGCAGCGACGTGGATGCGCTGCGCGGTATTGCGGAGGCGTACAACAAGCAGGACACGCACCTCTTCAACGCGATTCTTGGCAAGGCGCGCGCGGAGGCCGAGGCGGCTGGGACGGCGAACACAGAGACGGATCTGCTGGCGGATGAGGTGGTGCGTCGACAGGTTAATGACATGTACAACACACTGCTCGAGCGCCACTTATTGAAGGTCGTGTCGCCGTACAATCGCGTGCAGATCGACTACATCAGCGGCTTACTGCAGTTAGATGCGATGGTCGTGGAGCAGAAGCTGTCTCAACTGATTCTCGATCGCAAGCTGCGCGGCATTGTGGATCAGCAGCATCGGTGCCTCATCTTATTCGATGAGGAGGCGGCCGAGATGTTGAAGTCTGGGAAGGAGGGGGAAGGAGATGAGTTCTACGAGAACGCGGCCGATGCGGCGGCGGTGGCGGACCAGACCTCGACCACGCTGTACCACGATGCCTTGACCGCGCTGGAGTGCTACAACACCCTCGTCACCTCCCTCTTTGACAAAGTGAACGGCAAGTTCGATGCTCTGGTGGAGGAGAACATCGCAAAACACAAGGGCGAGAAAGACAAGGAGGAGGGGAAGCGACGGAAGAAGGATGGTGATGCCGAGGAGGGAGCGGCGAAGGCGCAGAAGAAGACGGAGGGGGCGCCTGCGCCGGGTGGAAAGCCCAAGAAGGACAACGCGTAACATACGGGGGGAAAACGGGAAAGAAGAAAAGAAAGAGAATGGAGGAGTAGAAGATTTTAGCTTTGCTGTTTTCTTTTGAGCCACCGTTAATGAGGCGGAAAGAACACCCCCAAAAACGTACGCACCACCAACATCATCAGCAGCAACGAGGACGAGTCAACGCGAAGCGGACAACTTTTTCTTTTTGTATCTTTTATTGGGTGTGTGCTTGGCCAACTGGTACGAGATCTCGCGTTGATCGCCTCATTTCTTTTCCCCTTTTGCATGCGTTGTCTTGAGTGTATGATTGCTCTGTTGATGTTCTTCCACTCTTGGTGGTGGCTCGCCACGATTGTACGGGCGGCCCCCTTATTTTCTTTTCTGTTTTTCCTTCTCCCCTTCTCCACCCTATTCCCTCCACCTTTCATTTTTTTTTTCCCAGGTGGTGTCGTCGTGATCGTCGATGGTGTTGGTTGTATGTGTATGTGCGTGTGTGTGTGTTTGTGCTGTTGATGCTATGCTACATCTATTTTTGAAGTGGACATGTTCATGTGAGCGTGGTGCGCTCTTCATTCTCGTTGATACGGAATTACTGAAAGAAGAAGGAAAAGAAAGCCCCGTGAAGCCGCAACGTTCAGTGAGTTCGATGCGGGATTCCACGGTGAGTTGAGAGCGAAAAGGAAAGGAAACGAAAGGAGAGCGCTGCACTGCGGCAGCCAATTTGTTTTCCGGAAATGACGGATCGCGATGCACACCCCGGCGGCACAGCGTTCCAGCTCCGCCGTTTGCGAAGTGCGGGCAAGGAGTGCGCTTTGATGACCGCGGAGAAGGGTCAGGAGCCGCTCGTCGTCAGCAATGATGCCACTACTCCTCCTTCGGAATGAAAACGAGTTCCGCAAAAAGTCAGGTTGAAAACACCGAAAACAAAACAGCATCACTTTTCGGTGACACCCCGACTCCGTAAGAGAGTGGGGGAGAGAGAGAAAGGAGGAAGGGGGAGGGAGGAGCATCATGGCTGTACGCAGATCGACTCACGTGCGTTTTGTTTCTTTCGCTCCTGTCCTTCTTGTCTTTAAACCTTCTGCTCTATTTGACCTTTTTCTTTTCTTCTGCCGTCTCCTTTGTCTTCCCTTCACTTCCATTTTATTCATATAATCTCCCTCCCCCCTCCCCCCCTCAAACAGAAGTTCGTTCGTTTGTGCGAAGAAAACAAAAGGAGGAGGAAGAAGAAGAGCCGACATCACGAGAAAGGCGTGGGCGCTGTAAACTGTTCTCCTCCAAGTAAAGAACTGGAGAAAGCGAAAGAGAAAGAGAAAAGAAAAAAGGGCTGCGCCACAGCTTCTCGTTCTTATTATTACCTCTTCTTGTATTTATTTGGGATCTTCCTGAACAGAAGGGACGGTGAACCACATCAACACACATACTCACACACACAGGTGATATATATTTATATTTAAAATTAAATAAACCACCAGGAAGGGCGAAGCGACGAGCCATGTCGGAGGCGCAGCTGACAGGGCACAACGCCCCCAACGGAAGCACCACCCTCAGCGGAGACGAGTCCCGCACGAAGAAGACGAAGCCGGAGGAGTTCGAACACCCCTTCTGGTACGTCTACCGCCAGCGCGGCGTCGAGTACTGGGATTACAAGAATGCGGTGGTAGACTTCAACAAGAACTTAGCGCCGTACGAGCTGCTGCAGAAGATTGGCCGCGGCAAGTACTCGGAGGTCTTCCGCGGCCGAAACCGCAACAACGGCTGTCTGTGCGTGCTGAAGCTGCTGAAGCCGATCCGGTACCAAAAGGTCCTGCGAGAGATTAGCATCCTGCGTAACCTGTGCGGGGGGCCGAACGTGGTGCGTCTGCTGGACGTGCTGCGCGATGACGACTCGCAAACGGTGGTGCTGGTCACCGAGTACGTGCACAACCCCACTACCCTGCGCAACCTGCTCTACACGAATAAGCTGACGAACTTCGATATGCGCTTCTACCTGTACGAGATTCTTCGCTCCCTCGACTTCGCGCACCGCCGCGGCATCTTCCACCGTGATATCAAGCCGTACAACGTGATGATCGACCACGAGCGGAAGATTTTGCGTGTCATCGACTGGGGCCTCGGGGAGTACTACATCCACGGGCAGCCGCTGAACTGCGGCGTCGCGACGCGGCACTACAAAGGACCAGAGCTGCTCGTCGGCTACCGCCACTACGACTACTCGCTGGACATCTGGTGCGTCGGCTGCGTGTTGGCGGGCTTGCTGTTCCGCAACGACCCCTTCTTCGTCGGCACGAACAATGAAGATCAGCTGCTGCAGATCGTTGCCGTCTTTGGCAAGAAGGCGCTGTTCCGCTACCTGGAGAAGTATCAGTGCCGCATCTCGCGCGTTGTAGAGACGAACCTGCGCGCGCTGCCCGATGAGCACGTCGACTGGTGTCGGTTTATCCGGAAAGGTTCGCTGCAGGAGTCGTGGTGCGACGCGACCGCGCTGGATCTCTTAGACAAGATGCTGCAGTTTGACCATCAAGACCGCATTCTAGCGCACGAGGCGATGCAACACCCTTTCTTCGCCCCGGTACGGGAGGTACTGGCGAAGGACCCGCAGGAGCAGTACCCAGTGGTCCGTCACTGAGGAGGAAGATGGGGAGCAGAAGAAGGATCGCCGAGAGATGGTTGAAAAAGAAGCAAGAAAGAGACGAGAGGCGAGAAGGTGCGCAGGCGTTTAATGAGATCTTCGAAGAAACCTAAGTACTTATCTCGTTGACGCCGAAACGCGAAGTGGGTGGAGGAGTTGGCCGTTCAACCAACGCGGGAAGCACCTGAAGGTGAAGGGAAGGAGCTGTCTAAGAAAAGATAATAGAGAAAAATAATAATGTGAAGGGAGTCATTGAAAGGTGACAGCGTTGTTGGTGGTGTTGTTGGTGGTGGTGGTAATAGTTTTTTAGCAGCTGTTCTTTTTATGTTTTTCTTCTTCCCCTTCCTTCCTCTCCGTCTCCCCCTTTCAGGGTAATTCTGTTTTTGCGCTGCCTTATTGATAGGAGAACTCCTCACAACGTGTGTTTCCGTGTCGCTGCCTTCGTTTCCCACTGCCGTTGTTTCTTCGGTTCTTGCTTTTTTTTTTTTGGTTGGTTGTTCGGCTTTGTTCCTCGATTCACCTGCACTGCGCTTCACGTCCATCATGATGGAAGAGGGGAGAGGGGGAGGGAAGGGACTCTGCGCACGCTTCTTATGGTGTGGGGGAGGCTCGCGTTTTGTAACTGCTGCCGCCGCTGTCCCTCTCTTTCTCTCCCTCTTCCTCTCCTCCTCCCTCTTCTCCTTCTCCGCTTCTCTTCTCATACTCCTTGAAAAAAGGAAAAACCATCTCAACGTGAACGTTGCTGCGACTTTTTTTTTGAATATAGATTCACTTCGTGAAGGTGACGTAGGCGTTGGTGCCTCTCCCGAACACCGTTTGCAGTGGCGCCTCTCTTGTCTTTTTTCTTTTCCTTTCTTCTTTCTCTTTCCAAATCGGACCTGATGTGGAGCCCGTAGTCGTTGGTAATGTGCGTGTTCTTTATTATTATTATTATTGTTAGTATCTCTCTTCGCGGTCTTTTTTTCTTCTTCTGGGATTTTCTCCTGTGACAGAGCCTGCTCGCTGAACAACGGCAAGTACTTAATGTTTGCGCGTTCCTCTCTCTGGTTTTCTCTTGATCTCTATTTGCATGTGGGTGTGTGCGTGAGGGTGTGTGAATGCATTATTACGGTTGTTACTGTTATCTAAGGTTGCTGATGTTTCCGTTGTTGATGTCGTTGCTCTTTGTTGGTTTTTACTTTTTTAAAAATTTTATTTGTTTTGGTCTGTACAGCGCGGCGCCGCACGAGGCGATGCAAAGGCTGAGGCAGGTCTTTCTTACGGTGCTGTTTTTCTGTTGTTTTTTTTCTGTTGTTGTTGTGTGTGTGTGTGTGTGTGTGTGTGTGTGGTTTGACTTGCTGAGTTCTTTGATGTTCCATCTCTCCTGCGATTCGCTTGATTCTTGCTTCATTCGTCATTTGATTGATCAGCATCGCACGATGAATCCCTCTTCAGTTCATATATCTATCTTGGTATATCTATATCTGTATATCTGTTTGACTCCGTTTAAGAAATACGGAGGACCGCAGCTTGACGCGGGCGAGTTTAGCGTCTCCCACGAAAGATCCGTGGTTGCAGCTGGAAGACGGGTAGCGTTGCTGCTGGGTTGATGCCTTCGTTAATAATAATAATTATAATAATAACGGAAGAAAGGAAGGCAACGCTATGCCTTCAGCTTTGCCACACGCGTCACTCGTGCACATGAGCGTGGTAGACGGTCGGAAGACCACGTCAGCGTACTTTCCCTCTGCCTCTCCCTGTCCCACTCTCCTTCCTTCCTATGCAGAGCTTCCTTCTTTGCGTGAGAGGCGTACGGTGACGCACAACGCAACACAGCCCTCACGCCCTCGCCCTTCTCCTAGTCGAACGTACGCTCTGACAGCGGTGTGTGTGTGTGTGCCGGCCGAGAGGGGGATACCAGCAGCAACAACAAACGGCACAGCAGTGCATTTTCTGTTGATGATCAACGACTGCCGACAACCTGCTCTTTCCTAAAATAATAGAAAAAAAAATAAGAAGAAAGAAGAAGAACCGCTGCTTAATTGTTGTCACTGCACCTCCCTCCCTCTCTACATACCGGGAAGTCTGTAGCGGCTGCCATGCGGAGAGCTCGTCAGAACTGGGCCGTCCAGCGGACACCGTGCCGCATCGTATTCGTCAACGTTTTGCTGGCATCGGCACGATGTCTTCTCATCCAACCTTCCAGGCGAGCCGCCACCCCGTCATCTGCACGTCTCGCAGCGGTGACGTCGTCTTTGGTGAACGAAAGAAGAGGTGCTTCTTCTCCACTACCTCACACCTGCACTCAACATGAACAAACGCATTCGATTAAGAATACCCATAAGAGTCATCACCGTGTTAATGAGGAAGACAGCTCAGCAGAACAACCGTTTCGCACGCGCAGGGAAGCCGCCGCCGCGACATCATCGTCGTTTCGCGGTGAGCGTAGTAGACGGAGACCTGTGCGCGTACATCGCTGCACGCGTGGCGGCGTGCGTGATGGTCGTGTGGGGCGAGACGGCACAGCCACTACCGCCGCCGCCGCCTCCACCTCCACTGCCTTCCCCGCAAACAGGAACCACGGCAACCCCAGCAGCAGCAACAATGCACCGACACCCCCCGCTGCTGCCGCTGCATTTCACGCCTTTCTGCGGCAGCAAAACTGCCCTTACGTTCGTAGCTCGGCAGACGAGGCAGGCGGTGAGGAGCCGAACGCGCCTTCGCTTCCCCATCGCTCTCTGCTTCAAAGCAGCGAGGCAGGGAGTGAAGTGGAGCGGTTGTCGTCGTGCGGACGCAGGGAGTCGTCCGGCGCGTCGCGCGAGGCACCCGCGCCTCCTCGTGCGGGAGCTCGGAGGCGGTGGAGCAGCAACGCGAGCGCGCTGGACGCTGCACCGGATAGCGGGAGCCCCCATGAGAAGTATCATGAAGATGACGATGCAATGCGTACGTGGTGCCTCCGCCCTGCCACGGTGCGGCCCACCACAGCTGTTTCACAAGCACGGGCACCGCTTCCCACGTCGTCCTCGCGCACTGCGCAACAAGAGCAGCACAGGCGCGACGGTCCGCAGGACGCGCCACGGCAAAGGCGGCACGAGCTGGTGCGGCAGGCCGGTCTTGCGATAGCGAAGCAGATGTCAGGCCGGCATCGACACGAGTACCGCCGCACTGCTTTGCAGTCCTATCAGCTACTGAAGAAGATGGAGGGAGATTTGTTTTACTGGAGTCAGCAGCGTCGACAGCAACGCAGAGGCCGCAATTACGATGCCCCGCCGGCAGCAGCAGCAGCAGCGGCGGCGGCACCATCACTGCGAGCCGCTATCCATGGTGGCGATGGCAAGGATGAGACGAACGTGGATGCGGTCGAGGGCCGTTTGTTCGAGTACGCCGGGCAAGTCCAACGCACGCTGCATCAGCTTACCCCACGACACTTCGATGCTATGCGTGGCTACCGCTTGCACCGCCCTTCGTCCGCGTCCTTGTCGTCGCATCCAAAACAAGGAGCACCGCGACTCATATCTGAAAAAGGAAAAGAAGTGGACGAGGATGCCGCGTCGGCCGCTGCACGACCGCCACTGTTTCTCCTTCGCCTGCTGTGGCGCCTGCTTCACATAACGCGGCTTTTCTATTCCATTGGGCGACACGCCTCGCTGCCGCGCTCGGCGGTGCATTCCTATGTGCTGTCCGCGAATTGCGCGTACGGCATGCGAGAGGTTCTACGCGTGCTGGGCGAGGAGCTGGCGCTGGCGCCGTTAACGCTTGCCGCTCTTTCTTCTTCATCCTCGTCAATGCCTTCCTCCGCGGCGTCGGCGGTATCGTTTTCACGAGAGGAGCTCTTTCAAGTGTTTTACGCCGCGCTCTGCATCTCCAGCGAGGAGGTACCGAACGTCCCCGTCGCCGCTCCAGCGGCGTTCACTTCCAGCGACCACCGCACCGATTTCCTTCTGCGTTTTCAGCGCGACTGCGCCGGCGCCGCTGCCGTGGCGGCCCGCATGCCGGTGGACGAGTGGTGTGTGCGCTGGTGGTGCCACGTGTATGCCCCGCACCACGCCGCTAGCGCACCCGAAAGGGATGCTACGAACAACGACAACAATCAGAAAAGTACATCTTCGCTGACAACGGAGAATGGAATGGATGACTTGCTGACACTGGGACAAGCCATGGACGTCATACGCGCCTCGTTGTACGCCACCACCAGCGTCGAGGTGACCACTGCTTCATCATCCTCATCTTCGGCTTCCACGACGTCGTCACCGTGGGCGTACTTCGAAACCTTCCCACGTGGGGGAGCGGAAAGTCCGAGCAGCCGCCGCGGCACGCAACAGCGTGAACTCGAGCGGCGGTACCGCCCTCGTCTGATTGGGGCGCTTGGTGGGGACCGAACGTTGCTGCGCATCCCCTACCACCTCGGACAGCGGTTTGTCGCGGTGTTCTTACGGCATATCTTGTCGTCGTCCGCCGCCACTCGCACAACGTCTCCTGCTTCTTCTTCCTCGACGTCTTCGGCTGATCCTTCCCAAAGTGTGTCATCGAAGGAGGGAAAGGCGGAGGGAAGATATGAAAAGGTGAGCGGGTTTGAGGAGGTGACATCCGCCTCATCATCATCATCATCGTCTGCGTTTGTGCACGACGCAACCAGTGTGGAGGCCGCGCTGGGCCGCCTGCTGCACCGCCACGACCGCGACGCCGTACGCGACGTCGCGCTGCTGTGCACCGCTATTCTCTACTTTGAGGTCTTCTCCGCGGACACGGCGGCCTTCATGGCACACGCGGCGCCGCTCTGTCAGGCGCAAGTGGAGCTGCTGAGCGGGCACGAGATCAGCTGCGTGTTGCTCGCCTACGCCTCGCTGCAGCGGTGGGAGGGACGTGCGAGTAAAAACGGTGGCGGGGCTCCCGCGGCGGCCGCAGGGACGCCTTCCACTAGCGGCGCAGGAAGAGTATACAGGGAGGGCCGTACCAGACCGAGAGGTAGTGGCGGTCGCTGCTCCTCCAGCTCGAGCGGACACGGCCGCACCACAATGGCCAACAACAACCCCAGCAGCGGCGACCAGGATACAGGTACGACGGTGCACGTGCAGAGCGCTTCATCCGCTTTAAATGCCGGGCAACCCAGCCGCGCAGCGACGCCTTCGTCTTGCGTCTCCTCAGCGGATGTACGCCGCGGCGAGATGCGGAGCGCTGAGGTCGACGGGCGCCGCCCCGCGACCCGGTCGGAGTCACGCCGCCCGGCGGGGTGGGACGGGGTAGACTCGTCCGCTGCGTCGTCGTCGTCGAAGCGAACAACGCCACCGCCTCTTTCCCCCGCGGCAGCCTCTTCGTCGTGGCACGCATTCTTCGTTACCTTGGGCTCTCGCGCCGGGCAGCTGGGTGACACGTTGAGTGAGGCGGACGTGACGCGGGTTCTGCGGGCGCTGGAGCTGGTGGGGCTTGAGCACGAGGACCTGCGCCGTGCGCTGGAGTCGTCGTTGCGCATGCGTAACCTCGGCCGCAGGGTGCTGTACGAGACGTAGGTAATAATAATAGTAGAAGAGGCAACAGTGGAGGGACCGTATTACGATGATTCTTCTCTGTTTTTCTTTCATCTGATCTTCTTTAAAGGAAAAAGAAAACACACACGATGCGGAGTGGGACGCCTCGACCGAGGAGGGACGTGCCACGCCGCGAAAGGCCGCCCAGGCAGTGATGTAAGGTGTACGGTTAACATGATATTCGTCACAGATAGGAAGACAATAAAAGAGGGTTGATTCTTCTAGGCGCGGAGGTCGTTCAAGGAGGGATATATATATATATATATATATATTGGTGCACACACGTTAATCCAAAGAGCGCTCTTTTTATTGGATGAGCACCCATTCTGAACGCTTCCTTTTTTTTTTCCGAGAGGGATTTGAGCGTTGCTGCATCGCAGGTGGGCGACAACGCCGAGTTTCGGTCCCCGGAAGCGGCAGGGCCGCGTTCATTTCTTCATCCCTCCCCGTCAACCGGTAGAGAGAGAGAGGTGCTGCGGAAGAGATATCTGCACGCGGTCGGCAGAATTGGCAGTGCAAAAGGTCCATTTCGTGTGCGCGTGAAGGCCCGTTTTTGTTCTTTTTCTGGGAGCTTGCGAAAGGAATGATCGAATGTGAATTACGGTTTGAATGGAATCTAAGTGAATATCAACTTCGGGGACTCCTTTCTACTTTCTTCTCCTTTTCCACGGACAGTCTTCGACTTCCTCCTTGTTCTCTCTTCTGTTCGTTTTCCCGCCCACTCAGGCCCACTCCGCCCCGCTTTGAGGGCGAACTAATCTTGTTTTGAAGTCTGCCACTGCGTTCGTCTTGGTTCCCGTTCCAGGTGAAAAAGATGCTAATAAATAAATCAATATGATATGTTGCTATCTTGCGAAAACTAATGTTGTTGTAAATGACCCCGAGTGATCGTGAGGGTCGTGGTTTACCCCTGTACCGAATTTAGAAGTTAAGGGAGAGGAAAACACAAAACGCCGCTCTTCTATCTCGCTTTCGTTTCTACGAACCTTTTATCTCCCCCCCTCCCCCCTTCTCCATCTCAACCTACAAACACTAACAATTGTTCACTATGTTTTTTTCTTTCAGTCGGACGGTTACGATCGCCTCTCTCCGCTGCTCTCCTCTGATTTTTTTTTGGGGTTACATACTCGTTTCCCTCTCTTCTCTCCCCGCTTTCCTTTTAAACGCGCAACTGGCGGCGCCTCTGAGGTGCCCACGAGTTGTTAGAAAAAAGAAAGGGACTTCTTCGAGAGAAGAGCGAGCCATTCGATCGACAGAGAGAGGGAGGTATTTCACATCGCTTCGTTTTTGCTGCCTCTCTCTCTCTCTAGTTCTTAGTTCTCTACATCCACATATGTTATTCTTCTTCTCTTAACGCGTGTAATACAGCCATTACAGGTTTTTTCTTTCTTCGCCTTTCTTCGTCCGTCGGTGCTCTTCTCTGTGTTTTATCGGCAGGCCGGAGTCCGTGGCAGAGTCGGCGTCGCGACCTCATGTACCCGCCCCTCTTCCCTCCATGATCCCAATCGGCTACCATCCTTCAGACAAAGGTTGAACTCTTCTTTCTTTCCGTATACTTCCGTTACACACCTGCGGCCATTACGGTGTCGCTCTTCTTTTCTTTCTCCCTTTTTTTTTTTTTACCTCTTTCGCGTTCTCACATGCGTTTGCCTTCATCCCCGCGTAGTTCACGAGAAGACGGCGATGCGTCCGTCGATGCCGCCGCCGCCGCCGCCTCGCCGCCGCCGCCGCCATCGCGCGATCCACCGTTGTTTTTCGCAGAGGCACAAATCTCACGAGGTCAACCGGCGAGCGGATCAGTGCAACAGCGCCGTCGCGACGACGCTGGCGGTGCGCATCCCTCTTCCTCTTGCTCTTCATCGCCATCCCCTTTGCAGGTGTTCGTGCCATCACCGTTGCCGCCGTCACCACCGGCACGGTCTGCCTCGCCAGCGCCCCCCCGGACCCAACACCTCTGCATCTTAGCAGCCGGCGTGCTGGTCTTCCACGTCCTCACCTCCGTGCTGCAGGAGTGTATTTTCCACCTGCCGGGCTTCTCGAACGTGCTGCTCATGTCTTTCGGGGAGACCGCGTGCACGACGGCGCTGATGGCCACCCATCTGACTTGGGTCTGGTGGCGAGGAGGAGGAGGAGGAGAGAGGCGAGACGACTCCGCGGTCGACCACCATCAGCACGACACAGCAGGGGCGATGACGCGTCACGCGCGACGACGAGGGGTGTGGCGGGCACTATCCGCGTACGCCGTGTACTGGCGCCGCATCACAGGCGCTCTTCGCCGCATATTCCACCCCTCCACGGTAGAGCTGCATTGGTATGTGCGGATCGCGTTGCTCCTGTCCTGCAGTCTCTACCTGACAAATCAAACGTCCATCCTGCTGAGTTACCCGCTGCAGGTTGTATTTAAATCGAGTAAGCTGCTGTGCATGGTGGTGGTGCGCCGGTGGTGGATGCGGGGGGACACGGATGGTGGGAAGCGTGTATCGGAGTGCGACACAGACCCTGACAGCGTCGAGCAGCGAGCGGGGCATCGCCAACCCCGAGACGGTACGAGCAGGAGAGAAAGAGGAGGTGGCCTCGCCGTGCGAGGGTGGGTGGATTCACGTGCAAACACGGCGGTGGACGAGCGCCTTCGCCGTTGTCTGCCGCGGCGCCAGACCGCAAAGCGAGACGACGAGCCTGCGCCACGCGGCGAGTGCCCCTCTCACCACCACGCCGGCGTCGCTGATCTGCATGGCGCGCAAGAGGACGCCTCGATCCCTTCCGCAATGAAGACTGCAGCCATCGCCCCCACCACGCCGTCCGTAGCCGCCGCTTCTCTGCGAGATGCTGCGGTGCGGTGCCCTTCAAAAGAGTGGCCAGGGAGTGAGGGGAGCACGGCGGCACCCTCTCCTCTTTCTATTCCAGTGACAGGGAGTGGGAGCGGCGGTGTAGTCCCTCTTGCGGAACAGCAGCCCCGTGATCATCGCCGGGGCTCAATGTACCACGTCAGCCAACGACAAAACGATGAGGACGGCGGCGGCAACCGTGACATTGAAGACGGCGCCGACGGGCGAGGGATGACGGCAAGAAACAGTCGACACTCACTCCTACAAAGCTGGCTCGCGAACGCCGCTGTTACACGATGCAGCCTTTTGCTTGCTTTGTGGATGAGAAGGACGCTCGGAATGCTAACGCGGCTGCTCCTGTGCTGTTGCGGCTGCTCCTCCTTCGCCCGTCGTGAGCGGCCACCTCCCCCGCATCCTTTACGGCGTCTTCGAGCGCTGCTGCTCGGCACACGTCTCACCACTCCTTTTTCTCTATCGCCATCACGCACCGCCAGAACTGCACTGCGCGGTCTGCGTGGGTTAGCCAAAGACGGCGAGCTGCAGGCGTGCACGGTCATTGTGGTGGGATTGATCATCTTCACCTACGCCTCGAAGCTCGACGGCGGTGCGGCGGTGTCCGCCGTGGCGCAGAACGAGGATGATCTGAATGGCGGGGGCGGCGGCGCGATGCTGCTTCTGCTGCGGCGGAGCGCTGTGCCGGCAGAGCTGATTAACTCGACAGATAACGCGGCGGACGCGCCCCGCACCGGAGTAGGTCTTAATGCAGTCCAGCACCCCACGACGGTGCTTCCCGAGCAGCCATCACCACCACCATCACCCTCACCGCTGTCGTCGCAGCCGCAAAGCGTAAACTCAACCCTCGCCAGCTTCGCTGTGTCAGCCGAACCGCATTCCAGCGCGTGGCGTACGATGACAGACTTGTACACGGTGTGGATCGTGTCGTCTATAGGCGTCGCCGGCGTGTTACTGTCAAACCTGATGGACGTGGTGATTTACGTGCTGGAGGAGGTGTACTGCTTCCAGACCGCGGGTAGCACCGCGTGGACCTCTCCGCCGTCTGTTCCGACTCTGCCGTCGTCGATGGAGGTCTCGACGGACACGGCACTGCGAGGACGGCAGCACCCGCGTCAGCAGCACCACCACAACTACGCTACTTCTTCTTCTTGTGCCGCTCCTCCTCCTCCGCCTGCCTCGTCACACCAAACAGACGCCGCCGTCGAGGTGAACGCGGAATCGACGGCGCCCCACTCCGCTCAAGCAGCGGCAGCAGCAGCCTCTCAGCGAGTACCCGCCACTTCGCAAGAGGTGCTATTTATGTTGAACGGCCTTGCCAGTATTTTCTACTCCCTTGGCCTCGCCCTGCCATGGCTATCGGAGTACGCTGCTGGGGGGACGTGCTCTCTCGCGCCGTTGACGGCGCCGAACACCACGACGTTACCGTTCCTTAGCTTCACGATGTTGATCATACTCGTGGCGGTGACCAGCCTCATCGGCACCATGTGCCTCCTCACCATTGTCGCCGAGTACACGGGAGTGACAGCGGTGATCGTCACGAGTGTGCGCAAGACGGCCACTGTTTTGCTGAGTTTTGTGCTGTACGGCCGGCGCTTCACCTCGGCACACGCGATTGGGTTGGCGGGCGTGATGGGGGGCGTCGTGTGGAATGAACTGCTGCGACGGCAGCACGCCGCGGCGACGGCGTAGCGGGCCTTGTTGTTGTGCCGATTACTGATATATATATTTACTGCGGTGATAGTTTGTGTACGTGTGCACGACGACTTCGTTTACGTCTTCCTTCCCCACGCGTTCTCTCCTCTTCCATCTTCCATCTTCATTCTTCACTCTCCCGTCACTTTCATGGGCCGCATTTTTGTGACGGGAAGAGAGCGCAAGAAGCCGCGAAACCGCTGGCGCTCGACGTTGGCCGGCAGGCCATGAACCAATGGGACACAAAAGGAAAGCTGCCCATTTTTAGTATAATACATCCTGCTGCGGCTGGGTGTCGCTGCAGGGACGACACCTGCGCTCGTATGCGCGAAGCTCTTCGGTGTCATACTGCCTCTCGCTCTCTACATATATCGGCTGGCTGTTCTCCACGCGCACGCTGCCGTGGAGCCGCGCCACGCTACCTCACGCCCAGTGCGCCGTTGCCCCCACCTTCTACGCATCGTGCCCCCTTCCCTTCCCTTCCCTTCCGTCTCTCCCTCCCTTGTGTGTGCGCCTCTCGTCCCCCGCACCTCAGGTGCATCGCACGCGTTACTTTACCAAAGACACGATCAACGTAAAATCGAAACACAAGTCACGTATATGTCAGCCAGATAGAGGGAGCAGTATATAGAAAAGTAGAAGATATAACAGGTGTAGCCTTCTTCACCTCTCCTCTCGCAAGTTCTCATTTTTTCTTTCCGTTTTCCTAAGGGGATGAAGTCGCGTGCAGCGCAGCGGCAGGGAGGAGAGAACGCCCACAACGTGTCTCCGGCCTCCGATGCACTTCATCTGGGTGTTGCGCATGCGCTGACCCCCAGCGAAGGAGCGACGGTTGCCGTGCTCACGGAGGGAGGTGCGCAAACCCGTCTCTTGGCGAATGACGCTGCTGCTGCCGCCGTTGTTGCTGAGGAGGGTGATGACCCCGAGGCTAGCGAGGATGGTGAGCACATCTCTCAGCAGCACGTCTGGCCGCGTAGCTGCTCCTACCCACTCGTTGGCGGTGTTCGCCGTTTGTGCCAATCGACATTGTTTTTTCTCACGCGCTCATTCTCGGCGGCTCCCCCCGCTACGCCCGCCGCAGCACCTCCGTCGTCCGCATCAGCGCAGGCGGGCACGGCTGGCCGCCCCTCGCGCTCCGTGCGGAAGCGACCGTCTCCTTTCCGCGGTGCCGTCTCCACCCTTCGCGCACGTGCGCGACGCCACCCCGTTCTCTGTGGTGTGTGTGTGTGTATCGTTGTGGTGCTGGTGCTCATCGCCGCGGACGCGTTCCTCAGCCTCGTCGCACAGATGATGCACCTGCCGTTGGGTGGGGATGCCGGTGAGCTACGAGGCGCGGACGCGACCCGGCAGCGGCAGCCCACCGCACAGGGAGGGGCAGGGGCGAAGACACCGTCACAAGACAGCGGTCACGCGTCTTGGCTGACCAGCTCACTCTTCACCGTCGTGTCCTTCCTCTTCCCCACGGCGGTGGCGATGTGGAGAGAGATGTCGCTGCGCGAGCCGGACATCTCGGCGGTGTATTTGTATGACGATGCAGCGGCGGCGGTGTACCGAGATCACAACGTGCTCGAGCGCGCATATTTGCCGCGTCATGCGTTGCCGTGGGTGACGATCGATGCAGCGGTGTTTCGCACGCCGGCGGAGTGGGCGCGTGCGCCGCTGGGCCGCGACGACCTGCTGCCCTTCCCCGCGTCTCCCTCGGCCGCACCGCAGGCGGAGGCGAGCGGTGGTGCCGCACCTGCGGGGCAGGAGAGCACAAGGCTGCCGCCGGAGATTACGGTGACGGTGTATTCGCCGGCTGGCACTTTCCGCAGCTACTACTGCGCGGATGAGCCCAACCGCACCCGCGTGGATGAAGAGCTTTACATGGACCCCGCACGCAGGGCGGTGCTCGACAGCGTTTTTGCCGACTCCCCTGCGGCGTTGAAGGCAGCGCAGACCGGTGCGCCGAAGCGGGCGTCGGCGGCCGACTTGCGGTGCCGTGGCTGCACGTTTCAGTGCGTCCACCCCCGTTTTCTCCGGGGTGCGCGTGGGCGTGGCGGTGCGGCGGCGGCGCTTGCCGGCGACGTGGTGGACGGCGGCGCGCTCTCGTGGGATGTGTCGTTGGAAGACGTCGACGCAGGGCTGATCCAACTGCCGGGTGACAGCGAGGGTGGCAACCACAACGGCAGCAGCAGCATCGTCACTGTCACACGGAACGATCTCTTCACCTGCAAGATGGTGTACGCCAATGACGGCCCGAACCCACGCGATGTGGCTATGCGTCGTGCCCTGCTGCTGTCCACGGACGTCTGGCTGGCTCACTACGGCGGCGCGCTGCCATTCTATTACGTGAATTACAGCACCGCTGCCACGCTGCTTCCACACGGCGCGAGCGGCGGTCTCAACACCACGACCGCGTCGTCGCTGCCGCCTTCCTCCCCCTATTCGCTCGTGCGTCTGCTGCCTCTGCACACCGTTGGGGCGTACGAGGAAAGCATTCAGAGCTTCCCCGGTTACGCGCTGTGGCAGGCCCACTGGACACAGTTCGATGCCGTGTATATGCAGCAGAGGGTGCGCCGTCCCTCCCTGCTGCCGCGACCGCGGGGATGGCGAGCCACCTCCCCCACCGCATCTGGAAAGGCAGCGGCGGTTCCCCCGGGCACCAGTTTCTCCATGTGGGGTCACGTGCACTTGGTCCTGCACGAGTTTCAGCTGATCGTGTTTCTCAACCAGCAGCTGCGAGCCGCACGGGCCGCGGAGCCGCAGCGGGAGTCCCTCACCGAAAACGATGCCCCGTCCCTCATGGCGGCGGCCTCGGGTGTGATCCCGCGGATGGCTGTGGAGCTGCTGCACGGCGCGGACACGATGCTGCTGCCTATGGAAGACGAGAACTTCCACGTACCCGCGACTAGCGGTGTCCGCTGGCGGCCCCCCTCGGTCGCGGACTGGAGCGGGACTCCGCCGCACAACACCACCCACGAGCCGCGCAAACTGCTGCTCCCCTTTTCCGCTGGTGGCCGCATCCCCGCCATCGCCGCTGCGATCAGCAACTGCTGGCATGGGCGGATGTGGTGGCTGTCGGAGCTGTCGCGTTACTATCCGGTGCACAACTTCGGCCGATGCAATATCCCGCCCCCGCCGCCGATGCCGGGAGACGCGGAGCCGCCCTCTGCCGGGGGCATCCCGCAGCGGGTGCGCTATGGTTTCCCTGCCGAGTGCAAGGCGCAGAAGATCTACCCACACCACGACTCCGCCATGGAGCGCGCTCGGCGGAGGCTGAGTTCTTCATTTCCTGCTGTGGGGCGGCCGCGTAGCCTGTCACACGAGAACCGCAATCACGAGCTGCGCTGCGTCTTTCGCAAGTACAAGTACGTCCTGGCCTTTGAGAACACGGTGGAGGATGGCTACGTGACGGAGAAGGTGTACAACGCGCTGCTGAGTGGCGCACTGCCCCTGTATGTGGGCGCCATGAACATCGACCAGTACGTGCCGCAGGGCGGGTCGCGTGCGGGGAGTCAGCACCCCCAATCTTCTCCCCCCTCTGCGTCTCCCCCGCCCGTACTGTCTGTCTTACCCGTCCTTCAGATGTTCCCCATTTTGAACGAGACGGCGATGCGGCTGGAGGACCGACGGATAGTGAAGTTGCACGAGGAGGAGGAAGCCATTTCCGGCGAGGTGTTGCGGACCCATGCGGCGACGCTTCGCACTGATGCTGCGCAGGCGCGCCGTGCAGCGGCCACGTCCCCCAGCCAGAGGAACGTCAACAACGGTGGTCGTCCGCCTGCCGATGCAGGAACGCACGAGACGATGGAGGCGACGGCGACGTTGGCGGAGTGGACCGCGCGGGCCATGGAGGCGGTGGCCCGGCAGGCGCCCAACAACAGCTGTGCATCGCACTTCCTGCTGTACAACACGGCGCCGTCGACTGCCGTGCCGGAGGCGAAGGACGCGGGCAGTGCAGTGGAGAGTGTGGCGGATCTGCCGTTCCACCTCCCGCTGGGGACCTGGCCGGCAGCGAATGCCGCCGCCGCCACCCCCCCTGCCTCGCCCGGTGAGACGGCGCTGACGGAGGCGGGCGCGGACCGTCGCACCGCATCTGGCTTCCCGTCGTTTCTGTGGCGCCTCCATCACGACCTCACTCGCCGCTTGAATCTGCACGCGCAAGGCGGCGGCACGGAGGAGAGGGGCGAGAGGAAAAAGACGGCCACGAAGACGCAGCCGAAGCAGCGCTCCGTGACCATCTTCTCGTATCCCTTCATCGATCTCTTCGCTAACACCGCGCGTGGGTTTGCGGAGGAGGTGGCGGCTGCGAAAGCGAAAAGCACACGAGTGTCCGCAAATGCAGTGGGCGATCAGCTGCCGCGTGGCACGCCCGCGCTACCGGATCGCATCGAGGCCTTTCACGACTACGACGACACCGAATTACCGGCGGGCGAGACAGGGAAGACGAGCCGCGAGCGTGCCGCGGCGGGGAACACGACGCAGGGGGTGTGGCTCAGTCGGGGAAACGCCTTCTCTGAGTATTACGTGCGCCGTCGTATCCCACCCGCCGCCAAGTATGAGGCGGCTGTGCGTACGAGCGACGGACCACCGATGAGCGGCTTTGCGCAGCTGGCGGCGTACCTGCGTGCACTGGATGCCGATCCTGGCTTGGTGGAGCAGGCAGGTTACTTCGACTGGTGGAAGGCGGAGAGGATGGAGGACTTTGGCGGGGCCTTCTTGGAGAAGCTGTACATTCCGCACCCCATCTGCTCAATCTGCGCCGGTGCCTTGGAGAAGAAGGAACGAAGAGGACTCGCGTGAGTGTCTTCTCATCTCATTTACTTATCTATTTGAGAAACCAATTCAACATTCGTCGATGTAGGGGATATGAAGAGAAGCTCTTTGCCGTTTGCTTTTTTTTGTTTTGCTACTCTGGTTCGAGCGGGTGTGCGCGTGCACGTGTTTGTTGAGCATGAGCTACACCACCTCAAACCACAAGGTCCGCCTTTTCTGCCTGTACAGAAATCTAAGGAGGAAGCTATCGCTGACATGGATGGTAGCAACTCCCTGTATCTTCTCTCGTTTTCCAATGGCGATAACACGAGGTGTTGTCCCCCCTCCAAGAGCCACCTAAGGCCGCTGAGACAACGACTTCAGTACGCTTTTCCCTTCTCTTCATGCACGTCCTTTCTACCGAACACGGGAGGAATGCGAAGGGAATGTAAGCGGCGTGTAGCCCGCAGACAGGGGTTTTCGCTGGCTGGTTCAGGCGCGTGCGTTACGGCGAGTCTCCCCAGCCGGGGTCCAACCCGGACCTGTCTGCCGCGCCGATGAACCCGCAGCCTCTCACGGTAGGGCGCCGGCGCTTCGCTCCCCCCGAGAATGGCTACTGGACCGTGGCACGACGGCGAGGTGGCCGGTGCCATCAGGATAGCAGAATCGGTGCTGGTGGTGTTTACGAAGAAGCGGTGCGCTCGTACACGTTGTGGCTCCCTCGGCTTTCATGCTGTCTCCTCTCGCATTCTTGTCTTCCTCGTCGTTCTTTCCATCCCTCTTTAAACCTTCTACACCCCGCGTCCCTTCAGCAGCGATATCACCACCAGTGCACCGGATTTGTGCCGGCTCATTCACTTTTCCCTTCGCGCTGCGCCTCTGAAAGCGCGCGACAGGAACAAGCACGCCGGGAGAGGCGTCGAATGCCGTGCGGTGTGCACTCTTCCTTTCTCGTCTCTCTCCCCCCCCGCTTCTCGGCGACCCCTCGCCAGAAAAGGCCCGTTTGCTTGTCTCCCGCCGTCCCGGCCCTTTGCCAACCCCACGAGGCGGAAGTGCAGGCGATCCGAGTCCGCAGGAAACTTTCCTTCCCGTACCGTCTCTCAATTACTAGAACGGTGTACAAGAGGTATCGACGCTTAGTGGAAGAATGAAAACGACACACGGGATTAAATGATATCTGTTCACCCGTTACCTGCTGCCCTCCTTCCTCCTTGCCGCCTTCCTGAATGCGGAGTCGCCGACCAGAGATCTTCTGCTGTTTCTCTCTTTCTCTCTTTCTCTCTCTCTACATATATCGGCTGGCTGTTCTCCACGCGCACGCTGCCGTGGAGCCGCGCCACGCTACCTCACGCCCAGTGCGCCGTTGCCCCCACCTTCTACGCATCGTGCCCCCTTCCCTTCCCTTCCCTTCCGTCTCTCCCTCCCTTGTGTGTGCGCCTCTCGTCCCCCGCACCTCAGGTGCATCGCACGCGTTACTTTACCAAAGACACGATCAACGTAAAATCGAAACACAAGTCACGTATATGTCAGCCAGATAGAGGGAGCAGTATATAGAAAAGTAGAAGATATAACAGGTGTAGCCTTCTTCACCTCTCCTCTCGCAAGTTCTCATTTTTTCTTTCCGTTTTCCTAAGGGGATGAAGTCGCGTGCAGCGCAGCGGCAGGGAGGAGAGAACGCCCACAACGTGTCTCCGGCCTCCGATGCACTTCATCTGGGTGTTGCGCATGCGCTGACCCCCAGCGAAGGAGCGACGGTTGCCGTGCTCACGGAGGGAGGTGCGCAAACCCGTCTCTTGGCGAATGACGCTGCTGCTGCCGCCGTTGTTGCTGAGGAGGGTGATGACCCCGAGGCTAGCGAGGATGGTGAGCACATCTCTCAGCAGCACGTCTGGCCGCGTAGCTGCTCCTACCCACTCGTTGGCGGTGTTCGCCGTTTGTGCCAATCGACATTGTTTTTTCTCACGCGCTCATTCTCGGCGGCTCCCCCCGCTACGCCCGCCGCAGCACCTCCGTCGTCCGCATCAGCGCAGGCGGGCACGGCTGGCCGCCCCTCGCGCTCCGTGCGGAAGCGACCGTCTCCTTTCCGCGGTGCCGTCTCCACCCTTCGCGCACGTGCGCGACGCCACCCCGTTCTCTGTGGTGTGTGTGTGTGTATCGTTGTGGTGCTGGTGCTCATCGCCGCGGACGCGTTCCTCAGCCTCGTCGCACAGATGATGCACCTGCCGTTGGGTGGGGATGCCGGTGAGCTACGAGGCGCGGACGCGACCCGGCAGCGGCAGCCCACCGCACAGGGAGGGGCAGGGGCGAAGACACCGTCACAAGACAGCGGTCACGCGTCTTGGCTGACCAGCTCACTCTTCACCGTCGTGTCCTTCCTCTTCCCCACGGCGGTGGCGATGTGGAGAGAGATGTCGCTGCGCGAGCCGGACATCTCGGCGGTGTATTTGTATGACGATGCAGCGGCGGCGGTGTACCGAGATCACAACGTGCTCGAGCGCGCATATTTGCCGCGTCATGCGTTGCCGTGGGTGACGATCGATGCAGCGGTGTTTCGCACGCCGGCGGAGTGGGCGCGTGCGCCGCTGGGCCGCGACGACCTGCTGCCCTTCCCCGCGTCTCCCTCGGCCGCACCGCAGGCGGAGGCGAGCGGTGGTGCCGCACCTGCGGGGCAGGAGAGCACAAGGCTGCCGCCGGAGATTACGGTGACGGTGTATTCGCCGGCTGGCACTTTCCGCAGCTACTACTGCGCGGATGAGCCCAACCGCACCCGCGTGGATGAAGAGCTTTACATGGACCCCGCACGCAGGGCGGTGCTCGACAGCGTTTTTGCCGACTCCCCTGCGGCGTTGAAGGCAGCGCAGACCGGTGCGCCGAAGCGGGCGTCGGCGGCCGACTTGCGGTGCCGTGGCTGCACGTTTCAGTGCGTCCACCCCCGTTTTCTCCGGGGTGCGCGTGGGCGTGGCGGTGCGGCGGCGGCGCTTGCCGGCGACGTGGTGGACGGCGGCGCGCTCTCGTGGGATGTGTCGTTGGAAGACGTCGACGCAGGGCTGATCCAACTGCCGGGTGACAGCGAGGGTGGCAACCACAACGGCAGCAGCAGCATCGTCACTGTCACACGGAACGATCTCTTCACCTGCAAGATGGTGTACGCCAATGACGGCCCGAACCCACGCGATGTGGCTATGCGTCGTGCCCTGCTGCTGTCCACGGACGTCTGGCTGGCTCACTACGGCGGCGCGCTGCCATTCTATTACGTGAATTACAGCACCGCTGCCACGCTGCTTCCACACGGCGCGAGCGGCGGTCTCAACACCACGACCGCGTCGTCGCTGCCGCCTTCCTCCCCCTATTCGCTCGTGCGTCTGCTGCCTCTGCACACCGTTGGGGCGTACGAGGAAAGCATTCAGAGCTTCCCCGGTTACGCGCTGTGGCAGGCCCACTGGACACAGTTCGATGCCGTGTATATGCAGCAGAGGGTGCGCCGTCCCTCCCTGCTGCCGCGACCGCGGGGATGGCGAGCCACCTCCCCCACCGCATCTGGAAAGGCAGCGGCGGTTCCCCCGGGCACCAGTTTCTCCATGTGGGGTCACGTGCACTTGGTCCTGCACGAGTTTCAGCTGATCGTGTTTCTCAACCAGCAGCTGCGAGCCGCACGGGCCGCGGAGCCGCAGCGGGAGTCCCTCACCGAAAACGATGCCCCGTCCCTCATGGCGGCGGCCTCGGGTGTGATCCCGCGGATGGCTGTGGAGCTGCTGCACGGCGCGGACACGATGCTGCTGCCTATGGAAGACGAGAACTTCCACGTACCCGCGACTAGCGGTGTCCGCTGGCGGCCCCCCTCGGTCGCGGACTGGAGCGGGACTCCGCCGCACAACACCACCCACGAGCCGCGCAAACTGCTGCTCCCCTTTTCCGCTGGTGGCCGCATCCCCGCCATCGCCGCTGCGATCAGCAACTGCTGGCATGGGCGGATGTGGTGGCTGTCGGAGCTGTCGCGTTACTATCCGGTGCACAACTTCGGCCGATGCAATATCCCGCCCCCGCCGCCGATGCCGGGAGACGCGGAGCCGCCCTCTGCCGGGGGCATCCCGCAGCGGGTGCGCTATGGTTTCCCTGCCGAGTGCAAGGCGCAGAAGATCTACCCACACCACGACTCCGCCATGGAGCGCGCTCGGCGGAGGCTGAGTTCTTCATTTCCTGCTGTGGGGCGGCCGCGTAGCCTGTCACACGAGAACCGCAATCACGAGCTGCGCTGCGTCTTTCGCAAGTACAAGTACGTCCTGGCCTTTGAGAACACGGTGGAGGATGGCTACGTGACGGAGAAGGTGTACAACGCGCTGCTGAGTGGCGCACTGCCCCTGTATGTGGGCGCCATGAACATCGACCAGTACGTGCCGCAGGGCGGGTCGCGTGCGGGGAGTCAGCACCCCCAATCTTCTCCCCCCTCTGCGTCTCCCCCGCCCGTACTGTCTGTCTTACCCGTCCTTCAGATGTTCCCCATTTTGAACGAGACGGCGATGCGGCTGGAGGACCGACGGATAGTGAAGTTGCACGAGGAGGAGGAAGCCATTTCCGGCGAGGTGTTGCGGACCCATGCGGCGACGCTTCGCACTGATGCTGCGCAGGCGCGCCGTGCAGCGGCCACGTCCCCCAGCCAGAGGAACGTCAACAACGGTGGTCGTCCGCCTGCCGATGCAGGAACGCACGAGACGATGGAGGCGACGGCGACGTTGGCGGAGTGGACCGCGCGGGCCATGGAGGCGGTGGCCCGGCAGGCGCCCAACAACAGCTGTGCATCGCACTTCCTGCTGTACAACACGGCGCCGTCGACTGCCGTGCCGGAGGCGAAGGACGCGGGCAGTGCAGTGGAGAGTGTGGCGGATCTGCCGTTCCACCTCCCGCTGGGGACCTGGCCGGCAGCGAATGCCGCCGCCGCCACCCCCCCTGCCTCGCCCGGTGAGACGGCGCTGACGGAGGCGGGCGCGGACCGTCGCACCGCATCTGGCTTCCCGTCGTTTCTGTGGCGCCTCCATCACGACCTCACTCGCCGCTTGAATCTGCACGCGCAAGGCGGCGGCACGGAGGAGAGGGGCGAGAGGAAAAAGACGGCCACGAAGACGCAGCCGAAGCAGCGCTCCGTGACCATCTTCTCGTATCCCTTCATCGATCTCTTCGCTAACACCGCGCGTGGGTTTGCGGAGGAGGTGGCGGCTGCGAAAGCGAAAAGCACACGAGTGTCCGCAAATGCAGTGGGCGATCAGCTGCCGCGTGGCACGCCCGCGCTACCGGATCGCATCGAGGCCTTTCACGACTACGACGACACCGAATTACCGGCGGGCGAGACAGGGAAGACGAGCCGCGAGCGTGCCGCGGCGGGGAACACGACGCAGGGGGTGTGGCTCAGTCGGGGAAACGCCTTCTCTGAGTATTACGTGCGCCGTCGTATCCCACCCGCCGCCAAGTATGAGGCGGCTGTGCGTACGAGCGACGGACCACCGATGAGCGGCTTTGCGCAGCTGGCGGCGTACCTGCGTGCACTGGATGCCGATCCTGGCTTGGTGGAGCAGGCAGGTTACTTCGACTGGTGGAAGGCGGAGAGGATGGAGGACTTTGGCGGGGCCTTCTTGGAGAAGCTGTACATTCCGCACCCCATCTGCTCAATCTGCGCCGGTGCCTTGGAGAAGAAGGAACGAAGAGGACTCGCGTGAGTGTCTTCTCATCTCATTTACTTATCTATTTGAGAAACCAATTCAACATTCGTCGATGTAGGGGATATGAAGAGAAGCTCTTTGCCGTTTGCTTTTTTTTGTTTTGCTACTCTGGTTCGAGCGGGTGTGCGCGTGCACGTGTTTGTTGAGCATGAGCTACACCACCTCAAACCACAAGGTCCGCCTTTTCTGCCTGTACAGAAATCTAAGGAGGAAGCTATCGCTGACATGGATGGTAGCAACTCCCTGTATCTTCTCTCGTTTTCCAATGGCGATAACACGAGGTGTTGTCCCCCCTCCAAGAGCCACCTAAGGCCGCTGAGACAACGACTTCAGTACGCTTTTCCCTTCTCTTCATGCACGTCCTTTCTACCGAACACGGGAGGAATGCGAAGGGAATGTAAGCGGCGTGTAGCCCGCAGACAGGGGTTTTCGCTGGCTGGTTCAGGCGCGTGCGTTACGGCGAGTCTCCCCAGCCGGGGTCCAACCCGGACCTGTCTGCCGCGCCGATGAACCCGCAGCCTCTCACGGTAGGGCGCCGGCGCTTCGCTCCCCCCGAGAATGGCTACTGGACCGTGGCACGACGGCGAGGTGGCCGGTGCCATCAGGATAGCAGAATCGGTGCTGGTGGTGTTTACGAAGAAGCGGTGCGCTCGTACACGTTGTGGCTCCCTCGGCTTTCATGCTGTCTCCTCTCGCATTCTTGTCTTCCTCGTCGTTCTTTCCATCCCTCTTTAAACCTTCTACACCCCGCGTCCCTTCAGCAGCGATATCACCACCAGTGTACCGGATTTGTGCCGGTTCATTCGTGTTGCTTCGTAGTGTGTATTTTTTCCTGTTTGTGCGTTTTGGTAGTTATGTGTCTGTAGGGGTATCTCGTCTTCGTTCCTTCTTTCGAATCGTTTCCGTTAGGTTCATGTCAGCGACTCTGGCCGGGGCGCCGCCCTTCCCTTCCTCGTCTACGTGCATCGGTGCCAACCCTGTCCACAGCAGTACGAGCGTCGTCTACGCACGTCGGGATGGCCGCACCGCCCTCGAAATGCGCGGTAAGGAAATGAAGTTGTCAGAGATGGTCGCATTTGACGGGAGCAGCTGGTACGCCCAGGGCCAAACTGCCGTCACCGTCTCTCTCCACGGACCCACGCTCGCCAAGAGCGAGGTGTACGACACGTGTTTGGTGCGGGTACGCGTCCAGCACGCACGCGGGCGGACACCAGCCGCCGGCGGTGCCGAGCGAGCCGTCTTCGAAGAGGTGAAACTGGAGCTGCTGACCCGCCGGGATGCGATGGAGTTGGCCTCCTTGCTGGAATCCACCATCGATGCCGTGTTCATGCGCGAGCGTTTCCCCCGTTGCGTTCTTGTGGTTGATGTGGTGGTGATGCAGGATGATGGGAGCCTGCCGGCAGTCGCGCTGAACGCGACAATGTGTGCGTTGCTCGACGCCGGCCTGCCGTGCCGGACAACCATGGCCGCCGTCAGCGTGGTAGCGTTGAGCCGTGCACAACACAGCAGCAGACACGATGGAAAAGGCGGGGGCGCGGCGCCGGCGTCACCTTCGTGGCTTTCCTCGTCCACCGTAGGCGCAGGAGGAACATCAGGCGCGACTGCTGGTGCCGACGTAGCCGGCAGTGCGGTGGAGTTCCTTCTGGATCCAACGAGAGTGGAGGAGACCCTCAGCAGTGGCGACGACAACACCGCTGTCGTCAGGGTCGAGAAGGACGACATCAGCGGGTCTTCATCCTCCGCCTCTGCCCCCGCTGTTGGTGGTGGCAGCCGCCTGTCGCTCCCCGGCAAGGATGCCGCACAGGCACTGCAGGAGCAGTACAGTTGTGTCAGCACTGGCGTTTTTGTGTTCTCGAACCCGGCGTGTGGAGGTGGGTTGTTGGGGCAGCTGGTGCGACGACGATGTGATGGTGATGGCCGTGATGGTGGCTCTGCCGGGGCCATCGTATCGCTGGAGGCCTACGGGCAGATGATGGCGCTGGCGGAGCGCGCCGCAGCGGTGCTGTTTGAGTTCTTCCGTCAGTGCAACGTCGCGGAGTAGCTCAGTAGAGTTCGCGCCTTCGTCGTACCCGCTCTTCTTCTGTGGTGTGCTTGGTGAGAAGGCGGTGGGCAGCGGAAGGAGCACGGATCGTTTTGACGACCGCGAACGCGGTGGACAACGGTAGCTGATACCGGAAGGAGAGAAGGTACGTCGGAGCGTAGTAATAATGAACGAAGAAAGAAAAGAAAACAAATTAATCTAAAGCAACGGATGAGGGAGTTCGTGTAAACGATGGGGGGGGGGTGGGAGGGGAGACGCATGGAGATGACGGCGGAGGGTATCCCAGAAGGCAGACCTTCGCAACGGACGAAAGCGTGTCCGCAAAAAGAAAAGAAGAGAAAAAGGACCGATAAATAAAAGCGGTGAGTCATGGAGGTGCGTGATGGCTTCTGTGGGTGTTCTTCGAGGACGCATGCGGAGGGTTTGGTGCGCGTCTTTCCGTTTTTTGTTGTTTTCTCTTCTCTCGCTCGCTCGCTCGCTCTCCTTTGTTTTTCTGTGTTGTGTTTTTTTCCTACCTCATGCATGACTCGTAGTGCTCTGCGTCCACAGCGGGGCCGATTCTGCTGGAAGAGCGGCGCTCTGCGGCGAATGCGTCTCTGCACCTCTCCTTGGCCTCGTAAACGGTAACAGAAACGATACCGAAATAAAACGGAAGCAATTCCAGAAGGAGGAGAGGACCATTTGATGATGATGATTATTATTATTATTAATAGTACATCTTCTTCTTCAGCGGTCCGACGCACGTTTTTTACTGGGGTTATTATTAATATTATTATTATTATTATTCCTGGTGCTGTTGTGGAGACCGCGAGCGAGGCATAACAGAGGGCAAGCAGCCGCGTTGCTCTCGGGGGCTGGGCCAACTGAAGGCGGTAGCACGGCGAGTCCTGGCCCTTCGCTTGCAGCTGTCCTCATGATAGCACTTTCCACGCCTGTGATGAATGGACGTGAACGCGCAAGCGCCTCTTTTCAAATGCATGAGATGTTTCCTCCCACTCCCACTCGACTGCCGGATCTGATTTCCCCGCTTCCTTTCTTGCTGCTGCTGTTTCTGTATTCCCTCCTGACTTGTGTGGCGTGACTCCGCGTGCCTTACACGACGCACCGTTATCTCTCGCTTCGGTTTTCTTCTCTCTTGGGGTAGGGAGGGGTGTAATTCAAATTGAAATACCATTTAGGCTTAAAAATTAACGAAGACAGATCAAATATCCGTGTATACATATTTTTTTTTTTGTATACATCGTACGAGTCAACCTCTCATCCGCCGCCGCCGCCACTACCGCCGTGCAGTACATACCTATGTCCTCTCTGTCAAACCCTGGCGGCCCGATCGCCGGCCACCCCGCGACTGGCACGCCGTCACCGCGGAAGGGTTCTCGTACCTCGGCCACCGTGCAGTGGTCCGGCCCGCTGCCGCCGATGTCGGCGTCGTCGTCGCGTGGTGTGTGTGTGGACGGCGTCGAGTGGCCCGGTGGGGAGGGGCCAACGTTCTCCACCTCTGCTCCCCCCGCAACGGCCCAGTCGGCGGTCGGCGGTGTCGCCGCGACGGGCCACACGCGAGCCGCCGTGCCGACTCCCACCGTACCGAAGCGCCCGGGGGTTTTTAACGCCGCCTTCAGCGCCGCTGCGGCCGCGGCGACGGGGGTGGCGTGGCGGCAGCACCCCTCGAGCGACACCACCGCCGTGGGTGGTTGTGGTGGTGTTCCTGCTGACTCCTCTGCTGTGCGTGGAGCTGCCGTGGCGGTGGTGGCAGCGCCGCGGCCGCGCACATCAGAGGATGAAGTTGACGTGCAGCAGCAAGGTTCAACTGCCGCTACTCCTCCGACTCTACCACCACCGCCACCACCGCCGCCGTCGATGTCGACGACGCACAACACAAATGGCGTGTGTGAGGCCATCGTAAGCGGTGTCCGCCACGCCGCTGGCGGCTCCAGCCTGTGGGGGCCAACGACGGGCGGCAACAACGCACCTCTTGCTCTGTCTCCCCCGCCTCACAACAACACCAGTACATCTCCTGATGGCGGCTCTCCGCCGCACACACCATCACCACCGACGTCGATGTCGGCTGGAGGCGCCGAGGACGGTGCTCGGGCGAAAACGGCGGAGGGACGGCGCAGCAGCGGCCGCTACGTCGGCGCAGTCCTCCCGGAATACACCACCCCGGGCGAGAGCGCGAGCGAGAACGCACTGCTGTTGTGTGAGAAGCGCATGTCGGACCCTTTCGCCTCATACTCCGTGGAGATGCTTGTGCGGGATGTCTGTGGGCAGCACGGCGGGGGTGCTGCTGACGGTGGTGGTGATGTGGTGACGCTGCCACACGTGACGGATGACGGGCCCATCACCGGCGAACTCACGCCTTATCCTCCACAACAACAGGGACAATTGCAGCTGCACCACCAGCGTAGCACGATGGACTGTAACGATGACCTGCAGCGACTACTTGAGGATGCCCATCAGGCCTACGCACAGGCCGAGGCACGCCTGTTGGACGACGGCCTCTCGTTGATCGAGGACTGGATGCGTACCCGAGACTTGTTCTTCTCAGCTGGGTCTCTCTTTGCGGCAGTCGGCGACGCGACGACGGCGGCGCGCTGCCTGCTCCACGCCACGTTCATCAATCGCGCCTTCCACAGCGACGGCGAGGCTCTCACGACGCTGTCCATGTCCGTTGAGCAGCTAAAGCATGCCCACCCGCGGGTCGCGGTGGAGTCGCTGCTGCGGCTGGTGCCGTGCTACGCGAATAAGAACCTGCGCTATCAGACCGCTCGCTGCTACCGGGATGCGGCGGAGCTGCTGGAGACGGAGCTGGAGGAAAAGGCCGCCGCCGTGGAGCTCTACCGTGCTGCCTTGGCGGTGTACGCCGACACGCAAGTTGCGGCGAAGGCGTTGTCCCGCAAGTGGCAGAAGCAGCAGCAGCAGCAGCGGCAGCAACCGACACAACACTCCTTCACCACCGCCATCGCAGATTCCTTTAGCAATCTTGCGCTACAGACGACGATGTCTATCACGGAGGAGGACATGAAGTCGCTGCTGCCTTCCTCCAACGTGGACGTGACGGTTATGAACATGCAGGCGGGACTGCCGCCGCCGCACTACCAAGTCAGCACCACCGTGCAGCGCAGTCTGGTGGAGGCCTGCCGTGGCCGTTTGCTGGTGCTGCTCGCACAGCTGCACCGCTACGCTGAGGTGATGGAGGTGGCGCTGACGTGCGCCGATGCCGTCCCTCGCTCACTGCCACGCACCAAGTTTCTACTGTGCGCTACGCTCTCCGTGCTGGCGCGGGGGGCCCCTCCCCCATCGAAAACGGGGGATGGCGAGGAGGAGGGTGGCGGCATTGACGCGGCCTCCGCAGAGGAGGTGACCCCGCCGGCCGGCACCGTCCCTGCCTTCATGAGCGCGGCAGCGGAGGCGGCCGATGCGCTGTACTTCGACAGCCTGTACGACACGGCGAAGGTCTTCTCCTCCCTGCAGGAGGAGGATCGTGCCTTTCAACGTGGAAAGGAAAACGAGCTGGTGCGTGCGCTGCTGGAGGCGAACAAGGCCTGTTCCTTGTCGATGTACGACGAGGCGGTGCGCACTTACAATGGCTACGCCACGACGGAGCGGAGCGTGGTGCTGGATGTGTTAATAGAGCAGTGTCGCCGCTGTCTCTTCCAACATGTGGAGCGCTTTGCGTAGTATATATATATGCGTGAAGCATCAACACCTTCTTTTATTTTTTCTTTTGCTTTCTCTCTTCCGACATTCACATCTTTCGCCTTTTTTTTTTTGTCAATGCTGTACCTCTCCGATGTATGGCCGCCTACACACATGTGTCACGGCCGTCTTCTTCTTCTCTATGTACCTTTTTCTACTGGAAACCGTTTCTGTTCTGGTGACACCGCAATACTCATATGTAGCTCGTGTGGCCTTCTCTTTCATGTTTTTCTCTTTTCCTTTCTAGCGTGTTTGGGTGTGTGTTGAGTCCAGTGATGACGATTATGGTGGTGATGGTGATGGTGGTCTTCTCCGCTTCTTCGTTTCTTCTTTTCATTTGTTACCTTGTTGGACGCAACAGTCGTTGTGTGAAGGGTGAAGGGTGCGTGGTGCGTGGTGCGTGTGTTCATGTGAAATACGTCTCCCGCCCCTCCCCCTTCGCGTGCTTCTTTTTTTTTTGCTGTTGCGTGCCGCGTTCTCCTCTTTCTCCCTCTCTCCTCTCGCTCCACTTTGACAATAACGCGGGTGGGAAAGGAAAAGAAAACCAAAAGAGGCCGCCGCCGCGGAGGCAGACGCACTGGCAGAGATGGCCAAGAGGTTTCGATGTTCTTCATCATCTTCTTATATATGTATCTGTTTTGGTAACGATACTGTCTGTGAAGCCGCGCGTAGCGAGGATGTAAAAAAAAGCAAAGAGACAAACAACAAAAAGAATCCTAAAAAGAAGCACCGGTGGCGGTGGCGGTGGCGGTGGTGGTCATGAGTCTCCAGATGACAGGAGGCTACCCCCTTCCTTTCTCTACACCCACACCAACACACCCAACAAGGAGAGGACCTCTACCAACAAATGTCATGGTCGGGATGACGCTTCCGTTTTCCGTTTTTTTTTTTTAGCATAAAAAGTAGAAAAAGAATGCAGTGATGTGGGCCTTTTTCTTACTTAATTCGGGGGGGGGGGTGGCTCTGCTGCGGTTATCACGCGCTCCACAGACTCTTCCCTTACATCCCTTCAACGTTTTTCTCTTTTGCTTCTTCGTGAGCACCGCACTCGCACACGCACGCACGCGAGCAAACATCTTGCATGCGTGCGTGCGTGTCACCTCTACATGGCTTTCTCCTAACGTTTCTCTTTCTCTGTTCTCCTCCTCCTCCTCCTCCATAACAATAACAACAACAACAACATAGTAAACGTGAACGCCAACAACCTTGATTCGACTGCTGATACTATGTTTATGAACCAGCACACGACGTATCGCCTGCAAAAGAAAAAATAACAATAAAAAGGTAAATCGTACAGAGCACTTCAAACAGGTTCGACCGCACCTTACAACAAAGCACGACCATTGGCGTTCACGGACTGTCCATCACTTCTTGATTTATATCCCACAGCGACTCTTGACGGTACTCCCCCCCTTTCCCCTTTCAGTTCTCGCTAGCGAGAAAGGGAAGAGAAAAGACCGGACAAATAAAGGAAAGCGTGCACGCACGGCCTTTAATATTTGTATACGTTGATAGGCGAGAATCGGCGACACATCCTCCCACCCTCCGCGGCTTCTCGTCTCTGCGTAAACGGGGTTGTCCACACGGCTCTTTCTATTTCCATTGCTTTCTGTTAATTCTTCACACACCTATATGTACATATATATAGGCGTACTGAACAACGACACGAATAGAGGGACCACAACACATCAACCGCACCATGTCCAAACCAGACTGGATGAACTTTGAGGACAGCGCCAACGGCGCCGTCGTCCAGCCGACCACCGACACGGCCGCCACAGCGGACACCGTTGCTTCCCTCGCCGGCCACAACGATGCCGCTGACAGCCGCAGCGCGCTACACGGAGTAGGCGAGGAGGACCTTCCGCTATTCCTTCGCGACGACGCGACAGCCTTCCACGTTCCGCCTGACGGTACGGCCTCCTCCGGCACGCCGGCGTTCTTATCCGATATGTCCAGACACCACACGGACGCGCAGGCGGGGGAGGGGGAGAGCGAGATGGACGGAGGCAAGAATACTCGCCGCGTGGGTGCGGGAGGTGGTGCAGGGAGCGGCGCTCTTCGACGGCCGGGCACAGCAGACGACAAAAGTGTCAGCAGCAGCACCGTCATGTACGCAGATCAGCCCTCCGCCGCCCTGCTCCACTTTACCGGCGACAGCGGTGACGCCTGGTCCCTGCACCGGGTGCGCATTCTTGGCAAAGGCAACTACGGCTGCGCTACCCTCTACTCGCTAGACGAGGAGACCGCCGGCTCTTCTCCGTCTTCGTCGTCTGCGTCATCGCCGTCGCCGCGGCGGTCCGTCGTGGTCAAGGACATCAACGTCCAAACGATGCTAAATCCAAGAGAGGACATGTCAGCGGTGCAGAACGAGCTGCGCGTGCTGCGCAGCGTTGCCGGGCACCCGAACCTCGTCCAGTACGTGGACGCCCTCTTCGACGCCCGTCCGGAGAACTATCCGATGTGCTTCATTCTCATGGAGTACGCGGCAGGAGGGGACTTGGCGGCACTCATGGAACGCTGTAGCACCACCGCGGCGGCGGCGGCATCGTCTCCCACCACCACAGCAAACACAACGGCCATTGCATCGTTCGCGAGCGATCTTCTTCGCCACGGCGGTGACGGCGGCACTACCATGATCTCGGAGGATCACGTAGCCGCGTACCTCATTCAAACCGCCGTGGCGCTGCACTCTCTGCACACCGAGTACGGTGTCCTCCACCGCGACGTGAAGCCACACAACATCTTTTTACTCGAGGACGGCGTGACGGTGCGGCTCGGCGACTTTGGCATCTCCATGCAGCTCGGCCGTGTTGGCGAGAAGGCGAAGGAGGCGTGCGGGTCACCCTACTTCATGGCGCCGGAGATCTTCGAGGAGAAGCCCTACGACGCCGCGGCGGATGTCTGGTCGCTGGGAGTCGTGTTCTATCAGCTTCTGACGCGCCAGCTGCCGTTTGTGGCCGCATCCGTCGCCGCGCTGGGGCCGCTGGTACGCCGAGGCCAGTTTGCTCGCCTCTCCGACGCATCCTCCGAGGCTGCTGCTGCTGTCAGTGCGGCGGCGTACTCGAAGGAGCTGCGGGAGCTGGTGGACTCGCTCTTGACGGTAGAGCCTGCAGCTCGGCCGACGCTGCGGCGGGTGCTGCGCAGCCGATACGTCCGCGATCACCTGCGGTGCGTCCCGCTCTCCGTGCTGCAGGCGAAGCGACCAGTGGTGGCGCGTGCCACGGGGCCGGCGGTTTTGCCGAGGGATGGGGCCGCCGGCACCGGCACCGGCACCGCCACCGTTGCCCCGCAGTTTACGGAGGAGTCGCTTTACGCGTCGGTTTTCGGTGCGGAGGCGGTGGCGGCGGCCGTGGCGCACGCGAGCTTCGCCGGTGTGTCGCCAATCGTGAGCCGCACTTCCCACCCGTAGCGCTCATACTTCGATGTGTTTATCTCTTCGAGGGAGAAGAAAAGAATGCGGTGTCTGACGGCGAAGATGCCACAAAGTGGTTCGGTTAGCTCGACAGAGTTGAGGAAATGAAAGCGAAAACGTTCTCTTGATCTTTCTTACATGAAAGAAAGAAAGAGCAAGGTATGGGAGAGAAAGGGAGAGGGAGAGGAGGACGAGGGGGAAGGGGAAGAATCGTTCTGACAGACCTTGAAGTGTGTGTGTGAGTGTGGCACGTACGCACATCTCTAAAGACCACGATGCGCGATCAAGCGACATTGCACACGACCGTCTCTCTCTCTCGCCCTCTCCCTCTCTCTCGGGTCGTTTTACCCCCTCCGCCGTCTTCGCCGTCTTCGCCGTAGAGAAACAAGAAACGAAAAGTGAAAGGAAAATAAAAAAACAAAAGCGGGCAATAACGTTTGCACAGACGCTGACGGGGTGGGCCGAGAAGGACGAGTACTATTCAGACCAACGTGGATGGAGGGAAGCCTTCCGTCATTCATACGTTGTCTTTACTACCATCATTTGTGTCATTGATGCGGAGATGAAGCGGCGACGTGCTAAGCAACAAAAACAGGAGTATAAAACAAGATGAGGCTGAAAACCCGTGTCTTTATCTGTAGGTGTTCTTCTGCTCTACTCTTCACGACGCCCGCACGCGCACACGCCCGACATAATCGTGTGGGTCTGCTTTGCGGCTCCTCCCCCGCTTCGTAACTCCCTCCTGTCCTTCCGCCCGTTCTCTCTTGTGTTTCTTGTATTTGCTTTTCCACATGCTCTCCTGTGCGGCCGCGTGGTGCTGTGCGCGTTACCACCCGAACCCGTTGTGCTTCCATTGGGCACACGCACACAACTCCTCATGCGCGTTGCGTCCTGTCTTGGCCATCGCAGTTCCCTGTGGTCAGAGGTGCCTGTGCGCTGTTCCTTCGTTCTGCTGCTGCGTTCTTTGTTTTCGCCTCCCCCCATTCGCTTCTACGGCGTTTTGCTGCCTGACGGTTGCGGAGATGCGCGTTGAGTGGAGGGAGTTTGCGCAGGCGGCGCGCAGCATGCATCAGCAACCCGGTGGCATCAAGCGCACCCGCCTCATGCTGCACCTCCGACCCTACAAAACACGTAAGATATTCGCGCTGAAGGCGACCGACGGCCGCACCACGCTGACGACGCGTGTGGAGCATCAGGGCCAGATTAGGCTGGTCGAGGCCCTCGTGGGAGACTTTGTGTCCGCGTGCACGCGTGTGTCGGTGCCGGCGTCTGTGTCTGCTGCCTCGGCCACCGCGGCGGCCGCGCTCCCCCCCGCCGCGTTGCATACGGAGAGCGGGGCCGGGGGAAAGGCCGGGCAGGCGAGCTCGCCGCCCCATCCGCCGCCACCGCCGCGGAGCAGCAACCGGCAGGTGAACAAAGGAAGGAAAGGCAAGCGGCACTAGCGCGGCGTGCGGTACGGCTGAGGCTGACTGTGGGACTTGTGTGTGTGCCTTCGGTGTGCATGGGTGCCGACGAGGTGGCGTAACTACGTAAGAAGGAGTAAAATGCGAGAAGAATGAAGAAGCGGTGGGACGCCCGCGGCGTGTCAACAACGGTGGTGTGAGTCGCCGTGCTTTGTTGTGCTGCGGTGGCGGTGTGAGGGGCAGCACGCGCCACTGCGCCTCTCCCCGTCCCTCTCCCCGTCCCGTACGGCTCGCAGCTGAGAGCACGGCGCGGCTGAGGTGTGGCGGTGGTGTTTTCGCTGCGGAGCCACGTTGTCCAGCTGCTTCAGCGTCGTCTGTGGGTGCGAAACGCCAAAATGGCGGATCGTTTCGTGATCTCTCTCCTCTCCGGTTTTCTGTTGCGGAGGAGGTCCTGCCACGCGCACGGAGGCGGAGGAGAGCACCGTGTTGTGATTGCCAACTTTCTGATTTCGCTGTCGGGGCGGCCCGCAACCGCGATTCCACACACTTTCCTCTGTCATTTCCCTCTTCTCCCTCTTCTCCCTCCCCCTTCCCCCTTCCTCCTTCTTTCGCCCCTCAGCAGACATGCTTTTCGCACGGCCTGTGTGTTCGTCTAACTTTGCTTTCTCCGCATAAAACAATACATCCAGTTCTCCATTTTTTCTTCCCTCGAAGGCCACCCACCCCACCGCGCGTTGAGCCGGATAAGGATAGGCTGCCGCTTCGTTCCATGGTGGGCTCAGTGCGCGTGCGTAGTTGGTATTACGCAGCGGAAGCACCACATAAGCACACCGGAACAGGCAGCCCTGCTGGCCACTCTCGGCAGCGGAAGGCGGTTCGTCTCTCCCCCTTCTCTGTGCCGCGGTTGTCTCCCCGTTTCTGCTGCCGACTAAAGCGCCGGACAGCTTCTGTTTTCTTCCGTCTTTCCGTGCCGCGTAGTTGGCGGCGGACTTTGGAAAGGCGTCAGCCACTTCATTTGGATACATTCGACGGGAAAACACAAACTAAGTAGGTGGTGAACTCGGTGTTGTGGAGAAAATACGCCCTCACCCGGGGAGGACGGCACTACGGTGTCGGGCAAACATCGTTAACGCATCCGCACGCCAGAAGAGGCCATCGAAAATCAATTTTCCTTTTCTGTTTCCTTTGCTTCTTCATCTCCACAAGTGACACCATAGAACACTAGCGGTATAGCTCGCCGTGCGGTGAACTGCTCAAAGAGTCCCCGCAAGCACAACCGCAGCAGCCAAGGGCTGAAGAGACAATGAAGCCGGCGAAGGTAAACATGCACGGTGCCTTGCCGAGCAACGCCGAAGATGTACCGGACAATGACGCCACGCTACTGCGTCGACTCAGCTGCGACAACGGTAGCAACGAGGCGGAGAACTCCAGCAAAGCGGAGATTGCAGACGTGCCCACGGAGCACGACGGCACCGAGCGGGATGCGTATCGCTCGCTTCTGCCGGTGACGTGCCTCCAGCTGCTGCGCACGGTCACGCATCGGTGGTGTCCTTCGTGGTTGTTATCGACTGGCACGGCCGCCGCGCAGAGTGTGTCCAAAGCGCACCACCGCTGTTGTTCCGACCTGTCGCAACTTCCCCCCAACAAGACCCGCATGCGCCGCCGTCACCTCGGCGTGCTGCTGGGCAGCTGCGCCTGTGCCGTGCGCGCCACGAAGCTCGGCTGCCTGCGTTTGCTTCACTGCGTGCGCCACGGGTGCCGGTCGCCGCGGCCCTCTTCGCCGGAGCCACCGCAGCCCCGCGCCCCTCGCCGCTCCGACCCCGTTCACCGATGCCGGCGTCGCGCTGCCTTTGCTGCCTCGGGGTCGTTCCTGCTTCTCTGCCTCGCCGCATTGGTCGATCTGATCTGGGTGGCCAACACTCTCAGCAACGACCCCTACACCGCCCTGCGCATTGAGCTTCGCGTTGCCTACCCGGCTAAAGTCGCAGACGACGTGGTGCGGATAGTGAAACGTCGAGAGTCTGGGCCGCTGGGCCACACGCCGGCCGTGGGCGTCTTCTCCACCCGCGCACAGACGATCCACGCGTACGTCGAGGAGCGTACGGTGTCCCTTCTTGCTTCGTTGTATGCTCAGCGACACCCGAACGAGATGCGTGCCGCAAGAGCACGGGTGGCGAGCCTGCAGGGCAAGATGGACTGCCCCACGCCGCCCATGCTTGGCGAGTACGCGCCAAGGCGCATCGACTCCTTGATCTCGGACGCGATGTTGTCCCGCATCGCGAGGGACGGCGTGGCGGTGGGTGCGTGCACGCTGGAGGTGGCAAGCTCCGCGCTGCTGCGGTGCACGCACGGGGTGCCGACCCTCGCCGCACCTCGGCATGACGCCGGCGCCTCTCCGTCGACGACGGACGCCATCTTCGACTCGCTGTGGGCCGCCTTTGCGAACGCGAGCAGGGCGGCGCCAACGCCGCCGGGGTGCCTGGCACGCCGCCAGAACCGCATGCCGTGCGCGGACGTGGGCACCGCGGCGGACAGCCGGCCCGCGATGACAGTCGGTGTGCCGCCTGATGAGCGCAGTCGGGTGCGGTTCCTGTATGAGCACGGCCGGGTGGGCGTGGACGGCGGTGCGGTGGCGGAGCTGTACTACGACTACACGCCGGGCCTGCCGGCGGAGGCGCGCGAGTGGCGGGTGCAGACGCTGAGGATGGGCAGGGCGACGGACGCGGATCGTTTTCATGCGCACGCCCGCGCCCAGGAGGAGCGCTTCCGCCGCACCACTCCGAGGGGCGCCGTCGACCCGGCAAGCCCCCCGTCGGCTGTCATTCTCTTTCTCGCTGGTGCGGCGGAGAGAGGCCCGAGGCGTCGCAACGAATTCATGCTGCACGCGCTGCCGCTGCTGGAGAAGCACCTGCTTCAAATCTACCCGCACTACCCGGTGCACGTGTTCTACGAGATGAAGATGCCGTCGCCTGCGTGGTCGCTGACGGACGTGTATCGGCACTCGGACGTGTACACGATCCTTCATTCTTGGCAGCCACCCGACGCGACGGCGCCGACCCAGGCGACGCAGCACGTTCGTATTCCGCCGCCGCCGCCGGTGCTGGTGGACGCTGCGGACAAGCTGCGGGTGCTGCGTGCGCAGCAGGCGGCGGCGCGGAGCTGGTTCGAAGACGTTGCATCGCGCGTGCCGTCGGCGCCGTACGTGACCTTCGAGAACGTCGGGCCGCTCTTCTCTACGCTGCCGTGCGGTGTGACGGAGGATGACGTGTCGGTATGGGCGAAGGGCCGTAGCTCGCGGTACGGGCACCGCCGCGGATATCGGCAGATGTGTCGGTTCTGGGCCCAGCTTGTGTGGCGGCTGCCGTCGCTGCGGATCTCGACGGGTTCCGCGGAGGGCTTGCGCGAGGTGGCTGCGCTGCCGCCGTGGCGTTTTCGCTACGCGTACTACCTGCGCCTCGACACGGACTCCTTCCTGCACCGCCCCGTGGCATGCGACCCGTTTGCGACGATGATGGCGCAGCGGTGCGCGTACGGGTACAACGCCATTGTTTTGGACGAGAAATTCGTGACGGAGCACCTGGGGAGTGCGATTGCGGAGTGGATCGGCAACCGGACGAGCATCGGGGGCGTGGAGCGCGCGCTGGCTGGCGTGAATGCGACGGGCGGTGCAGGGGAGGTGCGTGGCTGGGGCCGGCTGGGTGATCCAGCGGCGTCGAGCATGGTGACGCTGGTATCCGCCGCGGCGAGGGAGGAGCTGCCGCCGCTGCCACCGACGTGGCCGTGGCCGAACGTGTTCCCGGAGCACAGCAGCGCTGCGCTTTCCGCCGCGGAGAAGGACGTGCTGCGCACACAGTTTTTTACTGAGGAGCCGCCGGATGGCCGCAGAGCTGCTTCGGGGCCACTGCGGGCAGAGGAGAGCCCCGTGAGTGCTTCGTATACGCCGCTGCCCGCGGGCTTCGCGACACAGTCCACGTACAACCGCAGGATGTACTTCAACAACTTCGAGCTGGGCACGTTCGCCCTCAAGGCCCACCCTCTGTACACGTCACTGGTGGATTTCGTTGACAATCGCGACTACGACGACGTCACGGGGCCTGCGCGGGAGGCGGCGAGCTTCGACTACACGCTCAAGCTGCTGCGTCCCGACGACGCGGAGGGTGTGGTGGTCGGTGGGAACGCCTCCGTGTACGCGACCCCTGTGTATCTCCTCCTCCGAGCATCGGAGAGCGCGTCCCCCGGTGCGCCGGCCACGAACGGGTCGAGCTCGCCGTGCCTGGGCCGTCGGCTGAACGGGCGTGTGGGCGCGGACCCCGACATGAAGCTGAAGGCGCGCGACATCGACCGCGACTGGCGCTCGGGGTACTTTCAGCACCGCTGGGGCGATGCGCCGGTGCACTCGGTGGGCGTGGAGGCGGTGATGCAGCGTGAGGGCTGGGCTGCGTGTGCGTTCGCGAGCGACTTCGGTTTATACCAACACGGCCAGTTTAGGCCAGCAAGCGCTAGAGTTTAATCTGCGTATTTGATGTTCTGCGCGTTCGAAGGTTTTGCCGTTTTGTTGCTTATGGTGTCGACGTCTGCTGTGTTGATGCCTCTCTCTTTATCTCGGTGATGTTGCTGCTGTGGTGTTATCGCTGTGCAGGCCGAAGCGGTTTTCAGAGGTGCAGCGGGGGAATGATTGTGCGCTGGACTGGCTGCGGTGAATGGGTGGAAGGTACTTTTTGTTTTGTAAGTGTTTCTTTGCTTCTTATTGGGTTTCCCTCCTGTTTTCGCGGTATCGTTTTCAGGTCGCTCTCGGCTTTCGAATCGCTCTTCTCTCGCTGGTGCCGTGCACCCGCGCCTCGCTCCGCCCCGCCCCGCTTTGGAGGTAGATCGGCGAGGAATTCTGCCGCTTGTTGAGTGTTTTTGTGTTGTTTTTTGTTGATACCTTCTGAATCATAATATTGGGTAAGGAGAACAAAAGCAGCGCGCCATCTGGTATCCGCTTGCCGTAGGAGTGAAGGAGGCGAAAGATTCTCGCCACCGTTATGTCGTTCTTTGTTTTCCCGCGTCCTAATGCTCTTGCACATACGTCGTAGTGAAGATTGTAGCTAACGACGTGGAGTTCTACGGTGTCCAAATAATACTCCGCATAGATTGTTATCGACCCACCCACCCAAACCCAGCGGAAGCCGAGGGGTGCGCGTGGTCCCAATTGTTTCTTTTGTCGTCTTCTGAGAAAATATTTGTACTTTATTGTGCGCGATTCAAAACTCTCATTTTCTTTCTTAAAGGGTTCAAAGAACCGTTTTTGTGTTGTTTGGGGATGGGCGTGACAGGCTTGTAGGGTCTTTCGACGCCCAGCAATTAATTCAACAATGGAGAAAAGATTTAAAGAGAGTTGGCAATTGGAGCTGGTCGTACTCCAAAAGCATTGTAAAGGAGGTTTGCGACGTATGGAGTTAAGAGCGCCGGGTCAATGGTAGGTTGAGAGGTTACTCGCCTACATACGCCGGCCCCCCTCCCCCCTCAATAGCTTACTGAGGGTTTACTTAAACTACAATTATTCTTCCTGCTTTCTTTCTGTCAAGCAAGCTGGATTATGCAGCTTCACCGATGGATTGTTTCTTCAAACTGTACCGCTCGATCCCGTGGGGGTTCGAGACTTAACAACCATAAGAGAAAAGCGAAGTGAAAGGAATGTAGCGTTGCCGGGCCGCCAGCGTGAACGGCGTGAGACGGCACACGACAGGCAAGTGAGGCGCGTTTCTTCCTGCCCGCTTTGTCCGCAACCCGTAGCTCCAGCAAGACGAAAAATGCAGATGGTTGTGCCTGTCCCATGGGCAGGCACCAGTGGCTTGAAGAGTTCGATGAGTTTCTGTGAGTGACTGCAGTTCTGATGCGTATGGAAACACTTGTCGGCCTTCTACCTTTCCTCCTCGTACCGTTCCCCTCTCCCCTTCTCTCCTTCTCTCCTTCTCCTTCTTCCACCAGAAATCGTCCACACAGTGCTCATGAAGAGCATGCGCGCCACCTCCACGATGTACGGGTGCCGGAGGTTTGTGCGTGCGTGTGGTGCCTGCCGCCACGCGGTGCGGGGTGTGTCGGCGGAGGCGTCCGCTGCGGGCGGCGGTGCCCGGGCTGCCGTAGGGCAGATGTACGCGCGGTCGCAGACGAGGCGCGATCCTTTCCTGCGCGAGGGTACGGCGACGAGCCGTTTCTTCCGCGCGTACCGGGCGCGACTGCCGTTTCCGGTGCGCATGTCTGGCATCTTCCTGCTGGGGTTCTCGTTGGGGCTGGTGATTGAGGTGTTTGCGTGCAAGACGCACCTGTACGAGAGCGTGATGATGAAGAAGGACGCGCGACGACACGAGTTTGACGAGTTCGTTGTCGACTTCCGCCAGAATGTGGAGCGGTGGCAGCGGGAAGACATGGGCAAGCGTCCGGGCAGCTGAAGGGTGTGGTGGTGGTGGAGGGGGACAGTGTTTGCACCCTAGAGTGTGTGTCCCTGGTGTGTGCGATGCTCACAGTGCAGGTGCTTTTTTTTTTTTACATGTCTAACGGTGTCAACTGGATGGTGGCCTCAACGACACGGATGGGAAGCCCAATGACTGGCAAGGTGTGTGTGCAGTCATGTGCCGTGCGGCCCTCGTGCGGCTCGCGTTGTGCCGACCTCACGGCGCCCCTAAATGTGTGTTGCTTGGCGCCTGTGTGGACGTGAGGTGGGCGACAGTTGGGCACCGCATCAGAGCGAAGAGTGCACGGTGCACGCCCACACATGCACACGCCCGACATAATCGTGTGGGTCTGCTTTGCGGCTCCTCCCCCGCTTCGTAACTCCCTCCTGTCCTTCCGCCCGTTCTCTCTTGTGTTTCTTGTATTTGCTTTTCCACATGCTCTCCTGTGCGGCCGCGTGGTGCTGTGCGCGTTACCACCCGAACCCGTTGTGCTTCCATTGGGCACACGCACACAACTCCTCATGCGCGTTGCGTCCTGTCTTGGCCATCGCAGTTCCCTGTGGTCAGAGGTGCCTGTGCGCTGTTCCTTCGTTCTGCTGCTGCGTTCTTTGTTTTCGCCTCCCCCCATTCGCTTCTACGGCGTTTTGCTGCCTGACGGTTGCGGAGATGCGCGTTGAGTGGAGGGAGTTTGCGCAGGCGGCGCGCAGCATGCATCAGCAACCCGGTGGCATCAAGCGCACCCGCCTCATGCTGCACCTCCGACCCTACAAAACACGTAAGATATTCGCGCTGAAGGCGACCGACGGCCGCACCACGCTGACGACGCGTGTGGAGCATCAGGGCCAGATTAGGCTGGTCGAGGCCCTCGTGGGAGACTTTGTGTCCGCGTGCACGCGTGTGTCGGTGCCGGCGTCTGTGTCTGCTGCCTCGGCCACCGCGGCGGCCGCGCTCCCCCCCGCCGCGTTGCATACGGAGAGCGGGGCCGGGGGAAAGGCCGGGCAGGCGAGCTCGCCGCCCCATCCGCCGCCACCGCCGCGGAGCAGCAACCGGCAGGTGAACAAAGGAAGGAAAGGCAAGCGGCACTAGCGCGGCGTGCGGTACGGCTGAGGCTGACTGTGGGACTTGTGTGTGTGCCTTCGGTGTGCATGGGTGCCGACGAGGTGGCGTAACTACGTAAGAAGGAGTAAAATGCGAGAAGAATGAAGAAGCGGTGGGACGCCCGCGGCGTGTCAACAACGGTGGTGTGAGTCGCCGTGCTTTGTTGTGCTGCGGTGGCGGTGTGAGGGGCAGCACGCGCCACTGCGCCTCTCCCCGTCCCTCTCCCCGTCCCGTACGGCTCGCAGCTGAGAGCACGGCGCGGCTGAGGTGTGGCGGTGGTGTTTTCGCTGCGGAGCCACGTTGTCCAGCTGCTTCAGCGTCGTCTGTGGGTGCGAAACGCCAAAATGGCGGATCGTTTCGTGATCTCTCTCCTCTCCGGTTTTCTGTTGCGGAGGAGGTCCTGCCACGCGCACGGAGGCGGAGGAGAGCACCGTGTTGTGATTGCCAACTTTCTGATTTCGCTGTCGGGGCGGCCCGCAACCGCGATTCCACACACTTTCCTCTGTCATTTCCCTCTTCTCCCTCTTCTCCCTCCCCCTTCCCCCTTCCTCCTTCTTTCGCCCCTCAGCAGACATGCTTTTCGCACGGCCTGTGTGTTCGTCTAACTTTGCTTTCTCCGCATAAAACAATACATCCAGTTCTCCATTTTTTCTTCCCTCGAAGGCCACCCACCCCACCGCGCGTTGAGCCGGATAAGGATAGGCTGCCGCTTCGTTCCATGGTGGGCTCAGTGCGCGTGCGTAGTTGGTATTACGCAGCGGAAGCACCACATAAGCACACCGGAACAGGCAGCCCTGCTGGCCACTCTCGGCAGCGGAAGGCGGTTCGTCTCTCCCCCTTCTCTGTGCCGCGGTTGTCTCCCCGTTTCTGCTGCCGACTAAAGCGCCGGACAGCTTCTGTTTTCTTCCGTCTTTCCGTGCCGCGTAGTTGGCGGCGGACTTTGGAAAGGCGTCAGCCACTTCATTTGGATACATTCGACGGGAAAACACAAACTAAGTAGGTGGTGAACTCGGTGTTGTGGAGAAAATACGCCCTCACCCGGGGAGGACGGCACTACGGTGTCGGGCAAACATCGTTAACGCATCCGCACGCCAGAAGAGGCCATCGAAAATCAATTTTCCTTTTCTGTTTCCTTTGCTTCTTCATCTCCACAAGTGACACCATAGAACACTAGCGGTATAGCTCGCCGTGCGGTGAACTGCTCAAAGAGTCCCCGCAAGCACAACCGCAGCAGCCAAGGGCTGAAGAGACAATGAAGCCGGCGAAGGTAAACATGCACGGTGCCTTGCCGAGCAACGCCGAAGATGTACCGGACAATGACGCCACGCTACTGCGTCGACTCAGCTGCGACAACGGTAGCAACGAGGCGGAGAACTCCAGCAAAGCGGAGATTGCAGACGTGCCCACGGAGCACGACGGCACCGAGCGGGATGCGTATCGCTCGCTTCTGCCGGTGACGTGCCTCCAGCTGCTGCGCACGGTCACGCATCGGTGGTGTCCTTCGTGGTTGTTATCGACTGGCACGGCCGCCGCGCAGAGTGTGTCCAAAGCGCACCACCGCTGTTGTTCCGACCTGTCGCAACTTCCCCCCAACAAGACCCGCATGCGCCGCCGTCACCTCGGCGTGCTGCTGGGCAGCTGCGCCTGTGCCGTGCGCGCCACGAAGCTCGGCTGCCTGCGTTTGCTTCACTGCGTGCGCCACGGGTGCCGGTCGCCGCGGCCCTCTTCGCCGGAGCCACCGCAGCCCCGCGCCCCTCGCCGCTCCGACCCCGTTCACCGATGCCGGCGTCGCGCTGCCTTTGCTGCCTCGGGGTCGTTCCTGCTTCTCTGCCTCGCCGCATTGGTCGATCTGATCTGGGTGGCCAACACTCTCAGCAACGACCCCTACACCGCCCTGCGCATTGAGCTTCGCGTTGCCTACCCGGCTAAAGTCGCAGACGACGTGGTGCGGATAGTGAAACGTCGAGAGTCTGGGCCGCTGGGCCACACGCCGGCCGTGGGCGTCTTCTCCACCCGCGCACAGACGATCCACGCGTACGTCGAGGAGCGTACGGTGTCCCTTCTTGCTTCGTTGTATGCTCAGCGACACCCGAACGAGATGCGTGCCGCAAGAGCACGGGTGGCGAGCCTGCAGGGCAAGATGGACTGCCCCACGCCGCCCATGCTTGGCGAGTACGCGCCAAGGCGCATCGACTCCTTGATCTCGGACGCGATGTTGTCCCGCATCGCGAGGGACGGCGTGGCGGTGGGTGCGTGCACGCTGGAGGTGGCAAGCTCCGCGCTGCTGCGGTGCACGCACGGGGTGCCGACCCTCGCCGCACCTCGGCATGACGCCGGCGCCTCTCCGTCGACGACGGACGCCATCTTCGACTCGCTGTGGGCCGCCTTTGCGAACGCGAGCAGGGCGGCGCCAACGCCGCCGGGGTGCCTGGCACGCCGCCAGAACCGCATGCCGTGCGCGGACGTGGGCACCGCGGCGGACAGCCGGCCCGCGATGACAGTCGGTGTGCCGCCTGATGAGCGCAGTCGGGTGCGGTTCCTGTATGAGCACGGCCGGGTGGGCGTGGACGGCGGTGCGGTGGCGGAGCTGTACTACGACTACACGCCGGGCCTGCCGGCGGAGGCGCGCGAGTGGCGGGTGCAGACGCTGAGGATGGGCAGGGCGACGGACGCGGATCGTTTTCATGCGCACGCCCGCGCCCAGGAGGAGCGCTTCCGCCGCACCACTCCGAGGGGCGCCGTCGACCCGGCAAGCCCCCCGTCGGCTGTCATTCTCTTTCTCGCTGGTGCGGCGGAGAGAGGCCCGAGGCGTCGCAACGAATTCATGCTGCACGCGCTGCCGCTGCTGGAGAAGCACCTGCTTCAAATCTACCCGCACTACCCGGTGCACGTGTTCTACGAGATGAAGATGCCGTCGCCTGCGTGGTCGCTGACGGACGTGTATCGGCACTCGGACGTGTACACGATCCTTCATTCTTGGCAGCCACCCGACGCGACGGCGCCGACCCAGGCGACGCAGCACGTTCGTATTCCGCCGCCGCCGCCGGTGCTGGTGGACGCTGCGGACAAGCTGCGGGTGCTGCGTGCGCAGCAGGCGGCGGCGCGGAGCTGGTTCGAAGACGTTGCATCGCGCGTGCCGTCGGCGCCGTACGTGACCTTCGAGAACGTCGGGCCGCTCTTCTCTACGCTGCCGTGCGGTGTGACGGAGGATGACGTGTCGGTATGGGCGAAGGGCCGTAGCTCGCGGTACGGGCACCGCCGCGGATATCGGCAGATGTGTCGGTTCTGGGCCCAGCTTGTGTGGCGGCTGCCGTCGCTGCGGATCTCGACGGGTTCCGCGGAGGGCTTGCGCGAGGTGGCTGCGCTGCCGCCGTGGCGTTTTCGCTACGCGTACTACCTGCGCCTCGACACGGACTCCTTCCTGCACCGCCCCGTGGCATGCGACCCGTTTGCGACGATGATGGCGCAGCGGTGCGCGTACGGGTACAACGCCATTGTTTTGGACGAGAAATTCGTGACGGAGCACCTGGGGAGTGCGATTGCGGAGTGGATCGGCAACCGGACGAGCATCGGGGGCGTGGAGCGCGCGCTGGCTGGCGTGAATGCGACGGGCGGTGCAGGGGAGGTGCGTGGCTGGGGCCGGCTGGGTGATCCAGCGGCGTCGAGCATGGTGACGCTGGTATCCGCCGCGGCGAGGGAGGAGCTGCCGCCGCTGCCACCGACGTGGCCGTGGCCGAACGTGTTCCCGGAGCACAGCAGCGCTGCGCTTTCCGCCGCGGAGAAGGACGTGCTGCGCACACAGTTTTTTACTGAGGAGCCGCCGGATGGCCGCAGAGCTGCTTCGGGGCCACTGCGGGCAGAGGAGAGCCCCGTGAGTGCTTCGTATACGCCGCTGCCCGCGGGCTTCGCGACACAGTCCACGTACAACCGCAGGATGTACTTCAACAACTTCGAGCTGGGCACGTTCGCCCTCAAGGCCCACCCTCTGTACACGTCACTGGTGGATTTCGTTGACAATCGCGACTACGACGACGTCACGGGGCCTGCGCGGGAGGCGGCGAGCTTCGACTACACGCTCAAGCTGCTGCGTCCCGACGACGCGGAGGGTGTGGTGGTCGGTGGGAACGCCTCCGTGTACGCGACCCCTGTGTATCTCCTCCTCCGAGCATCGGAGAGCGCGTCCCCCGGTGCGCCGGCCACGAACGGGTCGAGCTCGCCGTGCCTGGGCCGTCGGCTGAACGGGCGTGTGGGCGCGGACCCCGACATGAAGCTGAAGGCGCGCGACATCGACCGCGACTGGCGCTCGGGGTACTTTCAGCACCGCTGGGGCGATGCGCCGGTGCACTCGGTGGGCGTGGAGGCGGTGATGCAGCGTGAGGGCTGGGCTGCGTGTGCGTTCGCGAGCGACTTCGGTTTATACCAACACGGCCAGTTTAGGCCAGCAAGCGCTAGAGTTTAATCTGCGTATTTGATGTTCTGCGCGTTCGAAGGTTTTGCCGTTTTGTTGCTTATGGTGTCGACGTCTGCTGTGTTGATGCCTCTCTCTTTATCTCGGTGATGTTGCTGCTGTGGTGTTATCGCTGTGCAGGCCGAAGCGGTTTTCAGAGGTGCAGCGGGGGAATGATTGTGCGCTGGACTGGCTGCGGTGAATGGGTGGAAGGTACTTTTTGTTTTGTAAGTGTTTCTTTGCTTCTTATTGGGTTTCCCTCCTGTTTTCGCGGTATCGTTTTCAGGTCGCTCTCGGCTTTCGAATCGCTCTTCTCTCGCTGGTGCCGTGCACCCGCGCCTCGCTCCGCCCCGCCCCGCTTTGGAGGTAGATCGGCGAGGAATTCTGCCGCTTGTTGAGTGTTTTTGTGTTGTTTTTTGTTGATACCTTCTGAATCATAATATTGGGTAAGGAGAACAAAAGCAGCGCGCCATCTGGTATCCGCTTGCCGTAGGAGTGAAGGAGGCGAAAGATTCTCGCCACCGTTATGTCGTTCTTTGTTTTCCCGCGTCCTAATGCTCTTGCACATACGTCGTAGTGAAGATTGTAGCTAACGACGTGGAGTTCTACGGTGTCCAAATAATACTCCGCATAGATTGTTATCGACCCACCCACCCAAACCCAGCGGAAGCCGAGGGGTGCGCGTGGTCCCAATTGTTTCTTTTGTCGTCTTCTGAGAAAATATTTGTACTTTATTGTGCGCGATTCAAAACTCTCATTTTCTTTCTTAAAGGGTTCAAAGAACCGTTTTTGTGTTGTTTGGGGATGGGCGTGACAGGCTTGTAGGGTCTTTCGACGCCCAGCAATTAATTCAACAATGGAGAAAAGATTTAAAGAGAGTTGGCAATTGGAGCTGGTCGTACTCCAAAAGCATTGTAAAGGAGGTTTGCGACGTATGGAGTTAAGAGCGCCGGGTCAATGGTAGGTTGAGAGGTTACTCGCCTACATACGCCGGCCCCCCTCCCCCCTCAATAGCTTACTGAGGGTTTACTTAAACTACAATTATTCTTCCTGCTTTCTTTCTGTCAAGCAAGCTGGATTATGCAGCTTCACCGATGGATTGTTTCTTCAAACTGTACCGCTCGATCCCGTGGGGGTTCGAGACTTAACAACCATAAGAGAAAAGCGAAGTGAAAGGAATGTAGCGTTGCCGGGCCGCCAGCGTGAACGGCGTGAGACGGCACACGACAGGCAAGTGAGGCGCGTTTCTTCCTGCCCGCTTTGTCCGCAACCCGTAGCTCCAGCAAGACGAAAAATGCAGATGGTTGTGCCTGTCCCATGGGCAGGCACCAGTGGCTTGAAGAGTTCGATGAGTTTCTGTGAGTGACTGCAGTTCTGATGCGTATGGAAACACTTGTCGGCCTTCTACCTTTCCTCCTCGTACCGTTCCCCTCTCCCCTTCTCTCCTTCTCTCCTTCTCCTTCTTCCACCAGAAATCGTCCACACAGTGCTCATGAAGAGCATGCGCGCCACCTCCACGATGTACGGGTGCCGGAGGTTTGTGCGTGCGTGTGGTGCCTGCCGCCACGCGGTGCGGGGTGTGTCGGCGGAGGCGTCCGCTGCGGGCGGCGGTGCCCGGGCTGCCGTAGGGCAGATGTACGCGCGGACGCGGATCCTTCAAAAGTTGGTCTTTCGGTGCTGTTGTTGCCGCGACGAGTGTCTTGTCCGAGCCCCGCTCGTCTCCCATACGTGTCGATACCGGGTGCGTTTCGTGAAGCACCAAATATATACGCACCTCTTCCGTCGCTTCTCTCCCTCTCCTCTCTCTTCCCGGCTTTTTGTGTTTCTTTAACGCTTCGTTATTTTGGGAGCTTGCGAAAGGAATGATTGAATGTGAAGTATGGTTTGAATGGAATCTAAGTGAATATCATCTTCGGGGTTTTCTTTCTATTTTCTTCTCCTTTTCCACGGACAGTCTTCGACTTCCTCCTTGTTCTCTCTTCTGTTCGTTTTCCCGCCCACCCAGGTTCACTCCACCCCGCTTTGAGGGCGGACTAATCTTGTTTTGAAGTGTGCCACTGCGTTCGTCTTGGTTCCCGTTCCAGGTGAAAAAGATGCTAATAAATAAATCAATATGATATGTTGCTATCTTGCGAAAACTAATGTTGTTGTAAATGACCCCGAGTGATCGTGAGGGTCGGTGGTTTATCCCATACCGAACATAGAAGTTAAGGGAGAGGGAAAAACAAAACGCCGTTCTTCTACCTCGTTTCTTTCTAATAACTTTTATCTCTCCCCCTTCTCCGTCTCATCCTACAAACATAAACAATTATTCTCCTCTACTTTCCGTGCTGGTGTGTTTCTTTTGAATTCCGTGCGGCGTTTACGGACACACACACGCACTTACCACTCGCCCATCATACGAATCTACTCTTGACTTTGATCGTGTGTGGAGAGGAGAGGGCGGTCTTCGCTCTTAGCGCTTTCCGCCTTGCTTCTTCATTTTGGAAATCGTTGAGGGTTTTCTTTACCCGTGTTTGCGACGTTAGTGCCGATTTGCCTTCGCCAGAGGACCGTCGAGCTCGACTGTCGTCGGCCCCTTTCCAACCCTAATAATAATAATAATTATCATTTGTTATTGTTTCTGTTGTTTCTGCTGCTCCTCAGGGGCACCGCTACTCGTTGTGGCCTGCGGCGCAAAAAGGGCAGCGGGTACTGGACAGTGCTAGGAGGGTGGCTAGGACAAGGGTGCGTGCTTCGTTAAAGAAAAAAAGGCACTGTTCTCTTCTACTTTGTAAGATCCATAGGTATAGACACACACACACACACACCACTGAAAGAGTTTTTGCGGTGGAAGCTTCTTCACTCTTCCTCTCTTCCACGCCTCTCCTCTCCCTCCTCAAAAAAGAACGATGTCGTCTTCTGGTCTTTCAAGGGAGGCGAAGACGGTAGCGCCGCCTACCACGGTCAAGCACAAGCTCGTTCTCCTCGGCGACCAGTCTGTCGGCAAGACCAGCATTATTGCGCGATTTATGTATGACACCTTCGACCAGCAGTACCAGCCCACCATCGGCATCGACTTCTTTAGCAAAACAGTCCACCTCGAGGACGATCGCGATGTGCGGCTGCATCTGTGGGACACGGCCGGGCAGGAGCGCTTTCACTCCCTCATCCCGAGTTACATCCGGAACAGCGCGGCGACGGTGGTGGTGTACGACATCACGGCGCGTTCCTCATTTTTCAACGCCTTCAAGTGGATTGACGAGGTCCGCACGGAGAGTGGCGCGGACGTGGTGATTATGCTGGTGGGGAACAAGGTTGACATGGCCTCCGAAAAGCGAGAGGTGAGCGTGGAGGAGGCGCTGAAGAAGGCAACAGAGTGCAACGTCCTCTTCACGGAGGTTAGCGCGAAGCACGGGACAAATATAAAGCAGATGTTCCGCCAGGTCGCGTCGGCCTTGCCGACCCCTGAGCAGGCGATGAGCGGCGGCAACAACAAAGACGGCGATGACGGCGCAACAGCGTCCTCGCCGTCCCGCGCCGGTGGGGCTGGCGGGGCAACCGACGGACAAGATGGACATGTTGAGTCTGGCGCGGCTGGCCAGTTTGGTGGGGTGGTGCGGTCACCCTTTCTTCTCACCCCGTCAGCGATGCAGACGGCCAGCACAAGCGTGGGTGGTGGGGTGAGTAGCACGAGCAGAGATGCCGCGAACGGCGGCGGCGGCAATGGCTGTTGCTGATGGCCTACTGCCGTGGCAGGCAAGCGCAAACGCGCACAGACGCAGGGAGATGTTCCGTTGCTGTAAGGAAGAGGGGAGAGGGGGGGGGGTATACATTAATAAGATGAGCAAATGAACATTCATATCTGTGCATAGTTGAAGTGTGAGCCTCAACAAGGCACGCCAGTTTTTTTTTTGGTTCTTCTTCTCTGCTTTTCGCTTTGCCTTACACGCTGCGTTGCTCTTTGGGTTTTGTGAAGAAGTCATTTTTGTGCTGCGCCCTTCTTTTTTTCCTCAGCCGTCTCTTGTGTGTGTGTTCGTGTGTGTAGCGTGGAAACTCCTTCTCGTGCTCTCGCATCTCCGGCTCGCCTTTTTATTTCTTTTTACTCGTGATGAACTCGCCCGTGAACCACGCAAGAGAAAAGAACAGAAACTGTCTCGTAGAGATGCGTGGTTTGCCATTTCTGTTCTTGATTTTGATTTTGATTTTCTTTTCTTCTCTTCTCTTCCTCCAGTTCTGTTTGTGCTTTGTTATTATTATTAGTATTTGGATGGTTGGTCTTTTCGATAGTTCATTGACAAGGGAAATATATGTTAAGAATCATCATACATAATGAAATCCATTACCGTTTCTTTGAGAAAAAGAAGGAGAGGAAGGGAAGGGAATGGGAAGGAGAGCAAATTACGCCGTCGCTCAAGGACATCAGAGCTTTTCGAGTCTTCGCGAAAAAAAAAAGCGGAGCCATCAAGCTCAAAGGAGAAGGTGCAACGGATAGAAGCATATAAGGACGTACCAGTGAGACTTGTTGTGATGGCGCCTTGTACACCGTCATGTGGCGAAGTCTGTCTAGGCATAAATTGGACATCGCAACGGTTTTTTTTGCTCTATATGTGTCTCTGTGCGTGTGTATGTGTGTGTTTGCGGAAGCGAGTGTGCTGCCCTAGCATGCCACCTCTGCAGAAAACAAGATGGCGTCTTTCTTTTCATGAACACCACTCTGCGATTCATCTTTTTCTTTCTCTCCTTTTTTGTTTTGGTCGAAGGAGGCGTCTCCCCTTACTGTTTACGTGTGCACCAGAGTTTTTCTTTCTTTCTTTTTTGGGGTTTCTGTCGTATCGTTACCTTCCTTCCTTCCCCGCTCCCTCTCCGTTTTCCTCCTCATGCCGCTGGCACGGACTCCTTCTTCATGGATTTCAAACGTTGATATATATGTAGTTCACACCTCCTCCACCGTTTCGCAAAAAACTCCATTTATCTCTTTCAATTGAAGCTCATTCTTTTCCTCTGTCGTTGGCCTCACAGGAGGGAGACGTTAAAACAAACAAACCGCTCACTCCACTCCCTTGCGTTGGTTTACGCACTCTAATTGGTGATATACATATATATATTCTCTGCTTTCTTATTTGGAGAGGAAGGCGGGTGTTCTTTGGACGCAGCACCACGCTCGTTCCCCCGCTGCCTTCTTAAAATATTTTCCCTTGTGTAGATACCTTCATCCAAGAGTGTGTTTTTAAGAAGAATCATTATTATTGTTTGCTTGGCTGTTTTGATAGACGTGATTCTACTTTTGAGGGGGGAGGGGAGTTGCACAATGCGGTCGAAGGTCTCGCAGTTACTACCGGGGCGGCGCTCACGCACCAATCGCGCTGCCCGTCGCGTTCTAACCGTTACGGCTCTTCTTCTCTTCGGTCTTGTTGGCTTCTTCAGCTACCGGATGTACAGCTCTTCGTTGAGTCCAAGCAGTGCAACGGAGCAAATAGACCTACTAGGCGCGAAGAGGCAGACTACCCCACCGGGGGAAGGTGAGACATCAGCAGCAGCAACACCCGCGGCGGGGGGAGACGGCGGCGTAGCGGTGACCGCCGGGGCAGGTGTGGCGTCGTTGTCGGAGAGCCTTGATGACCTCGTGGGACTCCTACGTCTCTACACGGCCGCCCACCGGATCCGCGTGAACCGGTCATTAGTGGAAGGGAACGCCGCACACAACAAGACCGCTGAAGGGATGTCAGATGTTCCAAAGGAACTGCTGCTCGAGGGTGTGAGTGAGATGCCCTTCATAGGTGATGACACGGACCTACTCGATGACCCGGCCGTCATCCAAGCGGAGCAGGAGAGCTACGTGGAGCGCTACATTGCGCCGACGCAGTCGGGTGCGGCACTGACGCCGCTGCGGGTGCTGTCCGCGTACTACGACCCCCAGAACTCACGCGGGCTTGACCACTTAGCGGCAGCTGTAGAAAAGCGCATGAACGATGACGGTTACGCGACGCACAATCGACCTTCCCCCACCTTCTATGACGCGTCCCACGCGGCCCGGCGTGGCTACGGCGCCGAGGGCAGCGTCTTTGTCGCCATCCCATTTGCGCTGAGTGACATAACACCCGATATCGTAGACGCCATCGCCGCTCGCGCGACCGCACCTCTCGCAAAGTCCGCCAACCGCCCGCCCACGACAGCGGACGCTGGCGCGGCAGCTGCAGAGGCGGCCGATGCGCTGCACAACCCGTTGGACGGCGCCGATGACGCGGGCGCCGCGTTGGACGGCGACGGGTACCGCGAAATTATCCGCACGGCGGCGCGGTGTGCCGTGACGGTGGAGTCCGTCTTCCGCCAAGCCCACCGTGGCATCAGCGTGACGGTGGGCACGATCGATGTAGTCGTAGTGAGTGGGGTGCAAAGCGCAGCCGATGTGCATCTCGCCTACCCAGCCGATGTGCGTCGCCCCATCACGGCGGAGGAGCGCGTGAAGGCCGGCTCAGTGCCGTCGCGGCGGTACGACCGCCTCACCTGCGAGCCACCAAACTTCCGTTCTGGGTGGGAGGACGCATCGTACGGGTTTAGCTGGAAGGACAACTTGCGACAGCGCCGTGTGCTGGTACCGTTGACGACCTTGGCAACAACACCGGCAGTGAAAGGCGCCGGTGCCAAGGCAACCCTTTCGTCCTCTTCTCCTCTTGCGCTACCGCACGTGGGCCGATACGCGGCGCTGCAGCTGTATCGCGGGGAGTCGTACGTGCTTTTTCTCCGGCCGGGCTCTGTCGCGCTGCCCAACTGGGACTTGAAGCTGCGCCTGCTGTATTTGCGCACCCCCCAGCGCGAGCGCGCCGTCCTGAGCAGCCGCCCGACCCCGGCGGTGGTGCCGCACGCGCTGGCCGCCGCCGTGATGAAGGCGTGGACGCAGCAGCCGTACCTGCTCTTCTCCTCGCTGACCGATGGCGCGGCGAAGAACACCGGCCGCAGCAGCACGGTAGCGCACGGCGCCGGTGCCCAGAAGGACCGGGCAGGGGTGACGAATGCGCCAGCGCTGGACTGGACCGGCAGACGCCTCCTTCAAGCATTTCCCGACGGTGTGGCTGCCTGGCTGGCCGAGGCGCGCGGGGAGTCGGCGCTGGCGCTCTGGCTCGTGACGCCGCGCTGGTTGTGGCCGACGCTCGTGGACGCGTTGCGTGCGTGGCGTGAGCTCTCCAACGGCACGGCCACGTCCACGACGCCGCCGACGACGCCGCCTCAAACGCCGCCGATGCGGGATGTGTTTCGGGAGTCCGTATTGCGGGAAGTGCTGGGGGACTTCACGGCTGCCGCGGAGCACCTCAACTTGACTTCGGTGGCGGTGACCGCGGCGACGACAGCAGCAGCGAACGAGGAGGCAGACACGGCGCAGCTGCACGGCACCGGGGCGGTGACCGCCACTAGCCAGCCGGTCCTCACCACCAGCCTGACCGAGGCGGAAGTCTACCAGATTCTCATTCTCACGCCGAAGCGGGGCCCGCTGCCGAAGGAGCCAATCACCGACACGGCATTGTTCATGACGCATAACGGCGGCGCAGCCAGTACGACGGGTGAGGCCACCGCCGCAGGTGGGACAGGGACCGGCGTCGGTGCTGGACTGGTGGCTTGCGGCACCGCCACTACTCCGCTTCCGTATTACTCGAACGAACACGGCGCATTGGTCAAGCGGGCGTTCGAGTATTGCTGGATCATGCACCACCGCGCTGCGCTGCGGGCACTGGCGGAGCGGCTGACGCACGCGACAGACGCCGCACCGATTCTGATCAGCGCGTCGTCGAAGGCGGCGAAGAATCCGGCGGGCGGCTTGGCGGGAAAACCAATCATAGCTGCTGCTGCTGCTGCCGCGACGGTGATGTGCGGCAGGAACCCCGCGAGCACCGTCCCGTGGTACGACACCGCACTGCTGGTGCACAACCACACGAGTCGGTGCCTCGCAGACATGCGCTACCTCGACCCGAGCGAGACCCCGCTGTTAGATGAAACCAATAAAATTGCAGTCGGCGAGGAGGAGGAAAGGGCGACCGTGGCGAGTTGGTTCGCGTCGTCGCAGAACGCTGGTCAGCTGCGCGGTAGTAGTGCTGTGCCGGCGCACCCACCCACCTTGGTGGACGGTGAAACCCCCGCTGGTGGCGCTGCTGCTGCTGCGGCAGGGACCACAACTCCGTACGTGCTGCAGTCTGCCGCCTCTGCCGACCTCCTCTTTGGTCCAGCGGAGGCATTCTTTGACATCGCCCCGGAGGGTCGCCTGCGCACGCGGGCCGACGCACGGACCGCGCAGCTCGACGAGAGGAGGGGGGGCGGGGGCGGGGGCACGACGCTGCGCTATGCAGAAACGCCCGAGGCGGCACCACTAGACCCGTCCCTGCATTACCTGGATAGCGGGGCGTTGGACTTGTACCTCACCGCCGCGCTGTGGACGCGTGGGTGGAACATATTTGGCATTACGGAGGCGGTCGTAGCTGGCGATGACGCTCCGACAGCAGCACCAGCGGTGAAGACAGGCAACGCGGGCAGCGCGCCCATGTGTGGTCTCACGAAGGGTGGAAACGATGAAGCAGAGAAGCTGCTGTCAGCGGCGATGAAGACGGCAAAGAGCATTGGGGAGGAGAAGCTGTGGGCGTTAATGGAGGCACATCGCACCGCGGGCACCCCACTCGGCCCGGCGAGCGCGCCCGCCACGCCGGACACGCTGCCTTTGTCGGCAGCGCGTTTTCCGCTGCGCCGCACGTTGCGGGACTACGAGAAATTTGCAAACCTCACGTTGGCTGAACTGCAAAGGAAATAGAAAGAGAAGGAAGGAGAACAAACAAAAAGAAAAGTCCTCTTTTTCGCTCTCCTTCGTCTTCTTCTTTTTCTCATGGACGGTGATTGCTCTTTTTTGCTTAGGGGACGCTCTCTCCGGCTAGGCGTAGCGCCTTGGCGATGGGGGACGTGTGTGTGGTGGGGGGGGGGGAAGGAGGAAGCGCGGTGTTATTTTTTTTTTCGTTGCTGTAGCGTTGGTGCACCGTACGGGTCCTACTTCACCGTCTGCTAACGCTTACATATGTGTGAATATAAATAAATATATATGTATGTATATGCGTTGTTCATTGAGTTATGTGGCCGAAGTCTGCTGCCCGCCTGCTCTCTCTCGTCCGCTCCTTTTTTTTTTTTGACCATCTGCACGGTTATTAGGACCTCCGCTGTTGCTGCTGCAGTGACGTCCACGCTCGCTGATGATGATGATGATGATTATTATTATCTAGCGAGGGGAGAATTGGTGTTTTTTTTTGTTTCCCCACGGCGAGGAGGGGCCGTTCGTGATGACGACAGAAAGCCGAAGAGACGCGTATATCCCTCAGGAAAGACAAGAGAAACAATATATCTATATTTGAAAACCAAACCAAACCAATTCCACAGGCGGAGAAAGGGAGTGAATAACGGACCGGGAGGGCGGGGTAATGGCGACGCCATCATCAAACTCCGCGACGTGGGCTTTAGCGTGGAGTGGGTAACTAGTCGTCTCTCTCTCTCTCAGCTATAAATACGTACATATGCATCGCTCCTTCTTTTTTTCTGGGCTGAAGGAACACCGAAGAAGGAAGGAAAAAGAAAAACATCAAACAAACCACTGCTATACGCAATATCCGTGCGAGCGGTGAGTCCAGGCTTTGCTTCCGTACCGCCAACCGATGCGATCCGGGTACGTACACGCGTTTACCATTAATAATATATCAAGAATGAAATCAACGACGGCAGCAAACACACACACTCACACATACGCACGCGTTCATTCAAACGAAGTTCTCTTTGGGCTTTCATCTTTCACCTTCGGAGCATGCGTTATGGTACGACGTGGTTTCCCTAACCCCCCTTTCTTCCTCCTCCTCCGTCCTTTCTTTGTTGTTCCGTAGTCCTACTCGCGTTGCAGCAGAGAAAGCAAATTGAAATAACAACATCACACGTACAGCCGTAATATTGATTTATTTGGTGCTGTGCGCCGTCGCTTTTCATAGTTGTAGGTACCTGATCTCATATTTTTTTTCACTGGTTTGCACTGTTGCCCATGTCGTCAGCGGTGCGAGTGTCGCCGCCTGTGCTGGGGGAATGCGCTGTCGATGCCGTCCCCACCACCGGTGCCGTCCTTGCCGGTCCGGTGCACCGCACCTTCACGGATGATAACGTGCGCGTGCGTGAAGTGGCGGGCGCTGTCTCGCCTTCCGTCTTCGTGGATGGGTCGCCAAACAGTGCAGGTGGGCCACTGCCCCACACGCGGTCCGGCAAGTATTTCGCCTCGTCTCACGCCGCTGCTGCCGCGCCGTCCTTGTCTTCGCCTGCATCGAAGGAGCGCAGCAGCGGCGGCAGCGGCGGCAGCAGTCGTCGGCGTCTGCTGAGGCGAATTCTCTGCTGCCCCCACCGCATCCAGCTCTGCCTCCGCTCTGCTGTTCCTCTCAAGGAGAACAGAGGCGCACGAGAGGCGTCTCCGCTGCGCGTCTGCGCTGGCACAGCCACCGCCGTGCTGCTCGCGCTGCTTTTTATCGGCACCGTCATCTTCATTGTGGTGCTCGTGGTGTTGCTGACCGGCGCACGGCAGCTCCCGGAGCGCCAGACGCTAGCACCGATGCGTTTCGAAACGAGGTCAGCCGGCGCGGCTGGCGTGCGCCACGACAGCGACGGCGTCATCGCCGCCTCACTGGACAACGTGAGGCACCTGCTCACCGCGGAGCGCCTCCAGCACTTTCTTCAGCGGACCCCCGCAGCGGAGGAGGAGCGGCGCCGTGCGCTGCGCAACGACACGCTGCCCGCTGCGGCGAGGGACGTGGGCGACTTGGTGGGCCTCGCGCGGACGCTGCCGGAGCAGCAGCGGGTGTCGGCGCAGCTGGCGCGGGTGCGCGCGTACGTGGCGGCTGTGCACGCGCACGACGCTGGTGTGGGGCTCGCGGAGCTGAGCGACTTCCTGCGGAGCGTGCCGGGCCGCGGTGCCGCGCTGGAGCGGGCGGCGTCGAAGGCGGCGGGCAGCCCCGGTGTGGCGGCTGCGCTGGCGGGGCGTGCGGCGGGTGCGCGGGTGCGTGCGTTGCTGCGCGGGTTCGTTGCTGCGCCGGCGGGGCAGGCGGAGCGGGTGGGGCTGCGGCCGTTCGACGACGTGGCGATGCTGCGGTACCGGCATGCGTGGATGCTGTCGGAGGTTGTGCCGCGGCTTGCGGGGCGGACCCGCGGTGGCGGCGGTGGTGGGCCGGTGAGCGCGGCGGACGTGGCGCGTGGCGCTGCGCGGAAGGCGGAGCTGTACGAGGCTGCGTCCGTGTTCAACCACGTGTACTACTACCCGCTGCGGCGCTACGCGGCGATGCAGGCCTTCTCGCCCGCGACGGTGGCGGACACGGACGCGTGGTACACGGAGGTAGCGGCGGGCGTGCAGGCGCGCTTCGGCGCTGCGCAGGCGGTGGCGGCGCTGTCGCTGCCTCTGCTGCCTGCGGCGCGCGCGGCGGAGGTGGCGCACCTGCGGGAGCCTGACGACATGGAGTGGATGCCTGCGGGGCTGCGCGCCGATGCCGCGGTGAACCGGCAGACGATCTTCATCAGCCTGGCGAGCTACCGCGACACGGAGTGCGCGCCGACGGTGCTGGATCTGTTCCGCGCGGCGCGGAACCCCTACCGCGTGTATGTTGGGCTGGCGCAGCAGAACGTTGCGGGGGACACGCCGTGCCTGCTGCCGGAGATGTACGGCCCCTTCCTGTGCCCGTCGGCTGGCGAGGCGCTGGACGCTGCTGCTGCTGCGCGGGAGGCGGAGGCGCGGCGCCGCAGCCTGGGCGGGGGTGACGGCGTGGACTTCCGCCTGGTGCACCCCGGCAGCGACGCAGCGCACTTCGACGAGCGGGTGTGCTTCTTGGCGGACCACGTGCGGGTGCGCGACATCGATGCGCGGCAGGCGAAGGGCCCCACGTATGGCCGGTACATGGCGATGCTGCTGTACCGCGGTGAGGCGGTGGCGATGGTGCTCGACTCGCACAACAAGTTCCGCCCCATGTGGGACACGCTGGGTGCGTCGTTGCTGCGGCGCTACGATGACCCGAAGGCGGCGCTCTCCCACTACCCTCAGGCGTACGATCCCGAGAAGGAAAGCAAGTTAGATGTATACGCGAGGACCACCGCGTACCTGTGCAAGGCGGTGTTTCACAACATCTTCGCCTATCTGCAACTGCGGGCGATGGTGATTGGGGAAGCCGACGAATTTGCGAATAACATGCGGTACAACGCACCGTATGTGGCGACTGTCGAGGAGAAGGCGCCGGTGAGGAGCTACCGCCTGCCGCAGCCGTGGGTCGCAGGGGGATTTCTCCTCACGAACAGCACGATCTTCCGCGACGTGCCCTTCGATCCGCATCTGCCGTACGTCTTCGATGGCGAGGAGGTGCTGTACTCTGCGCGGCTGTGGACGCACGGGTACAACATCTACTCCCCTCCACGTGGGCTGTGCTTCCACATTTACGGCCGCCCCAAGGCGCCGAAGGTGTGGGATGTCACGGCGTTGTGGTACGCTGTGCAAGACCGTGTGCGGCCGCGCATTCAGTTCTTTCTGCAGTCGCACCTGAAAGGACGTCCGGGCCTGATTGTGCCGGCAGACACGACGAACGCGTACGCGGTGGTGGATGCGAGTCGGTACGGGATGGGCCGGCAGCGCACGGTGGCGCAGTGGTATGACTACGCGGGCGCGGACGCGGTGAACTACACGTTAGATGGCCGGTGGTGCGGTGTGGACACGACGACGTAGTCCGGGGTTGGTGGTGGCAGCGACGCTATAAGAACAGTAAGACAACGGCTTCTTGTTTTCGTTCTCAGTTTGCGTTTTCACAAAGAAGGGGGAGGAAGGAACGTACTGGAAGGCAATGGCTATGTAGCGCCCCCGTATGGGTTTGCTGTGCGTGTGCCGAAACCGGCGTCGGAACGGCGGATAATGGAGGAGGAGGCTGCTGTCACCGTATGTGCCACACGGAGCTGCCTTTCTTTTTAAGTTTTGCTTTCCTTTTCGGCGTATCGCGCGACGTGACACGTAAGGCGTTGCATATGTATCAGTATAAGTGCTGCTATCAAGTGAAACACCTCGTGTTCCTCCTTCTGTTTGCTTGTTTGTTTCTTTCCTGCTGTAGAGCAAAAGAGCGAAGAGAGAAGATAATAAGAATAAGAATCAAGGAGTGAACCCCAGCCAATGTGCTGAAGGCCTTGCCAGCGTTCTCTCTTCTTCTTCTCCTGTCTCTCTCCCCCATAATAACCCGGTGAAGCCGTCGTGCCGCCATCGACGAGCAGCAACAACGACAAAACCGGTAAAGGAACCACACACACACACATACACACACAGGACGCGGAGAGGCCCGGCCAAGGACTCTTCTGTGCTCTGGGCGAAGATTGCTTTCTTCGCGCCGCCTGTTCTTTTCTATTTTTTTTTTCCATCGCACCTCACTTCTTCTTCTTCATTACCCGCTATCTTCCACTCGTTATAGTTTTAACACTAGCTGCTGTAAAAATAACAACGCGCTGCTGTTGTTTGAAGAGAGTTCTCTCTCCCTCCCCGCAGCTGTGGTTGTTGGCCTCCGCGTGCTTTTTGTGTTGAGTTTCATTCCTGCTATGGCGTTGGTGTTGCGGTCAATAGTAGTAGAATAGCAGAAGAAGGCGAGGAACTGACGACAGAGAAAGGCGTTAAAAGACGGCAGAGCGCCACCTACCGCCCTTCATTTTTTTCATGTTTACTCTTTTTTTGTTGAGTGGGGGCTTTCGCATTGATACAACATCTGAACGTGACGCCGTCAGCACGCGGGGGACGTCGTAGCTGCTGCAAACATCAACACGCGTTTTATTGCCGCAGCATCGGTAAAGCTGTGAGGTGAACCTTCTACATACCTTTCTCTCTCTCTATATTTTTTATCGCTTCTTAGTTCTTTTTTTGTTCTCACCGGTGTGTGTGTGTGTGTGTGTGTGTGTGTGTCTGTGTGTGTATGTAGAAGCTTCAAGGAAGAACAACAAAATAGCATCAGGTTTTGTTTGAAATCAAATGAGCCTGCAACAGCCAAGGCCACCGTTAAACACATTCGGTGGGCCTCGTGCCGTGCGCGGGGTGTCGCGGCGGCGCGGCGATGACGCACACGTCGCCATATTCGTTGAAGATGACGGCGCGATGCCGCCCGCGTTTCGAGGGGGAGAAGACGGCGAGCGTGGTGGCATCCACACCAGCATCAGAAGCAGCGGCAGCAGCAACATGCCCGGGGTGTCGGCTACTATTCATCGCCGTTACGGCCAGCAACAGGCACGCCCATCAGGTCCGATGGTAGTGACGCCTGGCACGCCTCGCTTTTTCATCCAGCGCCCGCTACGCTGTGTCGGCCGGGTCCGGGCGTGCCTGCGCGTTCTCGGCGTGGTGTGCGGAGAGGAAGATCTGCGCTATGTGGCGCAGATGGAGGCCCGCGCCTGCACCGGTGTGCTGGTGCTGCTCGGCCTGTTACTGTTGCTGTTTGGGACACTGCTGTTTCTTTGGCTTGCACCGATGCGTTTCGAAACGAGGTCAGCCGGCGCGGCTGGCGTGCGCCACGACAGCGACGGCGTCATCGCCGCCTCACTGGACAACGTGAGGCACCTGCTCACCGCGGAGCGCCTCCAGCACTTTCTTCAGCGGACCCCCGCAGCGGAGGAGGAGCGGCGCCGTGCGCTGCGCAACGACACGCTGCCCGCTGCGGCGAGGGACGTGGGCGACTTGGTGGGCCTCGCGCGGACGCTGCCGGAGCAGCAGCGGGTGTCGGCGCAGCTGGCGCGGGTGCGCGCGTACGTGGCGGCTGTGCACGCGCACGACGCTGGTGTGGGGCTCGCGGAGCTGAGCGACTTCCTGCGGAGCGTGCCGGGCCGCGGTGCCGCGCTGGAGCGGGCGGCGTCGAAGGCGGCGGGCAGCCCCGGTGTGGCGGCTGCGCTGGCGGGGCGTGCGGCGGGTGCGCGGGTGCGTGCGTTGCTGCGCGGGTTCGTTGCTGCGCCGGCGGGGCAGGCGGAGCGGGTGGGGCTGCGGCCGTTCGACGACGTGGCGATGCTGCGGTACCGGCATGCGTGGATGCTGTCGGAGGTTGTGCCGCGGCTTGCGGGGCGGACCCGCGGTGGCGGCGGTGGTGGGCCGGTGAGCGCGGCGGACGTGGCGCGTGGCGCTGCGCGGAAGGCGGAGCTGTACGAGGCTGCGTCCGTGTTCAACCACGTGTACTACTACCCGCTGCGGCGCTACGCGGCGATGCAGGCCTTCTCGCCCGCGACGGTGGCGGACACGGACGCGTGGTACACGGAGGTAGCGGCGGGCGTGCAGGCGCGCTTCGGCGCTGCGCAGGCGGTGGCGGCGCTGTCGCTGCCTCTGCTGCCTGCGGCGCGCGCGGCGGAGGTGGCGCACCTGCGGGAGCCTGACGACATGGAGTGGATGCCTGCGGGGCTGCGCGCCGATGCCGCGGTGAACCGGCAGACGATCTTCATCAGCCTGGCGAGCTACCGCGACACGGAGTGCGCGCCGACGGTGCTGGATCTGTTCCGCGCGGCGCGGAACCCCTACCGCGTGTATGTTGGGCTGGCGCAGCAGAACGTTGCGGGGGACACGCCGTGCCTGCTGCCGGAGATGTACGGCCCCTTCCTGTGCCCGTCGGCTGGCGAGGCGCTGGACGCTGCTGCTGCTGCGCGGGAGGCGGAGGCGCGGCGCCGCAGCCTGGGCGGGGGTGACGGCGTGGACTTCCGCCTGGTGCACCCCGGCAGCGACGCAGCGCACTTCGACGAGCGGGTGTGCTTCTTGGCGGACCACGTGCGGGTGCGCGACATCGATGCGCGGCAGGCGAAGGGCCCCACGTATGGCCGGTACATGGCGATGCTGCTGTACCGCGGTGAGGCGGTGGCGATGGTGCTCGACTCGCACAACAAGTTCCGCCCCATGTGGGACACGCTGGGTGCGTCGTTGCTGCGGCGCTACGATGACCCGAAGGCGGCGCTCTCCCACTACCCTCAGGCGTACGATCCCGAGAAGGAAAGCAAGTTAGATGTATACGCGAGGACCACCGCGTACCTGTGCAAGGCGGTGTTTCACAACATCTTCGCCTATCTGCAACTGCGGGCGATGGTGATTGGGGAAGCCGACGAATTTGCGAATAACATGCGGTACAACGCACCGTATGTGGCGACTGTCGAGGAGAAGGCGCCGGTGAGGAGCTACCGCCTGCCGCAGCCGTGGGTCGCAGGGGGATTTCTCCTCACGAACAGCACGATCTTCCGCGACGTGCCCTTCGATCCGCATCTGCCGTACGTCTTCGATGGCGAGGAGGTGCTGTACTCTGCGCGGCTGTGGACGCACGGGTACAACATCTACTCCCCTCCACGTGGGCTGTGCTTCCACATTTACGGCCGCCCCAAGGCGCCGAAGGTGTGGGATGTCACGGCGTTGTGGTACGCTGTGCAAGACCGTGTGCGGCCGCGCATTCAGTTCTTTCTGCAGTCGCACCTGAAAGGACGTCCGGGCCTGATTGTGCCGGCAGACACGACGAACGCGTACGCGGTGGTGGATGCGAGTCGGTACGGGATGGGCCGGCAGCGCACGGTGGCGCAGTGGTATGACTACGCGGGCGTGGACCCTGTTGCGCATACCCTGGATGGCCGGTGGTGTGGGCTGGAGCTACCATAGCACCGATGTCGTGCTGCGTTCGTGTCGCTGTGTGTGTGCGTGTGTCAATGTCTCCCACAGGCGCCAAAGCAGCCATCAACGTTCGCACTCCGGCTTTTTGGTTTCCCGGTTTATTTCGTCTGCATTGATTTGGTAGAGAAACCGTTCCTGCTCTCGCGTTGTGTGAGGGACATCAGCGCTTGTAAATGCGACTCGTGTGGATCGCCTCATGCCTCATCTTTTTCTCTTGTTATTTCTTTGTTTTGTTTTGCATTTTGTTGGCCTGATCGCCTTGCGTTGCTGCGCGGCGCGCTGTGCGCTGCATTCGCTGCGTATCCGGACGTACGAAGCGCATAAAAAGTGCGTTTGTTCCTGCCGAGATGCAAGGAGGCGAGGATAAGAATGAAAGAATTAACGCGCAAGAGGTCGTGCACGTGGCACCGCTGCCGCTCGAGGAGGTGACTGCGTCTGATCCTTTCCTGCCACCCCTCCCCCAGATCGTAGAGTCGTATCTTTACTGTTGTAGTGTTTTTGCTGCTCCCTACGTCCCTTCCCCCCTCCCACCCACGCGAAAAGGGCGTTCTTGTGTCCAAGCAACGAGCGGCCCGACCTCCCGTAAATAGTAAAGGTCGAGCAAAGGAAAGCGTGCTCTGCTGACGGCGGAGTGGTGCATTAGCGGGAGTTCCCACGCACATACACGCACGCCCTCTCTATGCTGAAGTGCCGATGACGATGTATCTTTTATACATTTGTAGATGCTATTTTTGTTGATCTTATTTGAACTCGATCTCGCAACCCCGCTGCTCTGCCTTCTCCATTGTACCCGTCCGTGAAGCTGACATTTGTAGATTGCTGAACGAAGACGAATAAGATAAGACTGTACAAGCGCAATGGAGGGTTGGTCGTGTACGCCAGATGTTTCTTATTTCTCGAACGGCCACTACGAAGATCGATGAGGTGAATTGCCCGAGTGCTGCGACGTGGGAGACGAATACGGAAAAAAGCGACAACCGCCCATGCTCTACAGTTAAACATCGTCATCATCGTCGTGCACCGCCTTCTATTACGCAGAATTCTTCCGTGTTATGCATATGTAATTTGGCCCGTAGCGGTGGACCCCGCATTGGGCATGTATGGGACAAGTACTAGGCCTTTCCGATGGCTCCAGTGCTGCTGCAGTGTGGCATCCCCTCATGCGAGACAACAAACAATGCGAGCAAATTTGTCCGTGCATTGTAAAAGGAGCTATTTAAAAATAGTACGCCAATATTCTTCTTCACCATCTTCTCTTTCCCTTTCTCCTCCTCCTCTGTTATTCTTTTTTTTTCTCTCGGAACGGCTCTCACGGTGCACCGCAGCATGTCTCGTATCTGGTTTTTCTCCAATATATACACTTTTGTTTGGCCTTTATTGGTGAGCTGAGGTGTTGGATGCTACGTTTCACGGTCCAGAGTGGACGGTGAGATTTCCCCCCTTCTCCTTCTCTAAGTGTGTATTTTTCTTCCTGCCTTTTCCGTTGCTTTCCAAGTGAGCCTGTGGCGTGGTACGCCCTCCGTTTCTCGCGTCGCTTGTGCATTTCTAGCTTTCCCCCCTCCTCCCCTCTCCCTCTCTCTTTGTAGTTTTTTTTTTTTCACTAGTAGAATCTCTGCTGTTTTCGTGGTGAGCGTGTGTGCGGAGCGGGAGCGGAGGTACTCGTGACGACGGGGCGCATTGATGGCTATTATTATTATTATTGTTTTTATTTGGTATTCCTTTGTTTCTTTGTCGAAAGAGAGGAACTGATCGCTGATATCACAACCATTCGAAAAGGACGAAAGGCGACCACCGGATCCATAGGAGAATGGAGGACCGGGAGAGTGTGGTAGACAACGCACCCACGCACACCGTGGCCGAGGACGCCGGCGCCGGCACGAGATCCACCCGTCGGGTGACGGACACGGCAGATACCACCGCTGCTGCGCAGACACTGTCCCTGCAGACCTCGCAGTTTACGGCGACGGCGGTCCTCCAACGGCGTCCGTCGCCAGAACACGACAGAGCCGCTTTCCACCCACTTTCACACCCCTCCTTCGCCGCACCGACGACGACGATCGCCCGGCCCCCGCCGACGCGCGCGAAGTCCGGTGCGGGCACGAGCGGGGGCGGTTGTACCTCCACCATGGACCCCACCACAAGGACACGATCCGTGACAGGCGTCGACGCAGGCCGCAATGATGGCGGCGATGTCGATGCTAATCGAAGTGGCAGCCCTTATTCTCGGCAGCGCAGAAGGGTGCATAGCAGCCGAAGCAGATTCACGCCAGGGGAGGAGGACGAGGACGCGGGTCGCTGGCAGGAGTTACCGCCGGCAACGACGTGTACCCGACGGTCTTCCGCCGGGTGGTCGAGCCGCAACGTCCCTAACGCGAGCACCAGCACCATACTCGTCTCTCATTTGGATAACGCGGAGCCGGCAACCGTCGTGGCACGCGCAGATGTGAATACTGGCGCTGACGCCGCCGCCATCACGACGACAGCAGCATCCACGGCATCAGTGAGGCAACTCGATTCTACCCCTCTCACTGTTGTCCGTACACAGTTCAGTCCATCACCTCCGCTTCTTCTACCGATAACACCCGCAGTCGCGCCGCACGTCCATCTTTCAACGTCCCTTTCGCTCCCTACTGCCACCAACCCGTCCACCGTCGTGACTCGGCTGACCGCGGCACCTCTCGAGAGCGGGGCACCCCGACAGCAGCAGCGGCAGCAGCAGCAACCATCACCTCAGCGATCTCGTCTGCCACGTTTTCAGCCTGCGCGGCATCGGCACAACTCCACCCCGCGCGGTCCTGCGCGCTTGTCTTCGCCGCCGTCCGCGCAGCACCCCAACACCGCAGCCGTGACCAACTGGAAAGCGCTCTCGAATCAGCTCTATCGTCTTCTGCGGCTGTGCTTCCTGCGTCGCTGGACGTGGCATATGTGGAGCACCTGCGTGCGGGCGTACGGCGGTCGTCGCGTCACGCGCAGCGGTGGCGAGTACGACGATGAGGACGGGTACGATAGAAGCCGAGGCCGAGGGCGCGATGGAGGAGAGGACGCTGGTCTGGTCGATGGGGGCTACGACGATGACGATGACGATGACGATGACGACGTGTATGACGCTGCAGACGAGTACCTGGAGCCGAGCACGTTGTCCTCCGGCGAGCACACGACGGATGTGCTGCATCGCCACTTCTACGGCGGTGTCGAGGAGGAGACAAGAAGAGGAGGAGGCAGAGGCGGTCGGGGCGGCGACGACGATGATAGGGGATTTCCATCGTTGGAGGGTGCGGCGCGTGGAGCTGCAGCAGCGGCGGCAGCATCGTCATCATCGTTGCAGCAGCAGCAGCAGCTGCCGCGCACGGCGGCGATGGGCGAGACACGGCGACGCGGCCGCGGGTGGTCGTCGGTGTCGCCGTCGGGCCGCCGTGACCGCCGCGATCGCCGTCGTGGTGGCAGAGCCGCAGACCACCACACCAGCAACTCGGCCTTCCTGCGTACGAAGGACTTTTCTTTGGTGGAGGGGTGTCGGCTCTGTCTGACCTTCTGCTGCTGCTGCTGCTGCCATTGCTGCCGTGGATGGCCCTGCCACTGCGGCAACGCCTGGATCGTGCGCCTCCTCCATGCGCTACGTATTCTCTGGGCGCGCCATCGCGCCGTGGCGTGGTGCCTACTGGCTGTTCTTGCAGTGCTGCACTGCTTCGTGGTGCTGCCCCTCGTGGCGTCTGGCGCTGCGGCGCTGATGGAGAACGAGGACCTCTTCGTGCAGCGCATGCTCTTTTTTGGCTTGCCGCGCGAGGTGGACGCCCTGACGACTCCGCGCGCGGTGTTGGTGCAGCTGGTCTTCCCTACCATACTGGACGAGATGGAGGGCAACCCAAACGTCGTACGTACCGCTGTTGCGGATGCTGAGACTGCTGGTGCGTTGCGTGCGCACGCGGCGGGTGTGGCGCGGCAGGCACTTCACCTCACCTTTGCGCAGCGATTCCTGCCCGCTGCGGTGCCGTGGCTCGGCAGCCCCACACTGCAGCCGTCGCAGCTGCCTTCCTGGACGCTCTTCTCGATTGAGAAGGACTGTCAAGAGTGTATTGAGGTGGACGGATACGCAGCCGCCGTGGCTGGCGCGGATGCGGTACCGCCACGATCCATTTTCACCTCTACGAAGAAGGAAAAAGACAAAGGAGCGGCAGCAGGAGTGCCAACACGAACGCAACGCCAGCCGCTGCCACCGCCATCCTCGTCGATCCTTCAGCAAGGCGTCTTCGCCACTTCCAGCGCCCCGCTCGGCCGCATTGGCCCGATGCTCTTGGCGATCGCCAGCGTGACGGATGACGTGGCGGTGGTGGAGGAGCTGCGGAAGTGGCCGTGGATCCCGCATGTCGCGCGGCGCGGCGAGCTACTCCGTGGTGCCCAGCGCGGCGCGCCTCCTGCTCACCTGGCGGTCCTCGGCATTCCCTCAACGGACCACCCGGCCCGCGCTGCCCTGCGCGACGGTCAGCGGACAACGTGGCTGTCCTACTCGGACGTCGCACGCGCCGAGAACGGCTTTACAGGGAAGTTGTTGGCGCTATTCATTTTTTCCGCGTCGGAGCCGCCGCACGTGCGGGCCGACCCGCGTGGCACCACGACGGAGAAGACAGCCGCAGCGCCGTTTTTTTCTTCCTGGCGAACGCCGGACCCTCTGGCGAAGTACATTAGCCGAGACGCGCGGCGCCTTGGTGACGACGTGTCGCTGATGCTGCCCACCGTGGCCGACTTCACCGCGGCGGCCGAGTACTACGCGCTGACGTCGGTCCTCGCACGACAAGAAAAGAGCTGGACAACAGCCACAAAAACAGCTGCCGCAGCTGCGAGGCCGCCGGCTGCGTGGGCGAGCAGCTACATGCAGCGCCGGATGACGTTGCGCAGGGACTGGCAGCGCACAGACAGCGCCGACTCACCGTGCGACACGCTCACCGCCAAAACTTATTCGATGAACGCCCACACCTTCCTCAGTACCCGCAATACCTCGTCACCACTCTCTTTCATCGCCGAGTACTTGGAATTGCCGGTGCATCCGCTATTTACGGTTCCGGCGCACTTGGTGTGCTATGCGTCGACTGCGCTGTGGCAGGAGGCGTTGGCGCACCGCAACATGGTGTGGGTGGACATGATGACGGACCGGCGCCCGAGCTCGAAGAAGAAGCTGGGCGAGGGAGGCGGCTGGGGCCTGCCGGTGGAGGTTGGGATGAGTCAGAAGCTGGTCCTGTGGCTGGAGTACGCCTACCACGCGTTCCCCGACGTGTCGTACATCATGAAGGGCGACGACGACACGTACCTGAAGGTGCCGCAGTTCTTAAACGATATTCGCTACATCCAGAGTGGTCGCCGTGGGCGTGCGCTGGAGGAGTTGACCCACATCAACACTGCCGCCACCACCGGAACGACAACTGTGACATCGACAGCAGCGACAACAGGCAAAGCCGACAATCGAGGCGTCGCGTGGGTGCGCGGCGTGTTTGGGAGCACCAAGCCCGCCGAAAACTACCTGCTCGTTCGTTCTACGGAGGAGTGCGTGTATTGGGGCAGCATGCGTCGCTGGAACGGCGAGGTGTACTTCGGTGCCGGCATGCTCTTCCTCCTCCACCGCCGTCTTGTCCAGACCGTGCTGGAGGAGCGAGCCGAGTACAACAATGACGTGGTTCGGCTAGCGGCACAGGACTACAGCCCACGGCACGCCCACTCGTACTTCGCCGCGATGATGGATCACGAGGACGTGATGCTCGGCAAGATGCTCGCGGAGCGGCGTGTGCGGTCCATGCAGCTCTGTCCTTTCCGCCGCTCGTGGTACGTCGGCGAGTACTGGGATCGCTTTCACGACGTGCACAGCGGGCGTGCGGTCAACGTGACGTGGTCCACAGTCGCCGCCCACCGCTGCACCCCGGCCGATCTCCCCTTTCTCCACTACTACTTCCAGCACGAGTACGAGTACGACGACGCCGCCGTCAACGCCTCCGCCGCCGCCTACGGCGCGCGCGCCGCCGCGGACGCCACGACGCATAACGATCTACCCGCGGTGCGATGGAGGGAGCCGCGGGAGATGAATCACACGCGGCTACCGTTTGTGCGGGCTGCCAAGGATGACGTCGCGGTGTACGAGGTGGAGTACTCGCCGTTTGCGGATGGGGCTTTGGTGTTGGACGGGTGGGTGTCGAACACACAACGGCGCAACGAGCATCTGTGATAGTGGTAATGAAAGAAGAGAGCGAGTGTGTATGGGTGTGTGTGTGTGTGTGATTTCGTGAAGGAGCGATAAGAGCCCACGCTGACCAGCCACGGCACGCTGACGCGATACAAACGACAATAGTTTATGCCATATCTGGTTTTCCTTTTTTTTTAAGACAAAAAAATGGGACTCATATCTTACTCTACAAGACAAAGGGGAAATCAGCATCAACGACAAGCACAACTACCCAAATAAGAAGAAAAGAAAAGGAAAGAAAATAAGAAAAGAAACACGAAGAAGCACGCCGTGCAGCAGCATCAATACATAAACGACACTGCCAAAACCAAGACAGCACAACGACGGCATCCCTTCGCTGTGCGGGGTGACCACAAGCGAATACTGCTGCTTTGCTTGTATGGTTCCGCTGCTGTCTCTACCCGAGAAGCCGCGTTGTTTGGCGGCCACAGAAAGCCCCCCTCAAATAATAAACCATACACACACACAATCATGCATCAACAACCGCCGCAACAAAATGGCTCGTACAAGGAGAGACACTGCTGTGCTGCTGCTGCGGATGCTAAGTGAGAGACGGCGTTCCCACTTTCCCCTTCACCTCCACTTTCTCTCTTCTCGGGTGTCCTTTATTTTTTTACTGTTTTCATCTACGAATGCAGCTTATTTATTGGGTGAGACCGTGCCAACCCGCCCCTCCCTCTTCCTGTCCTGTGGCAGCTGCGTAGTGGAAGCAAATAAGAAACACGGATCCACCCACCCACCTACATATATAACTATACTAGTATATGTGTCCATTGACTTCGGTTTTCTCTTTCTCTTTATTTTTTGAAATAAATAAATGAATCTTCCTGGAGCACGTAACTGCTGCTCTTTTAAGTTACTAACCTCGTGCGATTGCCGATAAGCGAAAACGGCTTCACCGGGAAGGCTGCTGTCCTCTGCATCCCCTTTCTCTCGCCCTCCCTCCCTCACAGACACACACAGACAGACACAGGCAGACACGCTTTGCTGTTGATGATTAACAGAACAGGAGCTGCTGCTTCTGTGACCGATAATAATTGCGCTTGACGTATTCTTTTCTGGTAGTTTACGAAAAGAATGGAATGATGAAAAGAGTGAGAATGATACGAGGAGGATGAGGAACAATGGCTCCGACGTTTGCTGATGACATGATTTCTACCTCTACTACTCTCCCTCGCTCTTCTCCTTCGCCTTATCTTTCGGACTTGCAGAATCAAAGTTCTCACACAACTTTTGAGTTTTTTCTTTTAGCTTTCTTTAGGTAGCAATTCTTTCGCAAGTTTATTTTAGTACGTTAGTATGATTTTTGCAAGGATGGCCTTGATTCCGCACGGACAATGGGAGGTGCTGAACAGCACCTCGTCAACAGCCCCCTCCTGGAGGAAGGACCGGTGAACGTGCGAATCTTTCGCCAGGCGACGTACGGGACGGAAGTCCCCATGATTTGCCTGCTGGGCATGTCCAGCGGGAGGTTGGCCTTGTACGATGGGAGTACGAACACAGCCATCATGTGGAGCAGTTGCGAACTGCCCATAACTCGGGTGGAGTTCGTCGATCCGGTGGTACAGCAGCGCATGGGAGAGCTGTACCAGATCATGGGGACTCAAGAGGGACGTTTGCAGTCCCTTGAGCAGCAGCAAGGGCTGAGTGCGAACGCGATTACGTCGGCACTCACGTCCTTGCAAGTGAGCACCACCTCGGCCTTGGAAAGGCATGCGTCGGCAGCTGCGTCGGCAGCTACACCTTCGTTGGCGTTCAGCGCGGGCAGGGACGCAAACCTGGCCACGCAACTGCAGGCAGTGAATTACGGTTGGATTTGGAGCGGGAGTTGGCACAGCGTGAGCGTGAGAGAGTCGCTCAGGTGGAACTTCGACTGGGTCGGATGGAACAGTCGACAGGTAGGGATCCCGCGGAGTTAATCGGCTTGCGCAGTGAGGTGGCTCACTGAACGGAGACTGTGCGGACTTTGCAGGACATGAAGCTGCTCGAAAAACGGGTTCTGAACGACGTTGATGAGTTGCGGCAGTTGCTGGCCAAGACTCAACCTGGGAAGACCCATTTGTCGCGTCCTGCAGCTGCTGAGGACGGACTCCACTCGGTGCGGATCACCCCGCCCTCTCCGAGGCACACGACGGCCGACGCGACGGAGAACAGTGAAGAAGATGTCTTTGACGTGACGGACGTGCGCACTTGGCGCGGTGCCCTGGACGGCCTCTCGTTGATGGAGGTTGATATCGCCCTCCGTAAGCTGTTCTTCGATGGGCAGCTTAACGCCCCAACCGCCGAGGCGCAAGGGTGTTACTCCTCTCTTCGGGACTGGGTTCAGAGTGCCCAGCAGATGCCCAGCCTTTTTGAGTATCAGGCCACCCAATGTACCGACCATGTGTCTCGGCTTATCGTGGCACTGAAATCGAACACCTTCCCCGAGTTGACGTACGCCAAACTGGCGTCGGCCAGGCGGGACAGGGTCAATGGCATGGACGCGTTGATGGGTCTCGTTAAAGCCGTGGCCCCAGCCAAAAAAGAACAGTGTTAAGAATGGGCGATGCTGTTTCAGTTGCGGATCTTCGCAGCATTTGGCAGCCCAGTGCCCGGCTAGGGGACCGCGTTCCTTTTCCGGTTCGCGGAAGGTTGCACGATCGTACAGCGCAAAACGCTCTACATCGAGCGATACGTCAAAAAACCCAAACAGGGGGACCAAATGAACCTTTCTGTTTCGTCCGCCTCCGGCGCCTCAACTGCCGGTTTGCACATCGACAGACACTCTAGATACCGGCAGTTCCAAAATAGTGCTGCGCGCCGTGGTGGAGAGTCCCCCTTAACCGTTCTCTTTGTTGCCAGAAATGATGGATGTGGGAGCACCCGTGGGTGTAGGGAAGGAATTCAACCCTGTGCTGCGAATCAATCCGTCTCCAATCTTAAAGCACACGGGGACCGGCGACCGCCTGTACCGCAACGAGCTGGCACCACAAAATCCTACGCTGGTGATGCCCGAGGAGCGAGCCAACGAAGTGGCACATCGCCGGTTGGAAAAGAGCACCTGGGAGCAGCGAGCGTCGATCTGGCGGATGTTCGAGGAGTTTTGCGACAAGATGCGACTGCCCGCTGTGTCGACTTCCGTTCCGCTCTTCCTCGAATCCCGTGCTTACAAGGGGTCGACCAAGGTGCAGTACAGCGTCACGTTGAGGACGATGCTGGATCCGACGGTGACCGCCTTAGACCAATACCTCCAGGGCATGCGGAAGGTGGCGGCGACGGAAGAGGTCAGGCACGTGGTGCCCTTGACACTCGAAGACCTCGGACGGGTCATTGCGCAGACGCCAGCGTGGCGCGACAAGGTTGTGTGGCGGCTGGCATGGATCACGGCAAGTCGCTGGGCGGAGATCGCCGGGCTCACGACGGAAAATCTGCTGGTGCAACCCGAGGGCGACATCATCCTGGATTGGGGGGCGGTCCCCAAGGCCTCCAAAAGCGACCCTTACCGGTCCAGCCGGTATGTGTGGATCAAAGACGAGGATGCCGCCGATCTTTTCTTGTTGAAGACACGTCTGGGACCGAGGGAGCCGCTGACGACGATGAGCACGAGTCAGGCTGCTCAGAAGTTGAAATCGTTGGGAAAAGGCTATACTGCGCACTCCATCAAGGGAGGGGCGGCGAAGCACGCCATGAGGTTGGTGTACGAGCACAACCTGGATTGGAGAACGGGGGTACACCTTATGAAGCACAAGGACCCGAGAGACCACCCGTCAGCGTCGCTGAGATACATGGGGGAGACGGTGGTACTCACGAACGATGTGCACCGCCTGACGCAGTTGATGTGAGAGGAATTCCGCGAGCGGAGCGCTGGCTCGCCGCGGAGACGTTGCCTCCCTATCTTGGTCATACCATCACGCGGCGCACGCATAACACGAAGATTGCGACGCGCGAGGAAGAGAAGTTTATTCCGCTTTAAAAATTCGATGTACGCCCCATGGACGTCGAATTGTTGAAGGCGCGGATGTTGCCGGCAGTGGCGGCACGCTTTAACGAGTTGTGGAGACAACTGGGCTCTGGCGAGGGTAAAAGCCCCGGACCGCAGGGAAGCCATCGGATTTGCACGGCAGACGCGCTGGCGTTACGTGCCGGTGGTATTATTGGCCCTGCATCCGACGCCCCCACAAAAGGGTGGGTAGTACCTTTTTCTGTTGTCGAGGAAAAGTCCACAGGCACACGCCTGCGGTGGATTGCGTGGCCTCGTGTCAAAAATGCGACATTGGAGGATGACGCGGACGTGCCTTTGGAGCACGTGGCCCGGTACCTTCCAGCAGTTCATGCTGAGGTGGCGGCGTGTCTGGATTTGAAGGCGTCCTTCTATCAGGTTCCGTTACCGGTGGAGGCGCGCGCGTGTTTTCGATGCATCGCAGAGAACGGAGCTGTGATGGAGCTGCATCGGCTGCCGATGGGATATCGGGCTAGCCCTGAGGTGATGCAGTTGTTGACGTCCGCGGTGCGGTCTGAGTACCGCGCGCCCCCTGAGGTCCATATCGATGTGTGGATAGACAACATACGGTTGTGGGGGACGGAAGCCGCTGTCCAAGAGTGGACGAAGCGGGTGTTACTTGTGGCAACTGAGGCCCAAGTGACTTGGGGGGAGACGCTGATCGCGACACCCCGGTATCAGTTTGTGGGAGTTAGCTTTGACCACTGCCAGAAGACGGTGAAGCTCGGTGATTGAGTGCACAGGCACATCTGTGAAACGCCTGATCTGCAGACGCTCTCGGTGCGCGAGCGGGAGGTTTTTGGGTCCCGGGTTGTTTTCGCGGCAGCCATTCTGGGAATCTCGCTGGTGCGATATTACTTTTTATTGAAGGTGGTTCGCAGACGGTTGAGTGCTCTAAATAGGGGTTGTGTGCATCTCGATGATCCGGCTAGATTGTCAGACTCGGCTTTGCGAGAAGGGAAGATGCTCTTGGACATTCTGAAAGAGAATGCGGCACATAGTGTGCCTGAGCGTGTGGCGCCTCCGGCTGCCACGTTGGTGACGGATGCGTCGCTGGTTGGATGGGGAGCAGTTCTGTTTTTGGAGTCTGGTGAGATTTGTGTGTCGGGAGACAAGTGGAGTTCCCCTCCGATACTGATCATGCAGGCTGAAGCACGAGCTGTTTGGTAAGGGCTGACTGTCTTCCGCGAGCGACTGCCAAGTACTTTGCGCATTTTGATCGGCAACACGTCGGTGCTGTCTTCTGTGCGCAAGGGAACGACGAAGTCGGAAGCGATGGCGATGGAGTTGGTGCGTGTGTATGATTTGTTGGACACTTATCGAGTGTCGGCTACATTTCAGTATATCCGCTCGGCGAGCAATGCCGCTGATAAGCCTTCTCGAGGTTTGCCGCTAGATGGGAATGACTTGGCGATGGGGTATTACAAGCGAAGAGGAGACAGGGATCCTTGGGTTTAACCAATTCAACTACCCTTGTTTGCCACTTCGTTAGCAGTGCCACCTATTAGAAAAAATGGAAAAGGAGGAAATCGCCAAGTCCAGTGCACCATCGTCCCCTGACGTTGAAGGGAGTAAGTTTGGCAGCGAGACGCTGCGCGGGGTGAATAGATAAGATGTTGGAGGTCCATCGCGAGTTTGGAGTGTGGAATCAGGTCTCAGCTAATGCATCTCTCTCGGACTCTTTGCACCTCTCGATTCTTCTATTCTTTTACTTTCTTTCTCTTCTTTCGCGATTCACCCGTACGAGAAGTTCCTTCGCACAAACAACTCAAATACGCGAAAGAGAAAGAGCGAAAGGAAGATAAGAAAAAGAGAAGGGCAATCAGCAACGACTCAAAAGAAGTACTTCAACAACAAAATACTCTTCTAATTCACTTTATGTTTCTTGTTGGTCTTGTCGAGTGAGGAGAGAGTTCCCTGAAGGTTAGAACGTCTCTCTCTCTTTTGTTTTTGATTTTCTTCTTCCGGTGTCTGGCACTCCAAGGTGTTTGTTGGGGTGTGCTCACACAACAGCCGTACATAGTTTTGTCCTGTATTCGTTGTTCTCCTCTCTACCGGAGAACAACGACTTTTTGTGTCTTCCTTCTTCCTCTTTTTATTGTGGTCTCTTTCTTTTATACAAGAGTCAATTCTTTTTTTCTTTAGTATTATTCACTGCGGTGTGTGTGTGCGTGTGTGTGTTCGTGCTTCTTATATTAAATAGACAGCTCTCCCCACGTATTTTGTGCTTTGGTTTTCGTAGTTGTGTATCTTCTTGCTCTCCTTTATTATTATTATTATCAGTGACATCATTGTCAATATATATATACACATTTTTAGTGTCCGTTCATTGAATGGAGCAGCCAGACTACAGTTTCTCGTCCCTGCCAAGGCACACTCTGCCCCATTCAAGTCTGGCCGCCAGTCTTGTCTCGCCTGTCCTGTTCACTGACTCCTCCACCACCCCCCCGACCTCCCTTAGCTCCATGCGCTTCTCTGCCGCTTTCCCTAAGCGGCCACGATGGTGGTGGTGGTGGTGGTCGCCGCCGCCGTTCGTGTCGGAGAAGCTGTCACGCCGCGCCCTGGCGCTCATTTTCCTCCTGCTCTGCGTCCTCGCCGTTGTCGTGTTCTGGGCGGTGCAGTACCTGTACCGCGAAGGTCCTTTCATGGCCTTCGTCGCGGTCCCTGAGGCGGAGTGGCTCGCCACCCAGCTCTCCCCATCCCTCGACGTGGCGCAGCTGCCGTTCTTGGACTTGTGCATCGCCGGGGAGGTGATGGAGAAGCACGTGCGACGCCCGTCCGGCCAACCAGAGCGACTACGCCAGCGGCAGCTTGCCACGCTGATGGATCGCTTTCACCACATCCCCGCTCACGGTGGGGAGGCGGCGGTGGAGTGGAGTATGGCGACCGGGCTGCCCGTCGCGCACAAGCGCCGGGGCGTGGTGCAGGCCCGCTTTGTGACGGCGTCTGACAAGTTGAACGACTACGTGCACATCGCCGCCACCGCGGCCACGATGGCCGGCGTGCAGCTCGAGATGGTCGGCAAGCGCTGGCGGCACTTCTCCTTTCTGAAACGCATGGGGTTGATTCTATCATTTGCGGAGCAGGAAGGCTTGTCTGATGCCGACGTGTTAGTGGGCATGGACAGCGACGCACTGCTGAGTGGAGAGGACATGTATTCTTTTCTGGAGGCCTTTGTCGCCTCCACCGCGGCGAGCGAGGCGGAGCACGGCGCCTACGCAGTGCGTGACATCCGGCTCGGCAAGCGCATGCCTCCTTTCCTGTTCAGCGGCGAGTACAACTGTATGCGGGATCAAATGACGAGAGACTTCGATGAGTGCCGGGCCCCCTATCAAGAGGTCGATGCGATGATGTCGGCCTGGGCGGCGAGGGAGAACGTGACGCTTCCGTCCTACTACACCGAGGACGTCAACCCGCTGCGCTTCTTTAACGCAGGCGTGTTCGTCGCGCGGGTGTGGGCGGTGCGACTGTGGAACACCGCACTGCTCGCGTTTGTCGATACGCACGCCCCTGCGTTCGGCACGAGTTGGTGGTGCGACCAGAGTAGCATGAGCGCCATCTACCTCGAACTGCGTCGGTGGGAGCTTCTGAGTGGCGCCCTGCAGGGCCCGCCGCAGCTGCTGAACCGGCGCGAGAAGGAGAACAGTTTCTTCCCGCCGCTGGTGTTGCCCTCGCGGGACTGCGGCCCACACGGTGTCCCGGCCGGTCTGGTGGACTACGACCGCACCGGCCGCCTCACCCTCACAGTGGGACCGGAGATGAGTGGGCAGGAGGTGTTTCAGATTAACCAGATGACGGTGCCGTTGAACAATGAATCGGACATGGTGCTGCACCGGCTCCTGCACATGGCCGCCTGGCAGCTGGAGACGTCCCTGACAGGGGTGCTGCAGTCGACCCATCGAGTGCAGATCGCCCCTCGCGAGCACGTGGACTGCCACGGCGTGCAGGCCGTCGGCGCGGAGTGCGGGTATCGAGACGCTGTGCTTGGCTTTCGTCCGGCGAATCGCCGCGAAGTGACCCCGCTGGTCTGGCACTTTGCGGGGGCCGGCAAGCGAGGCACTATCTCGCACTACCGAGCCCTCTTTCCATGGTACACACCGGCGATGCGCGATCCGGTGCTGCGGAATGCGCTGCTGTGGACGCTCGTGAATGCCCCACCGACGCGGGTATTCGCGGTGGATGCAACGACGGAAGCGTGGCTGACGTCGACGCCGACGGCGCCGGTATCGCTGCTGCCGCACCGCAGCCACGACGACCTTACCTTCTTCCAGATGTGCACGTATCGGTTTTATGAGGGGTGGTGAGATCACACAGAGGTCTGCGCGAAAGGACGACGGGAAGGGGGGAGGAGAGCGAGAAAGCGAGGGGGTGTTGTGACGTTAGTGGGTTTATATCCTTCTACTATACTTATGTTTTTCTTTCTTGCATCTCGTCTCTTATTGGCACCTCTTCGCGTACTCGCCCTTCTTCGAAGAAGGGAGTCGTAGTGGTGATGGCGGGGGAGAGAAGGAAGAAGGGAGTGAGGTGGGGAAGGAGGGTGCGGCAAAGAGTGCATGTTTCTTCGCCGACTCTGTCGAATTGCGTCCATCCCCTCCCCCCCTCCGCCCCCCGTCCTCCCGGCGTCGCTATCACACTGGAAAGTAATCTTCACAGCACCAGCAAAATGAAGCCATTACCTACACAGAGAAGCCAAAGAAGCTCTATTTTCGTAGTATGATTCTTCGCCAGCCATGAGCTTTCGGCGCCTCTTTTTCCTTCTTTCTGATTTCTTTCATGTATGTATATATGTCCGTGTCTGTGTGTGCACCTCTACTTCTTCTTACTCGCTGAAAGGTACCTCCACACCACCGCCGTAAGTTTTTTCCTTCGTTTTCTTTTCGTGCTTGCGCGTTGGACACACCTACCCCTTCGTGACTCAGCACACCTCTATATGACTCTTTCTACATATAACTATTGTTTTTTTAAAGTTTATTTTAAATATGTTCTGTGGAGGATACCTATGCTTTGCTATACCAATCCCTTCGAAGAAAACAAAACCCCAAATGATAATAATAATAATGGTGATACACAGGATCGCATCCCGCGGCGCCACAATCTGGAAACGTGCACGATGATCCTACGCCAAACGCCAGAAAGAAAATCAACAGCGAATATCCTATCTCTCTCTCTCTCTCCACCTTTTTCCCTTTTCTGTCCTGCAATAATTCGCTTTCTTCTCCTTTCCGGTTTCTGTTTCCGATTTTTGTTTCCTTACAGTGCGTATCCGCGGCGTTTCCCCTGTCTTGTTCTTCTTTTTCATATGCGATGAAGAACGTGTTATCCGTCGCTTTCCTTCTCTCGCCCAACGACTCCTCCACCTGCTCGCTTGTTTCTCGTTCTCTTTGCTCTTCCCTTTTCACAGGTTTTTATTAATATTTATTATCGCGCGTGGTTGTGTGTGCTACTCGGACTGCACGGATACACATGCCTACCTAGCTATCTACTACTACGTGTGCTTCATCTTGGCGGGAGGGGAGCTAACAGACACCACCGATGACAACAAATGAACTCCCCCTCTCCCTCTCTCTTCACACCTTTGCTCCAACTCTTAAGAGTACTACTGTTTTTCCTAAATCACCCTTCTTCTATGTTTCACGAGAACACACACACACACACACACACACCCACACACACGTGTTTACCCACGCTGACATAAAACCTATCATAACGAGGAAACGGACCTACTGACGAACAGGCCTTCCGCTCACGATCCAGCCCGCTCTTTTCATTCCTACTCTTTCTCTACCTGTAGCGCTTTATTACACCTTCAGATGCTCTCGCGCGTATCCCACCTCTTTTTCCGGCGAGATCGTTCAGACGTCCGCCAACACCAGCCACAAAAGATGCGCACCGGCAAGCGTGCACGAATGAGTACCAAACCAAGCGATCGGAGCAGCGGCAATGGAGCCGCCGCCCTCCCGCCGCGGCGCCGTTCGAACCTCAAACACCGGTGCGAGGTATCCACAGAGTGAGCAACATCGAAGAGAGACAGAGAGAGACGTTGCCGCTGCGCTCGGCGAGTACGCCGCATATAATTCCTCTCCGTGGTGGTTTTCGTTGCACTTACTGTTTCCATCGTTAGCACCATCAGCAACGACCTGCCCAGCAGCAGCTGACACGAGGGCAGGGGCAGCAACGATGGGTGACACCGCCGCTTTTAAGGGAGTGAACGAGTCCGTGCTGCCGCCGATGCGCGTGCGGCCGGACGACCAGGCGTGTGCGCTGTGCACGGACGGTCTGGTGTACGTGCACGTGGGCCGCGCCGCCCACGCGACGGAGGCCGTGTCTGCCGTAGCCGTGCAGCACACGGTGACGGAGGTGCTGCACGTGCGGCTTGACGATGCGCCGACTTTCAGCGCGGGGCGCGGGCCGTCGACTGCTGCGTGGCCGAGCTCGTCGGAGGTTGTGTCGCGGTGTCTCGCACAGCTGATCAGTCTTGGCCTGCTCGGCACTGCGCAGGGCGCGAGTCTTGCGCACGGCGGGACGGCCCCGCGTGTGAGCGCTGCGGTGCTTGTGGACTACGACGCTGCTGGGGCGGGGACGCTTGTTGGGCGTGCGGACCGGTGCCCCGCGTTCCTGGCGGAGGTGCGGCCGGTTGCTGCGTCCGCTGCCGCCGCTGGTGCTGCGACGATGGACGTGTCGTACCCGCGGCTGCCGTCGTGGCCACTGCGTGTGGCTGGCGGTGGGGGAACGGTGCTGCCTGCGCCGCCGTACTTCGGGACTGCGACGGTGCGCGAGACGGACGTGGACCGTGACGTGCAGCCGCCCGCGTCTGTGGAGCTGACGGGTGACGGGAGCGCCGTTGTAGTGCGCTTTGGCCGCGACGAGGCGTCGAGGAGGCCGGAGCCGTTCGAGGTGGTGTGCCCGCCGCACTTCATGTCGGTGCACATTGGCCGCTTCGGCCGGCAGCACAACCAGGTGCAGGAGATGCTGCACACTCTCGCGCTGTCGCACAGGACGAACCGCACCTTCATCGTCCCCGTTTTTGCGCCGGAAAACTACATTCCGTATATCCGCTACGACGCGCAGAAGGTGTACGGGTTCAACGCGCTGCGCCGCGAGGGCGGGTACTGCCTCGTGTCGTACGCCGAGGCGCGGCGTGTGCTGAAGGAGCTGGAGGCGCGGGGCGAGCCGATGAGTCTGCGCCGCCTCAACTACCGTGGCGTTGCGCGTCCACGCGATGCGAAGCAGTGGGCCGATGAACTCGCCGGAGACTGGTGGCATGTACCTCCCCGCACCGACGCGGGCGGCCGGCGGTACAACGTTGATGCGTGGTTTGAGGATTCGAAGCTGCGTGAGCCGCCCCTGACGAACGTGAGTGACGGCCGCGCCGATGGTATGCACTTCGTGGAGACGGAGGACGAGTTCACGGCGAAGGACGTGTTCCCGGACGGCGGTGAGGAGCCGTACGTGCGGGTGGCGCGGATGCGCAAGGCGATCACGCTGCTCGTTGATCTGCTCGGTGGTGCCCATGAGAGCAGACCCGCCACGAAGCCGCAGCCTCGACTGGCGGTGCTGAGCAGCCGCATGGCGTTCTTTGTGCATCCGCCGCTGCGGGAGCAGACGCGGCTGATGGGGCTGCTGCGGCCTGCGGAGAACATCACGAAGGAGGCGGACCGCTTCTACGCGGAAGCCGCCGCTGCCTACAACTGGCCGCGACTGAGGGAGGCCGGTGATGCGGCGGGTGTGCGCGGTGCGCTGAAGCCCGGCAACTTCAAGGGCGTGATCGGGTTCCACATTCGTCGCCGCGAGGGCAGCTGCAGGGCGGAGGCGCTACGGATTGAAGGACCGAACGTGGCCATTGATCGGCGCTTCCAACTTGATCGGGCGAACCCGAGCTGGTCGAGCCCGCTGTCGACAGTGCGGAACATGGAGCTGGACTGCGCGCTGACGAGGACGCGCGTGGCAGAGCTGTACCGGCAGTACACGCAGTGGATGCGGCACAACATGACGGAGGACGCGGCGGCCTCTGCGCAGCTTGTGCCGACGATTTTCATGGCCTACGACCACCAAAGCGGCCCGATCGCTGAGCAGGTGGAGCAGCGACTGGCCGAGATGTGGCTGAGCCGCCAACGCAGCTCGACGTGGGGCGCAGCGACTGTACGTCCTCACCGGTTTGTGGCTTCGTATGATGCCCGCGTTAACATGAGTTTCGCTGCAGCGTTTAAGGCTGAGACCCGCCGACTAAACACCCATCGGAGCGTACAGTCCGAGCCCATCAGCGAAGAGGAGCGTCAGGTGGTGCTCACACGTAGGCTGTACGACTTTGCGTTTGCGGAGATCTGTGCGATGGCCGTTGACTTCTTCATGCTGACGAATGTAGAGGTGTTTCGCGGCAGCACGCTTTCTTCCGTGTCCATGAACGTGATAATGCGTCGTTGGGGCCGCGGCTTGCCGTGCCACGGCGCGTTACCCGGGTATATGGTGTCGTACTACACGTCGATGTGGTATTGTTTGGGCTCTTCAATTAGCAACAGCGGGTAGGAAGTGCATGCGCGAGTTGGCGCTGGAGCATCCCATCGGCTGCTTTATTTCCTTTTCCTTTTCCACGCTTTACGTGCCGGTTGTTCTCTCCGGCGTGGCCGTAGTGACCCTCCTTCTTTTCTGTTTTCTGCTGATACATTGATCTCTTGTGCCTTGAGTGACGGTGCGTTCATCGCCGGTGTTTGTGAGACATTCGTAATTGCTGCGGCCCCTACAGGGTGCGGTGAGAACTGTTTGGCGACGGCACGCGCAGGACCCATGAGAGGCGTGCCATAAAGGCTTGGTGGAGGAGAACAGCAAGATATATATTTTTTCTTGCTTTCTCCCAAGTTCTTAGTTCATGCAGGTGTTGAGCGCCGTGCTAGATTTGTACCGTACCTGTCTGTCGGAGTTCGTTTTGCGTTCTCCATGGTGAAGGGGACGGCGTCTGCTGCGCTGGCGTTTGCTCTGCCTCCCCTCCGCTGCGCGTTGCGCGATGCGCGACGCGTGCGGGTCTGTTTGCTTCTCGCGCTTGAGCCCATCTGCGCTGTCCTTTCCTTTCAGGGAGCGCCGTGAGCGGCTGCGTGGTGCTAGCTCTGCGAGGACGTCGCAGGCCGGTCACGTTGTGCGTCAACCGCATCCATCCTCGCCCATCTCGCATCCTTTTCCTGTTCTCTACTTTTCTTCCTTTCTGGCTCCTCGCTTGGCGCCCGCTTTCCTCCTCCGCACGTGGCGACGTAACTGCGGCGCCTCACAACGCCAGCTTTTCCGCAACAAAGACATCGATTGTACGCGTCGCCGCCTGCGTTTCTCCCCTTAACCGTATTGGTTGTGTATTTTCCTGCGTGCCTTCCGGAGCGTTTCCCCAACCGGAATGTGTTGCGCCGCGCCCGAGGAACACGCCGTTCTATACCGTCAACCGTGCTCCGTTGAACGACGCGCTAGCCCGCGCGCTGCACACGTACTGCCTTCTACGCTTCCGTTGACGCTGCAGCTGCACAGCGTCCAACACACCCAATGAAGCACCGCACCGAGGCAAACAAAGTCTCCCTTGCGACGGCGAGACCCGCCTCCGCGAACGGAGGTGCGGCGGTGGCGAAAGGACTGTTGCGATGTGTGTGTCGCACGCCGCACATGCTGCGCCTGTCACTCGCGCTGTTTGCGGTCGTGCTCGTGTTTGTGTCTGTGGCCAACGTGCATTGGATTCAAGTGTCCACGGTGGTGCAGGGCGAGAAACCAAGCGCGAGTGACGTCCGCCGCCCCGGAGATTGGAAGGACGCCGCCGCTTTTAAGGGAGTGAACGAGTCCGTGCTGCCGCCGATGCGCGTGCGGCCGGACGACCAGGCGTGTGCGCTGTGCACGGACGGTCTGGTGTACGTGCACGTGGGCCGCGCCGCCCACGCGACGGAGGCCGTGTCTGCCGTAGCCGTGCAGCACACGGTGACGGAGGTGCTGCACGTGCGGCTTGACGATGCGCCGACTTTCAGCGCGGGGCGCGGGCCGTCGACTGCTGCGTGGCCGAGCTCGTCGGAGGTTGTGTCGCGGTGTCTCGCACAGCTGATCAGTCTTGGCCTGCTCGGCACTGCGCAGGGCGCGAGTCTTGCGCACGGCGGGACGGCCCCGCGTGTGAGCGCTGCGGTGCTTGTGGACTACGACGCTGCTGGGGCGGGGACGCTTGTTGGGCGTGCGGACCGGTGCCCCGCGTTCCTGGCGGAGGTGCGGCCGGTTGCTGCGTCCGCTGCCGCCGCTGGTGCTGCGACGATGGACGTGTCGTACCCGCGGCTGCCGTCGTGGCCACTGCGTGTGGCTGGCGGTGGGGGAACGGTGCTGCCTGCGCCGCCGTACTTCGGGACTGCGACGGTGCGCGAGACGGACGTGGACCGTGACGTGCAGCCGCCCGCGTCTGTGGAGCTGACGGGTGACGGGAGCGCCGTTGTAGTGCGCTTTGGCCGCGACGAGGCGTCGAGGAGGCCGGAGCCGTTCGAGGTGGTGTGCCCGCCGCACTTCATGTCGGTGCACATTGGCCGCTTCGGCCGGCAGCACAACCAGGTGCAGGAGATGCTGCACACTCTCGCGCTGTCGCACAGGACGAACCGCACCTTCATCGTCCCCGTTTTTGCGCCGGAAAACTACATTCCGTATATCCGCTACGACGCGCAGAAGGTGTACGGGTTCAACGCGCTGCGCCGCGAGGGCGGGTACTGCCTCGTGTCGTACGCCGAGGCGCGGCGTGTGCTGAAGGAGCTGGAGGCGCGGGGCGAGCCGATGAGTCTGCGCCGCCTCAACTACCGTGGCGTTGCGCGTCCACGCGATGCGAAGCAGTGGGCCGATGAACTCGCCGGAGACTGGTGGCATGTACCTCCCCGCACCGACGCGGGCGGCCGGCGGTACAACGTTGATGCGTGGTTTGAGGATTCGAAGCTGCGTGAGCCGCCCCTGACGAACGTGAGTGACGGCCGCGCCGATGGTATGCACTTCGTGGAGACGGAGGACGAGTTCACGGCGAAGGACGTGTTCCCGGACGGCGGTGAGGAGCCGTACGTGCGGGTGGCGCGGATGCGCAAGGCGATCACGCTGCTCGTTGATCTGCTCGGTGGTGCCCATGAGAGCAGACCCGCCACGAAGCCGCAGCCTCGACTGGCGGTGCTGAGCAGCCGCATGGCGTTCTTTGTGCATCCGCCGCTGCGGGAGCAGACGCGGCTGATGGGGCTGCTGCGGCCTGCGGAGAACATCACGAAGGAGGCGGACCGCTTCTACGCGGAAGCCGCCGCTGCCTACAACTGGCCGCGACTGAGGGAGGCCGGTGATGCGGCGGGTGTGCGCGGTGCGCTGAAGCCCGGCAACTTCAAGGGCGTGATCGGGTTCCACATTCGTCGCCGCGAGGGCAGCTGCAGGGCGGAGGCGCTACGGATTGAAGGACCGAACGTGGCCATTGATCGGCGCTTCCAACTTGATCGGGCGAACCCGAGCTGGTCGAGCCCGCTGTCGACAGTGCGGAACATGGAGCTGGACTGCGCGCTGACGAGGACGCGCGTGGCAGAGCTGTACCGGCAGTACACGCAGTGGATGCGGCACAACATGACGGAGGACGCGGCGGCCTCTGCGCAGCTTGTGCCGACGATTTTCATGGCCTACGACCACCAAAGCGGCCCGATCGCTGAGCAGGTGGAGCAGCGACTGGCCGAGATGTGGCTGAGCCGCCAACGCAGCTCGACGTGGGGCGCAGCGACTGTACGTCCTCACCGGTTTGTGGCTTCGTATGATGCCCGCGTTAACATGAGTTTCGCTGCAGCGTTTAAGGCTGAGACCCGCCGACTAAACACCCATCGGAGCGTACAGTCCGAGCCCATCAGCGAAGAGGAGCGTCAGGTGGTGCTCACACGTAGGCTGTACGACTTTGCGTTTGCGGAGATCTGTGCGATGGCCGTTGACTTCTTCATGCTGACGAATGTAGAGGTGTTTCGCGGCAGCACGCTTTCTTCCGTGTCCATGAACGTGATAATGCGTCGTTGGGGCCGCGGCTTGCCGTGCCACGGCGCGTTACCCGGGTATATGGTGTCGTACTACACGTCGATGTGGTCGTAAGAGGCACGCCTCACCATTCAAGATGCGTGCAAGTTCGATGTGTACCGCTGTGCTGGGTGAAGTGCCCAGGAAAATTTAGGGAAACCCTAAATGATGATGAAGGTTAGTGTTTTTCTTTTTCGGTGCTGTTGTAGTGCTTGTGGTAGTGATTGCACATTTCGAATGAGCTTCGTTTGTGTGGTCATTGAATGGAAGGCTGGCAGCTTTCGCTGCGCCCCTCCCTCCCTTCCCATTTAGACGTCATTCTTGTTTGCGACGCTGTGCTTCCTAGGGCGGTCGGTATCGATGGCAGTTGATGTCCGATGAGCGCTTTGTGCTTGTCTTTCTTTCCTTTTTCCTTCTTATTTTTAAGGGGGCGACGTTGAGGATACCTGCTTGCCGACCGTGTCCACATTTCCGGCAGCTACTATTCTCGGAGGGAAGCCAAGCGCCTGCGCCGGACCGTGAGAGGTTGCGGGTTGAATTGGCGCCGCGGACAGGTCCAGACGGGTGCCGCGCTGTGGAGGAGGGCTTGCCGTAGCGGACGCGGATTCACCAACCAAGAGAAGTCTGCGCATACGGCTAGCACATCTGTTACGTAGCGCCGGGGCGTGGAGTGGTTGGGGGATGGGGTGGCTGAGATGAGGCAGCGGTACCGTTTTGGTTTTCGTGTTTCGTACCATTCTTTACCCCCCCCCTCTTTTCGCGTTCCCCTTCCGCTAGCTTCCAGCTGTCGACTTTCCGTTGTCGTCATGTCCCGCCCACCCCGAGCCCGCACCGCCGCGCTTGGGAGGCGAATACGAAAGTAAGTCTGCCACTTTGTTTTTGCTTTTGATAAGTTAACAGAATAAGAGTGAGCATAATGGGAATCACAACTTTGTTTGTCTTCCCCCCCCCTCATGTATATGTCTTTTCAAACAACAACCGAGAATGAATGCACCTGGCTGGATCTTTTGGTGTGTATTTACGTACTATTTATCCTCGAATTTGCTAGCTAATTATTAGCATTACTGTTATTATCATTTCTCCTCCGTGTTCGTCTGTGAAGTCGTCCTCATTTTACTCTACAAGGGTAAAAAGGAGTTCTTCGACTGTTTTTGTTTTCGTACGTTGTTCGTGGGCGAAACAAAAATAGCGTTCGAAGCGGAAAAAGGAATATCATCATCGCACGTCGCGCCACTCTGTGACACACACACACACACACACACACACACCTACACACTTGAGAAAAGGAAAACGAAAACATCTGACGTACTCGTTTTTTTTTTTTTTCTTCTCTCTCTCTCCACCGCGGCCTCCTCAACGGAAGATATGATTGAGGATTCGTTTTGTATTTGTTTTTCCCTGTTTTTGATGTTCCACGTCTGTTTCTCGTCATTGTCTGTTGTTAACAGGGGGATAGATAGTGAAGGCTGAACTTTGCTGGGAAGAATAGTCGGAGCATATGTATTCGCTCGTTGACGGTGGGGCTTGCAGCTTCGTCAGCTTCGCTTCTTGCTTTTGAATTAAAAACTAAATGAAAAAAGAAAAGACGAAAATAATAAGGCAGATTCTATTTCTACCTGATGTCCAACTTTATGAAGTGCAAGCACGCGATCCAGCTCTGCGGTGATCGTGGCGTCTCGAGCGAGGTAGGAGGAGAGGGCGATAGCAGGAGGAAGAAAGCACGAGGTTTTTTTTTGCTACGTTCCTACTCTTATCATCATCTCTTCTACTTGAGCTTCTCTACCCTTCTTTGTCCCCTCTTTTTTCTCCGTTTTCGGTGGGGGGGGGGGGTCTGTTCGCAAGAGAGGTACTCTCATTACGCGGGCATTCCCGCAGCGTGTTCGATTCCACTTCCATCCAGTGCAGTGAACGCACACACCATCTCTTCTTTCTCCTTTTCTTTTATCCTGATTGCATACACACATATATATATGCGTTCACACGCAAGAGCGAGCAGATCTCGCATGATATTTGTTGAAGATCGCTAGCGCGCTTGGGCTTCCAGTCGGTGCGTTTCTTCTTTTCTTTCTTTTCCCGTTTCCGTATCTTCTCCCTTGCCCTTTCCCTCCCCGCTCCGCGTGTGTGTGTCTGTCTGCGTCATCGACCATGTTTGAGCGGCGCGGCGGGTGGCACATCGCCGGCCGTGCGGAGTTTTCTTCCACCCCGGCGGAGTTCGGCGACGGCGGCCCTGCCTCTGCTGTGTCGACCGACGAACGGTACTCCTTTCGCGTTCCCCATCGTTGTGGCAGTCGAGACATCCGCGGCAGCAGCTCTGGTTGCGGCAGCGAGCATACTGTCGGGGGACGTCCGTCGGTGATGGACCTCGCCAGCTGTCATGGCTTGACCAACTCGAGTGCGAGCGCCGGTATCACGTCGGCAAACGTTTCTGACTCTCGCTGGGCCGCCGCCGCCGCCTGTACTCCGCCGCTACCGCCGCTTTCTGCGGCCCCCGCGTGCTTTCCGAAAGCTGCTTTCCCGCAACGTGTATGTCGTGGGGTGTTCAGGTGCGTGCGTGCCTACAAACCGACGCTGAGCGCTGCTGTCGTGGGTGGCGGCGCAGAGGGCGGTGGCAGAGCGTCGTGGCACGATGTGAAGCACGCCATCGGTGTGTACCTGCATCGACTGCGGCGCTACGTGTTTCGTCGTGTGCGATGGTTGTCGCTTCTTGTCGTATTAGGCGTTCTGCTGTGGTGCGGCGTACGGGCCTGGATGGCGCCGGCGCCGCTGCCGCCGTGGGAGTCCCCGCTGGCGGTGGTGGTGCACCACAAGGACGTCGTACAGCGCATGCAGTTAGACGTTCCACGCAGGCTGCGAGCGGATGAGGTGCCGTCGTGGACGCTGCGTGTGCTGCCGCGTGGGTGTCCCAACTGCATCGAAGGCCCAGCTTGGGAGACGGCGGTGCAGCGTGCCGCGGCTGGCTTGATGGCCCATCGCGCACAAGAGGATATACAGCACCAGCAGCATCACCTCAACGTGGATGTACGCGGAGCCGATGCGCTAATGGAGTCGACTGCGGAGGACATGATAAACGACAGCGGTCCTTACGCAGTGTTTGCCACCCCCGCAGCCCCCCTCGGTCGTATCGGTCCTTTTCTCCTGGCGATGCACAGCGTGACGGACGATGTGGACATCGCGGGCGAGTTACCCAGATGGGCGTGGATGCGGCGAACTGGTACACATCACGGTCGACGGTGGAACCCTCGCGCGGCATCCACCTCCGCCGCCGCGGCCGACACCGGGCCGCACGTGCGCCATCAGCGTCTGTCCGCGCCTCCCTACACGGCAGTGATGGGGATCCCTAGCGTGGATGACGCCCGGCATGCGACGCTGCGCGCGACACAGCGGGAGACGTGGTTGGGCTACAGCCGTGTTGCGCGCCACGACAACGACTTCGACGGGGCGCTCCTTCAACTGTACATCTTCGCGGCGCGGGAACCGAGCTCAAGCGCGGGTGAGGAGGATCGGTCGCGTGTGCCGCAAGACGAGGACATCGGGCTGACGGTCGACGCCGAGGCTTTCCTGCCCACGACGCGTGAATTCCGTGACGGGAGCGCATTTTACGAAGCGTGGGAGCGGTACAATCCCCACTATCGTCCGGAGGACCCTGCTTTCGTCACCTCCTCCGCGGGCGCCGCGGCGGGCCAGCAGCGGACGCCGCACGTGCACAGCAATATGTCGTACGTGCAGCGTCGCATGTCTCTGCGTCCGGACTGGCGCAAAGGCGCGGGGTGGACGTCGCCGTGCTCGCATGTGATGACGTCGACGGTGTACGACCAAGCCGGGGTGTCGCCGGCGCCGGCGATGACGCGTCTACGCGCTTTCCTCGACCTTCCCACTTCCCCAGCTTTTACGAGTGGTGCGCGGTACCTCTGCACCGCCTCCGCCGCGCTCTGGCGTGAGGCGTTGTCTTTTAGAAACATGCTCTGGGTGGACATGATGACGGACCGCCAGCCCACCTCGAAGAAGAAGCACGGCGAGGACGGTGGCTGGGGCCTGGCAGTGGAGGTTGGGATGACGCAGAAAACCATCCTGTGGCTGGAGTACGCCTACCACGCGTTCCCCGATGTGCCGTACATCATCAAGAGCGACGATGACGTGTATGTCAAGGTTCCGCAACTGGTGAGCGACATGTGGTACATCTACGGTGATCGACAGACGCGTGATGCAGTGGCCACTACTACCACTATTACTACGACCACCACGGCTGTTGATACTGTTGATGCTGCTGCTGCTTCGGGCGATGATGGAAGAGCAAGTGCTGCCGACGACGCGCTCTACCAGGCACGTACGACACCCGTCAGCGCTGCAGCAGAGGCGGCGGCGGCAGATTATCAACGCGCCACCGCGTCTTCGGCGTGCGTCTACTGGGGTCTTTTATGGGGCCAGTACGACCACGTTCCGTATTTTGTCGGCATGCTGTACTTGCTGGACCGCCGTCTTGCCCGGGTGATTCTCGAGCCGGCTGCGGAGAAACCGTCGTCCGCCGCCGCCGCCGCTTCAGTCGACTTTTTGCGGCTGGCGATGCTCGACTACAACCCCCGTCTCCATCACTACTACCGCGACGCGGGCATGTACGCGGAAGATTTTTTTATCGGAAAGACCCTCAAGGCCCGCCAGCGCCGCGCACAGGAGCTGTGTCCAGACCGCCGTGTTACCTTCATCGAGGAAGGCTCCCCCCGCTTCCACGATCTGCGCCGCGGCTATCGCAGCATGATCACCTGGGCCTCGGTGGTGCTGCACCGCTGCTTGCCGGCGGACATGCGGTTCATCGACTACTACTTCCACCACGAGCACCTTTTTAGCGCAAATATCTCGCAGCCGGCGACGATGGATGGCGGGGTCGAGGAGGCCGCGAAGGCGGTGGAGGCGGCGGCGCAGGCGCAGGCGCGGCTCGAGCACCCGGCTACCGACGGATACCAATTCCCTCTCGCGCAGTGGGCGCCGCACGGCACGGTGGAGCGAAACCGGAAGAAGCTTGTTGTCCGGGAAGAGGACGGGGTCGCGGTGTACGACGTGACGTTCCGCCGGTGGGGGTTTGAGCACCTGGTGCGCGGCGGCATCCACTCAGTTCCGCATTATAAAAAGAACACGAAGAAGTACGTGCTGGTGGAGTAAGCGCCCACGGAAGGGCACCTTCTAGGATGAGAAGGAGAAGGAGGAGGGGGGGGGGGAAGGGTTCCAAGGTCACGGAGAAACACAAGAAGCTCCGACGACAACAAATAGTGCTTGAAGTTACGACTCATTGATGGAAGGCGTTGTGAAGAGCTACGTACGTAATTAATATATATAAAACGAAAAAGAAGAGAAGCACCTCACAGGTGAAGTGGACCAATGCTTTTATTTCCAGTCGATGTACATCATAGCGAGCGACGAGAGCCGATCCGGACCGCGCTAACACTGCCGGAGAAAGCGAGAAAGCTGGCGTAGTGCGAAGCAGCCATACGCACGCGTGTACGTCACTGCGTTTGGAGTTCCGTATAAACTGATAATAGTACAACAATAATAATAATAGCAATGATGTCCAACACACACACACACACATCAAAAATCAACAGTAACAAACAAGGGCTGTTGTGATGCACATCTACCGCACCGCATCGACGTCGACGTGCGACGAGCTTTTTCCTCTTCGCCTCATTCACCCGTTGATGCCCTCCCCGCCCCCTTCTCCCTTTCTTCTGCTGTGTGACCCTACAACGCTTTCTCCCTCTCCTTCCTTCTTGTCTCAAACATACCTCCTACATACATAGTGTTCTTCTTCCATTCGTTGCTGTTCATCGTTCTTTTGTTTTTTCCTCTGTCTTCTCTTTTCTCGTTCCTGTCGCATCATTCGCTTTTCTTTCTCCGTATTGTCCTCAACGGTGGCGTTCCGTGTGCAGTGTGTGCGACGCCGCTTCCTTCACAACTGCCATAGAAGCTTCTACCCACGCCCGACGTAGTTCACCTCAGGTCCCTACTATTTTCTATTTTTAGGGTGGCATCTGGTATAGGGAGTATATATTGCCACGAACTAACTCCCAGACCTCTTCTATTATTATTTTTCCTTTTCCCTAGTTAACACCACAGCCTGCGGCAGAACGGCTGGAAGAGGTGTAACGCTTCATGCGTCGTGCGAGCGACTCCGCTTTCTCACGCACACCGACAGCCCGCCTTCTTGCTCTTCCCCCTCGCCCCTTCGCCCCCTCCGTCCCACCACAGTTGCATGGGCGGAACCTCTCCCTCCTCCTTCCTCCCCCGCAGTACCATAAAGTAATAAAGTGCGGAGTTGAATCGAGCACACCCAGCTGCGCACCTTCCCCGCCAAAACGCAAAGGAAGAGTTCGCAGGAGCAGGACGTAGCTACACCCCGCAGCACCGGAGGGGTGATAGATTGAAGCCCACCAATCCCCACATGCGATCTACCAAGCGCCTCGATGCCCCGCACGCGCGGAACCTCACGACGGTGCTCCCGGAGCCTGCCGGCAAACCCAGCGTCGACCTCGACAGCTCTTCCACCGCGTCGGATCGCCTGGTGAACTCCAGCCGGCTCTGCACTCCGTCACTAAAGCTGTCCCTCACGATGTGGTGCGGCTCCCGACGTAAGGCGCGCCGCGTTGTCCTCCCGCTCACGCTGCTGACGCTGCTGACGCTGACGGTGCTGTCATTGTGCGTTGTGAACTGGATGGCGATGACGGACGACGCGAGGTATTCTTGGAACGATGCGGCGGTGCGAGCGGAGGCGGTTGCGTGGAACGCGACTCTGTCAGTGGCGGTGACGCACGAGGCGCCGCTGACGTGTCTCAACAGCCGCCAGCTGGAGCAACTCGCAGGCCGGTGGTGCGTCGGCGACGGTGATGCGGCGGTCGCAGCTGCCGTCGTGGACGCTGCGCGTGGTGGATGCGCTGTGCGACGAGTGCCTGGACAACGCGACGCACGCGGCTGCTGTGGCGCGGCAGCTTGGTGCGTCCACTGCGTCCGCGGACGGCGCGTTGCCCGCTGCGACTGTGTTTGCGACGCCGAGCGCGCCGCTTGGGCTTGCGGGCCCGATGCTGTTTGCGATGGCGAGCGTGACGGACGGCGTAGCTGTTGGCGCTGAGCTTGCGCGGTGGAGCTGGGTGCTGCGGTCGTACGCGGTGCGGCGGCAGTTCCGTGGCGCGTCGCCTGTGGGGCTGAGGGGCGGGACGTCGCCGTACCTCGTGGTGCTTGGGATCCCGTCGACGGACCAGCCGGTGCGGTCGTCGCTGCGTGATGCACAGCGCGACACGTGGCTGTCGTACGCGGAGGTTGCGCGGAGCGGGAACGACTTCCGCGGTGCGCTGCTGCCGCTGTACATCTTCGCTGCTGCGGAGCGCGAGCAGCCGCACGCTGTGCTGGACGTGTCGCCGCTGCTGCCGACGGTGGCGGAGTACGAGGCCGCGTCTGCGGTGCTGCTGAGGCCTGGTAGTGCTGCTGGTGCGGTGCGGAGCTACGCTGAGCGTCGCGTGCGGCTTGCGGTTGATGTTGGCGCTGTGGGCGCCGGTGACGCGCTGCTGGCCGAGTCGCCGTGTGCGGCGATCGTGTCGAGGCCTGCGACGCCCGCTGCGGGCACCGGCGCGGACGCGACGTGGCTGTCGCAGCTTGCGTCTGCGCTGGCGCTGCCGGTGCGTCCCGCCGCTGTGGCGGCCGCGGAGTTCGTGTGCGGCGCGTCGACTGCGCTGTGGCAGGAGGCGTTGGCGCACCGCAACATGGTGTGGGTGGACATGATGACGGACCGGCGCCCGAGCTCGAAGAAGAAGCTGGGCGAGGGTGGCAACTGGGGCCTGCCGGTGGAGGTTGGGATGACGCAGAAAACCGTCCTGTGGCTGGAGTACGCCTACCACGCGTTCCCCGATGTGCCGTACATCATGAAGGGCGACGACGACACGTACCTGAAGGTGCCGCAGTTCATGAGCGACGTCCGTTACATGCGTGCTGGTTTCAAGGGCAAGCGTGTGCGGAGTCCGCCGGAGGTGCGCGATGCGGTGGGCGTCGCGGAGACGGAGGAGTGCATTTACTGGGGCAGCTGGATGCGTGGTAGTCTCTGGAACTACCTACGCTACCACGAAGGCAGTGGGTACATGCTGCACCGCCGTCTGGTTCAGGTGGTGCTGGAGGCGACGGACCGGCTGAATGCGGAGGCGGTGCATCTGGCGGTGACCCCATATAATGAATCCCTGAAAGAGGCGTATGAGGCTCTTGTCATGGACGTTGAGGACGCTTATGTGGGCCGCGTGTTGCGAGACAGGCGGGATCGCATTCGCGAGGTCTGCCCCTTCCACCGCGCCACGTACGTGGAGGAGGACAAGACGCGCCACTTCGATCTGGATAACTACCATTGGGTACGGTATTTCTCCGTGCTGATGCACCACGTCTCCCCCTCTGATCAGTACTTTTTGCAGTACTTCTTCCGACACGAGCACGCGGTGGCCGCGCTGTCGAAGGTGTGCAATGACACAGTGGAGAAGCTAGCGACGGCAGCGGCAAGGCGTTGGATGGCGTTTCATGTGCCCCACAACCTGACGGGGTACAACAAGGTCCCCAAGGTGCGCTGGACCTACAATATGACGCCCATCGACTCCTTCGTCTCCCCGGGCGACAACGTCAGCGTGTACAGCTTACCGTACGTGGCGTTCGCCTTCGATGCACTCGATAAAGCCGTACAATGCGCGACGCCAACGGAGGGGGTCTAACCACACCGACAACCTAGCTGGGCGCCAAGGGAGGGTGGGGGGAGGGGAAGGCGCTGAACGCTCCAGCGAACGGCACGCGTCTTCGCAGGGGCACGCTTTTTTTTCTTTCTTTGGAAGACGGACACTCCGTGGCGTGAGAGCCGCCGCACGCGTGGAAGTTCTGGTTGTGTTTTTGTGGCTCTCTGAGCGTTCGCTGACTAACGCTGCATTGCGTCAAAGCTCTTCTTCATTCTACTACTCTTGCGGCATCCTCCAGATTAGATGTGTGGTGTGCGAGAGTGCACGGCCGATGAAGCGAGGAATGCCAAATGCCGTCCACCGCCGTCGTTCCACGATACTTTCTTGTTCGTGTGTGTGTGTGTGTGTGTGGGTGTGAAGTACAACTGTGTTTCTCTGAAGAGCTGACTGCCCCGCGACGCGCTATGCTGGTGCACCTAACATAGACGCTGCAGCGCCGGACACTTCTTCTGTTTTTTATCACGTGATCAGTGCGTGGCCTTATTATCCTTGTCTTCCGCCGCCGTTCGCACCAGAGCCTCCGCTCATTCTTGTTGCTCCGGCTCATCTGAGACTGTGCGAAGGAAAGCGCGACTTAGCGTGGTGCCGAAGGCTGTGACGCTCTTCTGAAGCAAGCAATGGGCTAATGGTCAACTTGTGCAGTGCTTCGTGGCGGAAAGGGGAAAGGGGCGACGTTTGACTTCCCTGGCAGTGCTCCTCCTTCTGGTGACCTTACCGCACGCTCCGCGAAGGTCTGCATTTTCTGCCCCGCTTTTCTTTCCGTTTATAATTGGCCTTTTCTTTCTTTCTGAAAGTGCGCGACAGGAACAAGCACGTCGGGAGAGGCGTCGAACGCCGTGCGGTGTACACTCTTCCTTTCTCGTCCCTCCCCCCCGCTTCTCGGCGACCCCTCGCCAGAAGAGGCCCGTTTGCTTGTCTCCCGCCGTCCCGGCCCTTTGCCAACCCCACGAGGCGGAAGTGCAGGCGATCCGAGTCCGCAGGAAACTTCCCTTCCCGCACCGTCTCTCAATTACTAAAAAAAAAAAACCGTGCCTTGAGGATAATCTAACCATTTTTTGTTTGTTTTGTTTAAACAACAACAATAAAAGACCGGTGTATGAGATGTAAAGGATATCCGCTTTGTATGTGACTTTTCTTTTTGTCTTCTTTCCCCGCTTCCTTGTCGCCTCTCTGCTTGTGGAAGTAGCCGACTAAAGATGCTCCGATGTGTTTCGATTGTTACTGATGGTGCTTGCGTCACGAGGGTTAATGCTCAGCTTGTTTTCTCTTTTTGTTTTGTTCCTCTCTTGATCGCCCCTTTTTTTGTTTTTCCCGAACCGCTTAAGCTCGTCTTTAATTTCATTTTGTTTCCTTTCGAAGTAGCTGCAGTAGAACAGTATGGCTATTATTATTACTACTATTATTATTATGGTAATTCATGATACCTCTCTCTGTGACTCACTCTACTGTTTCTTCAAAGCCGGAGCGAGGAATGATTGGATGTATGGATGACAATGGGAAGCGAAGCGTCTCCGTGATCCGTTGCTCTAACCATCTTTCCCCTTTCTCCTCTTTCCCAACGATCGTCTTCAGCTGTCGGTAATTCTTCTTTCTTTCTCTTAACTCCCACCTAAATGTAGTCCACAAGTGCGTACCACGTTAAACTGCCAGACCGACGGTCCACTCCTCGCACATACAGCGGAAGAGTGGGCGGCCTTGGAGAGGGCACTACGAGAGGTTTTTCAAATAGCGGTCGGCGGCCTCGTTAAACCCGGCAGCGAGAAAGGAGGACGGTGGCCCCCTATGCCTTCCACGCTGAGGCTTACGTGCAAAACGACTCCGTCTTGGTGAGCACTCCGGAAGGGGCGCTTCTGCTGTCCAACGCTCGACTAAGCATGTGCGACTTCGCAGTATCCCCGACATGGTGACGTGTTGGAGTAGTGTTACATGCAGCACTGCCGCCAGGGAGGCAGACTTCAGGGCTGAAGACGCACAACGAACGGCCGAAGCGCTCATTTCGGTGAAGGACGCAGAAGCCGATGTGCGCATTCTCAACGACAACATCGCCTTTTTGCAAAAAGGAACTCGACTGCGAGCTTGGGCGCGGCACCGAGCTGACGGCCATGCGGAATCAGCTCCTCGGTGACGTCAATAGCCTTCGCGGTGAAGTGGTGGGAGCTCATGGCGGACCTTAAAAATCGGTCAGACGCAATGGGAATGGGCGATCTCCAACCTTGATACGGTACGACGGGAGCGAGACGCTCTGAGGAACGAGAAAGAGTCGTTGGCAAAGGATTGGACAGCAAGCCAGTACAAGCGGGAGGGCGTTACCGGACGGACGTGACGCTTTTCAGAAAGAGCGAGGCAATCTTCTAGAGGGGCGCGACGCCCGCTGTCAAGAGCGCGAGAGACAATTCCCGGGGAGACGAGGAGCTTAAGCGCAGAGGCAACGCAGCTTAAACTACACCCGCATCAACGGAAGCTGCTCAAGCAGGGCCGATCCCTGTTTCTGACGACTCTTCGGAACCGAGAGAAGAGCAGGAAGTTATTGGCGTCGCCGCAAGACGAGCGCGTGACCGAGAACTGGGACGTCCACTCACGCCGCGTACATCCCCGCCGTCGCCGCCATCACCAACTCAGCAGCTCGCGGGGGCTAGGTCGAGAGAGTCGTTTCAGCCTGTACGGTACGCACAGTACCAGGCCTCCCCGCAGGAGTCTGCACCGGCATTCCCCTCAGCTTTTCCGCCGTACGTGAAAACAAACCCTGCACCAGTCAGGCGTGAGGAAGTCAAAATTGGTTTTGCTCACTCGCCAGCCCGACCAACAACTCCCGCTCAGCGGATGCCTCTCACACACGTGTCGCAGCGTCGGATGACGGCAGATGGACTCGTTGATTTCCCAGAGGGGAGGGGGGGGGGGGCAGGGCAGTCTACCGAGTGAGTCGGGCGACAGGAGGGCCACCACGATGACGACCGGTCGTTGGAAGACGGTCATGACTCCGGATTATCCTGTGACGTCCCCCGATTTCTACGAAAGGTCCGGGGGCAGTGGGCAACTACAGCGCCTTCATGACGACCGCCATGACAATGGCTCCCGCTACCGCTGTTGATACTCTGACGCTAGCCGTCCCTCACACGATGACTTTCGCGGTGAAGTGATTGAAGCGCTTGATGGAGTTTTACCTCCGATTCCGCTGCAGTGATGACACGGATGCCTTTGAAGTGCTGGGATGGGAGATGTACTACCTCCTTCGCGACGTTCTCTTCCTCTCCACTCACCCCAAGAGTTTTGATTTGAAGGCCGTACGTCATCATGTGTACGGCGAGGTGAGTGAAGATCACAACGGCGCGATCGTTCACCGATGCATGGGGCGCCGGTACGCAGAGTGTTGGCAAACCACCTCACGACATTATCACGGCCGCCAGCTGCCCGCACATTGTTCGATCCACACTGGCATCAAGAGCGCCTCATCGCACGCAAATCCCGGTTTTACAACCTCGCTGTCTCCAGCAATCACCTGTGTAATAGTGTGGGGGCGGTTCCGGGCTAACGCGGAAGCCCATTGGCAAGCGAGTGAGCTGCACCAGTGTACCCTCTGACGTCCGGCACCGGAACCACGAGCGCCACACTAAAGGAGGTGGCAACTGAAAGAAAATGGCTTTAAGGTAGATCAACCCGGCGCTTCCTTGTGCATGTCTTTCAAATGGTGGGAGATATCTGTCAACGGCACACCCGGCTCGTACGCGTCATGCGAGTCCTTGTCCTCGGTAGCCCCAATAGAGTCAAAGCGGCGTCTCGTCGGACCGTTCATCCGTTCCAAAATGCGGTCCGGGTTCAGCGGCGCAACGCCTACCTTCTGCAGCGGCAACGTCCGTGTCTGCTGCATCGTAGCGACTCGTGTATCTTTATGTTGCCTTTGAAGAGCGTGGCGAAAGGCGTGCTTCACTGAAGCTGCCTCCGGTTCAATCCATGCTGCATCCCAAGTTACTTGGACGGCAGGAAGGGTTGTGCCATCAAAGCCGTGGTTGCCAGCGTACCTGTCAGCAGAGCCGTGTGCGCTTTCAGGTAATGGACCGTACTGCGAGGCAACGCTTCTGGGTTGTCCCCGCGTTCCCCCAGGGTCGACAGTCGGTTTGGGCCCGCGGGCTTCTGCGCCATCTGCTGGAAGATCTTCTTGGCTACGTGCTCCAGCGCCCCGCGTTTGATGGAGTGCGCGGTGTAGCCGTAAGGCTCCAAGACCATTCCCATCTGCGCTGTGGTGCTCTGCGCCATCGGCTCGTCTTCCAGCGGGAGTGTCTGCAAGAATTCCCGAAGGACCCCGGCATCTTTCCCGCCCGATCACCACGTAGCGGTCCGGCCGGTCCGTCTCGCTCTTGAGCGGCTTTGGAGAATACCAAAAAGTCGACAATCAGGGAGGGATGGGCCCACCATGTGCGCCAGGAAGGCGGATGGCGGAAGAAGCTCCACGTCCGACCATCTGCTGGCCGTCAGCCAAGCCACCTCGAAGCAGTAGCGCGTCGCGAGTCGTCTTGATGGCTTTCCGGATGCGCAGATAATCGTCGTAGGTCATGGCTTTTGCCTGACGTACCGGCGTCACTGCCTTTTCTTCCCTCAGCCCTTTCCTGTACATCTCCAGCATATCCGCTGGTTTGTCCACACAGCGCTTCAGGATCCCGGCATACTGCAGAGCGCTGGAGGGTTTGAGGTGCAGCGACCCCACGAAAAGAGCGATCGACTGGTGGTCCGATGGCAGCTGATGCGCAGTCGGAAAACGCACATATCGTGTGAGAACCGGTGTACGCTGGGACCAGGTCTGAGGTTCCCGAAGTTTTCAACGCCGCTTCGTTGACTGCTGCAGCTATCTTTCTTCGTTCGGGACTGCTCAAGTCGTCGATCGGTATCGGTTCCCGGCTTATATGTTTTTTTCACGAGTTCGTGTTGGGGGTTCCCCATTTCTTCTGCGGCCTCCTTAAGGACCGGAGGAGACCTCGGGCCGTCGTCGCGGGTGCATCGATTTCCAAATTGGTGGTAGTAGTAGTATCGGCCATCGAGGCCGTTGCACCTGCTGCGCGGGTTCGCACCTTGACCGCGCGGTGAACAGCGGAGCCGCGTAGAGTGGGCGTTGTGGTGACCGCGGCACCGTGGCCGACTGAGTCGTCTCGGTGACGCTGCAGGTGTGCCCGCCCTTTGTGTGGGACAGCATGGGGTCAACGGCTGCTCCTGCGACCCCCACGGGCCTCTACTGGCCAACCATTCATGCTTTTTTGATTGGCTGCTTTCCCTCGTTTTTTTTTCTGAGCTTTGCGTATAAGGACTGCGTTGAGGGGCGCCCCGCACGCCAACCGTAAGTACGCTTCTGCGTACCGGCGCCCCATGCATCGGTGATCAATCGCGCCGTAGCAGCCGTCGCCCACCTCACCGTCCACATCGTGACGTAGAGCCTTAATGTCCAAACTCTTCGGGTGAGTGGAGAGGAAGAGAACTTCGTGAAAGAGGTAGTACATCTCCCATCCCAGCGTTTCAAAGGCATCCGAGTCATCACTACAGCGATATGGACGGTTGATTGTTATTCTGCTGTGAAACTGGTCCGACGCTGATTGCCCCCAGCTCCATCGCGGTCGTATCGCAGAGACAGACCCCGCGCGCCTTTCCGCTTTCTCGGGTTTTTTTTTGTGTCGGCGGCGGTTCCGCCATGCTTTTAGGGAATTTGCCTGTGGTGCCTTCCCTGGCATCCAACGCCTCCTCGGTGCTCACTACGGACGCATCTTTAGAAGGATGGGGAGCGCGTTGCTTTCTCTTGGTATTGGCGAAATCGGCTCCACCGGTGGTATTTGGAGCTCGACGCCGCCGATGATTGCGTCGGCCGCAATGAGAGCCGTTTTGTTTGGCTCAAAAGCCTTTGCTCACCGATTGGAAGGACACGTTGCTATAGGGGTGGATATCACCACGGTGCAGCATTCTTTCGCCAAAAATCAATAAAAACCACGAAGTCTCAGGTCCTACTACCTGAGCTTCAACGAGCGCTCCACTTGCTCCCGACGCTTCATCTTTTTGCGTCCGTCGCTTACGTGCGGTCGGCGGACAACCCGGCAGGCGCGCTATCAAGCCGTCACCTCCTGTCTAGGGGAAAAACTATCGAAGGGCAGCTTTGGAGGCGGATCTGTAAAAGAAAGCTACCGCTTCGCTAGTAATCCCAAAACGTCAAAAATAGAATGTATGGTACTTTCTCAGAAAACTCACCGGTGCTTAAGAGTTTCTTACCTCCTGTACTTTAAGATAGAATAATGATTGTGCTCTACGGGTTGAATCATCTTCTACCCAACCTTTACTTCCAACCTATTTCCCCCCGTTCACCCTTCTCTACCTAAATCATCTTCGCTTATTCCCCTACGCAGCTGTTGCGTGCCGTGTGGGCCACCGCAGCCGCATCGCGCTTTGTGGACGGTGGCACCCTCTCCGCCCCCCACGAGCGTCTCTCGAAAGACCTCGGCGCCGTTGCGACGCGGCGGTGTGCTGAATGGCACGGCAGCGAAGCCCTCCGCGTACGCCGCAGCCGCGGCAGCCGTGGCCGGCGGGGAGGACGTGGCGCGGATCGCCGTGGTGTCTTCGGGCTTCCCTCCTCATCCCCATCGGCTGGCGGACCTTCCCTCCCTCCCTGCCACTGCCCGGCAGCCACCGCCGCGTGCAGCAAGCGCAGGCTAACAGCGACGGCCCGTTCGCATTTGTGCTGCTGAGCCGTGGTGACGCAGCGGTGCCGGCTGCTGCTGCGAGACCACCCTTTATCGTTGCCGGATGAGGCGTCGCGCGCAGCCGGCACCTGCACCGGCAGCCACCGTGAACGCGTCTCCTCGTGTGTTGGTGTGCTGCTGCTGAACGGCTGCTGCGCGCGTTGTGCAGCGCGACGTGCTGACGGTGCGGGCGACCGTTGGCGGTTGTTCTGCACCGTGGTGTGCGGCCACGGCCCGCCGCGTGTGAGCGGTGACGAGGGCATGACCGCCTCCGAGGTGTCCGCGCCGTGCTCGACGACGGTGCAGAGGTGTGAGCGCTCGCGGCGTGTGGTGCTGCTCTCGTCGCTTCGTATTGCTGGCTGACACGTCTGCGCGTGCAAACGGAGCTGTGCGTGTGCGTGGATGTGCGCCCCCCAATGCACGCTCGCCGTTGGCCTCTGTTTGCGTGTGCTGTGTGGGCTTTCTCTTCGGTGCCCTTACCGCCTCCTCTCTGCCGTGAGCATCTGCTTTCCGTGTGCTCTCTCACACGGCTGGTGGCGCGGCGCGAGTTCACGGAAACGGTGCGCGCGCGCTGCCCGCTTTTTGTCTCCGCCTCGCCGCAGCACCCAGCAGACGGTGTGTGTCTCTGCGTCTCTCTTGGAGCTGAAAGGCGTGTGTGTTGCCCGCCCCCGCACGTACACACGCAGGTGTCTTTCCTCTCCTCTCCTCTCCCCCTTCGGTGTGCTGCACCACCGTGCTCTTTGGCCTCCGTCGCGGTAGCGCTGCTTCTTGCGCCATCAGCCCTTTTCGTGCGTAACGTGTGGAGCTCCTCGCACCGCGTTCCCTCTTGCTTCTCCGCTTTTGTTTATGTGGCGGGTGCGCGTCCTCCCCGTGCAGACGCCGCCCGCCCGCCGTTGCACTGGTCCATGTGCGGCGTCACAGCAAGTCCTGTGCTCCCAACGTGCTCACAGCCGACGGTTGTGTCCGGGCTGTTCTAGGTGTCCGCTGCGTCCCACTGGAAACCGAGTCCGATTGACCGCTGCCCTGCGAAGCGCACCGCCGCCTGCGTAGTTTCTCGAGGCGCTGCTGTCTTGCTGCGGTCTCAGTGCTGCGGCCTCTGGAGCCGCGTGGGGCTGCACGGCGACGGGCTCACGGTGCCGATCTGCGGATGTCAGCCCCTGGCACCGCAGCCTTTGCCGACGGAGCGTCGAGACGCCTGCCCGCACCTTTTTCTTTTCCTCCGTGCCGCTCTCCGCGGTGGACGCTCCTCTCCCGGCCACTGCTGCTGACTGAACTCCCGCTTCTCGCTTCTCGCCTCCCGCTTCTATCTTCTCTTCTGCCTGCGCTCTCCGTGTGTGTGCCGTACGAACGGCGGCCGCCCGGCTTTAACGACAGACCGCACAACGCCGCTTTCACCAGCTTTCTTGTGTTTTCGCCACCAACGAATCTTTAATATTTTAGCCCTTTTTTTCTCTTTTGCTCCTCTCTGCCTTCTTTTTCCTTTGCGAGGTCCGCTGCGCGCACCACTCGAAGCCCGAACCGACAGCGGCGCAGACGACTCTGTGGCCGGCGCCCTTTCCGAACGCTTTGCGGATAAATATCCTCCCCTCTCGCTTTGCTTTCGTTTCCTCTCGAACGTAGCCCGCTCTCTTGGAACATCTTTTTACTTTGTTTATCTTTCGCAGCTGACGCATCTACGCGATCAAAGCGCAGCCGGTGAGACCGCCGACTGAAATTCTGATCCGTCCTTCTTCTTTTTCTTTTCCTCTTCCAGGCTGTCTTCTTTTGTACGTGGTGGCTTGCTCCGTTTGGTTGCCCCACGTACCCACCCCAAACCGATGTCCACCAACTTCCTTCGGCACAGCGACCGGTGCCAAGGAGGCGGGAGCGGCGGACCCCTCCGTGGCTGCTGTGCGCGCCGTCGCCGCTCACCCGGTGCGAAGAGCCGCCGCATCTTTTTCTTCCTCGGCGTCGTCGTTGCGCTGTGCTGTTTGTTGTTCTGTGTGCCTGACGCATCATGCGTACCAGTGCGTGCTGCCAGCTCCACGGCGTCCGGCAGCGGCACTGAGCCCGTCTATTTGCTCAACATGATGCATCACGCGGATCCACAATTGAATTCCAGCGCCAAAATTATCTGGACCGGCATGGACGCTGCTTTTTACGCCTCCGGCTACACCGTTGGCGGCAAGCGTCCCCTCGTCATTGTCGAACCCGACAGCAGCGCCAACCTGTCCGACGTCGCCGCGGTGATTGCACAGGGCCTGGCGGACCACCCTACGCTGTTGGGCGTCTTGGGGCCCTACTCGGACGCCTCAACGATGGCCGCGCTGAACAGCGACGTGGTGAAGGAGAACCATTTGGTGTTACTTGCTCCCTTCACGGGGTCGTCGACCGTGCGTGTGTGGAACCCCCACGCGTTCTTCATCCGTGCTGAGCCGCTCGCCGAGTTGAAGGTGATCATGGCATACGTCGTCTACACCCTCCGTGCGAAGCGCATCGCGTTCATGTACCTAACGGACGCCGACTACGGTGATGCGGAGTATCACGAGGTGCAGGGGATGCTGAGCTATCTTGAGCGTGACCCGGCCGTCGTGTACTCCGTGGAGTACTCTGCGGCGGACTCCGCCGTGAACCGTGCCGCTTTTGACGCCATGGCGGACACACATCCGCAGGTGGTGATTGTGTGGGGTATTCCGAGCCTACAAACGTCTGAGTTCGTGCGAGAGCTCATGCTGGACCCGCGTACGTCGTCCGCAGCCATCATGGGCTGCTTTGCACTGCAGAAGACGCTGTACGAAGCCTATACCAACGTGACTGCGAGGGAGGGATCCAATAAGCACGACCACCAGATCTTCAGCAGTGCCATCGCGCGCTCACCGACGGACGACAACACCAATATCACCCACATGGCTCTCTTTCAGAAAGAGATCGCCCACTACCTCGTGCACTCTGGCCGGAGTTCCAACAGCCTGCTGAACGGTTCGCGCTCCTCGGACGCACTGAACAGCTCCGCGGATCTGCTGAGCGCAGCTAAGGCTTTGTTTACTGATGATGCCGCTCCCGGTCAGGTGACTGTGTCGGGGTGGCTGGCCGGCAAGGTGATCCAGCGCACGCTTGAACGGGTCGACTGGATTACGGACCGTGCCACCTACCAGACCGGGCTGTTTGACCAGAACCGCTTTGTCGTCGGAGGCGACGCCGTCTTCGGCGACTACGGCGGCACCTGCGACGCCTTTGCCGCTAAAACGGGTGCGATGTGCAACTGCAACCAGGGCGGCCACACCGCTGTACTCTCACGTCTCACAAGCGGGGCGCTGTGGACTGTCTTGGACACCGTCTTCACCTACTCGCAGGCGGTGTGCTACTCGACTGATGCTAATTTGCCCAAACCGCTGAGCGTCCTGACTTTTGCCTTGACCGACCACGGGAAGGTGGTGGACCCGACGGGCCGTATCAGCAGCATCGTCCCCCTAACGATGGACTTCCTGAACACGACGGAGCTCTCGCTGAGTATGGCCGTCTTGAATGCTTCGACAACGACGCAGCAGGCGGTGCTGGATGCGGAGGTGAGCGAGCACACCGTGGACGTGCTGATGGGCCCTATGGCGGGCGGTCTTGAAATGGGCGATTTGCTGGTCGTCGAGCCTATCTTCGCGCACGGGCGCCGGGTCATTGAGAAGAGGAGCTTTATCCGCGTGATGCCGACAGTGGCGCAGGAGATATACATACTGTACTCTAATCTTCCCACCATCGCTGCGGTGACGGGCGTGGCGGCGGAGCTGCATGTCGTGGTACGCGGCTTTGTCGACCTGGAGTCGGCGCAGATGGCGGATGTGCTGAGCAGGACCGCCGACACGTTTGGCTACAGCGACCCGACCATCACTAGCGTGGCGATGGACGATGACCTGACCAGCGCCTTTTCCACCAGCGGCGTTAACTGCTTTCTCGGCTTCACCGACGGGGATCCATCGACCATCGCGACTTTCCTCGCTACCAATCCGTCCGCGATCATCGTTGCCGACTTCAAAGAGTTCAGCCGCTGGCACTATATGCTCCTGCCGCCCTTTTCGAATTTGGAGCCATCCGTGCGGCGCCGCTTTTTGACGTTCGCGAACATGCCGCTGTGGTCGGACACGTCTGACGATGCCCACGCCGCCTCCCCGTTGCTGGCCGCGTTTCATGAGATGCTGCCCGATCCTGCCAACCACACGCCCGCGCATTTGGAGAACATGATCTCCGCCGGTTTTGTAAAGCAGCTGACGGTCGCCACCAACGTGATCAACTCCGCCAACCTCGTCGATACCCTCTACCGCAAAGGCACGATGACCTTCTATGAGATGGACTTCGGCAAGTTCGAGTGGTCGTGCAGCACTACCACCGCGGGGGAGACGTGCATGCACAACAACAATGGTGCGCGGAGCATCGTGGTGCTGTCGATGGAGCGCGTGCTCGACCCGAAGGTGCCCGTGACGGTGGAGGCCACCACACCCTCCATGATCTACACCACGACGCGTCACGGCGACAACAAGCTGTCCCCTGCGAGCTTGGCGGGCGTGATTGTGGGCAGCGTCATGGGGGGTCTGCTGCTTATTGGCCTCGTCCTCGCGTTTGTGTTTTGCTGCCTTGTGGGTGTGCGCAACAACGACGCGGCACCCAAGATGGTGGACGAGCCGGTGACCATCGTGTTCACGGACATTGAGAGCAGCACTGCGCTGTGGGCCGCGCTGCCGCAGCTGATGCCCGAGGCGGTTGCTGCGCACCACCGCGTGATTCGCCTGGCCATCAGCAAGCACAAGTGCTACGAGGTGAAGACGATCGGCGACTCGTTCATGATTGCCTGCAAGGACGCCCACTCCGCGGTGAAGCTGGCAATGGATATCCAAACGAAGCTGCTGGAGTACGACTGGAAGACGAGCGAGATCGACGATGCGTACCGCGACTTTGAGCTGCAGCGGGCGCAGGAGGCCGGCGGAGAGCATCCGCACAGTGCGCAGCTGAGCCGCGACGCGTACGAGGTCCTGTGGAACGGCCTGCGTGTGCGCATGGGGATCCACACCGGGCTGTCGGATATCCGCCTGGACGAGGTGACACGCGGCTACGACTACTACGGCGAAACGTCGAACATGGCGGCGCGCACCGAGGCCATCACGAACGGCGGGCAGGTGGTCGTGACGGAGGCGACGTGGTGGGCGCTGTCCGACGCCACACGCGAGCAGCTCGACTCCACTGATCTGGGTGCGCAGAGGCTGCGCGGGGTGCCGCATGTGGTGAAGATGTACCAGCTGAATCCCGTTGTGGGCCGCCAGCACGCGAACCTGCGAACGGAGATCGAAGCGGTGCTGCCGGACAACGCCACGACGACGACGGAGACCAACACCCTCGACGATCCGACGTCGTCGCACACGAACATGTCGTGCACGGCTGCTGCTGTGTCCTTCGTGCTGGCGAGCTGCTTCTCCACCTACCCGCCTGCGCAGCGCATCCGTGAGCTGCAGCCGCTGCTGGCGAAGTGGAGTGTGCCCGCCCCGCCCCGCCACAGCGGGATCTCCGCGGAGGACTACTGCCAAGGCCTCTTAAATCGTCTGGCGGTGCGAGTGGGCCGCGTGACGGAGGCCCGGCTGCGGCGGAACGGGGGTGACAACGGTGCGGAGTCGAACCTGCTGAGCTCTGTGGGCGGCACGGCGGGTGGGCCGCGCATCTCGCTGCCACTTCGCAGTGGCAGCAACGCCCATGAGCCGGAGCACTGCGAGGATGCGCCGTCGCGGCTGAGGGACCGAGCCACGATGGGGGACTTCCACGGGTTCTTTCGGCCCACGGAGACGCAGCGTTCGTCGTTGCGCCCGCCGAGTGAGCGAAGGTGTCGGGGCGGCAACCCCCTTCAGACGCAGGACGAGCCGATGGTATTCGATCTGAGCTGGAGCCGAAATGGAGCTGCAGACGACCGTGCAGAGATACCGGAGCCTGTGGTGACGAATGCGGCTGGGGCGGGCCGCCTGACATGACGTGTGCGCCGTTCAAGTGCTGGGGATGCCGTGCCGCCGACCGGCCTCGGATGGGTGAAGGGTGAGCGAGTGCCGCGCGACCACCCCGTCCTTCTTCTTCTTTTTACTTTGCTCAAAATCGTTTGGGAAGGTATGTAATGGGTTTCCCATGTTGTTTTCTTTGCTTAGGCACTGAGACATGTATTAATCTTTTCTTCTCTTTTCAGCGGATGTACTCACGTATGTAACTTCGCTGTGTGGCCACGGGGAGCGCGCCATGGATCGTCACGCACCGTGTCCCACAGCTCCTCTCTCCTCTCCTTCCCGCCGTGCTTTGAACACGGATAGCGTTTTCCTGTCAAACTGCATGCTCCGCGCAGCTTCTCCCGCCCAGCGTGTGTACGTGGAGAGGTGGCGACGCACCTTCCTTCTGCCTGCTCCCCATTTGCGGCGTCTCCGCAGCCGCCTGCTACGTGTCTCCTTCAACATCCACACTGCGGCTGAGACGCTTCACACGCAAACGCACACGCGAGCTTCGCGACACCTGCAGCGATGGTGCATGCTTACTTTCCAACGGCTCCGTTGGTGCTTCAAAAACTTTTATTTGATGTCAAGAGGTGGCGGACGCAGTGGTGCCACTCTTTTTTTGTGTGTGTGTGTGTCTTTTCGTAGAAGAAGAAGCGGCAACGAGATAACTCGTAACCGATGTTTTTGCTTTCACCTTGAATGATGTGCTGCTCTCCAGCACGACGCAACTCCGTTCCGTTGTGCCCAGTGGGAGCGATTCCTTTTTTATTATTTATTTTGTTTCGCGCCAAATGTGTCTCGTCGTGACGACGCTGTGATTCCGGTACCCACCTGTGTTCCCTCTGACTCTGGCACGCGTGTGCGGCGTCTTCCCTCTTCAAAGAGTTGTTGCCGCACCGCTCCCGCATGAACACTCGTGCAACACGTCCGGCGTCGCTTCGTGTCTGAACGCACGCAGATCGGTAAACGTGTTTTTGTTTTCTTCTTTCTTGTTCAGTAATATCTTAAATGATCTCTTTATTACTATTACGCTGTATTCGCTGACGGCACACTCATGTAGAACTATTAGCGTGCCCTTTTGTATTTCGCACACCCGGAAGAATGCGTTGTGTTATGCATTGTAGAAACCATTACTCTGCTGGGTGTGCGCGCACGTGCGGTGGCGCGGGTGTGCGTGTGCGGGTCCTGCCTGCACGCTGCGAACGCACACGGCGCCGCACGATGCGACTGTTTGGGTCTGACGGAAAGTGTGTGATACTGTTGAGCTGAAAACGAAACAAAGCCAATGAGAGGCAGCTGCGCTTGCCGCTGCTGATGACGGGTTGTGTTGCGCTTGATGGCGGCTGCAGCGGTGCGCCGCGTTGCACTGCCGTTGTTTTTGCTGCGCGTGTGTGCGCTGCAGAGCGCGGGCGCAGGGAGTCGGAACTGCTGTGTGCCAGTGGCCGCGGAGAAAGCGACGACAAATGCGTCCTTTCGATGAGCGTTGGCGCTGCATCCTCTTCCGGTGATGGCGCTACAAGGAGAGGAGCGGCTTGTGCCGGCGTGCACCGCCACCCCTCTGGTGCCTGCCTAGCGGACCCGTACTACGATCGCCTGTACTCTGTCCCCAATCCTCGCCTGGCCGTGTGCTGCGGCTTCTCCCTCTCCTTCTTTCTTGTGCCGCCCTTCCCAGCGTCGTTGGTGCCGCTGCGCTCACACCGTGCCGTGCGTAAACACTGCTGGAGCGACGTGCGTGCACAACACTTGATCTGTTTCTCCACCATTTACTCTGTTGTTTCTTCAAAGCCGGAGCGAGGAATGATTGGATGTATGGATGACAATGGGAAGCGAAGCGTCTCCGTGATCCGTTGCTCTAACCATCTTTCCTCTTTCTCCTCTTTCCCAACGATCGTCTTCAGCTGTCGGTAATTCTTCTTTCTTTCTCTTAACTCCCACATAAATGTAGTCCACAAGTGCGTACCACGTTAAACTGCCAGACCGACGGTCCACTCCTCGCACATACAGCGGAAGAGTGGGCGGCCTTGGAGAGGGCACTACGAGAGGTTTTTCAAATAGCGGTCGGCGGCCTCGTTAAACCCGGCAGCGAGAAAGGAGGACGGTGGCCCCCTATGCCTTCCACGCTGAGGCTTACGTGCAAAACGACTCCGTCTTGGTGAGCACTCCGGAAGGGGCGCTTCTGCTGTCCAACGCTCGACTAAGCATGTGCGACTCCGCAGTATCCCCGACATCGTGACATGTTGGAATACTTATTCATGTCTTCGTTGATGTGGAGATTCGGAGAAGGGGAGGAAGAAGGAACATGATTCTTGATGGCGCCTTTTTTCGCATGCATGCACAGTAACGCCGTTTCCCCCAACACCGCAGTGTCTTCCTCCTCGGATGAGTGGTGTATCTTTTCCAGGAAACAAATTTATAAGGTTTTTGATTTATAAGGGTTTTGAACGCGGGAGAAGTACTTGCGAAGTGGCAGACGCCTTTTCGGAGTCCGCCCCTAAAGCTCCCAGTCGCAAGTTTCTCCCCTTCGCCAAATCGGTGGCAGACCCGGCCTGGCCGCGTGAAAGGCCGTCAGCTGGTTTGTCCGCCGATCTGACATACGCGTACGACGCCTCCAAAGCGAGGTGATGGAACAAATGTACCACCCGCCGTAGCTCATGTTGCATAGCCTGGGACTTGATGCGACGCTTCGACAGCGTATGCTGTACCGTTGTATTGTCTACTCGGATAGCCACTTGACCATAGAAGCGGTGGCCGAAGGCACGCAGAGCGTAATAAACAGCGCGCATCTCCGCGGAGGCGGTGATGGGCGGCATTACCTGCCATCGCCCTCCAGTAGCCGCGATCTCCTCATTAAAAAGGAGAAACAGCGCCCCCCCCCCCTACCATCCTTCCATGGATGCGTATGTCATCATCACCGCTGCCGGCCGTTGGTGCACAGGCGGAGATACCGGAGCATTGGCCAGCACGCGGCGAAACCAATCCTGAAAAAGGCCCACCGCCATCAGGGTAAGGGTGGTGGAATCGCTGATCTTCAAAAATGTCTCGGTTCAACTGCGACAGGCGGAGGCGCGCAGTTTTGAGGGCGAGGTAGTCATCAACGACGAAATTTCGGAGGATGCTCGACGCGTACAGCAACTCGGATTCGAAATCGCTCCAGATCCGCTGCCGTCATTTTCAACCGCCGGCGGTGTTTCTTTCGGGTGACGGATGAACTTGTCACTCATCATCACTGTGCGATCGGCATGGTGGAAACCCACACCCCGAAAGGTGTAGGGATCATCGAGTACTTGACTGTCGCCCGATGGTCGCTCCAACGGCCGGTGCAGTCTGTATTGCCAACCGAAACCAAGTCATCACATCCTCACTAGAGCCAACTGCTCGCACGTTGTCGATCCATGTAGTGATCCTAACGCCCACCGCATGTGCGAACTGCGGTAGAACAGCTTCTGCATCTCCCGCCAAAACCCGCGTGACTCTGTGCAGGGGCTCTGGACTTACCCTGTAGCCCATCGACAACCGGGCTAGCTGCACCTGTTGTCCCTCGGGACGTCCGGCAGCGAAACAGGCATCGCCATGCTGGCGGCAGCGGCAGCTGGGGAGAGAAAGGACGCCTTGAGGTCGATCAGCCCTGCGGCGCTGGTGCATAGACGGCCGGTAAGTGGTGGGAGACTTGAGCCAGCGGAACGACCGGGTCGTGCGCGTCGCTGGCGTTCTTCGCTTCTGTCCACGCAATGAAGCGTCGCCGAATGCCACCTTCCTTTTCTTCTACGACCGTGAAGGGGCGGAACCACCCTCGAGTCTTCTGCGCGTCTGCGTCTGCCAAGATGCCAGCATTGATCAGCCGAGTCGCGTCTGTTTCGCAAAAAACGTGCCTGTCGGCTCCGCGCCCTGCGTGTGCGGCTCACCCCCGATGGTGTGCCAGACGTCGCCAAAGCGACTGCGCGTGGCGGAGCTCATACGTGCCACGACCGCGTCCAGGTTCATTCGGTGAGGCGTCGACCTTCAGTAACGGCAGCGTCAGCGTCTGCTCCTGTGAGGCCACCCGGCCAGTCTTGTGTCGCCGGGTGAGTGTATGGCGAGAACCCCCCGGGCAGTTTGCACGCCATTTCCGGCGGGACCCATGGATCCTCCATTTCGTGTGCAGCGTCGGTGCAAAGGCTCGAGACATCACTTTGCGTCATTGTCTCCGTGCGATTCAAAAGTACCGAGTGCGGCCCCGATGTAGCCGGGTGGTGCTGCGAGAGAAAGGCCTCCGGATTGTCCGCGTGCTTTCCCAAAGTGGTGACCGTGTGCAGACCTGGTGGGGTTGCAACCGCCGTTGTTTGGTAGGTGTGCGTCGCCGCGTGCACCAGCGCTCTTCGTTTGATGGAATGCGCCGAGTGTCCGTACCTCTTCAGGAAACTGCACATCCGCTGGGTAGACATCGTGGCCACTGGAGAATTCTTGTCGGGCAACTTCGCCAGCGCCTGACGAATGATCGCGGCATCTGGGGTTGGTGATCGTGACGTACCTGCCCTGCCTGTCGGGGTCCACCTTGAAGGTCTACGTGTGGAACGAGAAATCGACGATGAGTGCCATCGGATCCACCATGTGGTCCTTGAATGCCGCGGCGGGTAGCATCTCCACAACCGCCCAGCGACTCGCCGTGAGCCACGCCACTCAAAACATCACGGCATCCCGTTCGTTGGGAATCGCCGGCAGGATCCTTTGGTAGTGCTCGAACGTCATCGGCGTCGCCTGGTGGATGGGGGGGGGGGGGGGTCATGGCCTTCATCTTGCGGAGCGCCTCGGCAAACATCTGGTCAAGGTCGAGCGGTTTCGCCAGGAACCGGTGCAGAATACCGTAGTACTGTAGTGCGCTGGAAGGGCTGATGTCCAGCGTATACAGGAAGGCAGCTACGGTGCTTGGAGTCGCGGGGGCCTGATGGTGCTGCAGGTACTTGAGGTACCGCCGCACCACCGATTTGTGCATCGCTCATGTTGAGGGTTCCCACATCATCATCGCGACCTACGCTGCTTCGTCTACGTCCGCGCGAATGCTGGGACATGCCTGTACTGACGGATCCTCGCGAGATAGCGGATCGTGGGGAAACAAGTAAACCGGACCCTCGCGCGGGGTCCACCCCCCAGGTTGGGCGTTTGGCATCATTTGCGGGGAGAGAGTCTTTCCCGGGGGACCGATGGCCGCTTTGCGGGATGCCAGCGTAGGGACCCGGGCTTTATGGAGCAGCGGCTTCGGGCACTTCTGTGCCGGCGGTTGTGTGGCAAGCGTCGGTCTCATTGACGCAGCAGGATAGCGCGTCTGCCACGGCACTTTGGCCTGTGGCTCGCCTTCTTTGAGGCTGCTCTTTTGAGCATTTGACGCTGCTTGGGCCTCTGCCCGTTTTGCTGCTGCTTGCCTGTAGCGCAATGCTACTTCCGCGAAGCTGATGTTGGTGCTGGACTTTTTTTCGCTGTTGAGGGTCACGGGAGCGTCGGCCGGGATCCACGGCTTCTCCGCCGGCCTCCCGTGTTTTCCCTTTAAAAAAGGGGCTGCAGGCGTGTCACTACTCTTCGCCGCCGCCGGTCGGTAAGAGGAGCAGCCTTTCTTCTTCTGGGCCGGCAGTAAACACCGCCGTGCCAGAGCCGCGTGTGGGCCCTCGCCGTCGTCTCCGTACACGTGGTAACGGAACGCCTATAGATCCGTTTTCCCCGGGCTACCCGAAAGCAGCACGACTTCGCGGAAGAAGTAGTACAGCTCCCGTCCCAGAGCCTCGAAAAACTGCTCCTCGCTGGTTACGCGGAAATCGGCGTGCAGCACCAAATTGTGACGGAGGCGCAGCACGTTGAAGTTGGCCGTGTGCGCCACCATGCCCATCAGCGCGGTGATCGCAGCCTGACCACCGGACGCTTCCACACTTTGTGTGAAGGCGGGGTAGTTGCCGACATAGCCGGCGCGAACCCAGAGCTCGTCGGTGACCGCTGGGTAATCCCCGATCATCCCTCTCTTCCACTTCCCTGTAGCAACAGCGTCGGTGGGCGGTTTTTCCGCGTGTTACGTCTCGGGATCGGGCTTCGCTGGAGACGCGTCGCCACAGAAAAATCCAGGCGGGGTGCGCATGGGTGAGGAGTTCAGCCCGGGAACCTGGGGTTGGGCTGGCTGCGCAAAGGAACCTGCCTTCGGTTGCCCTGACGTACCCAGGGACCAGTTCATCGCAGTTGGCCTGACCCCAGGCGTAGCCCCCTGTCGGGGTCGGCGGTGGTTGACGTCGCAGTGGCGTCGGCAACGTTTCCATAGGCGGCGGCGGCTGGACCTCGACAGTTCGCACACGGGCGCCACGCGATGGTAGAATACGTGCTGGCGGCGTGAGCCGTTGGCCGTGCTCCCGTGCGAATCGCCGCCGCGATGCGATCCCTGCCATTTCTGGCGGGACCTCGCCGTCACTGTCGGAATTATCCGGCAGGGGTACCGCATTCGCCTGAGCCCGCGCGGATTCCTCTGCGCTCGTTGGCGTCTTCTTCGCCAGCAATTCGTCTTTGTTTTTTCAGCTGGCTCTTGAGCTCCTCACACTCCGTCTTGCAGCCTTCTGCTTCGACTGGACAACGCGGCGGACTGGATCTGAGCCTCGGGTAAGGGTGACCCCGAAGGCCGGCGACAGTCTCGGTCAGCTCCACGATGCACAGCATCCTTCACCTCAGCTGCTGCATTTAGCCGGTCATGGTGCTCCTTCTGGGACTGCAGCTCCCGCTGTAAGAAGCCTACTTCAGCTTGGTGCCAAGCAGCTGCCGTGGCGGCTTCCCTCCGTGCATGCTCTGCGTTCAACGAAGCTGCCATCTCGCGCCCCTCAGCCTGCGACTCGGGGCTCGGGGACGTCTAATCTGGTGAGAACCGTGTGGTGGCCGCAAGTGGTAGTTGCGTTAGTGTGGTTGAAGAGCCGACAAAGAAAGTGAGCGGCGAGGGTCGAAGACTACCGCGAGGAAACAAAGCAGGGAAATTGTGTCACATCGGCCGCTGGTGTATTGTACCGGTTGAAGAGGAAGGAAATGAAGATACAGCTTTATAATTAGGACGGCGCGTGACGAAGGCGTTGTGCGTGTGTACTGTTGGCACCGGGGCGTCGCCGGCTTTTTTCTTTTGCTTTCTGAGTCTTTCTCAGTTCTTTCTTGTGCTCTGTCGGCGTTTTATTTTTTTCTCACCCGTAACGGAATGCAGGCCAGTTTGTTGAATGCTCGCGGCCGGCAACCGGCATGGGCAGATGTGGCCAGCTGCCTTTCGTGCCTGCCGCGGCGGTCGTTCACGAATCCCTTGAGCCCCACCTGAAGGGCTGTGGAGTGTGAGAGTGTGCAGCTCGACGGTGACGCCAGGCGCGCCGCCTGCGAGTCGGATTCACTTCCAATGGCATGTCCTTCATTCGAAGCCTCTCCTCTCTGTACACACCCTTCTCTGGTCGGGACATCGACGAAACGGAGAGGCAAACGTGTCCGCTCTCCTGCAATTCCACCAAAACACCCACGATAACAAGAGAGACACGTGCTGGTCACACGAAGCAAACAGTGCATCTCCCACATATCCTTAACACTTACATTTCGTATTCCCACAGAAGCATCCGTAGCGGACAGAGCCGCCGCCATTCCCCTACGCTTGAAGGACCTGCACGTAGGGAACTGCAATACTACGACAATAAACTAGGAGTTTGCGGCGCACGATGCAGCCGTTAGGAGCCACGTCAGTCCACATCCGACGCGGCGATGGCGTCTCCTGTGCAGGCTCTGCAGCAGTGAATCCCGCTCCCCCGACTCCCACACAGCAACGGACGTATTCCACGTATCTCCCGCCGCTGGCGTGGGCGCCCCTTGTGAGAAAGCACATACCCACCCGTTTCAGACCATCTGCAATGTGGCCACTACTGCGTCGCAAGCGGCACCGCGTTGTCAGCGCCGTTCTCTTCCTCCTTCTTCTCTTGCTTGTCTGCATACTCTCGTGGAAGTTACTCTTCGCAGCACCTGCGAGTTCTCTGCAATACAACGATGTTGCGGAGGCGGTTGGTGGAACGCGACTCTGTCCGTGGCGGTGACGCACGAGGCGCCGCTGACGTGTCTCGACAGCCGCCAGCTGCAGCAGCGCGCGGCCGGTGGTGCGTCGGCGACGGTGATGCGGCGGTCGCAGCTGCCGTCGTGGACGCTGCGCGTGGTGGATGCGCTGTGCGACGAGTGCCTGGACAACGCGACGCACGCGGCTGCTGTGGCGCGGCAGCTTGGTGCGTCCACTGCGTCCGCGGACGGCGCGTTGCCCGCTGCGACTGTGTTTGCGACGCCGAGCGCGCCGCTTGGGCTTGCGGGCCCGATGCTGTTTGCGATGGCGAGCGTGACGGACGGCGTAGCTGTTGGCGCTGAGCTTGCGCGGTGGAGCTGGGTGCTGCGGTCGTACGCGGTGCGGCGGCAGTTCCGTGGCGCGTCGCCTGTGGGGCTGAGGGGCGGGACGTCGCCGTACCTCGTGGTGCTTGGGATCCCGTCGACGGACCAGCCGGTGCGGTCGTCGCTGCGTGATGCACAGCGCGACACGTGGCTGTCGTACGCGGAGGTTGCGCGGAGCGGGAACGACTTCCGCGGTGCGCTGCTGCCGCTGTACATCTTCGCTGCTGCGGAGCGCGAGCAGCCGCACGCTGTGCTGGACGTGTCGCCGCTGCTGCCGACGGTGGCGGAGTACGAGGCCGCGTCTGCGGTGCTGCTGAGGCCTGGTAGTGCTGCTGGTGCGGTGCGGAGCTACGCTGAGCGTCGCGTGCGGCTTGCGGTTGATGTTGGCGCTGTGGGCGCCGGTGACGCGCTGCTGGCCGAGTCGCCGTGTGCGGCGATCGTGTCGAGGCCTGCGACGCCCGCTGCGGGCACCGGCGCGGACGCGACGTGGCTGTCGCAGCTTGCGTCTGCGCTGGCGCTGCCGGTGCGTCCCGCCGCTGTGGCGGCCGCGGAGTTCGTGTGCGGCGCGTCGACTGCGCTGTGGCAGGAGGCGTTGGCGCACCGCAACATGGTGTGGGTGGACATGATGACGGACCGGCGCCCGAGCTCGAAGAAGAAGCTGGGCGAGGGTGGCAACTGGGGCCTGCCGGTGGAGGTTGGGATGACGCAGAAAACCGTCCTGTGGCTGGAGTACGCCTACCACGCGTTCCCCGATGTGCCGTACATCATGAAGGGCGACGACGACACGTACCTGAAGGTGCCGCAGTTCATGAGCGACGTCCGTTACATGCGTGCTGGTTTCAAGGGCAAGCGTGTGCGGAGTCCGCCGGAGGTGCGCGATGCGGTGGGCGTCGCGGAGACGGAGGAGTGCATTTACTGGGGCAATAGTATTCGTGGTGATCTTTGGAACTACCTACGCTACCACGCGGGCAGTGGGTACATGCTGCACCGCCGTCTGGTTCAGGTGGTGCTGGAGGCGACGGACGAGCTCAATTTTATGATGTGGCTTGCTGTTACCCCATACAACATTAAATACTTCAAGCAGTACGTGAGTCGTGTGATGGACGTCGAGGACGCCTTTGTCGGACACGTGCTAAGACAGAGGCGGCGCCGCATTCGCGAGGTCTGCCCCTTCCACCGCGCCAATTACGTAGAAGAGCCACCTACGCGCCACTTCGACCTGTACTCCGCGAAGTTCAACGTGACGTGGGCCTCGGTGCTGATGCACCACGTCTCTCCCTCTGATCAGTACTGGGTGTTCGATCGAGGCCCTGCGTCGCGTTGCGCACCTTCGACGCCGCCCACGCAGCAGCAGCGGCCGTCATATCCGCATCCGTCACTTTGCCATCCGCCTTCATCCGCGCCGCTACATCGTACTCGTGAGCGAAGAAGTAGTGGATGGCCGACGGTGTGGAACCATCCGAGTGGGTTGCCGGAGTCCTTTGTTTCGCCGACGGACAACATTCGCGTGTATGAGATGGTGTACCAGCTGTTTAAGTTTGATGCACTCGACGCGGCGTACACGCCAGTCGTACCGGAGTATTAACTTACCTCCGGTGCGCGTTCCCTAGTTGCTTTTATTAGCTTGCTGATGCCAATGCACGCCCCTCACAGGCGTACGTGGCGACATGTCGATGCCAGCTGTGAATGCACGGTGACTTTCGGCTGCTGAAGTGTTTCTTTTATTCTATGCATATCTGCAGGTGTTTTCGTATCCTCTTATATATTTTTGGCAGACAAAGGGTTTGGTTCTTTAACATTGAGTCTGCTTTTACACTGCGCACTGTGCGTGGTGTGATGCAGCTTTGCTCGCTCTTTACTGTGCTCGGCGATGCTGTGTGTTGCCGGAGTAAGGGCACCGACGTTTTTTCTTCTCATTTTATGGGGTTTGGGTGTATTTAGCTGAAGTGTGTTTTGACTGCTGGCGGCATCCGAGATGTCGTGGAGTGCACGTGTCTGTGTATCCGTATGTCTGCTCCCCGGCTTCGACCGAGTGGTGGGACTGTGGCTGTGCTTGTGAGGCAAACCGATGGAGCTTCCGTTGCGCTTTGTTTCTTTGCTTTCTTGATGGAACGTGGGTTGATGGGGTTGTGGTCGTGTGGGCCGCATGCAAGTCGTTTCCTCCCCCCCTCCCCCCGCTGATGCGACGACTCGGCGGCAGGGCGGCGCTGATTGTCGTCCGTGACTCTCCGGGCATCCGTCGTTTCCACGCGGTTCTCCCGTGCTTTTTCTCCCTCTGTCACGCGGGAGGGCGGAGGACGGCGCATGAGGCGCGGGAAACCCGAGGGGCGCTGATTGCGTCCTTTTTCTTCTTGTGTGAGCTCGTGCGTGCGCTGTGCGGCGCGGTGTGTTATACATTTATACATATTTAAGGCGGTGCGGGATGGACGCGTGCGCCGCGATCCTCGGCTGTGTGGACCTGACGATGTTGACGGCCGTGGCGATAACGTATACTTTCAAAGAAGGAGCTAAGATGTGGTGCTTGCGGTTGGTTGCGCTCTGCGGTGAAGCTACGCTGTGTGGGGGCGTGTTTCGCCGCCGCGATGCGTCGAAGCGCTGCGGTGCCCGCTAGTGCGAAGAGAGCACGCGGTGCATCACCCGGATGCCCACGATCTGTGACGACGGTGTTTGTGCGGCGTGTTGCGCTGCGTGGAGGCGGACGTGCAAAGAAGTACGAGGTCTGCTAAGTGGCGTTGCGGCCGACTGAGGACGGCTGATGAGAGGCCGAGGAGCCGCGTCGCTTCTTCCCCTGTTAATGGTGGGGATGCTCTGCGGTGCGTGCCCCCCCCCCCCCCGCCTCGAGCTGCAGTGCAGGACCGCTTCCGCCCACTTTCCGCCTTCCTCTCCCATTCCCACTTCTTCTCTCCTCACCCTTCTCGTTGATGGCCTGCGGCCGCCGTGCTCCGAGTCTCCCACCACACATCACGTTGGGGGCTCAGCCGCTGCGTCTTTTTCCTTGTTCGTTCTCATTTTGCACCGTGCGCCTCGTGCCGCCGTTTGTGTCGTGTCGGAGCACGCGACACCACGTGAACCCTCGTCTCTTTTCTTTGCTGCCTGGCCGCTGTGCACGGCGTCTGCGCGTGGAGTCGGTGCCCATCGCCAGCGCATCGGAGGCATCTGATACGGTGACACATCGCCGCGTCGCCTTACACCGCTGGAGAGTGCAGCTGCTGCGCCAGGGCGGCGTCACCGTGACGTGCGGCGGAGGGCGTACGAATCTCAAACGTTTCTTCCGCTGCCCTCCCCCCCCCCCCCGCCTCGGCGCACCGACCACACGCTGTTTTCGTTGTCTTCCCGCCCAACGCCCCGTGAACCGGCGGATACACCCCCCTGCCCACTGCTCCCGCAGCGTCGTCCGCGCCGATCCGTCACGATGCCTGTGCACGCCTCCGCGCCGTTGTTGAGCGAGCAGCCTGACGCGGCGGGCGAGGCCGCCGTCTCTGTCAGCCACCCCCAGCTTGTATGCGACACGCAGGCCGACTCGGCAGCGTCCGCCTTCATTCCTTCGTGGACTCCAAGCGCCCGACGGTCGGTCGGCGTTGCATCGAAGCACCGCCGATGTTGCCGCCGTAGTGGATGCGGTGCCAGTACTGTTCGGATCGTGATCCTGCTAGTGCTGCTGTCGCTGTGCGCCGTGAACCTGGCGGCTTTCACCAGCAATGGCGGCCCTTACACCGACGGCGCCTATAGTCGCATGGCGACGCCGACGCCCTCGAATGCGTCCCCACCGAAGCCTCCTCGCGCTGCGCCTGGTGCGTGGAACGCGACTCTGTCCGTGGCGGTGACGCACGAGGCGCCGCTGACGTGTCTCGACAGCCGCCAGCTGCAGCAGCGCGCGGCCGGTGGTGCGTCGGCGACGGTGATGCGGCGGTCGCAGCTGCCGTCGTGGACGCTGCGCGTGGTGGATGCGCTGTGCGACGAGTGCCTGGACAACGCGACGCACGCGGCTGCTGTGGCGCGGCAGCTTGGTGCGTCCACTGCGTCCGCGGACGGCGCGTTGCCCGCTGCGACTGTGTTTGCGACGCCGAGCGCGCCGCTTGGGCTTGCGGGCCCGATGCTGTTTGCGATGGCGAGCGTGACGGACGGCGTAGCTGTTGGCGCTGAGCTTGCGCGGTGGAGCTGGGTGCTGCGGTCGTACGCGGTGCGGCGGCAGTTCCGTGGCGCGTCGCCTGTGGGGCTGAGGGGCGGGACGTCGCCGTACCTCGTGGTGCTTGGGATCCCGTCGACGGACCAGCCGGTGCGGTCGTCGCTGCGTGATGCACAGCGCGACACGTGGCTGTCGTACGCGGAGGTTGCGCGGAGCGGGAACGACTTCCGCGGTGCGCTGCTGCCGCTGTACATCTTCGCTGCTGCGGAGCGCGAGCAGCCGCACGCTGTGCTGGACGTGTCGCCGCTGCTGCCGACGGTGGCGGAGTACGAGGCCGCGTCTGCGGTGCTGCTGAGGCCTGGTAGTGCTGCTGGTGCGGTGCGGAGCTACGCTGAGCGTCGCGTGCGGCTTGCGGTTGATGTTGGCGCTGTGGGCGCCGGTGACGCGCTGCTGGCCGAGTCGCCGTGTGCGGCGATCGTGTCGAGGCCTGCGACGCCCGCTGCGGGCACCGGCGCGGACGCGACGTGGCTGTCGCAGCTTGCGTCTGCGCTGGCGCTGCCGGTGCGTCCCGCCGCTGTGGCGGCCGCGGAGTTCGTGTGCGGCGCGTCGACTGCGCTGTGGCAGGAGGCGTTGGCGCACCGCAACATGGTGTGGGTGGACATGATGACGGACCGGCGCCCGAGCTCGAAGAAGAAGCTGGGCGAGGGTGGCAACTGGGGCCTGCCGGTGGAGGTTGGGATGACGCAGAAAACCGTCCTGTGGCTGGAGTACGCCTACCACGCGTTCCCCGATGTGCCGTACATCATGAAGGGCGACGACGACACGTACCTGAAGGTGCCGCAGTTCATGAGCGACGTCCGTTACATGCGTGCTGGTTTCAAGGGCAAGCGTGTGCGGAGTCCGCCGGAGGTGCGCGATGCGGTGGGCGTCGCGGAGACGGAGGAGTGCATTTACTGGGGCAGCTGGGTGCGTAATGCTCATTGGAACCGCTTGCGTTATCACGAGGGCAGCGGGTACATGCTGCACCGCCGTCTGGTTCAGGTGGTGCTGGAGGCGACGGACCGGCTGAATGCGGAGGCGGTGCATCTGGCGGTCATTCCTTTCGATAGCGAATACAAAGAGGTGTATAGAGCGCTTGTCATGAGCGTCGAGGACGCCTTTGTGGGCCGCGTGTTGCGAGACAGGCGGGACCGCATTCGCGAGGTCTGCCCCTTCCACCGCGCCACGTACGTGGAGGAGCGAAAGGTGCGCCACTATGACTTGTATTCCAGAAACTACAGTGTGACGTGGGCCTCGGTGCTGATGCACCACGTCTCTCCCTCTGATCAGTACTAGGTGTTCGATCGAGGCCCTGCGTCGCGTTGCGCACCTTCGACGCCGCCCACGCAGCAGCAGCGGCCGTCATATCCGCATCCGTCACTTTGCCATCCGCCTTCATCCGCGCCGCTACATCGTACTCGTGAGCGAAGAAGTAGTGGATGACGGACTATTTGGGCGCATCCGAGTGGGTTGCCGGAGTCCTTCGTTTCACCGACGGACAACATTCGCGTGTATGAGATGGTGTACCAGCTGTTTAAGTTTGATGCACTCGACGCAGCGTACGTATCGGTCACACCCAAGTACTAACTTACCTCCGGTGCGCGTTCCCTAGTTGCTTTTATTAGCTTGCTGATGCCAATGCACGCCCCTCACAGGCGTACGTGGCGACATGTCGATGCCAGCTGTGAATGCACGGTGACTTTCGGCTGCTGAAGTGTTTCTTTTATTCTATGCATATCTGCAGGTGTTTTCGTATCCTCTTATATATTTTTGGCAGACAAAGGGTTTGGTTCTTTAACATTGAGTCTGCTTTTACACTGCGCACTGTGCGTGGTGTGATGCAGCTTTGCTCGCTCTTTACTGTGCTCGGCGATGCTGTGTGTTGCCGGAGTAAGGGCACCGACGTTTTTTCTTCTCATTTTATGGGGTTTGGGTGTATTTAGCTGAAGTGTGTTTTGACTGCTGGCGGCATCCGAGATGTCGTGGAGTGCACGTGTCTGTGTATCCGTATGTCTGCTCCCCGGCTTCGACCGAGTGGTGGGACTGTGGCTGTGCTTGTGAGGCAAACCGATGGAGCTTCCGTTGCGCTTTGTTTCTTTGCTTTCTTGATGGAACGTGGGTTGATGGGGTTGTGGTCGTGTGGGCCGCATGCAAGTCGTTTCCTCCCCCCCTCCCCCCGCTGATGCGACGACTCGGCGGCAGGGCGGCGCTGATTGTCGTCCGTGACTCTCCGGGCATCCGTCGTTTCCACGCGGTTCTCCCGTGCTTTTTCTCCCTCTGTCACGCGGGAGGGCGGAGGACGGCGCATGAGGCGCGGGAAACCCGAGGGGCGCTGATTGCGTCCTTTTTCTTCTTGTGTGAGCTCGTGCGTGCGCTGTGCGGCGCGGTGTGTTATACATTTATACATATTTAAGGCGGTG